CACTTCCCATGCCTCGAGAGTGCCACTTCCCATGCCTCGAGAGGCGCCATGGAAAAGGTGCCATCCTTGTCTTGTCCATCAGATATTGCTCCTGAACTGACCTGCTTCCAATGTTATTACTGCACAAATGATGATGGTGAATGGTGATGATGATGACTGGTGACAATGATGAAAGGTGACAATGATGACCAACGACGAAACAAGCCCTTCACCGCACGTCCTCCATGTCCTCGTCCTCTTCACTTTCTTCCCTACCGGCCCGCTGGTCCTCGTCATCCCGCTGCTCTTCTTTCTCGTCCTCTGCGTTGTGTCCGGCCCTTGCAATATCAGCTGGCCCCTCCATGCCGTAGCTAACATCGCCAATCTGGCTCAGCAGTTCAGCGCATCGGGCTCTATGCTTTGCCGTCTTTTCGATCAGCTGCAGTGCCTCTTCGTCGAGCGAGTTCGCCGACCTCTGGCCCGGCCCCAAGGGGGCGTCCACTGGCTGCTGCGAGAGAAGTAGCGAGAGCTTCAGCGAGTGGCTAAGGAGGGTCAAAGACTGAGCGGCGCGGACCTGTGTGTGCGAATAGGAAAGGGGATCAGACCAAGAGGACAGCTTTGGAGAATGCGAATCTCTTTGACAAATCACCATGACATCTGCCCTCGCTTCGAGCTCAAAGTTTTCCTGTGCGATCTGAAATTTGTCCTTGTCTCGAATCTGCAGACTGATGGATCAGCATCCATGGTCAGACGCATTGCAGCGCGCGGCGTGTACTCACCCTGCTCAGGCCGATGAGCGCCTCGAAGCCCTCGATGAGCGTTTTAACTTCTGCGTCGATTGTCTTGTTGACCTCTTCGGCTGCCGCGTCGAGGTAGGCCGCGGAAGACGACGAGGCGCCGGCGGCGGTCCCATCAGCATCACTCCTCGTCGCGTCGCCAAGGCTCGGCCCAGCAAAAGGCCGGTCGAGCAGCGGCTGCGAGGCAGGAGCCCTCCGCGAGACGTCTGTGCGAAAGACGCCGCTCGCCATGCCCGTCCGTGGCTGCGTTGGCCTATCTCCTTGGTCGAGCTTGCACAGCTGGCCTAGCTAACTGTTGCTTGCTGCTTGCTGCTCGAGTGACTTATAGTAGTCGCCGAGCAGATCGGGTCTCCCAAGAACAACCGTGCACTCGACGTAATATACGCACGTGTCTTTTCTGGGCCTCACGCTAGGGCGCTTTCACCACAGCCTGTAGAAATTCCCCACATCCCGGCTCGAGGCTCCGGCGTCTTTGCCTCTTGCTCCTTCCTTTTCCTTGCGTTTCCTCTTGAACATTACGAGGTCGTTTGGCACCATGGATGGCCTTGACCTCAACACGCACCAGCTGATCCTCAATGATCTGGCACTCAACCTTGCCGAGGGCGCCGCTTCGGGCCACCTCTCGGCCAAGGACGTGGCCCTCTTTGGCTCGGGCGCCTCGACGAGCGCAAAGACGTCCAAGACTGGCAAAGTCCTGGTGAGTTTTTGTCCTTTGCTCGCCTTGCTGCGCACACATGGCTGATGAGACGAGCATGTGCACAGACGGCATCGGCAGTCAAGACGCAGATCGCTCTGGCCCTCTTTGCCTCGTCGATCTCGTCGGCTTCTCGCTCCTCGGCCGACGTGCACGACGAGGCAGTCGACGAGCACCTCACCCCTGTCCTCAACGATGTGCTCAATGCCGCCAACGAGCTCGTCTCCGTCGACATCGAGGAGCACCTCGCCAACTCAGACTGGCCCCTTGCCGACCAGCTTGCCTTTGCCATTACGTCGAGCCTCGTGCGCATCGCCAAGAATGCCCCCCAGCATCGCTCTCGCTGCCTCACCGCCGTCGTCGGCCTCGGCGACCGCCTGGCCCAGGTGCTGAGCGCACAGAGCGGCGACGCACACGCCGTGGCCACGCGCATCACGCCCCTCTTCCACGGCTACTACCGCGCCCTGGGCAGCATCGCCTTTCCCTGGTCCATTGCTGAGTTTGCGCAGCTGGCTACCGCCCTCAACCCGCTTGGCTCGACCTCGCAGACGGTTCGCCGTCTCAACGAGGCCCTCCTGGTCCTGCCTGAACAAGCCGCTGCCCTGGCTCAGGCCGACCGCGCGACGCGACGCAAGGCCAAGAAGCCCACGGTGCGACCGCGCGACGACGACGACGATGACGATGCCCGCTCCGTTGGCAGCGTCGACACCTTTTTCTCGGGCGACGAGGACGTCGAGGACCAGCAAGACGAAGGCAACGCTCGCCTGGGAGGATTCACCCACACGGGCGACGAAGACGCATACGACTACCGCCTCGCGGTGCTGACGCACTACCGCCGCGCCGGCCGTCCGCTCTCGGGCCACTTTGTTCTCTGCGCTGCCATCGAGGCCCTCAGTTCGGTCCTGTCGCAGGCCCTGGCCGTCATGGCCAAACCGCCGATCAAGAACTTTGCCGACTACCAGAAGCTGGCCTTGGACCAGGACTACATCGACCCAGCCCGGGTCAGCAACGCCGAGCGCTTCGACCTCGCCGTCGACGAGGAGAAAGACGAAGCCATTGGCCTCGAGCCGGTGCGCAAGGCATGGAAGTCCCTCTTGCGCTATCCGGTCAAGGCTGGTGAAGATGCGCACGCCAACGGCACCGCCAACGGCATTGCCAACGGCACGGCGGCGCAGACGACATCCTCGTCTCGCTTCCTCTCTGCCATCCCAGGCATTGGCGGCAACAACTCGGCCGCATTTGGCACCGACTCAGGCTCGCCGACGCCTGCCAGCCTCCGGTCCGGCCTCTCGTCGGCTGTCCATCTGGCCAGCCGCGCGTACCACGACCTGCAGCGCTTCGTGGAAAACGAAGGGGCGAAGCGTGGCGAGCTCTTCGTCGACGTCTACGTCCTCGAGATTCTCAGCGAGTCGCTCAAGCTCGGCGCCCTCGCCTCGGTGGCCCAGTCCCAGGCTACGGGCTCGCCGATCGAGAGCCACACGCTGGTGCGCATCCGCTCCCTCCTCAGCGATGCCGCCATCGTGTATGAGCCGCTGCTCCAGGGCGCGGCGCTGCAGAGCGCCAGCCTCCTCGTGCGCAACTACCCAAAGATTGCCATGGTCATGACGACGCAGCTCCGTCGCTTCGTCACTGCGCCCCTCGCCATGTTCTCCATCGTCGAGCCCCACGGCGGTCTTGCGCCCTCGCCCGTCCTCGCCTCGGCAGCAAAGTGCCTGGCCACGTGCACCAGCCTCGCGCCTGGCGACGACCTCGTCGTGTCGACGATGTACACGCTCCTCAACTACCTCGGCAAGGACACGAGCACCGGCGGCTTCGGCGCTGGCGGCCTTGCTGGTGGTGCCATGTCCGTCCGCAGCGGCGTCTCGCGCGCCGTGACGGGACGGGACTTTATGAGCATGAAGCCGTCCAACACCCAGGCCCTCTTTGCCTCGAGGAGCGACGACCAGAAGCGCGTCATCCATGCCAACACCATTGCCATTGTCGCCCAGCTGGCCCTCGAGGTGGGCAAGCCCGAGGTGATTGCGCTGGCCATCTCCATGCTCCTCCAGCGCCTCCGCACCGCCGACGACATTGGCGAGGCGGCCATCCTCAACAACGTCGTGCCCCTCGCCCTGGCTGCTCCCCGCCAGTCGTATGTCGATGTCATCCGTGCCTTTAGCAACGTCTCTCGCTCGGCCCTAACCGGTGGCGCAGGCAGACGAGCCGACTCGTCGGTCCAGGTGGCTCAGCTTAAGCTCGCGAGGGGCCTCGGAAGGCTCGACGAAGGCCAGGGGGTCGCTTTGGAGAAGAAGCAGCAGCAGCAGCAGGCCCAAACCTCAGATGGCCAGGACGCCGACACCGACGACCGGATCAGCGGCCGCAAGGAGCTGTTCGTCGTCGAGCTGCTGCAGCTCTTTGTCGAAAAGGGCACCCAGCTCGAGGGATCCACGGCGTCCAAGGTTGTCAGCTCCGAGGAAAAGGCAGAGCTGCTCGCCGATCTCCAGGGCCTGTTGCCGCCCCTGGCTGCGCTACTGTCGCACAAGGACATCAACCCGCAGCTGAACCCAACACTGGAGATGGTCTCCCTCTTCCGCAACATGTGGTTCCTCGCCGTCATCTTTGGCCTGGCCAAGCCCCAGAACAAGGCGCGCATCCGCAACAGCCCTTCGAATGCGACGGACACGAGCCACATCACCGAGGCTCTCGGCATCATCTCGCTCAAGACGCCCACCCTCGTCCCCGAGACGGCCGTCAACTACATCGAGAGCGAGCTCAAGTTCAACTCGGTCCTCCGCCGCGAGTTTTCCTCGTCGGCACTCGAGGGACAGCGCAAGAGCCTGGCGACGCTCATCCCCAGCCATGCAAGCGAGGTGCGCTCGTTTGGCTTCCCCCAAGTCACCTTCCTCAACACCATCTACAGCCTCGAGTGCACGCGCAGCAGCATGGGCATGCCCTCGATGGTCCTCTGGTACTTTGTCAACGAGGGCCTCAACAACAGCTCCCTCGTCGGCTCCATGGAAGCCATTGCCGACAAGGTCATTGCCTCGTACATGGAGGATCTCTCCTACCAGGTCAACGACCACTCGCTCGACCCGCGTGTCACGATGGAGGTCAGGAACCTCGTCCTCGGCAGCTGCCACCGCGTGGAAAAGGTTCGGACCGTGTCGAGGCGCTTCCTCGACCGCCTCATCAACGCCTACCCTTCGCTGCTCTGCGACCAAGACCTGGTCGTGACAATGCTCGAGATGCTCACCCTCCTCCGTCAGGGCTGCGAGGGCCAGTACCGCGACGAGTATGCGCCCGTGTACCACTTCAAGTCCGAAAAGGCCGACGTCGCCTTTGTCCTCTCGGACTCGTATGCGCAGCGAAACGAGATTCTCTCGTCGTTCCTCCAGCGCACGCGAAATTACATGGGCCTGCTGCTCGCCCGCGCTCCCGTCGAGCTTCAGGGCATCCTGCAGCGCTACCTGGGCACCTTTGACGACGCCCTCCTTCCCGGCACAGCCGAATTGGGCAAGAGCGTTGCCCTGGAGGTCGCTCGCGCCCTGCCTACTCAGGGCGGTCAGGAGGGCTTCCTCCCCGAGCTCGGCGGCTGGCGTGCCGATTCCTCGAGCGCCTTTGTGGGCGAGCTGTCGGCCAAGAGCACCTACCTGGGCGAAATGACGGGCACCCACCTCGCCCTCACAAAGGGCCTCGTCGAGCTGCAGCAGGACCCCATCAGCAACTTTTCCGACAAGAGCGTGGCCGACTGCAAGAAGCAGCTTGCCCGCGTCTCTGCCGACCTCGCCGACCCTCACGCCAGGCCGCTTCCCTTTGCCGAGCTCAGGAGGCTGCTCTACCGCTCTGCGGCCCTCGCCGTAGCGCTGCCAGACGTGCACTACGATCTCCTCCACTACCTCGTCTCGATTCCCATTCGCGTCTTTACCCCTGCCGCCATCACGACGGCGAGCCACGTCTGGACGTGGGTCATTGGCGAGCGACCCCTCTTTGAGACCAAGATCATGGTCGAGATCTCTCTCGGGTGGGCCACCACGATCAAGGGGCGCAAGGGTCTCTTCTCGCCCAGCATGACCAACGAGCATCCTCTGCTTCGCAAGACGGAGATGTCGCCTACGGACCGTGTCGAGATGAACCGGGAGCGAGAGCGCGCCCAGCGACTCTTCTCGCCTCACCTCACCCTCATCCAGCTCGTCTCCAGCCGCTTCCAGGCTTTCCGCTACCGCGATCCGTCCATGGTTCTCGCTCTTGTCCGCCTGATCCAGCGTTCAGCCATTGCGACGGACAAGATGAGCACTCACCCGCTCTCGAGGGAGGTCCGCTTCGCCCTCATCGTCTTTGGCTTCCGAGTCATTCAGAGCAGCCGCCTGGATGGCCTCGTCGAGTACCAGCTTCGCCTGGCCCTGTACAAGGTCGCGTTTGCCTGGTTCGAAACGACACCCCAGTGGTCCTTTGGCAGCAACCGACTCCAGGTGGCGGCCGAGATGCAGCTGATGCGCGAGCTCCTCGACGTCCTCAAGGCCGACACGTTCAAGGCCCAGTATGCCATCACGTCTTTCCCGCCCAGCATGGAGGGCGTGCGTATGCCTGGTCACCAGACCGTGCCACAGGCCGTCGATTCCTTTGCGGGCCGCCGTGCGCTGCTGCAGCTTCTCGTCGAAGACGAGCTATCTCGATTCAGCGTGTGGAACAACCCGATCAACGAGCCCAGCCGCGGCCAGGACTACAACGGCGAGCTGACGCGCACCATCAACGACACCAAGTGGGCCGACATGATCCGCCTGGCCTGGCGCATCAACGCGACCGTGGCCGTCCAGATGACGCGCCGCTTCAAGGCGCATGCCGCTCGTCGCGAGGCCGGTCGGCTCGTTCGTGCGCAGCCCTACAAGGTCGTTGACTGCCCCGAGGCCTTTGAGCTGCTGGCTGAGGAGCACATGTCACTCTGCACCAAGGAGGGCACTGACCTCAAGTGGCTGCACTACTGGGCTGCCATCACGCCCGTCCAGGCCGTCGAGCTCTTCCAAAAGGAGTATGGCAACAGCGCCATGCTGCTCCAGTACGCCATGGGCGCCCTCGAGCACCACCCCGTCGAGCTCACCTTCTTCTACATTCCGCAAATCGTCCAGGCGCTCCGAGACGACGAGTATGGCTATGTGGAGCAGTTCATCTTTGAGACGTCCAAGATCTCGCAGCTCTTCTGCCACCAGATCATCTGGAACATGAAGGCCAACTCGTACAAGGACGACGATGCCGAGGTGCCCGACCCGATGAAGCCGACGCTGGATCGCATGGTCGATCTCATCGTCGCTGCCTTGTCGGGCGAGGCGCAGGACTTTTACGACCGCGAATTTGGCTTCTTCAACGAGGTCACATCCATCTCGGGCAAGCTCAAGCCGTACATCAAGAAGAGCAAGGCCGAGAAGAAGGCCAAGATCGATGAGGAGATGGCCAAGATCAAAGTCGACCCGGGCGTCTACCTGCCCTCGAACCCCGACGGTGTCGTGGTGGATCTGGCCCGCAAGTCAGGTCGGCCGCTGCAGTCGCACGCCAAGGCGCCGTTCATGGCTACCTTCAAGGTGCACCGCGACGTCAAGAGCGACGAAGATGGCGACGCCGAAGAGCCTGCAGACGGCAAGGTCGACTCAAAGGGCATCGACGTGTGGCAGGCTGCCATCTTCAAGGTCGGTGACGACTGCCGGCAGGATGTGCTGGCCTTGCAGGCCGTTGCCATGCTCAAGAACATCTGGCAGTCAGTCGGCCTTGACCTGTACCTCAACCCGTACCGTGTCACGGCCACCGGCCCCGGTTGCGGTGTCATTGACGTGGTGCCCAATGCCACGAGCCGAGACGAGATGGGCCGGGCGCAGATCAACGACCTGAACAGCTTCTTTTTGACAAAGTACGGAAATGCAGACTCGATTGCTTACCAGCAGGCCCGCCTGCACTTTGTCAGGTCCATGGCCGGCTACTCGCTCGCGTGCTACTTGCTCCAGATCAAGGACCGGCACAACGGAAACATCATGATCGACGGCGACGGCCACATCATCCACATTGACTTTGGCTTCCTCTTTATGATTGGACCAGGAGGGATGAAGTTTGAGCCAAATTCGTTCAAGCTCTCGCTCGAATTCGTAGAGGTCATGGGTGGACCCGACTCGCAAGGATTCAAGTACTTTTGCGAGCTCGTCGTCAAGGGCTTCCTCGCGCTCAGGCCCTATGCGCAGGACATCATGTCGCTCTGCAGCCTCATGTACGGCACCGACCTGCCGAGCTTCAAGGGTCCCCAAACGTTTGTCGAGCTCCACGATCGCTTCAAGCTCGACTTGAACGAGAGGCAGGCGGCCAGCCATGCGCAGGACCTCGTCAAGGATGCGTACGGCAACGGACGGAGCGTCTTCTACGACCAGTTCCAGGCCTGGCAGAACGGCATTCCCTATGCCAAGTGATCACTCTTTGAAACACACACGGCCTCTGCTGCTACTACTCTCTATTTCTCTGTCTTTTGATGGCACCGTCTGTCTTTCTTTGTGCGGAAATTACGATCCTTTGCTCCAAATTCTCGCATTGTGATTGCTTCTCTTCACAGTTAAGTCTATGGAGAAGTCTATGACTGTTGTGCCAAGACGCCGGCCAAGAAAGCCGACCACTGCTGCTCCCACTTTTTCCTGCATCGCTCCTTTTCCCCCTCACTGACGAGAAAGTGGTCGATGGAGCCCTTGGCCAGCACGCCCAGACTACTCAGCGTCAGATTGTCCGAGGCCGAGATGAGCTGGTAAAAGTCAGGTGTCAGGCCCGGGTTCCCAAACTGGCACGGGTCGTCGTTGGAAATGGCCACGGGCACGTTGCGGGCCAGGAGAGACAGGACGGGGTGGACAGAGGTGTTGGCCGTGTAGCGGAGAATCTCGTTGGAGATGGGGCAGGACTCGACGCAGATCTGGCGCGACTTGACCATGTCGATGAGGAGTGGGTGCTTGATCAGGCTGTACCCGTGTCCGATGCGCTTGGTCCCGAGCAAGATGGCATCGTAGAGCTTTCAAAGAAAGGTTCAGTGGAGAGAAAAGGGAGTGCAAGAGGACTGAGTCTTCTTACATTGTCATCGATGGCGTCGCCGTCGGCCAGTGTCTCGCCGGCGTGAAGCACAAAGGGAAGATCAACGGCCAGCTCCCTGCAGCGTCTCTTCATCCGGAGCAGCTCGGGGAGGTAGGTGTGCAGCGTCACGCCGACGTCTTCCCACCCGACGAGGTCGAAGCCGACAATCGTGTCGGGAAACTGCTGCTTGAGTGCAAGAGCGTTATCGACATGCCATCGGAGCTCCTCGTTGGGCATGAAGCGAATGGTGCTGTAGATGATCTTGGCGTCCCAGAACTCCAGTCCGGGCTCGGACTTGACTTCGGCAAGAGCCTCTTGGAAGATGCGGACCCAGCTGGGGTGCGCAAGGTCCAGTTGCCCCGTCGAGGTGGAGTATCGTCGAATCCAGAAGTTGACTCGAGCTTCGACGTAGCTGACCCCGTCCCTTGCCAGCGTCTTGAAGCTCTCGACAAAGTATCGCTTCAGCATGGGCTCGTACCCAAACAGGCCATCTATCACGCCAAAGGTGTCGGTAAACTTAGTCCAGGCCTGCTTCGACGTCTTGATTGGCGTAGCGAAGCGGGCTGGCACCGGTGTGAGGGTCATGAGGGAGTGGATGTAATGGTCAAAGGCCCTCTCGCAGGAAGTCTTGCCCGTGCTGGGCAATTCCGCAGCATCGAGATTCACGGGCACGGGGTCATAGACGTCCGGGTGAGGAAAGGCAGCGCGAACGTCGGCCAGCGGCACCCAGGTATTTGGCCGATATGCGCTGGTGTACAGCGTGTGACCGGCTGCGATACGCTCCTGCCCTTCGTCGTGCTCATTGTCTGGCTTGCTCGGAAGGTGGCGAAAGCGAACCTTAGCTTCGTACAGACTTTCGCTGGTCGTCAGCGGCTTCGTCGAAGTCAGCCAAATGTTGGCGTTGGCCTCGTGAAAGCTGTTCTCAATGAGCCATTTCGCATCGACTGTGCCGTCCATGTGGCAATGCAAGAGCCCTCCTTTTGGCATCTATGTCGATTGAAGAAGTTGAGTCGCAGTGGCAGCATTGACGGAGGAGCTTCTATCAACACACACCTTGCGCAAGAGGTCGTAGAGCCGGCCTTTGCGAGCGCCTCGGCTCGTGGCACCCTGCCACTCCATACCCTTGAATGCTTCAAGGTCACCCTCCCTGTTCCATATTGCCTTCCTCTCTTCCGCTCTGAGAGCCGAGACGACAGCGTCTGCTTTCTCTTCTTCATCGCTCAGCCCGGTAGATTTCTTGAGGTGGTCAAAGCGCCGACTCTTTTCGTCGGCGATCAGCTGCGCGCGACGGAGCTCGTAGGACGAGACGTCTTGCTCCAGCGTCCTCTCAGGCTGGTGGCTGGCATCGAGAGGGACAGCCTCGCCGTCAATCTCGATTCGCGCAATATGAGATCGCACTCCCGCCATCACCAAGTCCACGGGTTTCCTTCCTCTCGCCCTCACGACACTGTCTTACAATTCTAGGCCCAGCGGTCCCGATCCCGAGGCAGGTTGGGCACGTGATGAGTCTATCCCGGTCGTCCAGACCAAACCTGCTATATATGCATCAAGACTGCTTTTTAGACAGCTACTAATAAATTTAAGCAAGAGCTGCAGGCCTCTGGCGTGGTACCGGTGAGTGAAAAACAAAGCTTTGAAGGACGCGCATATGTCTCGCCCTCTTTTCCTTCTGGAATCTAAAAATTGGTAGTCTCGTTAATGTCCTGCTCCCCGTTCTTGCATCTTCTCCCAAGATGGCGAGCGGGGCGAGCATCTCTTAAAGTGCCGCACCTCGAAATCATCCTCGAGTCTTCTTCCCTCTCTCCCCCCAACTTCGCCACTACCATCACCGCAGCAAACTCCTCCTGGAGGACTCGGTTGTTGAAGTCCTGCGAGTGAGCGAACAACTTGGCGGGCCGTTACACCCGCGCAGTTCCGCGACAGGTATCGCGCGGCTTTATTTCCCTGTCAGTACGTCACGCCAGGTAAAGTCCCAAGCCCCCCGAGAAAACGAAAAAAGGACAATCAAAATAAAAAGGGGTGAGGCAGGATAAGGCACATCTGGACAGCTCAGATCAAAGGGAGAAAATAAAGGCGCCGCTTCAAGACCAGCAGGCGCGGCTCCGTTGACAGGACAGTGCAGGATAGGCTAGGGATTGGACTGGACCGGGACAAGAAAGGAGGGGCCTGCATCACAATAGATACGGTCCCCGCCACCACTTCTCCTGCTCACTGCAACACAGCACCTCTGCCCGTTTCCTGCGCTCTTCGCATCGACCTTGGTCACACATCATGTCGAGTGTCGCTCCGTCCAAACCAAGGAAGTTGTTTGGCGCCCTGCGATTCAACAAGACCGCAAAGAAAGCCAGCCTGTCCCAAGAGCACTCGCGAGAGACTCAGGACAACAAGGCCTTCTATCCGACCAACTACGACTACTACAACTATGGCGAGCCCTACATCGTCCCACCTGCGCCCTTGGCACCCGAGGCTTTTCAGCCGCCCGGACTTCTCCTCGACGGCGATGCCAAAGCTGAACACCATCGAGCGCTGCACGTTGCCCTGACGAAACCATCGGCGCCGCTGTCGCATTATCGAGCGCCACCGATGATGACGCGATGCGGCTGGGGCGTGCCACTGGCTGGCTCGGGGCCCTTATACGCAGGAAGCCGGCAACCTTGGCCCAGTACGCAGTACGTGCCTCCCAATTATCGCTATCACCAGCCTCATCGCCCGCCGCGTGGTACGCTCAACTCGCCAGAAAAGGTCGCCTACCTCGAGTGGAGGCTGACGGCCATCCAAAACGAGCAGTTGCAGCAGCAGCGGCAAGCTGAGGAACGCCAGATCAGCTCTATGGCCCGCACCTCGTCCACGACAACGGCCGGATCCATGACGACTTCTACAACGGTGGCTACGCTCGAGAGCAGGGCCGGACACCCTCGCCACGGCAGCAACAATGAAGGGGCTGGCGACCACGAATCTTCGAGCTCATCAGGCTTCTCAAATGGTCATCGTACTGCTGCTCCAGGTCCAGCCCATGGTGCAATCCTGCGCACCGGTGGTGACTGGCACGTGGCCGACGCAGACATCTCATCGGAGCAGCAAGGCTGCCAGCCTGCAACCTCGGACGAAGCAACGATTTCCTTCCCTGTGGAAGAACCCGCAGCCGCGAACAATGCCGAGGATGTGGAAGAAGTCGATGATGACGATGAATCGATCAGCGACCAATACCATGACCCACGCGAGTACCTCGACGATGGCTGGGACCCTGCTTTTCCGGTGGGACAGGGACAGCCAGCAGAGCAGCCGCCTCCGCACGGTCGAAGAACCTCGTTCTTCCATCGTGCTTCTTTGAGTTGGGCGTCAAGGCCTCCGGCCCCAGTCCGCGCCGACTCACAGGTCTCTGTCAGCTCAAATGCTTCGAGCCAGTCGCTCAAGAGGAGCAAGATTTTCAACTTTCTTCGCCGAAACAACTCCGAAGAGACCAACGCATCCGTCATCGAGCTCGGCATGCCGGACGAGGTGTCTCCTCTTCGAAGTGGATCATTCGCGACTGCCCATGCGAGCACTGCCCATGAAGCGGGCGTGACCCAAGGACCACCCACCAATCTTCTAGCCGACGGTGACAACGTACTCTGGCGATGCAAGGCCAGAGAGGTGGATCTGATGCGGTGATATCCTATTGCTATGCTCTTCTCGGGGGTAAAATGTACCAGTATACCTAATCTTACATGTCATTGTGATCTCTCTCTCTTTTTCGTTCTACCTTCCTCCCATATTACCACCATTCATCATCTTGTAGCTATAAGTCAAATGCTCATCCTTTCTCTTCTTGCGAAATTTGTCCGACACATCATTACCGTATGCGATTGCAGAGGCAATGTAGAGCCATTGTCCAACTGCCGAATACGATCTTCCTTGAGCTGCTGCTGCTGCTGCTGCTGCTGCTGCCTCGGGACCAAAAATAAGTGGATTGAATTTCTTTGCAGCAGCCTGCAGCTCACCGTACCGGCAGCCTGCGAGGACGAAACGAAAAAAGAAGAGGTCCAAAGAAGAAAGTCTAAAAGTGAAACCAACCTTTGAAAATTAGGATTGTTAAGGAGAGAAGAAGGGGCTCCATGGAGGGTCTTTCATATTGTCTTTAGCGCTCGAGGCGCTTCCTAATTTGATCATAGTGTCGTTGTCTACTCACTCGTTTTGGGTCCCAGCTGACTAGCGACTGGCGGGCTCTGCGACCTGCAACTCACTTTTTCTCTTCTATCTCCTTCGTTCCGTCTTCCTTCCTGATAAGGCGTGATTTGACGCTGTACGACGACGATCCGTCCCGCCTGCTGTCTCTTACCAAGATAGCGAACCATTGACGAGGCGCTGCTGACCGAGGAGGCGGGGAAACCGAGACGACCGGAGAAAGCGCCAACTTTCTTTTTTTTTTTCTCCCCTCGGCAGTTTTTCCATGTCCGTTGCCTCTCAGCTTCCACGGTCGAGTGTCGAAAACGGCGAAAGCGTAGACGGAAGCGGACGAGGAGCATCGCGACGATCCATCTTTGGATCCCCATTTACTTCTTCGCCTTCGTCAAGGCACAGCGCCTGGAAACAGTACAGGCGTGGCTCCACGTCTCGCTCGTCTCCGGAGGTGGCCTTTTCGCCCGACATGAGCAGAGGGATCGCTTCAACCGACTTGACGTCGTACGCAGCCGACAGCTTCAATGGCAAGCTCAAGAAGAAGAGGGCGAGCATCTTCAGGAGAAAGGTGCGTTTGGGTCTTCCGACTTTGCTTTGTGTTCTGGAGAGACAGGGACCTGACGTTGAACTGCATGTCGCAGCTCCCACCCCCCTCGCCATCGGTGGCGCCTCCAGTGCCCGAGCTGCCGCCGACTATTTCGCTGTCCATAGATCGTCCAGACGAAGCGGTTGTCCTGAAGGATGGCGAAGCTGAAAAGGCCGACGAGGAGCAGCAGCAAGTGAAGGCTACCAAAATCGGCCGGCTGGGACGAATCAAGAAGGACAAGGGAGCGGGAGCCGAGGGGACGACGACGCCAGCTGCTGCTCTGGCCTTGGCCGCCTCCAAGCCGGACCCGTCGCAGACGACGCCCGAGGTCAAGTTCAACCACCTGAAGAATGCCCGGTTGACCCTTGATCAGTGCCAGCAGCTCTGCGACCTGTGTGCAAAGGAGATTCGCATGCGTGGCCTGGCGACCGTCGGCATATTTCGTCCCTTTCGGACCACCGAGTCGCTGGCCAAGTTTGAGCGTTTGGTCGAGCTCTTCTTGCTCGCCGTCGAGCCAAAGACATACGAAGGTGTCTTCCCGCTCTCGGATCCCGGTCAGTCCTCTACGCTCCTGCCCGAGGGAGTTACAAAGACGGATGCGCATACAGAGCTGTCGAGGAAACTTTCCTATGCCAACATACATGATGTGAGTGTTGGAACAGGAGGCTTGTCTGAGCGCCATACTGACAGTCGTTGTCCACAGGTCGTCGCTCTGCTGAAGTGGGGACTTCGAAGACTGAGGCTCAAGGCAACGGATTTCTATGCAGTCTCGTCGGAGCCCCTGAAGTGGTACGACAGCTTTGTTCAAAAGGAGAAGGCAGCTTCATACCCTAAGCAGGCATACTCGGACCTGCTACTACCCAAGCTGCCTTCCGCGACTGGGAAGTTCCTCTCCAGCCTCCTTGACCTCATGACGACCGTCTCTGCCCATCACGTCGCCAACGCCATGCCCGCCTCGAGGCTCTGCAAAACGCTCGGGTACTGGATCGTTGGTCGCATCGGTGTCGATCATCCCCCTCACAGCTTTGACGAAGTCGTCAAGGCCTGGAGCAGGGCTAGCGCCGTGACCGAGCACCTCTTCCTGGCTTTCACAAGAGACCAGACCAGCAGGATCCACCTGATGCCGACTCGCCTAACGGAGTTGATTGCCGACTACCCTCACATTGCGCCTGGTGCCGAGGCACCCTCGCTGGGTCCGGCCTTTACTTTCGCCGAAAAGCACGGACTGCGCGTCGATGTGCGCTCCGAGAACATCGTCGTCTCCCCCAAACGCATCCGAGGGCCGAGCGAGAGTCTTCGAGCGGCCCTCAAGGCGCAGAACCCCGAGCTGGAGTCGAGCGAAGAGCTCGATGATTGGAGCGCCATTCTCGGGGTTGCCTTTGGCGCCACGGCCACCGCCACGAACGCAGAGGCCGACGGCGAAGTCATTCCGACGCTCGATCCCCCACACAAGGAGACGGAAGACGAAATCGATGCGAGAAAGGAGTTTGCCCTGCTGCGTGAAGAGGATGCGAGCGTCCTCCGGCTCGTCGCTGCCGAGCTGGCCCATCGCAAGGCCTTCCTAGACGGCACCCTGGGCCAGGTCTCGGATAGTGGCCTTTCCACGGCCAACAGTGCAACATCCTTCCTTTCGGACCTTACCGGTGCCGATGCATTCAGCTCCAGCACCCATGCTTCTAGCGATAATCTGACCGACTTTGGCTTCGGAGCCGCTCGGGGCGGCTACTCGTCGTCCTCTTCAACGCACTCTGCAAGCCTCTCATCGCTTCCTGCTGGGCAAACTACGAGCCGACATGGAAGCTTGAGGGCCAAGCAGCCCAACCTTGGACCGCTCCTGGAGGATGCCGAGAAGTCGCTTGACTGGTCTAACTTTGCTAAGTCCGGCTTTGGCGAGTCGGAATCTACAGAAGAGAAGGGACCGGACCTTCGCCTCGACGAGTCGCTGCGACCGAAGACGGATCTGGAAAGAGCGTTTGACGAGGAGGACCAGATGGCTACCAAGAGAAAGTCACTCAGTCGAACGCCTTCGTTCGGCACGCTGCGTCGCAACAGGAGCGGCGCAGGCCGTGGCTCTCGTGCCAATGGTGCTGGCAATTATTTCCATAACATGCCTCCACCGCCACCTACGTTCTCTCTGACCAAGGTAGATCAATTCTCCATCGACGAGGTCTTCGCCAGCGTCTGGCAAGACCAGCTCTTGGACCCCTCCTTGGCCGCCTCCTTTCCCAACATCGTCCTTGCACAGCTCAACCAGACGACTGCCAGTCGGCTGCTCGCCCTCGGATCTGGCGCACACACGACGAGCTGGCTCTGCATCTGCGAGACCGTCATTCCGCCTCGCCCGCCTCTGCCTCCGTCTTCAGCCTCCACTGGTCCCATCTACGGCTCCTATTCCTTCGGTCGTCGGCGATCTTCGACCGACATCGGAGGCAACGATGATGGTGCCTCGGAGCGCCGGTCCATCTTTGCCCCATCACTTCGCTCAATTGGCACCTCAATCTTTCGGAAGCGGCCCTCTCTTCGCAGGGTTTCGAGCCTCTGGTCCACCCGTGGTGGCTCAAGCGCTGCCCTGAATGGAGGGGAAACCATCGACAAAGATTCGTTTGGCGACTTCAACGACACTGGCACGAAGAGGAAGGGCAACGCCGCGGCACTATCGCGTGGAGCTGCTGCGGGCGGCCAGGCTCGCGATGGTGGCGCCGGCATCACGTCTTCCAAGACAGCCCATGTCACGAGGCGGCTCACGCCTGCTGTTGCTTCGCCCACCATTGAGAAGCATCAGCAGCCCGTCGAGATGCTTCTCCTGCCCGCTCACACAGAGGAAGGAGGCTCGTCAAAGGATCCGAGGAAGCGTACAGGCTCGTCTGGCCCCTCGCCGTCCAACCAATTGGAGAGCAGGACGGATCAGAGCAGCACACACTCCAAGTTTGTCGATGCGGAAGACGGAATGGAGTAGCTCCTGTCTTTCCCTCAAAAATCCCCCACCCCTCTCCCCCTGACCTAGACACAAACGCACACACACTCTCTCTCACTCTCTTGCTCGATCGCTTGCGCGCTCTCTCTCGCTATCTCTTGATATCCTGGTCTCTTGAATATCCCTGCTTCCTTAGCTCACCACACTCGTTTGACACCCTGGTCTCCTTTGCTCGAAGGGCGGAATCTATCAGTTGTTTGTTTTGCCCTTGTTAATCGAAAAGAAGGAATCAAGAAAAAGGAGGAGAGAGTCTTGTGTTGCAGTATTGTACATGAAAAAGGCCCACAGCCTCTAGAGCACTGCGTAGAGGAAAAGAAAGTCAGTAAGAATGAGCGGTAGAGAAGCTGAGGCTGGAAAGGTCAACTCACTCCTTCGCTTTTTCGGCCTCACGCCTCCAACTTTGATTTTGGTGGCGTCCGACATCCTGCTGACGAGCAGCCTGGTGTTCCTCCCTTCATTTGCCATGAGCGCTCGAAAGACGGCTTCTCGACCCTGTCCGAAGCCCTTCCAGACGAGCTCGAGCTTATTCATCCGCCAGCCGATGCGCTTGTTGGCAATGGTGTTGAACATCGACAGGCTCGCGCGGTATGCAGCTTCGTAACCGGACCGCGCTGCCTTTTTAAAGGTGCCCAGGGAGCCACCCGAGACGGCGCTCAGGACGTTGCCGTAGGGGTCGGTGAGCGTCAGGATCGTGTTTGTGCGTGTGGACTGGATGTGAAGGCGGAAGGGCGGCGTGTCGTGCCCACGAAGGGACGAGTATGCGGTGCGCCGAGTCAAGGCAGAGATGGGCGGCGGTGGTGGCGGAGCGGAAGAAGAGGACCCAGGAAGTGATCGAGAGGGAGCAGGAGCTGGCGGAGCAGGTGAGGGAGCTTGGTCGGACGGCGCAGGCGAAGCTTGAGTCGGTGCTGTTGCCTCTGAGAGGGTCGCGCGGCTGGTGGAGACCATGCGCAGCGGCACAGGGGACGATGAACCGCTCACTGTCACCCTTCTCAGCCCCGCTGTGATGCTCCTGATCATTGTTCGTGCTTGCCGATGGGGAAGAACGACGAATGTAAGTGTCTCATAGGTCGAAGCAGCAGCAAAAGATGAAAAAAACACGTGGAAGAAAAATGACAGAGTACTCAGTCATATGCTTCTGCGACGTTGACGACTGGAAAGGTCCTCCTCGACCGCTTTGTCTGGGACAACCCGATTAGACAACAAATGTGTACCTCTGAGGCTGGAGTCAGCGATATGTGACATCTTTGCACGGATGCTGAGATCGCTATAAGAAGTCTTGTCCCTGTTCATTGCGCCTCTCCTTGCCCATTGACAACTGAGTCGAGATGTCGACGACAACAGTGCTCCCACCCGACCGTTTCTTTGACCTTGTCATCATTGGAGCTGGCCCAGCTTCTCTCTCGCTCGTAGCTCGCATTCTGGAAGAAAGACCAGCAGCGCTTTACACCGAAGATGAGCACCGACACCTGCACTGGCTTCGCACATCGCACCGTCGGTCGCTCATTCAAACAAGGAGGCCAGGCAATGGTTCGGATCGCTACATAAGCGGCGTCAAGCAAGTCAAGGCAAGCGAGCAAGACGTGTGTGCATGTGAAGGAATGATGAAGATCCTTGTCGTCGACCGGATCGGATCCTGGATGGGACTCTGGAACAGGCTTTTTAAAGCTTTTGATATTCCTTGTAAGTCTTTCTTACGGTTCCATATTTGTGGCTCGAGCGATTGACGGTTGAAAATGCTTTGACGGTGGACAGACCTTCGTTCGCCACTTTTCTTCCATCCGGCTCCGTATGACCTCGATGCACTACTGGCATATGCTATAAGGTCTCCCAATCGCTTATCTTCTCGCACGCGAAAGTGTCAGCCTGACCTCATCGAGATTCCTGGCTGCGTCGGCAAGGAGCTTTCGAAGCACAAGAAGAAAAAGAACAGATCCAGCGCGGCTGGAGCTGCCGCCGCCGCCATGGGTCCCGCGGTGAACGAGAGAGATCGCAAGGACTATTACGCGGCAAGTACGGAGATGTTCAGAGCTTTCGTCAGGAACGACATTGTCGAGCGATATGGCCTTCAGGGATCCTTCGAGTCCTTAGAAACAGCTTTCGAGCCCAGCGTCGACCGAAAGGAGGGGGAAGGCGACGGGAATGGAGAGGCAGTCAAGATGATCAAAACTCAAGTCAGGAGGCTTGAGTGGGGCGAGCTCCAAGTCGAGGGATGGGAAAAGCTCTCTGGCTTCTGCTTGCAGCTTGGAGACAGCGATGCCGAAAATGACAACAAAGTGCACGTCGGTGCAAAGGCTGTTGTGTGCGCTTCGGGAGCCGGTGCCAGTCCCAGCATTCCGCCCTATTTGGCCAATGCGCCGTCCAATGGGGACAAGCAAGTCCCGAAACCATTTGGCAAGGGTTGGGCGCACACCTCAGCCCTTGGCCTTCCCCATTTTAGCTTTCCTCCATCCGCTCTGCTTGACCAGGAACGAAGAGGTCAGCGTACTTCGCTCGTCATCATTGGCGGTGGCTTGACCTCTGCGCAAATGTGCGATTTGGCGCTGAAGCGCGGTATCAGCAAAGTGACGCTTGTTCTCCGAGGCCACCTGAAGGTCAAGCCGTTCGATGTCGGGCTTGAATGGATGGGAAGGTATTCAAATTTGCAGAAGGTAAGCTTCAGTCGCTGCCGTTCCACATTCATCGACGGTTGTTCATCACAACAAAAACAGATGCGCTTCTGGCAGGAAGACGACCCGCAAGTTCGTTTGCGAATGATCAGAGAAGCAAGAAATGGCGGCAGCATCACCCCGCACTACGTCAAGATCTTGAAGGCCTACGAAGAGCAGGGCAGACTCGAGATTCTCACTTGTACGAAGATCGATCGGGCCGACTTCTTCCCCTCTGAGGGTCCAAAAGAAGACGAAGAAGGCTCCTGGCTTCTCACTCTGACGACCAATCATTCGAAGAAGCAACAGCAGAGACAGAAGCAAGAGCAACAACAAGCAAAGGAAAGCCAATTGACTACTTCGCCGATTGTGCCTGAGGAGAACAGCGGCTCTCTACCTTCGTCTCTCTCCTCGGCGACGGCAAGAGGCGATGCCGATGACAAGTCATTGTCGTCTTCCCACGGTGTCAATAAGTCGAAAAAGAAGAGCACGCGGCATGGCTCAACACCGGTTCCACACGTCACCCCACCACCTCCGGTATTCTCTTCGGAGGAGCCTGTCGCGGACGAGGGAGATGCAATACATTCGTTGTCAACGACAATGACGTCGACAATAGAGACCTCTTACATTGTCGCTGCAACTGGCTCGGCCCCTTCCTTTGCCTCACTTCCTTTTCTGCAGCCCTTTCTTCAGCAGCAAGCATCTTACACAGAAATCGGAGGTCTGCCCCTGCTCGATGAAGGTCTCCAACTCGAGTCGTCTGAAAGTGACGGCGAGGCAGCATACCCGCTCTTCTTCGTCGGTGGCTACAGCGCACTTCAGGTCGGCCCTGGCGCATTCAACCTCGAAGGGATGCGAGCGGCGGCAGATCGGGTCGCCATCAGGCTCGCCGAGCTTGCCAGTGGCGATCCAAGTGCGACAGCGATGGCAACGACAGAGACCAAAGGTCTCCAGGACACAGTCAATTCATCAAAAGTTGACCATGCCATGATGTACCTTCCCACAAAGCAGGCCCGTTCAAGATCTCAGAAGAAGCCAGCGTCCTCGGACGATCGAGAGGAAAACAGCGGCGAGAACGACGGCGCTTCTCGTCACTGTCGGCGCCCAGACGGACTGGCTTCTAGGTCTGCTTTCAGCCACTTCTCCTTTGAGATGCTCGAGGTAGGCGTCGAAAGTTGAATCTCCGATTCCGAATTATTCAGCAGAACTCCTCATTATGGATGGAGCAAACGAGGAAAGATTATCGTACATGGCTGTGAAGGAAAGCGCAAAGGAAGCGGAGAGCTCGCCTTTTGTGAAGATACTATACATACTACATGAGAATGAAACGAAATCAGGGCCCTCCCGGATAATGTTCAGTAGAACCACCAAAGTCACCACAAGAAAGAGCTTTACAATCCGCCGCGCGCACAGTTTATTAGAAAGAGTTGGGGCCACCGTGTGCGTTGCTGTTGAGCATCATCACATTCGGCGTTGCTGCCGAGTTGCCGTGCCAACCATAGCTGTTGTTCTCCGAGCCATCGTGAGGTCCACCTGGAGGCCCTCCGTTCATCGGTCCAGCGTTGCTGGGCATCGTCAGGAAGCTCATATCGCCAAAGAAGCTGCTGCTGTCCATGAAAGGATTTTCGAGAGTGTTGATGTATGAAGGCGCGAGTTGCGAAGGATGCGTCTGCACAAGACGGTCGGGTGTGGTAGAGGACGTCGAGGACGAAGCAGCCACTCCAGCGCCTCCCCAGAGGTCTAGCATCGCGCTGGTGGCTTGCACGCCAGAAGGACCTGCGACGTAGGTCATTGCCTCTGGCGAGAAACGCGCGGGTCCTCCACCGCTTGGGGCGCCGTTGGGCCCAAAGACTTCGTACGGACCGCCAATGTAACCACGCTCGCTTCTAGGGACCGAAGCGCTGTCCAGAGGAATGGCGGTACCCATGGCAGCATCGGCACCGCCAGGGTATGCGGCTTGCACTGGTGCAAACGAGACGCTGGAATTCGGGCTAGCTTTGATGGCGGCGTCGTTCGCATCCGCATTGGCCAGGCCAAGCCCTCGTTCTGTTGAGCCAGCGGCATCGTTGCTGCTACCCTCCTTGGTTTGCTGCTGCTTTCTTCTGGTCTCCTCCTCTTTGCGCGCCTTCTCTCTTCTGATTCGCACCACAATGGCGGACAGGTAGGTGCCGTACGAGGAGGCTGCTCCGTTGCGCCAAGAGGTCACTTTGCCTGCCTTGGAGAGGTCCGACGCCAGCTTCTCGACAAGATCAAAGACGAGCTGGTGGTCGATGTAGGAAAAGTGCTCCGGATCGAGCTGGCAAAGCTTCAAAGCAAATACGGCTACGTAGGCCACTGTGACGACGGCTGTAGAAATTCTCGAGGTGTCAGTACCTCGAGCGTCCCTACAGATACAATTAGGACTCACCGGAATTGTGCACAAAGACAAGCGTCGAAGAGTCATGTTTGTCCGTGAAGAGTGTGAGGTACGTCATTGCCGAGTTGTACGACTCGGCATAGATTGGCTTGAGCGACTCAAAGTCGACTGTGCTCTTGAGCGGGTAGCTGTTGAGGATCAAGCGGGCGTAGGCACCATACAGCCGTCCGTTTCTCATCCTCAAGCTCTGTTCGCCTTCCCCCAGTGGCTTGACCCATGCTGCTCGCCAAGAATCCAAGTCGGCCGCACAAGACTTCCGGTAGAAGTCCAATTGGAATCGTGTCGAAGCAGACGTCTCCAGCGCGCCATCTTCGTTGGAGCGATCGGCGAGCACGCTGTGCTCGAAATACTCGCGGTTCTTTTGCATCATTCTCCGAAGCGAGATGATGGCCACAATGGCCTCGTCGCCCGGAATCGCGTACGGCGCTCGGTTCCAGCCTGCGCTCACACCCAAGATGACTGGGTCGTCACCTAGCGTGGTTCGCCGGCCCATGTGCGTAGCAAGACTGTTTTCAAACAGCCAAAGGTTACACCAAGTCCTTTCTCGGTTCCTCAGCTTGCGCTGCGACGCTTCTTCGGGACTCAGGGGGCCATTCTCCTCGTCGGCAGTCCCATTCTGACTCTGGCGAGTGGTCGACGAAGGAGTGTCAGCGGGAGCGCTCACCGGTGTCACTGCTTTGCTCGAGGACACAGCACTGCGCTCGCTGACCAGTCTCGCATTCATGTCGAGCTCGGCTGCAATTCTGATACCGTATCCAACAAGGCTCCAAGATCGGTCGCCGTCGATGGAGGCCGTGTTGAGATGGTAGGCCGCCAGGATGATAAAGGCTTGCGAGATCTCAACGGATCGGTAGCCCTCGAGGAGCACAGCGGGCAGTAGCTTATCTCGGACATGACCGTCGAGCTTCTGAGCCAGCTCCTCGGCTTTGGGAATGTGCGAAGCGAAGCGAGCGGCCAGAGCACAGGCGGACGTGAGCAGGAGCGCACTGTGAGATCGGACGTATTGGAATGTGTGGAGGTGGGGATCGAGAAGGGTAATGGGAGCGTTCAACCTGCGCATGTAGAGACCAAACAGGTCCTTTGCCGTATCCAGCGCCATGGCACCGCAAGAGATGGGGTCGAGCGTGGGTCCTTTGTCGAGTCGGGATGAATACATGCCAAAGGCCCAGTAACCTCTCCGTGAAACACCCTTGGGCAACATCGATGCCCGTCTGGCGACCACAGAGGCACCTTTCAAGGCTGTAGATGCAGTCTCGCCCTCGCGACGATCCTTATCTCCAATAGTGTGACCCGGGTCATCTCGACTCGGGGCGTCGAGCGCCGAGTCAGACGCCTGGGCCAGGAGCTTGAGCGGGTTACTCATCGGCGGCAGACCCAACTCCTGCGTTTCCTCGCCTTCGCCTTCGCTATCGCCTCCCGCACCAGTTGCCTTTTCCTTTGCCGATCCCTGGGCTTCGGTATGGCTTCCTGCGTCATCGGACGTACTTCGAGCTTCGACGTCTTCTTGACCAGGTGGTCTCAACGTCGATTTGCCGCCAGTGACGGATCCCCGTCTCCCTCGAGCAGCAGAAGAGCCGTCGTTCATGTCAACATCAGCGTCCTGACCAGGATCGACTGTGGTGAGGAGCGTATCTGAAGATGTCCTCGAGAGATGAGACTCGGATCGCTTTGGTCGGATGCTGCTCCCACTCGCTGAACGGTTGCGCCGATCTGAGCCTAGACCGTGCGAAGGCCCTGCTTCGTCCGCAACATCGTCCTCGACCGTGTCCTCTTCCATCTCTCGCAGGGCTCCCTTGTGCCTGCGGTACTCCTCTAGGGCGCTGAGAGCGGTCATGATGGTGTCGACAGACTGCTCGAGCTTGTGCATTTTGAGATTTTGCGGCTTTCTCCCTCGCTTGTGCTGCTCAAACACACACGGGCGCTTGATTCTCCGGCATCGTTCGCATCCACCGTCTGCCTGCCCACTGCATTTGACCTTGCTAGCCCTGCATTCCAGGCAGCTGATCTTCCGGTCCGTCGACGCCTTCTCCGCCGCGGCTTGCTGGGCCTGGAGGGAGGCTGAACCCTGATCGGCCTCAGCGCTGGAGGGTATGGCAGAGGCGGATCCAGGCGCTGAATCAGACGACGATGGTGGCCCGTTGGAGCCGGGAGAGGTCAAGTCAGGCGGTGGATGCGGGAGGCCGGAGAGATTGCCTGGATGTCTCGCCCTCTGCGCCCCGTAGTAGCTTCCTTCTTCCATCAGCGGTGGTGCTTCCATAGAGGGCGAAGAGAACAAGTTGTTGTTGTTGTTGGAGGAGGAGGAGGATGCGGCAGGGGGAGGCGGAGGCCGACGGGAGCTGTTGCCTTGGTGAGGTGGGGGAGGCTGCATGTATGGGTGTGGTCGCGCCCCGTAGTCGTTTGGCGATCGGTTGCGGTCTGGTCCCCCTCCGTAGTAATGCCGATCACCGGATGCATTCTGAAAAGAAGAGGAAGGAGGAGAAGGCCGCGGCCCGTGGGTGTGCATGGCAAGGTATTGCTGGTCGGTGATCCCATAGACGCTGCGCCCCGAGGACGACCCTTGACCTTGAATATTCTGGCCTTGACGGAGGGAGGAACCACCATCGTGGTGTTGTAGTTGGCGCTCGTGCTCATCCGGGTATCGAATGCCTCCGCCGCCACCACCACCACCGCCTCCACCGCTAAAGGGAGCCCCAGCGGTGCGCCGAAACTGCGCTTCGTTGAACTCTTGCATCGCGGACGCGCTTGCTCCCTGGTCCCAGCTTCGGTGCGGATGTCGAAAGAGGAGGCCCTGAGAAGCAAGCGCTGGCACAGAAGTGGAAGCAGCAGCAGATGATCGCTGAGCTCGTCTCCCAGGTGCGTTGGCCGTCGACGCGGCCTTTGGATGGTGAGAAGACGAGGACGAGGAGGGAGAGGAAGGTCTAGGCGACCGGCGGCCCACCATACGGATTTAATGATTTACTTTCCTTCGTATTTCGGGATGGACGTCTGTTCACTTGCCTTGCCTCTGTCCTACCTCGCCTGTGTCGCAAAGACAACGGTAGACGCAACGTCGGGAAGCCCTTTGAAGAGATGATAGATAGAGCTTGTGTGGTGGGATACACTGGGCCAGCCCGAAAGAGAAACACGGCTTGGGCAAGGTTCCAAAGCAAGCAAGCGGAGAGGCCGGCTAGGCTAGGCGCCAGGCGAGCCAACTGCAGTCAATAATGGCTCACTGAGCCTAAACTTTGGAAAAGTGCCGTTCGTCGGGTAGCGGAGTCTATTATTTCATGCGTGGCTTGGCCTGGAACCAGGCTGAGCTAGCAAGCCTTGACCGTCAGCAGACCCCCGGCCTAGCTCTTGCCTTACCACGTACTTTCAAGGAACAATTTACATTTGTGTAGCTAGACCGTGGTGATCAATTCCTTATTTTTAAAATTGCTCTTTTTCCGGTGTTCCAATCGCTTGGTCGTGATAGGAAGAAAGCCATGAGTGAAAGCCGATTATTGGGTGAGCGTTCATCGAGCACGCAAGCAGACTGAGACCCTTACATTGGCCACTGTTCACTTGCTGATGTCTGCCACAACATAATAATATAATGTGGCTCGAGAGGAGACAGGAGGGATCTGGCTTGCTGCGCTGAGCTTGGCAATCGGAGCTCGCCCAACTCTGCAGGTTTGCAAGGGCGCGAGCATTTCTGATGAAGGTTGAAGATAGTTTGAAGAGAAGCGTCGTCGCAAGATTAGAGCAAAGACATTCACAGGACAACCAACAGTATGCTAAGTACGTCTTCTCCCTCTCAAGCGTAAGGAGCAAGGCATCTATGACTTTGCCTCGATGCCGTCGTCTTACCACTGAACTAGCTATTGTCGTTGAAAGGATCAAGCTAGTACTGCTGCCCCGGCGATTGCAAGGCTTCTCGCATCCCCATGTGGCGTCCTTGCTGCAAGTGCCTCGCCTTCTAGACAAGCCAAGCAGTCTCGCTGCCCTTGCTATTCGCTGCCCTCCTCGTTGCCCGCTGCGTGCCACTTATTAACGTCCAGTGACAGAAAATGTGGTGGGCAACCTTCCAGCCCTCGCACGTGGTTATATTTTTTTAATTTTTTTCCTGTGTGGCTCTCTCCGAGCCCGTACGTTCTTTCTCGTTTGTGGTCCCACCGAGTCGGGTCACAAGACAGCTTCCCCAAAGAAGGCACCGGAAAAGATGCCAGCTACGGCCGTGGAGACGGCGGGTGCCAACGGTGTGGCCGACAAGCTGGCCTCTGCGACGCTTGTCGAGAGCAACGGCAAGGATGAGGCGCAGAACGGCGGCGGCGGCGATGAGAGTGGAGCCGAGGACGAGGAAGAGGTCAATGGCAACGGCGCTGCTGCCGGTGCTGGCGCGAAAAAGAAGAAGAAGAAGAGCGGGGCCGCAAAGAAGAAGGCAAAGGCCGCAAAGGAAAAGGCTGGTGTGGCACAGGTACAGAGCGAGCCACCCAGGGTGGGTCTCACAAAGATCTTCCTCGATGGGTGCTATCCCATGGGCGAGTTCCAGGACTATGATGAGACCAAATTTACCGATGAGTGAGTGAGGATTTCGTCTGAGTCGCGAGCACCTCCAGCTAAACCCAATGAACCCCGCAGCACTCGTTCTCGTCGCACGCCAGAGGAGCTGCGTGAAAGGGAACGGTTGTTGACAGAGGGCGAAGGCAACAACCTCAACCTGATTCGCAGGGCGGCTGAAGCCCACCGACAGGTGCGAGCGTACGCCCAAAAGGCCATCAAGCCCGGTATGTCAATGACCGACATCGTCCACGTCGTCGAAGACGGGACCAGGGCCGTGATCGAGGAGGACGGCTTCGAGGCCGGCATCGGTTTCCCTACTGGCGTGAGCCTCAACGAGTGCGCGGCCCACTACACGCCCAATGCGGGCGACAAGCGGATTCTCCAGCAGGGCGATGTGCTCAAGGTTGACTTTGGCGTCCATGTCCAGGGGCGCATCGTCGACTCGGCCTTCACGCTCACCTTTGAGGACCAGAGCCCCTGGCAGCCGTTGCTCGACGCCGTCAAGGCGGCCACAAACGAAGGTGTCAAGCAGTCGGGCATCGATGCACGGCTCGGTGAGATTGGTGCCTCGATCCAGGAGGTCATGGAGAGCCACGAGTTTGAAGCTCTCGGCAAGACACACCAGGGTATGTGCGGCGATTTGTTTCTTTTCTGCCAAGCCAGAAGAGCCCTGGGCTGACCGAGAATGCGTGTAGTGAAATGCGTCAAGAACCTCAACGGACACAGCATCGACCGGTATCGAATCCACGGCGGCAAGTCGGTGCCAATCGTGGCGGTGCCCAACCTGGACCAAAAGATGGAAGAGGGCGAATACTTTGCGATTGAGACTTTCGGATCCACCGGCAAGGGCTATGTCATGGACTCTGGCGACTGCTCGCACTACGCTCGAAAGGTGAACCCGCCCCATGTGAACCTGCGTGTGGCCTCTGCGAGGCCGCTGCTGCACACCATCAACAAAAACTTTGGCAGCCTGCCCTTCTGCCGGCGGTATCTCGACCGCCTGGGCGAGAAGAACTACCTGCTGGGTCTCAAGCACCTGGTCAGCCAGGGCATTGTCCAGGACTACCCTCCCCTGTCCGACATTCCCGGCTCCATGACGGCCCAATATGAGCACACAATCTACCTGGGACCATCGAAGAAAGAGGTCGTCTCGCGGGGTGAGGACTACTGATCTTTGCTATCGTGCTTCCGTCCTCCTCTCTCTCTCTCTCTTTCTGTGTGTCTTTTGTGTATGCGTCTATTTTCTTCATTTTTGATCCGGAATATCTACAAAAAAAAAGTCCTCGATCTAAAGTGGTTCGGCGCGCAATTAGAGCGCGGCGCATGTGGCAGCTGGCAGCAGCTCGGCGACTGGAGCACGCCAGACCTTCTTCGTCGTTGCCCTCTTCAACATCCGTTCACCTCCTTCTTGGCTGCTCAGAGCCCACCCACGTCCACACGGCTCCATCGTCCCCGTGATCTCCTCCTTCTAGCACATCCTTGCTTTTCTCTCTCTACCCCTCTCTCGGGTGCCTACGCTGCAGCCTCGCCCATTACTGGGCCACGACCAGCAGTAGGGCGTCCCCACCTCGTGCGACAGGGCCCATTCTCTGTGGATACTGCAAGCGGCAGAGGACACTCGTCTCTGTGGATGCTGTCGACGGCGTCCCTAGCTTGAGCAAAGCAAGGGCTCCTATTCGGGCAAATTTGGGGGTTTAGCGAGCCGGCGAGGAAAAGAGCACGCCCGAGATTAGGTGCTGCAGTCTCGAAAGACAATAGCTCCCCAGACCTTGCAGCAGGGACTTCATCATCAGCGACGGTGAAAAGGGACCCACCAAATTCTCTCACACGCACACAGAGTAGCAATGGCCACTCAGTCCTCGTGGCGCTCCCAGACGGCCGGCACGCAGCGTTGGGGCAACGGCAGTGCCTCTGCTCGCAGCAACAACAACAACAGCAGCAGCAGCCATGGCACCGGCAGCAACAGTAGCAGCACCGCCGGCCACGATGCAGCAGCGGCAGCAGCAGCGCCCTCTTCTGGGCGCCAGAGCGGTGGAGCAACGCACACGAATGCCTTTCCACCCCTGGGCGCCAAGGCGGCAGCCGTCGACTCGCACGAAGCGACGCAGCGAGACCGGCTGCTCTTCCTCCTCGTCGGCCTGGTGGGCAACACTGTCGTGGCCACGACCCGCACCGGCGTCCAGTATGTCGGCATCCTCAGCTCCACGTCCACTGCCGCGGCCGCTAGCGCTTCCTCGACGCCAGCCCAGGACTCGCTCGGCATCATTCTCTCCTCGGCCCAAGAGATCCTGCCTGGCCAAGCACCTGGCCAACAGCCCAAGTTGGGCCCACTCAAGAAGATGCTCGTCATCCAGGGCCAAGATCTCGACTCTTTTGCTGCCAAGGACGTCGCCTTGGATGTGCCCGCTTCGATGAGCAGGACGGATGCGAGTGCAGGTGCGTTGACTGTCTCCCCTCTTCGCTCGCAAGACAGGACACCCCCTCTTTCCTTGTCTCACACATCTTTTTCTTTCCTATCCAGGCTTCCGAACCGACACAGAGATCTCAAAGACGGCCGAGGGACTTTCGGCCGGCCGTACACTTCAGAAATGGACAGTAGACGACGGCGAAGCGCTCGAGAGCGATGGTCTTGGTCTTGGTGGTGGTGGTGCTGGGGCAGGAGTCGGCGCAGGAGCTGCTGGTGCTGGTGCTGGTGGTCTCGGCACTGGCAGTGGGGGCAGCTGGGACCAATTTGCGGCAAACGAAGCCCGGTTCGGTGTCAAGTCCAACTACGAGGAGACGCTCTACACGACGAAGCTCGACAAGAGCGCAAAAGACTTCAAGGAAAAGGAGCGGCGAGCCGATCAGCTGGCAAGGGAGATCATGAACTCGTCCACCAACAACATTCACGTCGCCGAAGAGCGCGACTTGGTGCCCCAGGGCGGCGACGTTACCGAGGAGGACAGGTACGGTGCCGTCGTTCGCGGCCCCAATGCCTATGTTCCCCCCGCAGCCAGGCGAGCGGCTGCTGCTGCTGCTGCTGCGTCTGGTACTACCTCTTTATCCGCAGCACCACCCAAAGCTGGCAACAACGGAGCCGAGCCGGGCGCCCTCAAGACCAAGGCCAAGGGAGAAGAAAGCGAGACGCTGCCTGCCGTCGTGACGACGGCTGCCACGCCCACACAGCCCACCTCGAAGAAGGAACAGCAGCAGCAGCAGGATGCTGTCGGCGAGTTTCGACAGTTTGTCACTCAGGAGCGAGAGAGACTGGAAAAGAAAAAGGCAGCACTGGCAAAGAAGGAAAAGGACTCGAGGCTGGCGGACCTCAAGAGCTGGGGCGACAAGTTCAAGCTCAAGAGTCCTGTGCCAAGTGACATTGCCCTCGTCACGTCTCGCGATGCCGATGCGCGACCCACGCCCAGCAGCACCGAGCAGGGCCTTGCGGCGGCCAGCGACAAGCCGAGGGATCCCAACCTGCAAAAGAGCCTCAGCCCCACGACGGCACACGTCCAGGACAAGACTCGGCCCTCGCTTGACTCGTCGTCGCCCGCTAGGCAAGCCGGGGGTACCTCGTCCGTCTCACAGTCTCCCACGGCCCCGGCAGCGGCCTCAGCCGTGCCTGGTGCTGCCAATCGCAATGTCTCGGCGTCAGCAGCCCCATCAAGCGCCTCACGCCTGGCCGAGTCAAAGGCGATGCTGTCCAAGATGACCATTCCCAAGATTCCTCCCTTCAACCCCGACAGGATCAAGGCCAGGCAGGCCGCTGCTGCCGCCGCCGTCGCTGCTGCTGCAGGTGGTGGTGGTGCTGCAGCTGCCGCCGCTGCTGCTTCCTCTCCCGCGGCCGCCGACGACGCCAAGAAGGGCGCGACTCCTGCCGCCACAGGCAAGAGCAGCTTCAAGCTCAGTGCAAAAGCCAGCTCTTTCAAGCCATTTAACCCTGCTGCAGCTGCCTTTACCCCTGGTGGCGGTGGCGGCGGTGCTGCGGCCGCCCCTGCGACGGGTGCTGCATCGCCCGTGCCCGTCTCGGCAGCACCGAAGGCGCCCTCGAGCGTCGTCTCGCCGGCCCTGGGGGCCGCCCCCTCTCCAGCATCTTCCAGTGCTGCGCCTGCTGCTGTCGCTGCTCCCGCCCCAACGGCGACGCCCTTGCCGCCACCTCATCCTTTCTTTGGTCATCGTGTCATCAAGAAGTCATCGTCGACTCCCTCGATCCACGTCCGCGAGGACTTTAATCCTTTCAAGGCTTACAAGGTCCCAGAAGCTCACACAATCGGGCCCATGTGGTCTTTTACCGGCAAGCCCTACCGCCAGCTCTTCAACGCCGTCTCGCCCCCGATGCAGGGTGGCATGGGACTGCCAGGACCCTCGTCGGTGTCCGATGACGCCAGCGCATCCGCCACTCCCCACCTGGCGCATCACCAGCCTGCTACTGGAGGGCCACACATGCAACAGCAGCAGCAACAACAACAACAGCAGCAGCCGCAACAACAGCAGCCGCAGCAGCCGCAGCAAACGCCTCAGCATCAGCATCAGCCACCCCTCCAGCACCAGCAACACCATCACCATCACCCCAGTCACCAAGGCCATCACCACGCACCCATGCACTCTCACCCGCCGCTCCCGCACCATGCCCCTCCCCACGGCGGGCAACCCCATCACATGCAGCAGCACCCGCAAGCCATGGGAATGCCTCCCGGTGCTGCCGGCGGGCCCCATCCGGGACCCGGTGGCCAGGGACAAAATCAGGGCGGTGGCGGTCCGGGTGCCGGCCAGCCGTTCAACGTCATGTATCAGCCCTATGGGCCCTATCGCTTCCATGGCCAACAGCACATGGTCCAGGGAATGGGCATGCCCGGGCCTCATCATCACCATCCACAGCACCACCAGCAGGGCGGTGGTGGCGGCCAGATGCCCTATGGAGGCATGCCCCCTCAGCTCATGGGTCAGATGCCGTTTTCGCCCCCCATGCCCCCACATGCTGGTCCTCGTGAGTATATCTCGAAGTCGGCAATTAAAAGCAACTAAACAATCCTGCCTTCCCATGCAGCCGGAGGAATGTACAGCCCGCAGATGGCAAACATGGTTGCAGGACCCGCAGGTGCGGGCGGCGGAGGACCCAGGCCTCCGCCGCCGCCCTCATCGGCCTCGTCGGGCGCAGGAGGCGCTGCACCGCCGCCTGGCCTGCAAGGTGGGGCAAACAATGGTGGTAACAAGATGCCTCCGCAGATGTACTACCATCAGCAGCCCAGTGAGTTGTCACCCCGCTTACACACACAGGCTCTCCCCTTTCTCTTTACTGATCTGCTTGTCTCTTTGTTAGTGCCGGGTATGCCGCCCTATGGCGGACCGATGCCACCACCACCGCACATGGGCGGCCCGCACCCACCCCCACCTCACGCCGGCGGTCCAATGCCGCCGCCCGGCGTCGGCGGGCCAGGCGGGCCTCCACCGCCACCTTCTGCGATGCTCAGCCCGGCCATGGCTGCCTCGACGGCGAGCACGGGCAGCAACACGGCGACCAGCAGCACCTCGACGAGCAACCATGCACCCAGCTCGGCGGCGACGACGCCCAGCGGGAAATCGTCGTCGTCGGCATCAACAACGACGGGAGGTGGCCAAGGTGCTGGTGGGGCTCCGTAGGGGTAGCCTCACGACCCACCAGGAGGCAGCTCTCAGTCGGCCCAGGCGAGCGTTGGCACATGTTCTCTAGATTGTTGTCAACTTCTCGACTTGAAAAAGACACAAAATCAATTGGCGCTATTCATCGCTCCTTTGTAGAGAGAAGTTGTGTGTTTGCGCGTGGACATCAGACTTGTGCAGGAGGATTACTTGTAATCGCCTTCCGAATGACATTTGCGGCAAAGCGAGAGGAGATGATGATGAGACTACAGGTACAAGCCAGCGGGCTCCGAGCCTTGCTTCCGGTCAATGACGCGCTCCCTAGCCGTGGTGAAGTCCTTCTTCGTGACCCGCATCCTTCTCTCTCTCAAAGCCAAGAGACCCGCCTCGGTCACGAGCGACTTGATGTCGGCTCCACTGAGCTCGTCCTTCATTGCAACAAATTCTTCCAGCTTGACGTCTTCGTCGAGATTCATCCGGCTCGTGTGCAGGCGGAAAATGTGCCTGACCAATTCACGTCAGCTCCCTGCTGCACTGCCAGAAAGAAGAGGGGAATCCGACAAAAGCGCAAAACTCACATCTTGGTCTTTTCGTCTGGCATGGGGAATTCAATCTTTCGGTCGATTCGGCCAGGTCGGATGAGTGCGGGATCCAGAGACTCGATTTTGTTCTGTTGGGGTTCTCAAAGTCAGAATCACACAAGCCTGAGGGAGATGCAACGACAGACTCACCGTAGCCATGATGACCTTTACGTCGTGCCGCGTGTCGAAACCGTCGAGCTGATTGAGGAGCTCAAGAAGCGTCCTCTGAATCTCTCGCTCTCCTCCGCTCGACGAGTCGTACCTGTTGTGGCAAGGTCAAGGAGTCAAAATGTGAGAAGGTCACAAGAAACAAATGAGGCTACCCACCTCTTGGTTCCAATCGCATCGATTTCGTCGATGAAGACGATGCTGGGCGCATGCTCTTCAGCGACCCTGAAGAGCTCTCGAACAAGCTTAGGTCCATCTCCGAGATACTTTTGAATGAGCTCGGATCCAACGACACGGAGGAAGGTGGCCGACGTCTGGTTGGCCACGGCCTTTGCCAGCAATGTCTTGCCCGTACCAGGCACACCATACAAAATGACACCCTTCGGAGGCTTGATGCCCATCTCCTCGTACAGCTCTGGATGCGTGAGCGGAAGCTCGACCGATTCCTGAGAGACGATAGATCAGTAGGCTGTCATGAGGGGAGGTAATTGGGGAAGCACCTACCTTGATCTCTTGAATCTGCTGCTCGAGACCTCCCACATCCTCATAGCTCTCGGCAGGCGCCTTGTCGAGCTTCATGACGCTAACCATGGGGTCGGTATCATCGCTGAGAACACCAACAATGGCCATGGCCTTGTGATGGAGCAGGACGCTGCAGCCAGGTTCGAGCATGTCCTTGTCGACGAAGCTCATGATGCTGACGTAGTACTCTGGTCCCGTTGCGCTGCTAACAATGGCGTGATCATCGTCAATGATCTCTTCGAGCGTGCCGACACCCATTGGGCTTCCTCGGAGGTCGTCGACCCGATTCCGCTCTTCGGCCGCCTTGTCCTCCTGCGGCTTGAGGCGCTCCTGGTTATGGACAAACTCTTCCTCGAGAAGGAGGTGGTCTTTGATGCGCTCCATCTTGAGCAGCTTGAGCCTGCATCGCGTGTTTGGATGCACAGCCGGCAGCTTCGTCGAGGCGTCTGGTCCCTTTCTCTTCTTCTTGCCTACTCGTGTCGGCAGCGGCGGCTCCCACTTCTTCTGCTGGTCCTTCTGCAAGCGGTGATGAAGAAACGTCAACAAACGGCTCTCCAGGCCCGATGCATGCAATTCCAGGGTACAAGCTCACCTTGTTCTTATCATTGTTTCCTCCCGGTCGCCCGCTCTGCCCGCTCGGTGCCTGACCCATCGTTGCTAAGCGTCGAGTGGTGGCGCCTGTACTGGTGTTGGTTCACGTCAATGGGCGACGACGAAACTGGAGGCCGCGAATGCAAGTAGTGATCGGGCCGCGTATTAGCCACGTGTCGCGTCAATCTTCCATTTGGCCACCCACCACCCAAAGACAATTCTACACTGCTGATCCATCGATTTCGAAAGAGCCAAGTACGGACAGAAAGCAACACATTCTACGAAAGTGATCATACAGATGTCGGAAATGCCCTCGTTTCGCCAATCTTCATGACGATGAACTCGTCCTCTGCCAGCCCGATACGCTCAGCTTCCTCCTTGAGATGCTTAGGCGGCTCGTTGACATCTTCTGGTGTGAGGCGGAAGGAGCCCCAGTGTATGCCAATGCTCTTCTTGCTCTTGACTTCCTTGTGCGCCCTGACGCTGTCCCGGGGCGCCATATGGATGGTCGACATGAACGATCGGGGCAGGTAAGCGCCAATAGGAATGGCGGAGAGATCAAAGGGCCCAAGGAGGTCGCCAATCTCTTTGAAGGCCTGTTGTTTCCGCTATCGTCTTCAGCGCTGGCCCATTGCAGTCATTTCACGGAGCACACTCACCGGACAACAAGGCTGGGCGTCCTCTTGCTCCCTAGTCATACCTCTCGAGACATTGCGGTAGCCCGTCTTTGAACCTCTCATGTTAGCATCGAGCAGGAATTTGCGCCTGTCGGGAAGCCAGACTCACATCGCCGGCAAAATAGAACTTCTTGCCCTCACACTCAAAGGTAAAGCCGGCCCAGAGTGTCTTGTTGCGGTCCAGGAGGCCCCGCCCCGAAAAGTGCTGAGCGGGTACGCAGGTGACCTGGACCGAGGCAGAGCCTGGAAAGTTGAGCTGACGGGAATCCCACCAATCCAGCTCGGTGATGTTCTCCTTCTTGACGCCCATCGAGTGGAAGAAGGCGGCCACGCCGAGCGTACACAGAATGTGCGGGGGACTTTTGGAAGGGGATGGTGGGTTGAGAATCGCCTTGACGGTGTCGTAATCCAAATGATCATAGTGATTGCTGCGCAAAAGTCAGTTGGTGTCAGCACAGAGCGAGCGCAGAAGAACGGTGGGAGAGCGTCACCCACTGGCTGAAAACGAGTAGGTCGGGCCAAACGCCTGCCTCCTCACTCTCGGCCATCGCAGTGATGCTGGTGGGTGTATCCGTGTAGCGGGCCGGCCCGATATATTGCGAGGGGGAGCAGCGCTTTGACAGAACCGGATCGGTGAGGATGCTCAGATAAGCCGGTGAGTCGGATCCCGAGGACTTGAGTGGCATTCGAACGTGGCAGCCAGCGTGGCTATGGAGGGAGCCCAGGTGAGTTACATTCTACGAGCATCAGACGCAATGGCAGAGTCGTAACTTACCCAATCCAGGTGAAGAGAATGTCGTCTGCGCCCACCGCAGAGCTCTGCGGCTTCCAATCGCACTGCGAAACATCGGGCAAATTGTTGGGGTCCAGCGGCGCATCCTCCCAGTCAAACATGCGGGCCTTGAGGAACCCTAGCAGGCCGTTGAGAGTGGCCGACGGCCACGGCAATCGGAAGCCCGCGCCGTTGGGATTGTGGTGCGGCGGCGGCTTTGTCTGATAAAAGGCGGGGGCCTGCACGGGCCGTGCGGGCTGCGTGACTTGGACGCTCCTCGTCGACATGGTTCTCCGCGCGAACTTGGCTAGGTGGGTCAGTGGGCTGTGGTGCCTCGCCAGCAAATTGTTCATCACCCTTTCCCTTGGTATAAGGGCGGCGAGGAGGCGGAGAACAGATTACCAATCGCGGGAGGAGGATTCCGGGAAGGAGAGATTGGACCAGCTGCTGCGCGCGAGCTTGTTTCTTTTAGACTAGATTTACTGTTTTGGGCAGCTGTGCAGTGACAAGAGCGCCGATCGAGCCGCACGGACTCCTGCTGGACGACTGGACCCCGGACAAATTAGCCATGAACGTTTGCTGAAACAAAGGTGGTCATTTCTCCGAGTGTCCCTGACAGGGAGGAGAGAGACAGGCGTTGTCACTAGGATCTTCGGTTCCTAGACGAACGCATGGGATGCCGTTCTCTTGCTGTGGTGCCTCTCGTGCCTAGCAAGTAGGAACGGTCACGCGGTCCACACGCGTGCGGTGACCTCACCCTTGGCGTTGTTTTACCACCGACCTCGCGTTGGTGGCAAGAATCATCTACAACTGGGCGCTATCCCTGCCAAGTTGTGGTGACCATGCATAGCATATATAAATATGGTGTTCAATAGGCCATCTGGTCCCCCATAAGCCTCAATACGCTCAATTTTGCCTTTTCACAAACACTCTCGCCCAACATGAAGGTCGCTTTCACTGCCATTGCCGCACTCGCCGCCCTCGCCGCGACTACCACGGCGCTGCCAGTGGAAGCGCAAGGGCAAGCGATCCAAGTACGTGCAGATGGGTGCAAGATCACAGGTCCCAAGTGCTTCGCGGACGGGCACTGCGAAGAGGGCAAAGTCGAATGTGGCCCAGGCGTGCAAAACGAGGTCATTGCGCCCGAGGACCACCGTCAGCCTCCCGCTCCGCCCGTCGACCCTGCCTCTGCTGCCGAACCTGCTCAGCCAGCTGCAGAAGGTGCTGACCCGGGCACCAGCACGTCTGTTCCCGCGTCTTCGTCCACCACTCGCGGCCCTCTCGTCGGCCCGACTGGCGACAACGTCACAATTCAAGCGCCGTAAGCCTGCATCCTTCATCAATCCCTGTTGCATCCATTTGTCCTCATTACGCTGCGATGACGAGCAGTACGGCCAGCCCCTTCCCCTCTAATCTATCTGTAATTGCTGCTGAATGGCAGAGTCGCATCTCGCACTTTTCACGGCTCCTGCTCCCGACTTCTGGAACAAAGAATTAATCGAGGAAAGCCGGAAGCCGAAAAAGAAGGAAAAAAAAAAGTGAGACATGCTTGGATTGCCCGGGTGCAGCCCATGCATCGTCCATATCTACACCGCCCGAAAGTACGTCTTCGCAGCAGATGCCATAAGATCGAGGATCTTGTTAATGATGCTGCCTTAATGAGGCCCATTTACAGCTCCTCCAGACTTGTCATTGTTGAACGAGGCGGAAGAGGAGCCAGGCTCTCAAGCGGATTCTGGTCCGGCTTTGAGGCTTGCAGAAGCTGAAGGCATTGTTTATAGATCGTGCTCTCCCACAGAGAGGAATCTGATGTGATGAAAGCTTGCCGGTTGTGCATTCATAGCACCATTCATCGACCTGGAACAAAATAGGCCGGGAAGAAAGCAAGTGAGAAAACTAGAGCATGCAAAAGCGGATCCGAAGGGGAGCGAAGCACGTCTATGCTGGTTGTTGCACCTCTCTATCTTTTGTCAGGGTCCCAATTTGAGTTATCCCGCTGCTTTTCTCCTTAGTCCGACTGTAAGAGTAAGTGTCTAGGGTTGATAAGTGAAGAAGGTTGGATTTATATTTTTTAGAAAAAATTGGAGAGACGGAGAAGACAAGCGCGAGCAAAGGCGCCAGGCAGGCAGGCAGGCAGGCCAAGGCTTCGGTCGGTCGGTTTCAGTCTTGTTGATCGTGTCGGTCTGAGACATACAAGGGCGTTTGAGAAGCCAAGGAAAATGCCGCTGGGTCGGACCAGGCGGGCAGGCGGTGCAGGGGAGGGGACTTCGTCGCCCTCGTCATCCTCACCCTCACCATCATCGGTTGCTGGTGGGAGATCTCTGCTCGCTTCCCCGCCGTGGAGGAAGAGGGCCCTGTCATTTGACCGCCAACGAGCGCCGTCTCACCATCCTCTGCTTTCCGCTGCCCCACGCATCACCACCAAGCCCGACGACATTGGCGGCGCGCCTGTGCACCAGTCGTTTCCTACCACGGCCGGGACACCGACCACATCGAGGAGCGCGACGCCCACGCCGTATTTCAGCGCCGGTGGAAGGAGGCTCGCAACTTCGCTGTCGTCAAGGCGGCCCTCGATGGACGCTGCAAGCGCGAGCGTAGTAGAGCCAGCAGGACCGAGCAGTAGCAGCAACATCAGCGGGCGTCCCTCTGTTGATTCGGGCCCCAGCGCTGGTCCGACAGCAAGCGGGCTATCTGGCTGGGTCAGCAGCCGGCGGAGGGCTGCATCGCCCCTCTCGCCATCCTTTCCACCCCCGGCAGCCTCGTCATCCTGGGTCCGCAGACAGCGGGCAGGAGAAGCAGACGAAGGCGAAACGGTTGAGATGATCAGGCCGCCTTCGCCCCGACCACGGCCGTCGTATGACGGCACCGAAGTAGGAAGCGTGGCGAGGAGTGTGGGCAGCGGCGCAATGGCAGCATCCACGAGCTCGGCCGGCGCATCGGAGGCCTCGACGGTGCGGCCTGCCAAGGCGAGCATCGATGGCGGCGGCCGCGGCGGTGGCGGCAGCACCAGCACCAGCACCAGCAATACTGGCACGCCAACAGGCCATGCCACGAGCAGCAGCACGAGCGGGCTATCGCGCTTCTTTGGCACACGCAGGCGAAAGCAAAAGAATGGCACCAAGGCTCTGAGCGTCGATGTGGCGCGGGCGGCGGACCCGCAACCTTTTGACTCACCGCCACTAGCCGTCATTGCCCGCAGCAATGGGCAGGGGCAGGGGCAAGAGGAAGGAGGCACCGGCCGAGCGAGAACGTCGAGACCTGCGAGCGCTTCTGGCCGATCTGCGGGCTCGTCTACACTCAACCAGACCAAGATGCCCCAGCAGCTCTCTCCCAATCTCGCAGGTCAGCGAAAGCGTGCACCGCTAGGAACGCCAGCCTCGGATGGCTCTGGCGGCTTCTCCTTTCCTCCCAAGCCTACCACCCCGGCGGTCGATGCAGAGCCGTCGTCGTCGACGTCGCCCTTCTCCTCTTCCTCACAGAGCAAGCACAGCCTGGGCAGATCGAGGTCTCTTGCCTCTGCGTCCAAACTGCGTCAGTTCCAACAGAGGCTCGCTCCACCAGGGCGAGGAGAAGAAGGAGGAGGAGGAGGAGGAGGAGGAGGAAGAGCAGGCCCTTCGCAATCAAAGCCGCCAGCCTCTCCAAACTTCTTCGACTGGCAGTGGGTCGGGCCTTTCACGGGAGAAGACGAGCGCAAAGCCTCGCTACATTCACCCAGCCTGTCGGTCCCTCTTGCTGCAATGCCTACGTCTACGACACCGACATTGTCACTAGGCAATAGAGAGTATTCGACTCCCGACAGCCGCAAGACCTCAGTAGAGTCTCGGACTCGGTCGCCGTCGCAAGTTGCACCGATTCGGCCGCAACAACGCAGGCACAGGACAACGAGCCTCGCAGATCGCCTCACGTCTTTCTTCTCGTCATCGGCATCGGCCACTCACCCTGCTGACCAGCACGGCCAGTCACTCAACACTTCAGACCAAGTCGTGGATCTCGATGCAATCACGCTGAATCGGTCTCTTCCTGCGGATGAGCAAGACCATGAAGACGACGACGACGACGACTTGTCGCACCCGCGATCGTCAGCGCACACTGCGGCAGCGACGACGACGATGACGACGACGACGACGTCAAGCCGAGGATCGACTGTGAAGAGGAAGGCAAGCTTGCAGCGTTCCCACTCGCGCATCTTGCCCCAACGCATCAGGCAGTTCTCCTTTGGCAGACGACCCTCGTCTAGCTCGGGTACATTGACGATGGTTGACAACCTACAAACTTCCTCACAAGCACCGAATGCCGACATCGAGAAGCTCAAGAAGAAGGAAGATCACCACAATTCGACGACGTCGACCTATCACGACTTTCGAAGCTCGGGCTCGGCTGCCGTCCTCTCGCCCGCCGTGGCCAGCTCGGCGGCAAGCCCGTCGGACGTACGTGCCTCGGCGCTGCTGCAGAAGCAGCGAGCTTCGCCGACGGCCTCGACACCGCTTTCGATTGCGACTGCCTCCTCGCCCAAGGTGGCACGCAAGTTCAGCCTTAAGCGCGTCATGGCGCCCAAGTTTGGCGACTTTGGCCGAGAAGGGGTGCCTGGCACTCCCGAGATCGAGGGGTGGAAGACTCCGAAGATTGAGCCCGGTCAAGAGTCAGATGCTGGTCCAGCAGAGCAGAATCGCAGCGAGAATTGGGTGCAGGTCATTGCCGATGATCGCATCAACCAGATTGGCCTCGGTCTCGGCCCGCTGGATGCGTCCACGGGAGGCAACCTTTCGGGAGAAGCCAAGAGGATGAGTCGTAGACTGCAACTGCTACCCACTCCCGATCTTTCGGGCTCGCCCATGAGCGGCAGGGCTCTCTTGAGGGAGGCTGGCATCGCAAGTCGCATGAGCTCCAACCCTCCCAGCAGAGACGGCAGTGCCACACCTCGACCGGTAGGAGGAGAAACATTCGTGAGGTCGGAGACTCAGGCGGCACCTGAAGAGCAGCAGCTGCAGCAGCAGCAGCAACAACAGGAGCAGGAAACAGAACCAGGGATCGACACTGAAAGCGAGCTTGTGTACGCGAGGGATACCCAAAGCCCTGCCCTCGGCCTGCAGCTCAACCCTACTGACGAAGATCATCAGGGACGTCTGCGCGACTCGAGATCAGCACCTTTTGTCTCGGGGCTGGATGCCTTGTCAACCGGCTGGGCATCTCCTACGACAGTGCCTTCTGAGACTGGTCGGGATACACCTGTCGCTCGTCGCGATGAGGAGAATCAAGAGCAAGACGACCAGAAACCAGTGCAACACGAGACTGAAGGCCGCCCCGAGGCATCCATGTCGCAGCATTGGAATGATGCGTCCACCCATACCACCAGCTCGAACAGTAGCAGTGGATACAATCGCCCACAATCCCTCATTAGCGCAGATGGGAATGACACGCCCATCGTTCGACTGCAACGGCTCGTTGTTGACACGACGGAAGACGAAGAAGGCAGCCAAGCTCAGGACACGAGAGCCAGGGATAGCGACTTCTTCTTTCGACCGCTCTCGTCGTCGAACCGACAGAATCATTCCGGAGGCAACGAGCCCATTGAGAGCTTACAATCTCCATCGCGATCGTCCCAAGCTCTTCCAGGGATGGCACCTTCGGATGCAGAGCAGGAGCAGCGCTCGATTTCGGCAGAGACAGCGCCCGTATCGTCGCCTGCCATGACGGCAGCCTCGGAGAGCGCCTTGTCGGGCGAAGCGCATACGGTCACGTCGATGCACTCATCGGGCTCCAGCACCCTGAATGCGCGTCTCTTTAGCGATCGAATGCGGGCCCAAAGGCAGAACCAGCAACCACAGATGACGCTGATGAGCGGTCTCTCCTCCAGCGGCAGTGCGAATACACCCAGGCTCTCCACTGTCGCGAGTGCCAGCAGGAGCAGGGAGCTGTTGTTCTCAGCCGATGATCAAGAAGAGGAAGAGATGATGGGCAGGACTTCTTCCTCATCTTCGAAGCGCACATCCGTGCAAAAGCCGTCGAACGATGCAGCGAGGACATCGCCGGGTGAGGCCCCGCCCAGGACCTCGACTTCGTCCTCTGCTGCGGGAGCGCGGAAGGGCGCCAATCGCACGAGCGGCATGCCGAGCGAGACTGGTACCATCTTTTCGAGCGGATCTTCCTCTGTCCTCGAAGCAGAGGTATCCCAGGCCCAAAGACTGAAGGCAGTGCCACTGAGAAAGTTCAAGGTCGAGGAGTGGGCGCGAAAGGTGGGCGACACAGCCCCAGCAGAGGAAGATGAAGGACAAGGCCCAGCTCCGAAGGAAGAGAAAAAGGATAGCTCGAAGGACTCACTGCCGGAGATCCCTGATGAACCACTTTCGAGCGCAGACGAGGTGCCTCTGACAGCCCGTCAAGAGGAGACCAGTGGCGTTGCAGCAGCTGTGTCGACACCCACTCTACCATCCGAAGATGCAAGGCTGGGCTTTGCACCAATGAAGCGACGAAGAAAGGTGTCAACATCGCCAAAATCTCGAGAGGAAGGCATCTCTCTCGGTGGAGAGCGACGACCGAGCAATCTAAGCAGCAGCAGCAGCGTCACAGGTGCGGACGCAGACGAAATGATGCCCTCTGTCTTCAACTACAGGCGGCCGACCCAAGCAGTCACGACTGAGCTGCCGTCGAATTCATCGTCAATGTCCTCATTGAAGGGTGAGGGGGGCCGGAGAGAGGCTAGCGCAAGCCCAGCCGCGAGGAGGTCGAAAAGGGCCGCTTCATCGTCTTCAAGGAGGAAGAAGAGCGAAAAGGCTCCGATCTCGCGCATCTTCGCGCTGGACGACAGTGGTGGTAAGACTTTGCGCCCATCGAGGAGCGGCAACCTGGTCTCGGCGGCAAACAGCGACGACGACGAACAGGTGCAGCGAAGGGGCATCGTGCCCAAGTCTTCCGAAGTGAAGGTAGCTGGAGAGGTCAAGAAGAGCGAAGGGAAGGACGTAGACGAACACAGCAAGGGCCATCAGCGATCGGCAAGCGCCAAGACTTCTTCGTCCGCGTCCCCAAGCCATCGTAGGCGCCGCGGCCATGCCAAGAATCAGAGCAGTGGAGATGGGGAATCCTCGCCGAGGAGAAAGGCGTCGTATCTCACGTCGGAAGAGGCTGCCTTGGCGAAGAGAAGAGAGAGAGCCGAGCGGGAGAGATTGACGAAGGAGAAGGAGAAGGAGAGGCAGGAAGCCAGACAGGCAGCATATGCAAGGAGGAAGAAGGCCGATCCATTGCTGGCCGCAAGACTGGCGCTGGTTGGCCTGGCTGATGAGCCTGTGACGACAGCAATGACATCGACGGAGAGCAGGCTTGCTTCCTCTTCGGCAGCAACGGAAGTTGAAGAGGAAAAGCCAGAGCGAGAGGCAAGATCGGAAGCAACGACCAGAAAGGAACAGCCCATCAACATTGAGAGTAAAACGATGCTGGCCTTTCCCACCCTGTCAACCGCCGAGGCCACGCGAGACTCGCCAGTGTTGTTGCCGAGAAGCTTCGATAGCCTGCATACCAAGAACAAGCCCTCGACAGCATCTGTCGCAACCGTGCAGAGCATGGCAAGCTTGCTTGCAGCACTCGATTTTCCACAGCCACCCGTGAGGGACACCGAGGCCCAGCGATCCGATGATGGAACCGTGCTTTCGAGAGCCGGGTTTGCACAGTGGGACCGCGAAGCTCTCAAGACCATCGAGGCGACCGCCGGTGACACTCGCGGCGACTCGAACGACAACGAGCCATCCGGATCAAAGGCCACAAACGTGGAAGAGAAAGAAGGCAAAGGCCCCTTGAAACCAACAGCAGCCGCACTGGAGACATCCCTGCGAAGGGCTAGATCTGTCTCGTCGACGCCGACCAAGTCTCCACGGCTCTCAATGCCTGCTCAGACGCAGGCAACGGCAAAGGCAGAATCGAGTCTTCCTGCAGGCGGCGGTACAAGGCTAGAGCACAGTTTCATATTCTCTTCGAAATCGCCGGTTGCGCGCAAAACGGGACCCATCGAAGATGATGCTGAGACGGTGACGGGGAGCCCGTCGGAGTCCACTCTCGACGTGCACGGACATCGCCGTAAGCTGTCGAGGGAAGCGACGTTGCGGCAGTCGCCCGTCGAGGCAAAGAGGCCAGAGGTGGTCTCGCCCACGAGACTCTCGCCTTCTCAGTCTCCATTGCCATCGACCACAGCATCTACTGCTGGGATAAACGCGACGTCAAAGCATCGGAGTCAAGTACCCACGATTGAACGCTTTTCGATGGTCGTTCCGCTTGGCTCTGCTCAAGAGAGGAACATGTGAATGAAACGAGGAGAAGAAGGACGAGTTCAGAACGAAGAATGTGAGATCATTTGTATCTATATCCATAGCTTGTCAAATAAGCAAAGTCGTAAGGGTTCCAGACTTGTCAAGGCAAGCCGCTCCAAAGAGGCACATTGAAGCAGTGTGTGAGAGGGTATTGGTTCCTGATCATGCGCACAAACACTTGCAGGCATTCCTTTGATTATACCCATCGTCACGCTGACGTTGATTTATGCTACAGAAAGAGTTATCGTCACAGTCGTATTGTATGATTATCTATATCTCGCCCTTCATCATGGCGCCCTCGCCTCCTTGCGCTCACTTCCCCACTAGCCACCTTCCACGAGCTTCACTGCCTCCTGCAGAAGCCCATCAAAATCCTCCTGCATCTCCTCTGACTCGAGCCCATTGCCAAATGTCCTCAGCTGATCAAACTTGGCCAGCAGCTTTGCTTTTGTCTCTGCATCCACGCCCTTGAGCGCAGCAGGCGAGGCTACTGGTGGCCGATCTCGATATACGATCTTTTCAACGGGTACTTTGACCTCTTTGACCACGATCTTTTCTACGATCCTGGGCGGCGGCGTCTGGTAGCCCGGGCCAAGGGCCTGGTGAGGGTGTTGAGGTGCCTGCCCGAAAAAGTGAGGATTGGCAAATGCGCCTTGTGAGATGGCTGCTTGGATCGACGCAGCTTCAATGGCACTTTCGTTGTAGGGGCGTGAGCTGCCTTGGCCGTTTGCTCCATTAGCCACCACAGATGCCTGACTGGCTTTGGAAGGGCGTCCCTTCTTTTTTGCCGATGTCGCTCCCGTAGCAGTTGGCGGGGCTCCGGTCGACGTCAGCAGATGTTTGGGCAGATCGAACTTGGGGATGGAGTCGACCACTTTTCGAGGTCTGCCTCGTCCCCTCTTTGCCGGAGCTCCAGAAGTATCAAGGTGAGGAGCTGTTGGCGCTGCAGATGCGTTGCTAGAAGGCGGCTGGCCATCGGTACGCGCTTTCAACGAGCCCTTCGGTCGTCCACGCTTGCGTTTCAGCGCAGGCGTGACTGCCGCCGTCTCTGAGCCTCCCATCAGGGCAGCGCCACCCGTTGTTGTTGTTGTTGTCGCCGCTGCTGTTGCCGTTATCGGCTTGGAAGCATATCCCTTGGCCGTTCTGGTCACGTTGGAGATGGCATTACTTTTTGCGGGTGAAGTCGCAGTGGCCGCGGCTGCCGAGGAGGAAAGCTGCGACTGGTAAAGCGCCAGGTCGCCAGGCGAAACAGTAGCTCCACCTGAATTTGCATTTGCATGTGGATATGCAGTCCTGCCGCTCGAAGCTGCTCCCGACTCTCCTTCCGGGCTGCTGGCGCTGCTTGGCTGAGCATGGCCGCTCTGCCTAGGCGTGCCTAGCATGGGTCCGCCGACCATCATGACATCTGCAGGCAAGCGGGACGAGGCGCTGCCCTGCTGAGCCGCTTGTTGCTGGTGCTGATGTGGCTGCTGATAGTAGCTTTGGTGAAAAGGCTGCTGCTTTTGCTGTTCTTGTGCCGGCACCATTTGCTCGGCTCGCCTGTCCGTGTTGTTGCCGTTGTACTGCGCGGGGTAATAAGCCCTTGCACCGTTGTGTGACGTGGAGGACGCTGCCGGCGTCTGCGACTCGAATACGTGAGGAGCGCTGGAAGAGGTTAACGGGGAAGGTGTCAGGTGTCTGAATTGGTTCGAGTATACACCTGAAGGGTAGGACGGTTGCTGTTGGCGATGATTGCTGCTGCCGCTGCCCGCTCCACCGCCTTCCCAGAGTGCACTATCACTCGCGTTCGTGTTGCTCGTGCTGTGATTCTGCTGCTGCTGCTGCTGCTGCTGCTGCTGCTGGCCCCCGAGCGTGGAGTATGTGTCCCGTGACCCGGTGGAAGACGACGAGCTGGAGTCGCCCTGCCAATGCAGGCCTTGGAGCACACCGGCGACCTGGACGTCTTGGGCGGAGCGGCCCTGAAGCTGGTTTGAGGTCTGGTAGTTTTGCCTGAACGCGTTTCGAGACGCGGCAGCACCTTCTTGCACTGGCGGCGGCTGTTGCTGTTGCGAATGGTATTGTGCTTGTGCAAGGTTGTGGGCTTGCGACTGCTGCTGCTGCTGCTGCTGCTGTTGTTGTTGTTGTTGTTGTTGCTGAGGAGGAGGGTAATCAGAAGACGTCCAAGAGTGATAGCTAGTCGATGGCTGCTGCTGCTGCTGATTCCAGCTACTCTGTGGGTGATGCTGGGAGAAGGATCCAGAATACTGATACGGTGTATGCGAGCTCATATCGCTCCCTCTTCCGGATGCTCTTACGGCCCCTCTCAACGACCGCTCGTGGTTTGTCGTCGTATGCTCTCGGCGTCGGCGTCGTTAATATGCACCACCCTGAAACAAACAAAAATAGTCTAAGTCTGGACGCGCAGACGCAAAAACGTCTTCCACTTATCTTACTTCCACATGGAGGGTCAGAGGACGGGAAGGGAAGGGTCAACAGGCCGGGGTCGCTTCACTTCCTGGGTCATGATGGGGTCAACACTGGCCAATTAAGATTTTTGTGATATACTAAGACAAGCTGCAGTAGTATCTGTCAAGCAGCATACAATCACTCCCAATCGCTCTCGCTCTCCTCGTCCTCGCCCTCCTCGTCATCATCGGTGCCGCTCTCATCATCGTCATCGCCGCTCCGCGCCGTTTTGACTTTGTCTCCCCTCATCATGGCCATCTGACCCGCCAATCTGTAGGAATGGGGACCAGGATCAGTTATGTTATAGGATAATAAGAGGACAGAGACTGCGTTGCACTCACGTGTCCTCATCAGGTTCACTGATGTCATCCTCGATGTCGCTCTCCTCGAGTGCGCTGGGGTCCTCAATCTTGAGCTTGACGCTCATTTGAGCCTCGCTTCCCAGGTACGAGTCGCTCTTGATCATGGCCACGAACGTGTACATGCCCGCTTGCGGCGGCGCCTGGAATTGGACAGAGTAGGTCCGAATCTTGTCGGGGCCCACGTCCGTCACCTTTGTCGGCTGCACAATGATCCTCGACTGCTTCAGATCGCCGAGCATCACCCACCACGAGGGCTTGCGGTCCTCGACAAAGTAGGGCGCCCGTGCAAAGCCAACTGCCTGCTTGCCCTCTGAGTCGGACCCTCCGTTGCGGTCGCCTCTGCCGATGAGGTGTTCCAGCTTCGTCTCGATGTCGTCTTCCCCACTGGGTCGAACATCTGACTCCCCATCGCGACGCGCCGTATCTGAGCCCGGCCGGACGCCCTCGAAGAGGAGAGTGCCATCGCGCTGGAAGGGGAGCGTGCGAATCTTGATAACAACCTGTACAATGGCACCTGTTGTCACAATCTTCTCACCAGTGACTGAGAAAAGGAAAAGACAACGTTGTCGGAACGGTCAGTCTGGTTGAGATCACGGCACTGGTGCATGGGCGCGACTCACCCTTGAAGAAAGCATCAACGAGCTCGATGCGCGGAAATTGACCAAGGGTCTTAATGGCCTCTTGGTACTTGCGGTCGTCGAGGCCGTTCAGAGCCTTACGTCTATGGGCATCTGACATGTTCCAGAAGCCTTGCAGACCCAGAGGACCAAGCTTGTCGTCGCTCGCCACGATAGCATTTGCCATGTCGGAGGTCAGGTGAGGCAGCTGCAACAGCTCGCTTACAGGCCTGTGCTCGGGCGAGGGCGGCACGGCTTGGACGATGCATTGAAGCATGTCCATCAAAAGAATCGTGAGATCCAGCCAGTTGTGGGCCAACGCGATCTGGAGCATGCCATTGAGGAGCTTCTCAGCTTTCGCACCGATCACGTAACGGTCTCTCGTCAGCGATTTGTTGTCCGTTTCGATGCGGAAGAGGTAAGCATAAAGCAAGATGAGCGTCTTGCGAATCGACTCCGTGCGGAACTAGTTCAAAAGAATAATAGATCATCAGCGGGGGAAGCGGCGCGCATACAACGAGCGACATTGAGATTTACCTTTTCGATCAACTGCCACCGCTCGCCAAATCCCTTCAGTGTCTTCCTGACCTCGGCTTCGAGCCTCTGAAGTTCCTTCTCCCGTGGTCCTTGACCTCGCTTGTTGAGGACTGGATCCTGAAGCTCTTCCGAGATTGCCACAAGAGCGAGAATGCGAGCAGGCGGCGTGTCTTCCCGCAGGTGCTGAAAGAAAGACTGGGCCGTGGCATTGATCAGGCCATCCTTTGTCCTTGAACGAGAGCCATACCACCACCTTGCCTGGTTTGTTCATGAATGTTAGCTCACAGTCCATCGGCCACCTAGGACAAGAGCACGTACCACGAGGTAGGGAAGGCCGAGACCAAAGACCAGACCGTAGGCGCCCAGGACCCAGATGTTGTTCTGGGACTCGATGACCCACTCGGGCAGGGCGATGCCCATGCTCATCTCCTGCCTTCCATCGGGGTGACCGTACAGCTCAAAGTTCTTGCGGATCGTCTCATCGGTGAGGGCCTTGTAGGCCTTTGTGAGGTCAATGAACTGCGATTCGACTTCCTCTTTTGTCTGATTCTCGGCCAGCTGAATCTTGTCCGGGTGGCTGGGCGGTGACAGAAAGAGGTCAATTCATATCCCATTGGTCGAGACTGGGAGAAACGCCAACTCACAACTTGACACTAAGCTTCTTGTAGTGCTTCTTGATCTCCTTCTCCGTCGCCCCAGCGGCGAGGCCGAGGATCTCAAAGGGATCATAGACGGCGTGCGAGGAAGTCGACACGGTGTTTGCGATGCGATGGGCAAGGTAGCCCACGGCGCCCCAGCCGAGCAGGACGAAGAGGACCCTTAGTGAAACCGGAGTCAGTCGCTGTGTCAATCGAACACAAAGAGGACAAGGACTGTAACCCTACCCACCTCTTGCTCAAGCGTGGGTTGAAGAGGCTCCTTCGATGAATGCGCTTGATCTCATCGACCTTTTGTCCCTTGGCGTCAAAGTCGCCATGCTTGCCTCCCCTCTTGGCAGACGAAGAGCCAAAGAGCGAATAGGTCAAGGGCAAGAGTGCGAGAAGAAGAAACGTGAGGAGGAAGGTAAGGAACTGGGCCCCCTCGCTGTCGTACTTGTACTGTCCCGCAGCCATCCTCCGTGGCTTTCCTGCTGTTCAGCTTGTGTGCTCGGCCTCTGTTCCTTTTGGTTTAGTTGGCGGTGCGAAGGTTGTTCTTCAGCCAGCGGTTGCCCTTTTTTGACTTTTGGCGCGCTACACGTGGAATTGCAGCCCTCTCCGCTCAGCCCAGTCTAGCTTGGAGCGGAGAGAGGAGGTGGCGGGCCGTGCGCGGCGCTGAGCGAGAGCAATCGCGGCCCCTCCCACATACGCACAGGTGACCTCAGCTCCATCGGTCTTGTAAAGAGGGCTGCGCAAGCCCCTTCCCATCAACCCGAGCCTCCTTCCTCCTTTCACTCCTTCAAACGCCCATCCATTCAGAGTCTCCCCTCGAACACCCCACACCCCTCTCGACAGGTCAAACATGGCCTCCCCGGGACTCAAATCGCACGACATTGGCGTCGACTTTCGGCCAGTTGGCCTCTTCGCCGGCCGTCTCTACGGTCCAATGTCCAAGATCAGCGTCGACTTCTCCGACGGCATCAAATTGGATGAGCTACAGTCCAAACTTGTCACGGCCGCCGTGCGCTGCGCTCCCATGATGTCGTTCGAAAACGATGTCGTGCCCAGCGACTCGATCGAAGTCTTTGTCCGCACCGACAGCTTCTTGGATTACCCAAGCTTCTCTGGCATGACCTATGTCGGCTTCCTTGGTCAACCCGATCTGGTCACCTTTCTACTCTCAAAGTCATCTTTCAACCCCCTGCAGGTTGAGGTCTGGAGGAAGCACGACATCAACAGCCCGAGCCACGTCTACGCCCGCGGCGACCTCTCTCATCCTCAGCGTCTTATGGTCCACGCCACCCAGCGCAGCCAGTCTCGCAAGGCCGGTAAGGCTGCCTCTGGTGCTGCAGCATCCAAAAAGGAGCCAAGCCTCGGCGAAGAGGTGAAGTTTGTCGTTGCACTGGCCACGCCACAGTGCGTGCGCCTATTCCGCAAGGATCTCGAGCGTCGCATCGTCACAGCGGCCAACGTTGCCAGTGGACATGTCGACATCTTTTTCAAGAGGACCTCGGAAAGCTCTTCAGCGTCAGTCGACAAGTCGCTCACCTCCAAAGAGTCGTTTGAGAGGCGTGTCGCGGAGTGCATCAAGAGTGGCAAACCCCTCCAGGTCGAGTTTGCCGTCAAGGAGCGCGAGACCACCAAGCCAGAGACGGTCCCATCTCCTTCCGAGCCTATGAAAGATCATAGTGACCGGCCTGCTACGCTACCATCCTACCACGCTGGGTCTCGCAAGATGCACGCGTACCTTCCCTCCTTCACATCGACCCATGCTCCTCTCCTTCCTGCGGTGTCGGCAGAGAAGACTGCAGTGCCTCCCGTCCCCGCCAAGACGCCCATCGTCGTAAGAGACACTAGGAGCAGCCCGAGCGTCAGCAGCCACGATGCAGGCACACCCACTCGTGCCAATGTTGGAGCTATCCATAACAATCTCGAGTCTCTGCTGGACAAGTTTGCCAGCGAGCTCAACAAGTGTCTTCTGGACAATTTTGGCAGCGCCACCTCCGTGCTTGGCGCCTCTTCCCCATCGCCATCGGACACTCCAACAACAAAGGTGTCGACATCGGAGAAAGCCTCTCCCGAGGGCGCCAAGGTCAATGAGGCCGCACCAAAGACAGCGAAGCCGCTTTTCCACAACGCACGATGTGACGTCTGTAAGAAAGTCATTCAAGGCACGCGCCACAAGTGTGAGTACTGAACCAAGCGTGCATGTGGTCCTAAGCGGAGCATTAGCAGACTGACCTACACCCTATACAGGCCTCAATTGCCCCGACTGGGATGCTTGCAGTGCCTGCCACGCGGCCAAGGTGCCCAAGTGTCACCCGGGACATGTGTTCGCCTCGAGCACCGACCCCGCCGTCTTCCCTCCCCGTAGTGAGCCCGCGGGATGGGCGATGCACCCCGGCGTCATTTGCGATGGCTGCGATGCCCAGATTCGCGGTCCACGTTTCAAGTGCGTCGTGTGCCGCGACTACGACCTGTGCGCGCACTGCGAGGCCGATCCGGCCATCCGCCACCCTCACGGTGATGGCGAAGAGCACCCGCTGCTCAAGATCAACAAGCCCATACAGAGGGCCACTCTGGCCAGCGCCGTGCACAGATCAACTTTCTTTCCCGGCCTGCGACAGAACAGCGACCTGTCGGCAAGTGGACCTGGTCGCTGTCCATGGGTCGGAGGATCTCCTGCGTCCTCTGCAGCTCGCCCGTTCCCGAAGTGGAACCCTGTTCAGGGCATCGGCCGCGCTCCCTTTACCTTTTCTGATAAAGACTCCCTACCTGAAAGCATTCTGAGGTACTACTCGGGACGCGACGCGCCCCAGCGCGACCATCCTGACATCGCCTCCTGTCGATCGAAGAATCCGATCGTGGTCAAGGACACGGAGAAGGAAAAGGGAAAGGCGTGCTCCTCTTCTGACGAACACAAGTCGGATGTGCAGGCCGCTGATCTGTTGAACACCCAGAGCTCCAGCAGCTCCTTCGACACAGCCAAGATGACCAGCACTAACACGGTCGCGGGCACACAAGCTTCTCCGCAGCCATTTGCCTTCGGTGGCCTATCGCCCGCCGTGGTCAAGGCAGCCGAAGCAAAGTCCAACGATGCCGAGATCAAGCCGGCCAACGACCGCCGCCTCCGCGAGATGGCTCGCCGGCTCCACGAGCTCGAGGAGCAAATGACAAAATCGAAGCAGAAGGTCGACTTCACCTACAAGTTCATCGACGACTTCAAGAAGAGGACCCAAAGCTCTCGCTACGCCGATGACTTTGACGAAGACGACATTGTGAGCAAGAAGGAGCGCACCGCGGCGGCCTCGCCCACTGCACGCGAAGCCAAGCCGTCCGCCGACGAAACCTTGAACGAGGTCACGACCCGCTTTGCCAAGCTTTTCGATGAAGCTATGAAGCTTCCTGGCGCAGCTGCTACCTCTGCGCCCATCGCATCGACGACAAAGACAGACCCAGATGTCCCTGAGGAGGAGGAAGAAGAAGATGACGACGCGGAAGACTTTGACGCCATCGTTCTGGGCCATGTCAACATGAATGATGGCACTCGTGTTGCAGCTGGCTCTCGCTTCGACAAGATCTGGCTCTTGAAGAACAGCGGCAGGAAGCCCTGGCCAGTCGAGACTTCCGTCGCCTTCATCTCGGGCCACGGTCACGCTGATGGACCCTCGGCCGAGCAGCGTGCCCCGCTGGGACGCGAAATCGCGCCCGGTCAACAAGCAGAGGTCGTGATCCGCGACATGAAGGCGCCGGAAGAGGGCGGAGTGAACACGTCCTACTTCCGCCTACAACGTCCAGATGCTCTCGCTGGCACAGTCAAGTTCGGCCAGCAGTTCTGGGTCTCAACGAGCACGGTGCGGGAGGAAAAGCATCACTCGATCCTGACCGATGGAAGCACCCTCTCGGGCTCGAGTTTCTTCGAGACACCACTCGCGCCCGAAGAGGCTGCTGAGCGTCACGTCGTGGAGCCAAAGACTCCTAGTGCAGAGACAGAATTCAGCCTGCCGACGGCGAGCCTCGAGAGCGGAGACCGTGACGGCAGCGACTTTGACTATGACGGAGAGGAGCAAGACCTCGAGTACGAACTTGTCGATGCTGACTCTGATGGCTATGAAGAGGCTCTTTGATCGTTTCCTTTCTCCCCCTTTCTTCACTGTGCATACACCAACTTGTCTATTGTGGCCCCCTGATGCCTGTATTTAGCCAGAGACTCGACGCGAATCACGAAGTTTTGCTTTCAGTGTCCTGTCTAATTTGAGGTAGAGAAAAGACTGGCTACAGAAAAGCCACATGGCTTTTTTTTTTTCTTCTTATCTCTTGAGTCACTCGGACGTGCGAGGGAAAAATTTTGACTTCTTCTTGACACCTCATCCGATCCTTGACTTGACCGAGACACCGACGAGGACAACGACAAACAGCTAGGGCTACCGACAGTATCAGCCCTACTGGAGCTTCCATTGTGCGACAATGTACCGCCGGCCAGTTGCTTCCCTGGCTGGGCGGGCCCGATTCTCGACCAGTCGACCACAGTCGCTCCTCCCGCTTGCACAACAGGCACAGCGTCCCGTTAGCACCAACCATGCTCGGCTATTGCACTCGACCTCGCAGTCGCCCAAGCCCGCGCCCACCTCCTCGAAGCTGGCCCAGGTGGCTGAGGAGATGAACCCGGTGTCGACTGGGCTCAAGAAGTGGACGAGCTACCTGCCAAAGGTGGAGCGGGCCGACGTGAAGAAAGTTCTTCTCGTCGGTTCCGGCGGTCTGAGCATCGGCCAGGCGGGTGAATTCGACTACAGCGGCTCTCAGGCCATCAAGGCACTCAAGGAGTCTGGCATCGAGACGATTCTCATCAACCCAAACATTGCCACGATCCAGACGAGCCACTCGCACGCCGACCAGATCTACTTTTTGCCCATCTCACCCGACTATGTCGCCTACGTTCTCGAAAAGGAGCGGCCCGACGGCGTGCTCCTCACCTTTGGAGGCCAGAGCGCCCTCAACGTGGGTGTTAAGCTCGACGAGATGGGTGTCTTTGAGCGCCTCGGCGTCCAGGTCCTCGGCTCCCAGGTCGACGTGCTGCGCATGTGCGAGGATCGCGACCTGTTCGTCCAGGCCCTGGACCAGATCAACATCCCCGTCGCCAAGTCGGAGGCCGTCTCGACGGTCAACCAGGCGCTCAAGGCTGCCGAAAAGATTGGGTACCCCGTCATCGTCCGTGCCGCCTACGCGCTCGGTGGTCTCGGCTCGGGCTTTGCAGACAACGAAGATGAGCTGCGGGACTTGTCGGCTCGGTCGCTCTCGCTGAGCCCGCAGATCCTCGTCGAAAAGAGTCTCAAGGGGTGGAAGGAGAGCGAGTACGAGGTGCTGCGAGACCAGGAGGACAACGCCATCATTTGCTGCAACATGGAGAACTTCGACCCGCTCGGTATTCACACAGGTGACTCCATCGTCGTCGCTCCCTCGCAGACGCTGTCCGACGACAACTACCACATGCTCCGCACTGCTGCCCTCAAGGTCATTCGGCACTTGGGCATCGTCGGCGAGTGCAACATCCAGTACGCCCTCGATCCCAACAGCCGAGACTACCGAGTCATCGAGGTGAACCCTCGATTGAGTCGATCGAGCGCGCTGGCGTCCAAGGCCACGGGCTACCCGCTGGCCTACACCGCAGCCAAGCTCGCTCTCGGCCACACACTGCCTGAGCTGCCCAACGCCGTGACAAAGACGACGACGGCATGCTTCGAGCCCTCGCTGGACTACATTGTGACCAAGATTCCCAAGTGGGATCTGTCCAAGTTCCAGCACGTCAACCGAGAGGTGGGCTCGAGCATGAAGTCGGTCGGCGAGGTCATGGCCATCGGCAGGACGTTTGAAGAGTCGCTGCAAAAGGCCATTCGACAGGTGGCGCCCAACTACGATGGCTTTGCTGCCTACGTCGCACCAGAGGACCTCGACAGGGCCCTGTCGGTGCCCGAGGACACGCGCCTGTTTGCCATTGCCCACGCCATGCTCAACAAGGGCTACGACGTCGAGAGGCTGCACGAGCTGACCAAGATCGACCGATTCTTCCTCTTCAAGCTCGACAACATCGTCCAGATCCACCGCCAGCTCAAGGATCTCGGCTCCATCGAAGCGGTGGACAAGGACCTGATGAAGCTGGCCAAGCAGCGCGGCTTCTCGGACCGCCAGATTGCCCAGCTGACGGGCTCAAAGGAGGACGTGGTGCGCAGGCACCGAAAGGCGCTCGGTCTTACGCCCTTTGTCAAGCGCATTGACACGGTGGCTGCCGAGTACCCTGCCCAGACCAACTACCTCTACACTACGTACAATGCCTCGACGCACGACGTTGAGTTTGACGAGCACGGCACCATGGTCCTCGGTTCGGGTGTCTACCGGATCGGCAGCTCAGTCGAGTTTGACTGGTGCGCCGTTACATGCGCCCGCAGGGTGAGAAACATGGGCCACAAGACGATCATGATCAACTACAACCCCGAGACGGTCAGCACCGACTTTGACGAGGCCGACCGGCTGTACTTTGAGGAGCTGGGCTTTGAGCGTGTCATGGACATCTACGAGCTCGAGGGCGCCACGGGCGTCGTTGTGTCTGTTGGTGGTCAGCTGCCGCAGAACATTGCTCTCAGGTTGAAGGACTCGGGCGTCAAGGTGCTCGGAACAGACCCGTCCAAGATCGACTCTGCCGAGGACAGGCACAAGTTCTCTCAGATCCTCGACTCGATCGACGTCGATCAGCCAGAGTGGATCGAGGCTACGAGCGTCGACGTCGCAAAGGAGTTTGCCAACAAGGTCTCCTACCCCGTCCTCGTGCGCCCCTCGTACGTCCTGTCGGGCGCGGCCATGAACGTTATCTGGGACGAGAGCACCCTTGAGCACCACCTCACGGCTGCGGCAGAGGTCAACACCGACTACCCCGTCGTGCTGACCAAGTTCATCGCAAACGCACAGGAGATTGACATTGACGCCGTTGCTCACAAGGGCGAGCTCCTCGTCCACGCAGTCTCCGAGCACGTCGAGAACGCTGGTGTGCACTCGGGCGATGCTACGCTCGTGCTGCCTCCCTTCTCGCTCGACCGCAACGATCTGGCACGGCTCAAGGTCATTGCGCAAAAGGTGGCCAAGGCCTTTGAGATTTCTGGTCCTTTCAACATGCAGATCATCCGCAAACCAGCTCAGGACGGCGAGGCAGAGGCAGCGCTCAAGGTGATTGAGTGCAACCTCCGAGCAAGTCGAAGTTTCCCCTTCGTCAGCAAGGTCCTCGGCGTCAACTTCATCGATGTGGCTACGTGTGCCATCGTGGGCAAGGATGTGCCAGAGCCCATCGATGTGATGCAGAAGCAGCGCGACTACGTGGCCATTAAAGTGCCGCAGTTCTCTTGGACCCGATTGGCGGGCGCAGACCCGTACCTGGGCGTCGAAATGGCGAGCACGGGCGAGATTGCGGCGTTTGGCAAGGACATCAAGGAGGCCTACTGGGCCAGCATCGCTTCCCAGACTGGCTGGCGTGTGCCGGAAGCCCGCAAGGGTGTGCTGCTGGGCGGAAGCAAAGAGGTGCCGGAGCTCGGCCAGGTGGCCAAGAAGCTCTACGACCTCGGCTTCAAGCTGTACTGCTCCAATGCAGAGGTTGAGCAGTTCCTCAACGAGATCCCCCACGTGCGCGCCACCCGGATCTGGTTCCCGCTCAAGGACAAGAGGAAGCTGCGCGAGGTGTTTGACGACCACGAGATCCAGTTTGTCGTCAACCTGGCCCAGCAGCGCGGCAAGGACACCGTCGATGAGGACTACGTCGCCCGCCGAAACGCAGTCGACTTTGGCCTGCCGCTCGTGACGGAGCCCCGCTGTGCGCTGCTGTTTGCCGAGACGCTTGAGTACAAGATGCCGATGGGCTGCCTCCGGCCCTACGAGGAGGGCCGCATCCCGCCAGAGGTCAAGCCGTGGAAGGAGTGGGTGCCAGAGTCGGTTCATTAGGGCAGTCTTGTTCTTTCTTCGTCAGTCAGTGTGCATAGAGATTGGACGGAAAAAAAATAATGCGATTGTTTAGCAACCTCTTGTGATTCTCGTTCTCTGTGCTACCTGTTCGTGAGCGCTGAGAAGAGCAACGCCTATCTTGCAGGCCCTTCCTTCTCTGTCCTTTAAGACTCAAGAGGCGCCCACATCTCGACGATTCAGTCATATAAAGCAACACTCTTTGGACATGCAGATTCATCATTGAGAAAGCAGAGATTCGTGTCATAATGTTGTGTCGCGCAACCAGGCAAGAGGCGATGCGGCTAGGCCTCTTTGGACTTGCACTTGGAGGGCACAGCATGGCCGTCCGTGCGGATTCCGCCTCCCCAGGGCGTCCGTCCTACGACCTTTGCGTCTGTGCCCAGGCCGCGCTGAGCGAAGCGCTCCCAGATGAGGCACTGGTTTGCGCCACCGGTCAGATGCTCGTCGGCTTTGATAATGGCGTCCCTGGCCTCAAAGAAGCCCGGCCGGCAGGGCTGCAGCTTCATGCCGTCAATGATGAGCTGGAAGGCAAGGGTGTTGCCATGCCGAGGAACACGGCGCTGGCTGGCGCGCTTCTTGCCGCCCAGGAGCTTGTCCAGCTCGTCATCACCGAGGAAGAATTCGTCCTGCTCCTTCTGCGTCGCATTGGCCGTAGGAGGGAAGAGATCGGGTGACCATCCAAGCTTGGCCCTCAGACCTTCTTCGACCTGATACAGCATTCCTGCCCAGACCTCGCCAATGGCGTGCACGCCCCAGTAGCCGGGCGAGTCGAGGGTCTTGTACGTCTCTGGGTTGATGGTCAGATTCGTCGAGTAAGGATAGCGGCGGATTCCCTTCTTGTTGTGCGAGGCCCAGCTGCCCATGGTGTAGATGTCCCTCGTTGGCGTCTTTCGTCGGACGATGGTCGCGAAAAAGTCGCCCCATCCCTCGCCCATGCCTCCAGCTTCGCCCCAGCCCAGGCAGCTCGAATCAGCAGGCCCACCCGTGAGACGGGTGGAGACACCGTGGGTGACCTCGTGCAGAACGATACCCTGCTCAAAGTCTCCATCGCGGTCCGTGGCATTCTCCTTGGTGTGCCACTTGTACATGCGCACGCGAGGACGAGATCCATCAGGAGGGCTCGTGAAGTCGGCATTGTTGGTGCCGGCGCTGGACTGGGAGTAGGCAGCAATGGCGTCGCCACCCTTGCCGCCTTCCTCGGCCTCGGCCTCCTCAAAGTTGCCTGCGGCAGGGGTAAAGCCATAAAGGTAGAGGAGGTCGTGGTAGGCATTGATGAGATAAAAGAGCTCCACCGTCGAGGCGTCGGCATACTTTTCAGGGTCCAGAGGGTCGTGCTGTGCGTTTGCATTGCGCCAGGGGAAGGGGAAGTCAAAGATCAGAGATCCATTGTCGGCCTTCTTGCCGACCGGACGAGCACGGTCGGGTACCTCCCAGTCGTCCATTCCGCTTCCAAAGGCCGAGGCAAAGACATTGTTTCCACGGGTGTCGCTAAAGTGCTTGTCGGCCTTCTTGGAAGCAGGAATCGAGTGCCAACCGTAGGGCGAGGCAGAGTAGTCGTGAATGCCCGCCTCCAGGGTGCGGTTGCCTTCGCTGGGGTCGTTGAGTCCCCACCGGATGACCTTGTAGAGTGCTTCCTGAGCCACTCCCTCGTCTTCTTCTGATGCTCTGTGGGCATGGGCCGGTGCGCTCTGGACCCAGTCGACGACGGAACGAACCTCGGCCGTTGTGGCATCAACAGTGGCCTGGTACAGGTTCGAATTTGCGTCGTGGTCCATCGGAACCTCGAGACTCCAGACAAGGTTGAGCTTACCCTCGCTCGACTGGACGTAGCTTAGGCGTGCCGAGACAGGGCCCGTAGTTCCAGGTACCGAATGCATCTTCTCAGTGCCGTACTCGTGGCCATCTGCGCGCATGGAGTGCTCAAATGTGGAGACAATCGAGGCAGCTTGCTCTTCGCGCTGGCTTGAGGATGCAGCGAGCGAGGCCGCAAGTTCCTCATCGGCAGTTGCCTCCGAGACAAAGTTGAGCACAGCAAGGCGCGGGTCCACAATTTGGGCCCGGTTGCCGCCAATGACGCGGCCCTTGGCAAGGGCAATGGACCCAGGAAGCCTAGAGCCAAGGTCGAGACCGCGAAGGTAAGGCGAGTCTGACGGGTCATCGCAGTAGAGGTAGAGGTCATCCTGAAGCGACCGGAGCGCATCCGCGTCCTCTTTGCCCTGAGCAAAGACGATCTGATCGCGCTTCGTGTATGAGTGTCCCTCCGTGGAGGTCAGCGAATCGATGGTGGCGCGAATCGATGCGCAGCGCGCCTCGCTCAGCTCGCCGTCTGCCGAAGCATGTATAGGATTGGTGGCAAGCTCAGGCACCTCTCCGCGATAGAGCGAGGTACCATACGTAAGGACCTCGCCTGCAGAGATGAGAGACTGGAAGTCAGTCTACCACCATTCACACATTTCTTGCAGGCGCTCGCTCGCTCACCTTCTGGAGAAAAGACAACGTTGAGGTCGCCATCCTCGACGACAAGCCCATTGATCGTCTGCTTTACATAGGCATAATAGAGTCCGCTCTGACGATCGAGGTACGAGTCATCACGGACGTAAAAGCTTCCTTTGCCCCCCACGAGCGACCTGGCCAAATCGAGGGCAGCCTCGTGGATGGATGACGTCTTTGCGGATGGCGGCATCAACGACGAGGTCTGGGCGGGCTCTGTGACGAATTTGCGATGGCGGTGGTGGGGACCAAAGCCGAGCGACTTGCGCTGCTGGACATGGTGAACCGCGGGGACATCTTTGCCAATATTTAGAGCAAAGTCGTGGGCGTATGCACGAGCATCGTCTTGCTTCAATGCATCGATGGCAGCAGTAGGCGCCGTCAGAACGGCGTTGGTGGAGGCAGCAAGAGCCAACAGGACCGTCGACAAGACGGCCGACCTGGCAAAGTGCCCCATGATGAAGCGCAGCAGAGGCAGCGAGGGAAGGGGGAGTGGTTAGGAGGTCTCTGGTGGTGGTGGTGATGGGAGAGATAAGCGACAGGGGGGTGCCAATGCGAGCGTTGATCAGTGCACGCGACCGAGGGGTTCACGCGATTGTGCGCAAGGGTCGCGAGCCTCGCGGCCGAGATTTCGTCAAATTGCTCGCACGGACGTCGCCCGCCAAGCAGTGCTGGGTGTCACTGTCTGGACGTCTGTGCCTCTAAGTTGAGCGGCCTCTGGGACCTTTCTCTCTTCGTCGAGACCTGGAGGTTTACCTTAGAATGCACGAGATGCACGCTCGATGGAGCTGGGCCAGAACAGCTCTTTTTCGCCAAGGTGCAGAGCATGACGACTCGAGAAGGCATTCAGTGCACCTGTATGACCTGGCAGCATTGAAGGCTCTTTTGTGTATAACTGCTTGAAGACTGAAAAAAGCTTAGATTCTGTCGCTTGCGAGGGGATGAGGGCCCCACAGAGGCACTGCTAGTCATGGTTCAATCGTCCACAAGGCTCCAAAGAGCAGTCAATCCCCCGCCCTATGGCACGAAAACGAGCGGATGGAATAGAAAGTAGTGTCCTGGGCTGCACGCGCATTGACGTTAGGCGTCGCTGCAAGATTTGTAATAAGACTCGCGCCTGCCTAGCGACTCTTTGTCAGCGCGGACCCTTACCTTGAGCCCTGCTCGCCTTTACCAGGCAATACAACTGCTAGCACTACCTCGTAGCTGACGATAAGTAATATTGCAGCCGGCGCACTGAGAGGGCCATCTATCGTTCCTGATTGAGCTAGCGAAAAAAAGAGGAAAGGAGGGAGACGGATTTTGTTCTTCTACCTTGATGAGAGAAGGTAGAAGACTCTCTTCCTCGTCCCTAGACCAGCCGCTGCTTCTCGGCAGAGACTCCGATTCCGATCCTGGCTCCGATATATCTGTCATCGAAATGGAACGGATAGACTCAAAGCAGTCGAAGAAGGCGCACGATGAAGAGGAAGGCACCTTCGAATCGTCGTCGGCTCCCACGGCGCACGTACAGCGCGTCAGGACAAGGCCGAGCCGCGAGGGCGACTTGTCGCTCGATGACCTCTTCGACGAGAGCAAGACGGCAAAGGAGAACAAGAGCACACTCCTGAGCTATGAGCTCGATCGGATGGGCATGGGTCGATACCAGGTGGGTATCCTCGTATTCATTTTCCTGGCTGCTTGGTTTGCAGCACGCTGATTTTTCGATCAAAGTGGTGCGTCTTTTTCCTCTGTGGGCTCGGCTACTTTATCGACCTGCTTTGGGCGCAAGCGTTTGGGCTCATTGCCACGCCGCTCAAGAATGAGACTGGTTTTGGCGCGCAGAGTGAGCAGCAGGCTGGGTCTGTAAACTCATGCGCAAGGCTCAACGTGTGTCTCCCTTTCAAACAGACAGCAATATCGGCACACTCTCGACGGCCTTTTCAGTCGGTCTGACAGTGGGCGCATTCACATGGGGCATCCTCGTCGATGTCGTCGGCCGCAAATGGTCATTCTACTTTACCTGCCTCTGCTCCTCCATCTTTGGCTTGGCATCGGGCGCCCCACCCACCTTTACCGGGCTTCGTGTCCTCGCCGCCTTTGTCGGCTTTGGTGTCGGAGGGAACATCCCCATCGATGCCACCATCACCATGGAGGTGCTGCCCACAAAGAATCGGTGCGTCTTCCGTCAATCTTTCGCCAATTCTCTTCTTTCCTTTTTCACAGGCTGACTCTAGCTTTACTGCAGCTTCCTCCTGGTCTTTCTCTCCCTCTTTCAGCCCGTTGGCGTACTCATCGCGTGCGGCATTGCCTATGGCTTTGTACCCAAGTACAGCTGCGGGCGCGGCGACGCAGACTTGGCCTCGCAGAACATCTACTGCGACCCCAAGGACAACATGGGCTGGCGCTACACCCTTTACACCATGGGCGGCCTCACGCTGGCCGTCTTTCTCTGCCGCTTTCTCGTCTTTCGCTTCAGGGAGTCGCCTGCCTTTCTCGTCAACCGGGGTGATGATCAACGCGCGCTGGCGACGGTGGCCTCGATTGCAAAGATGAACCGCGCGCCCGAGCCACTGTTTACGATGGAAGACTTCAACGAGATCGACCGCAGGTTCGGTGTCGATGTTGAATCGAGAGACCTGGCAAAGGCGCAGCGGGTGCAGACGTACAGCGAGACACTGAAAGAGGCTCTCGGCCGGCTCCGGGGCGTCACCATTCTCTTTCGCAACAGGACCCAGGCACGCACAACGATCGTCCTCTGGCTCACCTACATTGCCGATTTCTGGGTGTGTTGTCGTCCCTGTCGGCTCTTCCAAGCTTTACCTTTGCGTTTGACTCACATTCTCGACAAAAACAGGGCTTCAGCATCGCAGGCTACTACCTGCCCCAGATCCTGGCCGACCGGGGCGTGGAGAACAACGTACCGCTGTCGGAGACGTACAAGGACTACATTGCCATCTATGCGCCGGGCATTGCCGCGTGCCTCATCGCAGGCGCCATGATTGAGGTGCCTCGCATCGGACGACAGGGCGCCATGATCATGTCGAGCGCCCTCATGGCCGTCAGCATGTTTCTCTACACGCTCGTCTCCAGCCAGGCCGGCAGCGTGGGCCTCAATGCGCTCGAGTATTTTATGCAGAGCTTTTTCAACAGTATCCTCTATGCCTTTACCGCAGAGGCTTTTCCCTCGGCTGTCCGAGGCACCGCCGCCGGGCTCACGTCGACGCTGGGTCGCATTGCCAGTGCCGTTGCGCCCCTCGCCGCCGACCAGCTCTACGGCAAGGGCGGCGTCGAGGCGGCCAAGAACACCCTCTACCTGGCCGGCGGCGTCACGCTCATCTGCCCGCTCGCGCTCGCGCTGCTGCCCTTTGATACACGAGGCGTGCGGTCCTATTGATTGTACAGTATCTTTTCTCTTCCCTCCAATGACATGCATGGGAGCACGGACGAGGCCGCTGACATAAAGGGTAAAGGCATGGGTAAGCGGCCTTTCTGCGGCCAAAAGAACAGCGACGGAGCCACCTTCATTTCTGTCGCCGCAACACCTCTGCCTTTCTCTCTCTCTCTTTCTCCTTCTTCCTTTTGGTGGAGAATGAAGCGGGAGATGAACGCGGGGCACAGTGGGCCGAAGCGAGGCCGTGTGAACAGCGCAAGTCCGTCCGCCCCTTGCCGAGTGCCGTGCGAGGAGCGATGGGCGAACCCGTGATGCGATTCGCGGCCCTCTCTGCCAATCTGTGATACGTTCAATGGGCACACGGTGGCGAGGCCCTGTGGCCTGATCATGCGCTTGAGCGATGGTCTCGATGCCCATCGGCCGCGGTGCTCCACCACGGCCACACGACGCGTTCACGAATAAGCAAAGGGGGAAGGGAGATTGCCGACGCTAACGAGCAGAATGCAGTTGGGCCTACGAGGCCGGCAATACAGGCGAAAGAGCCGAATTAATTCGCGTTCCTTGCAACAACAAAGGTAGGGTGCTGATGTGCTGAATTCTTTCGGGAATCTCCCCTTCTGACAGGGCGACTGACGACGTCGTGCCTTTCCCCCGCATCCATGCTAGGAACAAGGTGCATTGGCAGAGACAGGAAATGAGAAAGATTGCCGATGAGTCCCCCCCCCCTTCCATTGCTTCCTCCTCTCTCGTCTCTCCGCCCCCTCTGCGTCTCTGCGTAGGGTCTCAAGGCAGGAGAAAGTGACAGAGGGAAGGAATTGCCCCACACTACGGAGCTTGCCCTGTACCCCGACGAGCGAGAGCGGCGCTCAAGCGCGCGAGAACACATATAGACAAAAAAGACGGGGGGGGGAAAGGGGACAAGTGATGATATAAAGGGGTCCGCCCGACGATATTCTGCCGTCGCTCCGTCCGCCCGCTCAGTGCGCCACTCTAAAGCCGCCTCTCTGCACACACAAGCCCACGCACACGAACACGCACATACCCCCTCATCCGATATCACGCGAACACTTTGCTGCGCACACTTTACCCCTACGACCTTGTCTCTCCAGCAGGTTCCTTCTAAAATTTGCCTGCCTCGCACCGAATCACATCATAGCCAGCCATGTCGGAGCACACCTCCTCCTCGTTCCGGGACAAGGACGACACGGCCAAGTCGCCCGGCGCCCTCGAGACGGGCGTCCAGGATGCCAACGAAAAGCACCTCGACATCATCCATGGCCACGACGACGGCGATGTCGCCCCCACGCTCAGTGGCAGCGGCAGCACCAGCCAGGGCGCCCAGATCACGCTGGCGTCGCTGCTGCTCGGCGTCGGCATCTGCGTCGGCGGCTTCCTCTTTGGCTACGACATTGGTGTCATCAGTGGCTGCCTCGTCATGCCCGACTTTATCAACCGCTTCGGGGCGCCCGATCCCAAGAACCCGGGCCTCAACTACCTGCCCGACGAGCACTCGTCGCTCATCACCTCTCTCCTCTCTGCCGGCACCTTTTTCGGCGCGCTGCTGCAGGCGCCCGTGTCCGACTACGCAGGCCGCAAGGCGAGCATGCTCGTTTGGGCTGGCTTCTTCACCGTGGGTGCCATCGTGCAGACGGCCTCGGGCGACAAGTCGCAGTCGGCCAACCTGGCCCAGATTGTCGCGGGCCGCTTCATTGCCGGCCTCGGCGTCGGTGCCCTCAGCGGCCTCTGCCCCCTCTACCTCGCCGAGACGGCACCCAAGTCGATTCGCGGCGCCATGGTGTCGTGCTACCAGCTGCTGATCATCTTTGGCATCTTTCTCAGCTACGCAATCTCCTATGGCACCCACCACATCGAGACGTCGTCGGCCAGCTGGCGCGTCCCCGTCGGTCTCCAGTGCGCCTGGGGTCTCGGTCTCGTCGCCATCATGATCTTTTTGCCCGAGAGTCCACGCTGGCTCCTCCAGCGCGAGCGGCCCGTCGAGGCACGCAGGATCATGGCCAACATGCGCGGCATCACGCTCCAGTCACAGCAGCATAACCCCATTCCATCATCATCATCATCATCAAAAAAGGGCATTAATGACAACGACGGAGCACTGCGCGGCGACGCGGCCATGGAGGCCGACCTGCAGGAGATGGTCGAGGGCATCGAGGCCGAGGCGGCGGCATTTGCCGGGCGCAACTACATCACCGCATACGCCCTCTGCTTTGGCCGCAAGGGCCAGATGTGGCGCCGGACGCTGACGGGCATGATGCTCCAGACGCTCCAGCAGCTCTGCGGCCAGAACTTCTACTACTACTACGGCCCCACCTTTTTCAAGGCCGCCGGCACGCAGCTGGACCCGCTGCTGATCCAGCTCATCTTTGGCGCCGTCAGCCTCGCCTGCACCGTGCCGGCGCTCATCACGATTGAAAACGTGGGCCGGCGCAAGTCGCTCCTCGTCGGCGCGGCCGCCCAGGCCTTTTGCGCCTACGTCGTCGCCTTTGTCGGCCACTATGGCCTAGCGCCCGACAAGCAGGCGCCCCAGAATGCGTCGCAGCGCAACTCGGCAAATGCATTCATTGCCTTTGCCGTCTTGCACCTCGCCGCCTTTTCTGCCCTCTGGGGCCCCACGCCCTGGGTCTACCTCTCCGAGTCGTTTCCCCAGCACCTGCGCGCCAAGTCAATCAGCCTGGGCAGCGCCGCCAATTGGTTCTGGAACTTTATGCTCAGCTACTTTTCCAACAAGATTGCTGCCAAGTATGGGCCGTTTATCATGCTCATCTTTGGCTCCGTCATGATCTTTGCGGTCCTTTTCGTCTTTTTCGCCGTGCCCGAGGTCAAGGGCCTCACGTTGGAGCAGGTCGATGAGATGTACGACGACCGCTCCGTCCGGCCCTGGAACTCGGCACGGTGGACGCCGTCGACGGGCCACGACCGCAACCGGAGCGCAGTGGGCATCAGCCACCTCGTCAAGCTGAGGCGCGACGCCAGACGTGGGACAGGGCCTCTCCAGTAGCTAGTGTCTCTCTCTCTCTCTCTCTCTCTCTTCTCTCTCAATGAAATGACACGAAATGAAAATCACATCGAGCTGGGTGAATAAATCTCTTTTTCGAGGATGATAAATTTTGCAGGGAAGGGTTTCGAGAGCCAGACACTGTTCAGAGAAGTGAAGCGATTGGTATGCACGCAAGCTGAAATAGAGCAATCTACAATTGGGAGAGGGACGACGACGACAACAGACGGATGTGCTAGTGCTGCTGCGGAGGGCCGTTCTTTGCGGCCGCCTGCTCGCGCCGGCGCTCGAGCCAGACCCAGATGGGAATCGTGAGGAGCAGGACGACGAGCCAGGCCATGAGGATGCCCCAGTACTTGAGCAGCGTCGAGTGCTGGCCGACGTTGAAGACGATGGTGAGGTAGGCCTGGCGGAGGTTGTAGAACGGCAGCGCGTAGCCGAGCTGGTAGAAGCGGTTCTGCAGCTCAATCGGCAGGTTGGCCACCGAGACGTTGATGATGATGAAGAACAGAAGCGCAAAGCCCTGGTAGGAAAAGAACAAGTCAGCTTGTGGAAAGAGAGCAGCGAAAGGAGGAGTAGGAGGAGGAGAAGACGCACAATGAAGGGCGGCCCGACGAGGGCGAGGAAGGCCTCGGTGGTGAGGCCCAGGACGGCCATGCCGACGAGGGAGAAGCCGTAAAAGGCAAAGAAGCCGGCCGCATTGCCTTCGCCCATCTTGGCAAAGTCGAGCTTGAAGGGCAGGTTGATCATCGAGAACATGAGCGAGAGCCAGACGTAGGCGACCAGGGGCACAATAAGGCGCATGACAATGTACGACGACAGCTTGAGCTTCCGCGCCAGGCCCTGGCGCATGCCAAAGTTGCCCATGGTGATGTTGAAGGCGAGAATCATGAGGTAGATGAGGCCGACGAATGTGGGCGCCAGTGCCAGCGGCTGGTCAAAGGGCCGCGTGTTGAGCATCGTCATGCCCACGGCCGGCGCGATTGTCTGGGGCGCCTGCGTGGCTGCGCGCGTGATTGCGGCGGCGTTGCCCGAGTTGGCCGCGAGCCAGGACGCGGCGGAAGCGGCCGAAATGCGGGCGAGGACGGGCGTGAGGACGCCGCGGACAGAGCCGAGAATGGGGCCATCGATGGCAATCTGGTTGCGCGCCTCGGCGTAGGCGACGGTGACGACCTGCGTGGGGTCCCAGCTGGCCTGTCCGGCGTTGCGGGCCGACTCGAGGGCGGCGGTGGCATTGGCCAGGACCTCGACGATGATCCACGTATCAAAGTCGACGGCGACGGCCTGCTCGATGCTCGCCCGCGTCGGGTAGCGTGCAGCGTCGATCTCAGTCCACGTCAGGTGCGGGATCGGGCCCTTGTTGGTCGACAGCAGCGCACCCGTCACGTTCTGGCCGATGGCACCCGTCGGATCGCGGTTGACGACGTAGGCCGAGATGTTGGGCGTGTGCTCGTACTCGCCAGAGAGGGAGCCCCAGTAGCTGTGGTGGTTCTTTGTTAACCAGCCAGCCAGCTTTGACGGAGGACGGGAAGCAACTCACATGGTCACGATGCCCCAGATGAGGATGGTAATGAGGGCAGTCACACGGAGAATGCCGATGAGATATTCCTTGCGCATCGGCGCCAGCTCCTTGTCCCAGAAGCCGTGGGTGTACATTGGGCCTTGCGGGGGACCACCACCGGGGGCGGGGGCAGCGGCGGCCTGAGACTCTTCATCGTGCTCCGGGGTCACCTTTTCTGCCGGCGGCTGGCCATCGCCCTCGACGGACTTGTGGCTGTTGTGGCTTGGCGAGGTCGTGCGCGACGCCATGACGATCTCTTCGCGCGATGTCCGCATCTGGTTCCTTCCGGGTCCGTGATTAGAAATCACAGTGGACGGGACAAAGGAGAGAGAAAAAGAGAAAAGTGCTCGTTGGTGGTGTTCGATGTCAGAGAACACAGAATCTTTCTCTCTCTCTTTATACTCTCGCTCGTTCTTGGTACAGTTGCGAAGAAGTCAGCCTCCTGTCCGACAGCTGTCCGCGGGGCCTGCGCAGCTAGTCTAGGGGACGCAAGAAGCACCGAAGAGTGGGCAGAGAAATCAAATAAGCCGCTACCTGATCGGAAGTCAATAGTAGTGTAGTTCACTGGAGAACATATGCGGATGGCTTTGTGACTTTTCTTTAATTTCTCCGTTCAGGCACTGGCCCGCAGTGGCAGGTTTGGAGTGGGTGTAGGTCTGGATCATGACAATCACCGGACGCGGAGTTTGTCTCGCAGAATAGTGTAGATGTCCAGAATGAAATTTCAACAATATTGCTCAGAACCCGCGGGCCTGAAACCCCGTCTATTTCCGTTGGCCCGCGCGCAGGCCCTTCCTCCCTCCACTGGAAAAAAGAAAGGAAAGAGTGGTACGCGAGAGCCACCGCGGGTTCCAACTTTTGGTTTTTCAGTTGACAGGAAGGAAATAGGGCATTAGACTAGAAGAGGTGCGCAGCCTGTGTCAAGGGCAGCGCAGTCGCTGCAGGAACGGTACAGAGCTCGCCATCTGCCAGCACGTCGTAGCTCTCTGGATCGACGGTGAGCTTGGGCAGGGCGCTGTTGAGCTTCATGTCGGACTTTGTCACTTTCCGACACCCGACGACAGCCTCGACGCGCTTCCGCAACCCGTACTCGGCGATTGTTCGGGTGCTGATCGATACGCCGCTCACAAAGGCGATACTGTTGAACGGGGCCGCACATGGCTTAGCTCCGTACATGGGTCGGCCGTAAATGGGCTGCACCGTTGGAATCGATGCATTGGCGTCTGATTTTTTTTTTTAATTTGCAGGATCGGGTCAGCCCAATCTCCCTCCTTTTGCTCACGAAAACGGTACGGTCATCAAAGGCTCACCTCCCATTTGCGCCCAGGCAATCTGACCGCCCTTGATGATCATCTCTGGCTTGGTGCCAAAGTTGCTCGGCTTGTACAGCACCAGGTCCGCCAGCTTGCCCTCCTCGACCGAACCGATGAGGTGCGACATGCCGTGCACGATGGCTCTGTGTGTGGGAAGAGAACATTCAGCTTTGTTTCAAATCGGCATTCGATTCCCCAGTCTCACGGGTTGATGGTGTATTTCGCAACATATCGCTTGACGCGATTGTTGTCGTTTCCTGCAGCGTCGCCATCCAGGGGCCCGCGCACCTGGCGCATCTTGGCTGCCGTGCGCCACGTGCGACTGACCACCTCACCGATGCGGCCCATGGCCTGGGAGTCGGAGGAAATGATGCTGATGGCGCCCTGGTCCTGGAGCACGTCTTCGGCCGCGACCGTCTCGGCGCGGATGCGCGAGTCGGCAAACGCCACGTCCTCGGCAATGTTCTTTGACAGGTGGTGACAGACCATGAGCATGTCCAGGTGTTCGTCCAGTGTGTTTTTGGCGTATGGCCGTGTCGGGTTCGTGCTCGATGGCAGCACGTTGCTCTCGCCGCAGACGGTGATGATGTCGGGTGCATGGCCTCCGCCCGCTCCCTCCGAGTCTGAAGCAGAAGCAGAGGGGGTCAGCGAGTGCATACATACCTTTCTCTCTTGTGCTCTGTCAAACTCACGGTAGGTATGGATGGTGCGACCCTTGAATGCGGCAATGGTGCCCTCGACAAAGGAAGACTCGTTGAGCGTGTCGGTGTGGATGTTGCACTGGACGTCGAACTGGTCGCAGACGCTGAGGCACGTGTCGATGGCGCGCGGCGTGGTGCCCCAGTCCTCGTGCAGCTTGAGACCCGCACAGCCAGCGCGGATCTGCTCCTCGAGCGGACCCGGATTGCTGTCGTTGCCCTTGCCTGTGAATGCAAAGTTGAGGGGAATGTCGTCGGTGGCGCGCAGCATGAAGCGTGCATGGTCTTTGCCCGGCGTGCACGTCGTGGCCGACGAGCCAGACGAAGGCCCAGTGCCGCCGCCGATGACCGTGGTGATGCCCGAAGCAAGGGCCTCTTCGCACAGATCAGGGCAGATGTAGTGGACATGGGCGTCAATGGCGCCCGCAGTGACGATGAGGCCCTCGGCTGCGACGACGTCGGTGCACGACCCCACGTACATGCCCTCGGTGACACCATCCATGACGTCGGGGTTGCCGGCCTTGCCGATGCCGACGATGTGGCCGTTCTTGATGCCGATGTCGGCCTTGACGACACCCCACCAGTCGACGATGAGCGCATTGATGACGACGGTGTCGAGCGTCTCGGCGTCGGCCTTTCCCGTCATCTGGCCCATGCCATCGCGCAGCACCTTGCCTCCACCAAACTTGCACTCGTCTCCAAACGCAGTCATGTCCCGCTCCACCTCGATCCAAAGCGGGCTGTCGGCCAGGCGGACCTTGTCGCCCACCGTGGGGCCGTACAGGGCCGCATATGCCTCTCGACTGAGGCTGCAGGGTGGCGGGGCGGCGAGTGCCTCGGCGCTCTCGCTCTCGTCTTGGAACCTGCCCGACGTGATGCGGCCCTTGACCTCGGCGAGGAGGGCCGCATTGGAGGCGAGGGCCGAGAGGGGACCGTTGTAGATGCCGTTGCCGCCTGCCACGATCTGGTTGCCGGCGATCCTCACCATCGGCACCGTCTTTACGTCGCCCGGCTCGAAGCGCACTGCCGTGCCTGCTGCGATATCCAGACGGAAGCCGATGGCCGACAGGCGAGCAAAGAGCAGGGCAGGGTTCGTCTCGTGGAAGGGATAGTGAGAGCCGACCTGGATCGGCCGGTCGCCCGTGTTTGTCACCTTCATCGCCAGCCGCTCTCTTCCGGGCGACAGGACGATGTTGTCGGCGTTTTGCTTGACCACGACTGCGCCCGAGAGCCCCTCGGCGTCCTCCTCTGCCGGACCAAAGAGCCTGTCGTTGGGCACGGGCAGGAAGCTGCCGTAGAGGGCATCCTTGAGGTTGCCCTTTGCCGTGCAGATGGGGTCGTGGACGGTGACCAGGAAACATCCATCGTGGAATGTGCCCTCGACCATGACCTCGTACAGGAGCGATTCGACGCCTGGCAGCACATGGTTGCGGCCCAGGAGCGTCTTGCCGTGCTGCATGAGCTCGGCGACGCTGTGATTGCCATCCCGGATCCGTTCCTGGAGCACCGAGGCAATGAGGGCAGTCGCCTCTGTCTGGTTCAGGCGCACCCCCCTGGCGAGCCTCTTTTGCGCCAGCGATCCGACCTGGTGCAAGAAGATCTTGTCCTTTTCCCTCGGTAGCAGATGCATCCTGTCTCACTAGCTAGGCCTGCCCTCTAATAAGCCGCGGGGTGGTTGTGGGTGAGCCGAGAAGAAGATAAGGCAATAGGCCCGTGCGGGAACGACTGTTAGAACACCACGTGTCCAAGGATGGAACAGAGCGAGCCTAAAATCTAAAGTTGGCCGGGCGAGGCGACCCTGCTGGTGAGTGAGTGCGTGTGAGACGACTGTCTCTTCTCCCGACCGCCTCTGCCCATCATGGCCGAGAAGAAGGATGAGACGGTGGGAGAGGACGAACGCCGAGGTCCTCGGAGACACTACACGCATGCTAGCACGCCCTCGGCGCTCCCCTCGTTTGCGTCGGGCATTCCAACCGATCTGCTGCTGGCCCTGCTCCTCGACAAGACGCTCCTCGCTTCATCGGCTCTCCTGGCCCGGCACTGGCTTCTGACCGGCCATTCCGAGGCAGTGCACAACCCTATTACCGATACAAATGTCACCATCGATGATTCTGATAGTGGTGCAGCGGCGGTCGCCAAGGCATCGTCGGTTGCTACAGGTGTCGCGTCGCCGTGGGCCATCGCGACGACAATCTTCATCTTGGCTGCTATCGCCCAGACGGCCTGGTTCCGCTCCTGGCAGTGGATCCCGGCACTAAAGCGATCAGACCCCCAGATGAAGGTCCTACCGAAGAAACTTGCCCTTCTAGGCTCCGTCATGTTCTTCTCTGTCGTCCTGTGGCTCGTTGCGCTCGAGCGGCTAGGCGCGACGACGTGAGTGACGTGCTTGCATGATGAACGAGCGCCGGAGCTGACTGGACTTCCCCACAGTGTCATTCTCTTTACCCAATTCTGCGAGGTATGGGCCGGCGATCTAGCCCGGTCGATGAAGTCCAGGGCCCATGGATCATACATCATCCTCGCCGCCCTGCTCATTTCCTTCATCACCCACCTCATCTTCCCGCCGACGGGCAAAAACCCCGCCGAGGAGTCTCTTTTAGGTCCCTCAGGTGATATGTGGCTCGACGAAGACCTCAACGAGCTGCCGCCCTCGCTTCGGCACCAGCGACCCATGGGCCTGGCCAGTCCCTCTGCGCTCCGCGCCGCATCGCTGCAGGCCGACCTCGAGGCAAAGAGCTATTCGCCAGCGGGCGTGCTCCTCGGCCATCTCTGCTTGCTGGTATTCGGCTTGCTCTGTGTCGAGCGGGACCGAGCGTCCGTAGCAGCCAGCACAGAGGCAGGCGGACGAAGACGGGCGCAGGTGCTGGCATGCACCGCGACGGCGGCCGTCGCAGCAGTCATCGGCCTCTTTGGGACAATCTTGGTATGTGCTCACTGATTGCTCTTCTTTCGACCAACTCCTTGGCTGACTTTGAGTTCCCAAAAAGGGACTGTCGACCTTTCCGCCGCTCGAGACTTTCTCGCCCAACTTTCACAGCAGCGCAGGGCCAACGTATACCGCGCCAACCCAGTCAGGCCACCTGCCCGCATACATTCTCCTCTCACTTTCCCTCTTTATCCTAGAACCGCTCGTGGGGGCTGCAATTGAGCCCCACGCCAACGCCACGGCGAGAGTCACCCAGGGCTGGCCCCTGGCGGTGGGCGCCGTCGTCATTGTGGGCAAGGTCGGCTTTGGCCTGCCGTGGAAGTGGAGCGATGCCATCGTTGGCGCTATTGCCGGATGGGGTGAGTGTCATTGGAGGTTGCGAGGATCCGCAAGCTGACGTGGGGATCTCCCTTCATCAAGGCCTTCGAACGATTCTCAAGACGTCGCCTGTCTATGCAGAAGATGATGACGATGCGACGGCCGATGGCAGTGCCGGAGCTTCAAGGCCTACACACCGGCGAAGCGTGTCTGATGGAGCGGCCCTCATCGAGGTTTTGGTCTCGCTGAAGTCCTTCCTAGGCAGCCTCAGAGCAACCGTCAGCGTCATTCTGGCCCAGCCAGATTCTCGCAAGATCTTTCAATTCCTCTGCCTCAACCTCGTCTTCATGGTTGTGCAGCTCATCTGGGGTGTGTGGACCAACTCGCTCGGCCTCATTTCCGACGCCATCCACATGTTCTTTGACTGTGCCGCCATCGGCATGGGCCTCTTTGCCGCCGTCATGGCCTCTTGGAAGACAGACAAGACGTTTACTTATGGCTATGGACGGGTAGAGACGCTGAGCGGCTTTGCCAATGGCGTCTTTCTCATCCTCATTTCCGTCTTTATCGTCTTTGAGGCCGTCCAGCGGATCATTGTGCCACCCGTGATGCACAACACGAGGGAGCTTCTCATCGTCAGTGGCATGGGTCTCGGTGTCAATCTCTTTGGAATGTACGCCATGGGCGGGCATCATCACCATCACGGCCACTCGCACGGCCACGGACACGATCATGGCCACGGGCACGGGCACGATCACGGCCACGGTCACTCGCACAACATGATGGGTGTCTACCTCCACGTTATGGCCGACACGATGGGGTCCGTCGGCGTCATTCTCAGCACGCTCCTGATCGAATGGTACGGCTGGACGGGCTTCGACCCCATTGCCTCTCTCTTTATCGCATTCATGATCGTCGCCTCGGTCGTGCCCCTCGTCGTCGACGCGGGCCGCATTCTCTGTCTGGACCTGGGCGAGGAGCGGGAAAAGGAGGTGCAAGAGGCCCTCGAGGCCCTCGACGCAATCGACGGCGTCGCCTCGTGGTCCGAGCCCCGCTTCTGGCCAAAGGACGCAGAGACGCTCGTCGGGACGATTCGGGTGCAAGTCCGGGTGAGAGAGAGGGCAAATGGAAAGGACCACAGCGGAGGTGGAGAGGGAGTCAAGGCAGCTACTGCCTCGGCCACTTCCAATGGCACGACGGCGACGGTGACGACGATGGGTCTGCTGGAGCCCGTGTGTGTGCCCGAAGAGGTGGCGGCGTCGGTGGAGGCACTCTTGAAGAGCCGCATCGAAGGCCTCGAGATGCTCTCGATTCAGCTTGAGAGGGGCGCCCCGGGCGGCAGCGTAGAGGACAGAGTCGAGGCTGTCTCGTCGTGACACACACACCCACACACACTTCTGCTTCCTAAAATCAGCACATGTCAGCACTTGCATTTTCCGTTCCTTGAGTCAATCAAATTAGAGAGCAAAGCCGAGTGGCGAGAAGAGCGAGAGAGAAACCAAGGGAGGGTGGGTAGGTAGTAACAAATGTCAATAAAGGAGTGGTATGCAATGATGGGGGAAGGGTGCGGGGGTGTGGCAGTGATATTAGTCGCCGCCCTTGTCGACGCGCTGATCGCCCGTCTGGCCTCTCCAGACGCCGTCCTTGTCGACCTTGCCATACAGATGCGTGCTCTGGTTGCGCCTCAGACCCCTGTCCCATTCGTCGACAATCGTCTTTCCGTCGAGCATGACGTTGATCTCCTGGGAGTGGTACCAGCTCTGCGTGTCCTGGTTCCCGCTGCCGATGATGGCCACCTCGCCGTCGAATTGGGCATACTTTACGTGGCAATTGCGCTGCTTGCGGACCGCATTTAGTGGTCTTGTCATGTCTTTGCCCGTGTACCAGTACACCTCGAGATACTGCTCGTCGCCCTTGCCCTCTCGGCGAAGCTGGCGATAGAGGCGCGTGACGACGCTCTCGTTTGTCCCGCCCTGGAAAGGCATGCTCTCGGACTTGTCGTTGAAGCCGAGGCCGAGCCACAGCTCGACGCGGACATGGCGCCGGCAGGCGTGCAGGACGGCATGCTTGATCGGCGTAGCATTGAGCGTGGGGCTCTGCACAAAGACGTGCTTCTTGGCATATCGGAATCCCGCGAGCCATGCGGCATCCTGAGCGTTGCGAATGTCGGAGTGGCCCGGTGTGCCGTGCGGCCTTCGGTTGACGAGGGCCATGGGAACGGGCGAATGAGGTGCGTGGAAGATGTACGGGTTGAAGTCCAAGATGCTGCTTTCCTTCTCTCCCGACACCTGCGCAGCCCCGCGCTGAGCCATGGCAGCCAGCTGTTCGGCCGTGATCTCACCCTTGACCTGCGATAGATTGGCAAAGTCTAGCGATTTGGTAATGGCCGCTAGGCGTTCCGACGCAGACGCCCTTGACAAGTTTGAGAGCGTCCGCCGATGGGCCGCGCGGTAGGCCTGCGAGCCTGGAGCGGCTGCTGCCTCCTCCTTTTTGTCGCCAGACGGTGCCCCTCCGAGCATGACATCCCCTTGCTTCTGTTCTTCCGGCGATGATGTCGACGAAGAGCTGTCGTCGATCGCACTGCTGGTGGCCAATTTGCCATCTTCCTGGCTCTGCGTCCCATTCACTTGAGTGCTCGCCGAGCTGGGGAACGAATAGTGCGAGTCTTTCAGACCCGTCGACTTGCCATGCTTCTCTTCTTCGTCCTGGAGGCCAACTTCGAAGGGTTTGGGGTCTTCGTCGTCTTTCTTGCTCGCTGTGTTGTCATCGTCTGTCGCCTTGGGATCGATGCCATCGCCTTGTGGCGCCGTGGTATTGAGTGGAGCTTCCTCATTGACGCTTTGGGGCACCTTGATTCCTCTCGCGGCAGCGTCTTTTCGCTGGCCCTTGCTCCTTCTCGCATCGTCGGCCACATTGCGACTACTGCTGGGACCCAGTCCAAAGGCATCAAGAGCGCCTTCGGCCCAGAGGGCGGGCTTGATACCTTCCTTTTCCATCAGGCTATTAACCACATCTGCAAAGCTTTGCCGTCGGTGCTGAGGCGACGATGGCTGCGTGGCCGCCGGAGGAGACCCATTTGCACCTTCGGCATTCGCGGGCGGTGTCGCCGAGGCGGTGGGCGTGGAAGGACTCTGGAGCGAGGAGAAGCGCTCACCCAGCACCTTGCGAGCCCACTCGGCACCAGCGTTTCTCGTAGCTCGGTCCCGGTCGGCGGGCGACATCTCACTGCCACCTTCTTGAGCACCAGTGGTCATGCTGGGTGCCGGATTCGACGTCGAAAAGGCGGCGGCTGCAGGCGAAGGTGGGTGGCCGTTGCTGTGGTGCTGTCCCTTCATGACGTTCTCCACCACATCGGCCAAGCTCAAGCGACGCTGGGGACCGGAACTCATCATCCAGCCCTCGCGCTGCTTCTCGCCCAGGTCTTCGGTCTCGACATTCTCCTCCTGCAGCCTTAGTCGAGCCGCACGGGCAATCTCGCGCAGACGAGAGGCAGTAACCCTGGGCAGACTTGTATTTGACTCTGCGCTCGTCGAAAACGACGACTGGGGAGGATCTTTGGTCGCGGGCGAGGCCATGCAGGGCAGCGGCGGGTTGAGACGGTTGCCCCAGGAGATGAGCGCATGATCGTAGACGGAATTGACAATATCGCCCTCGAGGCGAGTGCATGCCTCGATGTTGGGTCGATCCTGGATGTTGTTGGAGTTGATGAGGGCCACCTGCCGATCGACGAGGAGCAGCTTGGCGTGAAAGGTGCCCATGAGGGGGCGGTGGTAGTTGAGGATCTCGACGGAGAGGTTGGGCACCTCGTGCTCCTGGGGCAGGCCGTTGGCCTTCCACATCGACGGGTACACCTGCTTGCGCAGTCGAAACAGGTCGGCCAGCGTCTGTGGCCCTCGATCCCACATGATCTTGACGACAATCTGCTCCTCCAGCGTCGGCTTTGGTAGGCTCGCATCCTTCTCCTCGGCTTTGTCCTCGCGTTGCTTGTCCTCGGCGTGGCCGTTGGCGTTGCCATTGGCCCCAGCTGCTGCTGCTGATCCCTCGCCCTTCTCCTTTTGTCGCTCGAGTCTTCGTTGTCCCTGGCGCTTGTCGAGCTTCCGCAAGGCCTCGGCGATGCGGTCGACATTTTTGCCCATCTGCCAGTAGTTTGTCAGGAGGATCACCTCCTTCTTTGCGGCGACGATGCAGTCAACGTAGTGTTGAATGATGTCGGGCCCGGTGGAGAAGATGGTGAAGGGGACGATGCCGGTGGTGGCCAGGAGCGGGGGCGAGCAGACGCCCGACATTGGATTCCTGGGCAGGGGCAGCAGCGCATCGGCAAGCATCTGCGTGGGCGTTGGAGGTCAAAAGGATCAGCTTGCTGCATCGGATGCGCTTTTGAAAGTGAAAGCGAGACACTGACCATCATGAATAGCCGGCCAGGGCCGCCGTCTTTCTCAGACTTGTAGCCATACTTTTCCCTGATTGCTTGCAGCTCTTCGTCGCTCGGCTCGACATTGCCCTCATGGACGGCGCCCTTGTGCCAGTTCCAGTGCCTGCCTCTGCCTTCCTCGAGCTGCTCCTTGATCTTGCCCCGGAGCACACCACGCTTCCACGCGGGCGGCGAGGGAAAGAGCCGTTTTGCGGCCTTGTTGGCCGACAGCGATGGATCAGCGGCCAGGGCCGACGTGATGGTCGCCTGATCCGATTGCGGCGACGCAGCAGCGCTGGCCGCAGCCGCGTCCTGGGCCTTTTCCGCCGTCTTTTTGGATGGTCGAATCGTCATGGTCTGATGCTACGCCGAGCGAGCGAGATGTATGAGGAAAAGATCGAGCAGGATGATCGTGGCCGAGCGAGGTACAGAAAGTGCCAAGCTTCGGGCAACAGGTGCCGTGGTAGAGCGCCGGAAGTAGCAAGCCGTCGTCGAGAGAGGTGGGGAGCCAGCCAAGCCTACCAAGAAAAAATAATAATAAGTGGAGCTGGGGAGAGAGGCTCGATTTGTGGCTTGGACCTCCCCCTTTTGCAACGCAACGATACCCTGGGCTCGATGCCGCCGGTTGAGATAAATGCTCGGTTTGTGCAGGCTAGTAATAGCAGGTGGTGGTTTGCCGATCAGCTCGTCGCAAAAAATAGGGAGGGCTGGACCGCTTTATGTTGCGAAATAAACAAGAAGAAAGGAGAGGGGAAGTTCCTGTTCTTGACAGGGCCGGGCGACCAAGGCACACACAGTTAGTCGCGTTTCGCCCGCTTTCGGCACTCGCTAGCTCCACGAGCGCGTTGCCTTTTCTGCGCGTCCAACTTCGCAACAAAAAGATGAGTATCCTGCTTTAGGGCGTGGCGGTGCAGGGCTAGTAGTAGCGACTGTCACACATGACATCACATGGCTTTGGCTTAAGTGACTGAGCGAGAAAACAGTCCTACATTGCGGATGGCGAGTACATCGGCTCTTTGTGACAATACTTAGCTGGTCGCGTATCTTCCCAAGCGCGCGTGCAAGGCCTGTGCTCCTCAAACCGCCGCCAGCCGGCTTTGCAACTTAGCGGGAGAATGAATGGATTAGGTATCTAGGTATCTAAGAGACAGGCTCAGGAAAAAAAGAAAAAAAAAAACGAGAACTGCAGCACCCAGGATTCCCGCGTGGTCCCCCACCGCAGTACTGACTAGGCGATACCGTGCTTAACTTCGCAGATCGGACGGGATGCGGTGCTTTCACGGTTCTATGGCCGCAGATAGAATGTGTAGTTATGAGACTGAATATACCTCAATCTTGACGCGAAGGCGCAGAGCCCTGCTTCGTTACGGTTTGCAATCTGTGCAATCACGATTCGATACCTTGGCTGTCTGCAGACCATTCTCGTGATTGAGCTCTGCTTCGCTTGGCACAAAGATGCAATACAGCACTCACACACGCTTCGCGCTCCTTCCAGCCTTCTATGGCCTCAGATGGAGTACTCGCGAACCTTGTCTTACCTTTTTGCGCAGATCATGTCCACCAAGCTATGCCAGTGTCCTTGCCTACTTTGAGATGTGTCCGTCTCGCGCTCCTCGGCATGTCGAAAGTCGCATCTAGCATGGAAGGGTGTGCTTTCTATCCAGTATATTGGTTGGACATCGGCAACTGCGAGATCAGAAACTCGGACCGTGCCACTCGAAGGGCGATCTCTGGCGCGAGGGTCACCTCTTCATCATTTTCCTCCTTATCGCGTGCAGTCGTGTAGTGTGTGTGAGTGCTGTATTGCATCTTTGTGCTGAGCGAAGCAGAGCTCAATCACGAGAATGGTCTACAGACAGCCAAGGTATCGAATCGTGATTGCACAGATTGCAAACCGTAACGAAGCAGGGCTTCTCACCACGTCGTCCTCTTGACAAAGCGCTTGCATCGTCAGACAGCTGGTCACGTGTTGAAGCGAAGTCAACTGTTTGGCTACCGGTATTTCTCTGTGGCCGCAAGTGCAGACGAAAATATACATTGGATTGGACGCTCTAGACCATGTCGCTGATCATCCAATGAGCGCAGTGGAGACGGTCACGCGGCCGAGCCGTGTATAGAAGCTCGGTGGGTCCCGGTGATCGCAGCAGCAGACACAAGTGGCTTGCGAGCTTGGCCCCCAGGTGGACCGTGCTGGTTGCTAACTAAATTTATAGTTGAGTTGTACTGTACGTGGTGTGGGTCACGTCCGATTAAGGATTAGGCACTAGCGCAGTCTCAGGAATACCCGCCTCCACCCCGGCTACAAGGAGATAGTCTTCTGACGCAGAAGCCTCCAGCCTTGTGACTGACTTTTTACCCTTCGCTTCTTCGCTTCTTGTGTTGCGCAGGCCGAGTCCCACTCCGTATTGCCACTCTTCTGAATATATAGATCCAGAAGCCGGTCTCCTTCTCTGCTTCTCCACCCTTCCTACCAAAACATATTCACAATGGCCCCCCCTACTGTCTCTCTCAGCTTCCCCCACGGCGGCAAGTCGTCGTTCAGCGGCGGCCTGTTCATCAACAACGAGTTCGTCGCGGCAGGCGATGGCAAGACATTCGCTGTCGTCAACCCTTCTGACGGCAAGGAGATTGCGCAAGTCGCTGAGGCTAGTGCCAAGGACGTCGATGTGGCCGTCAAGGCTGCTCGCAAGGCCTTCAACGAGTCGTGGGGCCTCAACGTGCCCGGCTTCAAGCGTGGCCAGCTGCTCATCAAGCTCGCCGAGCTCATCGAGGCCAACCTCGAGGAGATCGCCGCCATCGAGTCACTCGACAACGGCAAGGCTTTCAGCATCGCAAAGGGCTTCGACATCACCGAGGTGGCCGCCAACATCCGATACTACGCTGGCTGGGCCGACAAGAACCACGGCAAGGTCATCGAGGTCGACTCGAGCAAGCTCCACATCCAGCGCCAGGAGCCTATGGGCGTGTGCGGCCAGATCATCCCCTGGAACTTCCCCGCGTTCGTATCCTTTCTCTCTGCATCCTTCTTTCGCATTCACCTGCTGACTTGCCATCCTCTCCAGTCTCATGTTCGCCTGGAAGATCGGACCCGCCCTTGCCATGGGCAACACCATCGTCCTCAAGACGGCCGAACAGACGCCCCTGTCGGCTCTCAAGATGTGCGAGCTGATCAAGGAGGCTGGCTTCCCACCGGGTGTTGTCAACGTCATCTCGGGCTTTGGCCCCGTTGCCGGCGCGGCCATCGCCAACCACATGGACATCGACAAGGTCGCCTTCACCGGCTCCACTCTTGTCGGCCGCAACATCCTCAAGGCCGCAGCGTCGAGCAACCTCAAGAAGGTCACGCTCGAGCTCGGCGGCAAGTCGCCCAACATCATCTTTGCCGACGCAGACCTCGACCAGGCCATCAGCTGGTCGGCCTTTGGCATCATGTTCAACCACGGCCAGTGCTGCTGCGCCGGCTCGCGCGTCTACGTCGAGGAGTCCATCTATGAGAAGTTCATGGCCAAGTTTGACGAGAAGATCAAGAGCATTCAGGTCGGTAACCCCTTCGAAGGCAACACCTTCCAGGGTCCCCAGGTTTCGCAGCTCCAGTACGACCGAATCATGGCCTACATCGACTCGGGCAAGAAGGAGGGCGCCACGCTCCGCACCGGCGGCATTCGCCACGGTCAGGAAGGCTACTTCATCGAGCCCACCGTCTTCACCGACGTCAACCCCGACTCCAAGATTGGCCGCGAGGAGATCTTCGGCCCCGTCGTTGTTGTGCACAAGTTCAAGGACAACGCAGACCTCATCAAGAAGGCCAACGACTCTGTCTACGGTCTCGCCGCGGCTGTCTTCTCCCGTGACGTCACCCGTGCCCTCGACACGGCCAACAAGCTCCAGGCCGGTACTGTCTGGGTCAACTGCTACAACCGTATGTGTCCTTACTTTCGGCGTCTTCCTTTCCTTTGGCGTCGTGATAATCGCTGACATATGTAAAAATCACAGAACTCAACCCGCAGGTTCCCTTCGGAGGGTGAGTGTTTTTCTGAGGTTCGAAAATGCGTTTCCCTCACTCACCATGCGTTTTCCTCCTCCTTTCTTCCGTTTTTCCTCCCATTTTTCCTCTAAAAGGTTCAAACAATCGGGTATCGGTAGGGAACTAGGAGAGGCGGCGCTCGCCTCCTATAGTCAATCTAAGTCAATCGTGGAGTATTCCTTCAAAAATCCTTCAAAACCGGGCTTCATGCTGACTTTTTTTCCGCAACAGCACGTCAACCTTCACGCTCCCAACCCGATGTAAGCGGAGGACGAGTCGATCAGTGGCGTGCTTCGAAAGTATCATATCAGGAGACCAAATGAATCTTGTTTGACGATTCACAATTGAAGAGTGTGAAGAGTGAAGACGAAGGCGAATCGGACCAAATGAAGAAATGATGGAGGTTTGCGGGATGCGCACAAAACCTTAAATTTTAGCGGGTCGAATGCATTCCTTCGTTCGTCCATCTTTTTTATTTTTTGGTCACCTCTCGCTCGATCGGTTCACAACGATCTCTAGCGCGCCGAACGAGGACGAGCAGAAGTAGAGCAAATGGCCTTAACCTGGATTGACAATACTGCGCATGCAGAATCTGCTCCGTGAGCTGGAGAGATGTAGAAAATTGCTGCAGGATGAGCGGACTTAAATTCGTCCATTGGTTTACGATACGCACCCGGATGTCAGCGAGACTCTCTAGCATGTCCGGCTCATAAAGACTTTTATCAATCGCACTGGAAATGGGACACACAAGCTCTTGTCTTTTCAGTCGGGGTGCCCGAAATGTTTCAGCAAGGCCAGACAGCGTACAAGCCTGCAGTGAAGGAAGAGGATTCGCTCACCAATGAGCGTGACAAAGTCTCTGATGCGATAGTGACTGATTTGCAATGACCGATTTTTGGGATTTTCCTTTCAGCCAACTGCTTGTCGACTGCTTTCGTCGACGCGACAAAAGCAACATCACCCCACCGACACACACCCCGTTGCGGCCTCTACCTTGCTTTCAGACCACTGCTTGCGACCAAATCTGCCTGATCCGCTTCGCTGGCTCTCTGCTGTCAATATCCGTGCGTCTCCCATCACATCAGCGAAGAGAAGAAGGTGGATGGGTCGATCATGAGTCATCCGAGTGGAGGAGGAAGGGAGGCAATGGTGACCTCAGCAGGAGCAGCAGCAAGCACTCCGCCGCAAGTCAGCGGAGGCTCCCTCGAACAGAGCAAAGGAGGATCTGGCAGTGGCATCAATCCCTCGATGCTGTTCAACAGCTCCTTTGCCAGCGGTGCGGCCTCGGGAGGGACCAGCAGCAAGCAAACTGCACAAACCGGCGAAGGCCATAGGAGAGGTAGCGGCAGCATGGATTATGAAGGCGAGGAAAACGGCGAGGCACGAAGCAGCGAAGAGCGGGTGATGGATGATGGCCCGGTCGATCCAAGCTCTGGACCAGTCAGGACAAAGCAGGAAGGCGGGTACAAGCATTCAAAGACCCCCATTCCTGCGCCAGTCAAGGCTGCCTGCACCTATTGCCGGTCGAGGTGAGTCAATATCACCAGAGTCCAACCCTATACTTTACTCACTCAAGCTCCTTCACTCTCTCAGAAAGTCGAGGTGCAATGGCAAGCAGCCTTGCGCGGCGTGCATCAATCGAGGGAGGACCGACGAGTGCATCTATACCATCTCACGAAGAGGCGGTAAGCCAAAGAACAAGTCCGAAAGGAGTGAGTAATGCTGCCTGACAGAATCAAAAGAGCATCGCAACTGAACATCGATGGAAGCAGTGGAGCCTCTGGAGGCGCATCTCGAGAAGCTTTTCAACCTGTCGGACCTGCCTCACATGGTGCGAGTACCACACGCCATTCCCCAGCTTCAAGACTTCCAGCGAGAGAAGCAGCAGCAGCAGCAACAGCAGCAACAACAGCAACAGCAGCAGCAACAGCAACAGCATGCAGCCCAGCTACCTCCGTCCGCTGGCATCGTTCCACAGGCACAGATGCAGCAGGCCGAGTCATCACAGATGGGCGCCAATGGAGGCATGCCCCAGTTTTGGGCCGGTCAGATGTCGTCTCCTTTCGCACCTGCGATGAACTTCGCCTCACCAATTGATGCGCTCGGCTCTTGGCAGCCGCAGCCGACCTCTGATCCAAGCTCCAACGAGGACACCTCACCAAAGAGTCTGCTACTCGACTACTACCAGAATCTGTACCGATTCATTCCTGTCCTGCCCCAGCCGGCGTACCTCGACCAGCTGGCCTCGACGATGCCTTCCGAGTCGCCCATTCTCTTTGCGCTACAGACGATCCTGCCGCTGCTCAAGGAGGGCGAGTCGTTGGACGGATACTCTTCTGGGCAGCAATCGTACATCGACCAGGAGGCAAAGGCACGGAGGCGGGAGAAGGCAATGCAGAGCGAGAGGAGGGCGACGCAGGCCATCGATGCCGTCTTGGAAAAGGCAGAGGGTCCCTTTTCCACCGACGGGTCCCTTGAGATCCACACACTCGAGGTCATTCAGGCGCTCTGCGTCTTGACAATCTACGAGGTGAGTTCAGCCCTTTGCTCCTCTTCGCGCACGAGTTTGCGTACTTACTCGACGGGGACAGTATGGAAGTGGGAGAGCGCTCAAGGCTCGCCTGAAGGCGGATCAGGCCCTGGGCTTGGCCATGTCTAAGGGTCTCCACCGGCTCTCTTCGACAAGCACGTCCGCCTCAAGTATCGCTTCGCCCCACGCTGGGTTCCGAGGGACAGCTGATCGTGGCAAGACAGGCGATTCGAGCCACTTTCTCAATTCGATCGACGAGCACGAGATGCTCGAGGTTCGGAAGAGAATCTGGTGGACGCTCTGGAGTCTGGTCCTCTGGACAGCCTACAACAGCGGCCGCATTCCTACGATCCGAGCAGATGATCCCAGGGTGCGAAGCGAGCTTCCTCACTGCAGCGATGAAAAGGTGAGCCATTTTGCATCCCACCGACTGACTTGATCGCACTGACGCATTGGTGCACGTAGGCGTGGGCATCATCTGTGCGCTCGCTCCAAGCTCTGCTTCTCGTCCAGGATCGCGTCTTGGCGCTTTCGCACTTGGAGAACAACGATGCGGGCGAGAAGCAGGACCCAACTTCGCCCATTTCCAGCACGGGACTGTCTCTGCAGAGCCAGCTACCCTTTTCTGGCGCGCCGCCATTCCAGTCGTCGCCGTCAACTTCAGGCTCCAACGAAGTGCCCTCTTCCTTCTCCAGCCTGCCTACCGTGGCCAGCAAGCAGGAAATCCTCTCTTCCATGCTCCAGATTGACGCAGCGCTGCAGGAGCAGATCACAGCGTGGGAAGCAGGCGATGGCCTCTCTCAGGTACTCAAGGGCGCACGATCTAAGACGAGCACGCTAGAGACCGCCGAGGACGACCTGATGGCCTACTTGCACACGAGTGCCGCCATACAGCTCTACACATCCAGCCTGACGCTGCACATCGGCCAAGCATTCCAGGGGGCGTCGCTCTTTGAACGCAAGCTATGCTTCCTCTCGAGCGTCGGCGAAACAAATGACTCTGCAGCCTGCCAGGTGCCCATGCCAAACGCCTTTCTCGACGACGTGGGAGCCGGTGCAACCAGCACCTGGTTTACCGATGATTCTCAGCAGCCTGTCTCGATGGAGCCCCAGCAGGACCTCTATGCCAGGGGTCCCTTTCTGCCCCGTCAGAGCCTGCAGCGGTGTGTCCATGCCAGCAAGAAGCTCCTCGAGATCTCGAGGCTGTCCAAAGGCTCCGTCTCGAGCCCCAATCCTTTCAATGCGTGCAGCTTTGTCCTCATCAGCTTTGTGTGCTTGATGCAGGTGAGTCTTTTAGCTCTTGCGGGTAACTTCTATCACTCTGACTCGTCCCTTCTCCCTTCTTTCCCACAACAAGGCCCTGGCCATCTCGGGAAACGCGCCAGACGATGGAACAGGCGAGGAAACCAGCACGAGCAGCTTCTCTCGAGAGCTTCTCATGTCTGCCCAAGGCGCCGCCGCGCTCAGTCCAGCCGGCTTCCCTTCCTTCAATGGCTTCAACGGTCGGGGCTCTGACCCCACGGCTCAGCGGCAGGAGCGCTTGCAGCAGATCTGGGAGCGGGTCAAGGAGGCCAGAGACACGCTCCGGGGCCTGTCCAAGCACTGGGACATGGTCATCCCCATGGCCGACGAGGTTGGCGGCTGTCTCGAAGCCAGCCAGCTCCTCCTTAGCCAGCAATTGTAAATTTGCCCTGTATCACATAGTCCTGCACCTCGTCCTTCGCCTCGCCCAAGCCCCTTTTCAGTCATCCTTTCACACGAAAGCCTAGCCTGGTCTGAATATGATGATTTTGCCATGCGTCCCACATCGTTCCGCTTTCGCTTTCTATCCCTTACTCGTCATCGTCGCCTCCCTCCTTGACAAACTGTGAGGTGCAACACGTCAGTTCATCCACCATCTTACCGCGCAACTAGCCTGGTGAACACTCACGATCGGCTTAACGTCGTGCCAGAGTTTCTGTTTGACCATGTCAGCCCCTTGAACTTATTTCACGGCTTTTGAAGTAGATGCAAACTCACTCCTCGGTTGTGGCTCTCCCAGAGCTTCTGCGAGACCGTGTCGAACCCGAGGCCGAAAGCGAATGCGCCAAAGAAGACGGTCCCGACGCTGTTCAAAAAGTGGGTGTGTGTGCCCCACCGTCAGCCCAACGATGGATGGGGGCCATCTCCCAAAGAAAGGCAACTCACAAGACCGAGTTCCGCTTAAAGACGGTGTTGTAAATCTGGCTGTAGACTGCCATGATTGTTTTCGCGAGCGGCTTGGAGGTTGCGTTGGAGAATTGAGAGAGCCTTGATTGGAAATCGACGAGACAGGAAGTCGTCCGGTCGGCGGTTTGGTCCGCCAGGCCACGTGTGATTAAATGGTCACGTGACAAAGCGCGTCCGCCTGTCCTGCTCGCACCGACTGCCCCTCTCAGTCTTCATCGTCATTGTGATTGCAAAGGCATTCCCTTCCATGGCCCTCAAATTCTGCATCTATGCCCCCGTAAGCTCTCTGAAGTATCTCCTGTAGAGCTGGAACTGAAGGTATCAATTGGTGTCGGTAGCATTCTGCATGTCTTATCGCGCGCGCCCACATTTTTGATAATCAATATCTACGCCGCCCTTACTCCTCTGAGACCCCGCCACCTTAAGAAGAGGCAGCACCATCCATGGTGTCCAGGGCACCTTTCGTAGCACCGAATGGGCTGCCCATAAGAGGCAAGTCGCGATCACCCTTTGAGGAAAGGGCGAGGAAATGAACCGGGTAAATTTAGCTTCACTTAAAGTTCACTTTAAGCGCACGCACCTCCCACAAGCTTGGCTTCCCTATCCATCGACTGGAGGCCCACGTTCCCGCTGTCCCAGCTTCCAACAGACGTCATGCCTGCGCTTCTTCCTTCCATCTTCCCAGCCTCTCTCTTCCCACTCCAGAACCTCACCATGTCGCTCGTCACCAATTTCCTCTCGGACGCCGTCAACTTCTCGCAGAATGCTGCCGGGTGAGGCATGGCGCGGGGCTGTGATAAGCGCATGCAGCGTCGGGGAATGCTGACATCCTTGTTGTCGTGCTCAGCGCCGCCTTTCCCTTTCTGGCGCAGAGGCAGCAGTGCCTGAGCTGCTCCTCGCCCTGCAGCACAGACGTGAGCCTCGCCATGTGACCCTTATTCGTGAGAATAGTGATTGACTCGGCAGCCTCTCGCAGTCTTGCCAGACCAACACGCCTGGTGGCCTCCTCTTGCTCACTTCGTTTTGGGATTATTCTCCTGCCACAGGTGAGTAGCGATGAAGCTCTTTGAGTCATGATCTATGCCGCTGACGTACTGGACGATTTGCCTTTACTCACAGGACCCTCGGACAGTTGGACCATTGTAAGAGGCGAAAAACGCGAACGCTAGCAAGCGACCTCCACTAACGCCCCTTTTCCCATTTCCAGCACGGATTGTGGCCGGACAATGTTTGTGTGACCGGGCGATGATCTCTATCTTCTGAATGCAAAAGCTGACTCCAGCTGCCTATTGCACAGTGCGATGGAAGGTGAGAGGTATCCCCGTCGATTTAGTCACGTCGAGTGCTGATTTCTTACGGTCCACGCAGCTACGAATCCTCGTGCGACTCCTCGCGCAACAGCAACCAGATTGCCAAGGTGCTGCAGGACAATGGCGCTGACGACGTGCTCGATTATATGAACACGTACTGGGTCGACATCAACGGCAACCAGGGAAGCTTCTGGTCGCACGAGTGGGACAAGCACGGTACCTGTGAGTCTATTCTTCTCCAGCTCTCGAGATCACTGTTGATTCTGAGGCGTTTGTTGGGCCTAAGGCGTCTCCACGATCGCGCCTTCGTGCTACTCCAACTACCACAGCGGCCAGGACATCGTTGATTTCTTCACCACGGCTACCGACCTCTTCAAGCAGTACGACCTCTACGGCGCCCTCTCTGCCGCCGGTATCCAACCCAGCACGTCCAAGACATACACGTTGGCCCAGCTTCAGAATGCGTGAGTCTTCCCTCGCTCCAGCCAATTTATCATCGCATCCTGAAACTTTTGTCCATCGCAGCGCCAAGAAGGCCTTTGGCCAGACGCCAGCCTTCCGCTGCAAGTCGGGCGGCAACGTCGACGAAGCCTGGTGTGAGTTTCTTGACTTTCGTCCCTCTCCTCTTCTTTACTCTCTCTGATCGTTCATCACTCTTTGTTCTGTCAGTCTTCCACCAGACGACAGGTCGCGCCACCAGCGCATCCAACTTCGTCCTCGTCGCCCCGCTCGACGGCCAAACGACCTGCCCCTCGTCGGGCATCAAGTACAACCCCAAGAGCGGCTAGCTCATCATCGACATTCGCATCTGATCTGAATAGTAGTCCCTCAAGTAGCAAAGATATGAAAACACTACCATCGCTCTGGACCAGGCCTGAGGTCCGTCTCAAAGGACCATGTGCTGCGCGAGATTCACAATTGTCAGAATTGCACAGGCGTGGACTGAGAATAGACGGACACTCACTTGCGGTGCTGACGCGCCGTGTCGAGGTAGACCTGGGCAATGGCGTCGGAGTCCATGCGCGTGTGCGGCTCGTACTTGTCTCCAAAGAATTTGCTGACCCGCTCGCTCTGAATGATGCCATCGATTATGAAGTGGGATACATGGATGCCCTGAGGGCCGTATTCGCGTGCTGCGCTCTGCGCAATGGCCCGCAGGCCAAACTTGGAGGCGGCAAATGCGGAGAAATTGGCGCTGCCCTTGAGGGACGCCGTCGCGCCGGTAATGATGAGGTTGCCCAGGGCAGACGAAGGGAACGGCGATGGCTCTTTGGGGCTTTGGTCAGCTACCGCCGTGTTCGCAAAGAGGGCGCAAAAGACATACCCTGCCACTTGGGGTTGGACTGTAGAGTGCGGATAAAGGCTTGGGCGAACAGCAGGCCACCGACGCTATATTGAATTGTCAGCTCATGCCATCGACGACAGAAGGAAACAAGACACGTACGCCTGAGTGTCAATGCCATTCCTGATATCTTCTTCGGTCGTCTCGAGCAGAGGCTTTCTTATGAAGCCACCTCCGGGATTGAAGATGGCCGTGTGCACCCAGGCCGACTTGAAGTCCTTGCTGATGCTCTCAAATGCACCATTGATGGCCTCGCGCTTCGTTGCATCGACCGCGTATCCCTTGGCGCGTCCAGGATCGCCTACCTCATCATTGATCTGCTTGGCCAGCTCGTCAAGGCGCGATTGGGTGCGGGAGAGAAGCGCGACAGGATGGCCTTCTCGAGCAAAGACCCGTGCAGCCGACAGGCCCAGGCCCGGTCCTGCGCCGAGGATCACGACGATCTGCTTGGCAGCAGCAACGGCCGCCGCCGAGGTGTTAGTAGCGCTCATTGTCTGTTGGAATGTGGGTAATGGCAGGGTCGTCGTCGACTGGTCAGGTTATATGGGCATCACATTCCGCCGCGTGCAAGTGGAGAAGTGACGCTTAAATCCGAAGACGTCAGTCAGAGCAACATCCGCGTGCCGTCGGAACATCCGCTTTCCTTTTGGGCAAAACAAGATCGAAGGCAGGAGATGTGGAAGAATTTCAAAGACAAGAGCAGCTGCTCTACGTTTCAGCGAGCCTGTGCATCAACCCCAGCTCTTGCTTCACAATTTGCCGAATGACAATGAGACGCGACAAGGTTTGATGGGCGGGATCGAGGGCACCATACCGGCGTGATCTCCAGCGGATTCTTACTACCCGCTCTGTGCTCTGCTCTACTTATAGATTCTAGACCTTCGTTGCGAAAGCTTCGTCTGCTTTCTGGGTCTGTCTCATACCACATAGGAGTGGCAAACCTGCTTCTTCCAAGAGACATCCTCAAAGAGAAGATGAAATTTGACTGAGGTTCTCCGCTACCAACGATGGCTGTGAAATAAGCGTTTTCTCTTCGGACTTCGTTATTCGAAGAAAGCAGCATACATCAGGGACCCGAGCTAGCTGAAGAGACCGCGAGGTCGCGCGCGTAGACATGACGATGGTGCATTTTGAGAGTGAATTACCTGCTGCAACGACGCGGCTTCCTCGGCCAGAAGGCCGATTAATTAGGAAGGGAGGTGCTTACCTCTTCGGACTTGAGTAGAAGAAAGGCAAGTAGTCCTGTACGTCTGCACGTATGTTGCTTGTGTCTTACGTGCGATGGAACTGCCGCCACGCCAATTTAGCGCAGAATTTATACGGTTATAGATAAGGAACAGATGGCCTTCTTTTGGAAGCTTACAAGGACGGTATATTAAGGGGGTCCAAAGGGCACAAAGCATTACGCTTCCTTCCAAAATTCCTCTGCGCTCCCTTCTGATCACTTCTCAGGATGGTCAGGGTACTCAGCGCTGTTGCACCGCTGTTGGTGTTGGCCGCTAGGCTGGGGCTTGCTCAGTTCGTCGAGCCCCCAACGGACCTTGTCACGCGACAGGGCTTCCAAGACACCACCGTTCGTTTCAAGGAGGTACCCCACGGCATCTGCGAGACTGTCGAGGGGGTTAAAAGCTATTCAGGATTCGTTGACCTCTCGGAGAACCAGCATGTCTTCTTCTGGTTCTTCGAGGCGCGCAATCAGAATCCAAAGGAGGCGCCCTTGACCATGTGGATCAACGGTGGTCCCGGTTCCTCGAGCATGATTGGACTCTTCCAGGAGGTGAGTCTGTTTGCATGTCCTTAGGTGAGATTGCGACTGACATCAGCCTTAGCTGGGACCTTGCGGAGTCAAAGACGGAAAGGTCTATCAAAACCCCTATGCTTGGAACAACGTGTCGAACATGCTCTTCATCGACGAACCCGTGACTGTCGGCCTCTCCTACACCAAGGCAGTCCCAGCCTACGTGAACTCGGCGTTCTCGAGCAGGACCTCGGTGCTACCCAACAACACTTGCCCCGAGTACGCACAAAACCAAGGAACTTGCGGGACCTACTCGCTGCCCCAGAGCAACCTCGTGCCCAACTCGACGCAGAACGCCGCTCCATTTGTGTGGAAGACACTGCAAAGCTGGATGAAGGCATTCCCGCAGTACTCCCAAAAGGACTTCCACATCGCCACAGAGAGCTATGGAGGACGTGAGTCTTCCTCTTCAGCCCGAACTACTGTCATTCTGATCAAGACGATCTCGCAGACTATGGTCCTGTCTTCTCGAGATATATCCTTGACCAGAACGAGAAGAACATCGAAGGGGCCAAGAAGATCAACCTTAAGAGTCTTACTGTGAGTGCAGTCACGATACAGGTACATCGTAACGAGACCGACGCTGACAAGCAAAGTGGCTCTCAGCTTAACAACGGATGGATTGACCCGTCGATCCACTATCCCGCATAGTATGTTCTTGTCCCTCTTCTTCGCTTTATCGATCGATTCTAACACCTAGCGCTTCTCTAGCTACAACATTACGCAGAACAATCCCTTCGGGATCGAGTTCTACAACAAGTCCACGTCCGAGGAGCTTTATCACGCAGCCTTCGGCCCCGGAAATTGTGCCGATCGTCTCAAGGCGTGCAGGGACCTCGGCACGGATCAGGTTTGCTACGAAGCCGACAGCTTCTGCACTGATTACCTCGAGTCGCCATTTGACATCATCACTGGTCGTGATGAGGTGCGTTGTTTCTCAATGCACTATCTCAAATTCCCGTAAAACCCCGTTCTGACATCGACGTCTCCTTTCAACTCCCCTCACAGTACGATGTGCGCGAGTTGACGCCAGATCCCTTCCCATACGGCGAGTACGTCCAGTATCTCAATACCGCCGCCGTCCAAAAGGCCATTGGCGCGTACACAAACTTCACCGAGGCCTCTCAGCTCGTTGGTGACGCTTTCCGCGTCACCGCAGATGACGCCAGGGAGTCGGGAACAATTGAGGACATCAGGCATCTCCTTGCCAACGATGTCGCCGTCACACTGTGGGCAGGTGAGTGGGCTTGGTCATGCTCGCGGACGCCGTCTAACTGGAAAGCAGCGCTGACCCAATGGCTACAGGCGACGCCGACTTCAACTGCAACTACCTCGGCTCCCAGGTGGTATCGGACGTGGTCAATCACCGTGGCTATGCCTCGTCTGGCTACACGGCCTTGCAAACGCCCGACGGCGTAAAGCACGGCGAGGTGCGACAGAGCGGCCTCTTTAGCTTCTCGCGAATCTACAAGGCGGGCCACGAAATTCCCTTCTACCAGCCAGAGGCCGCACTGCACGTCTTCAATCGCTCGATCCACAACCACGACATTGCGACGGGACACGTTGACCTGACGTCGGCGTCCAACTACAAGACGCACGGTCCAAAGGAGTCGACGTTCAAGGAGGGGAACTCGACGGTGCAATACAGCGTCCTGCCGTCCAATTCGACTTACGACACCGCGACGGGTGCGCCGGTGCCCGTGCCCAAGGCGCGATCGCTCAAGGAGGCACAAGAGCTCGAGTTCATCCAGCTGCGAGCGTCCGAAAAGAGGAAGGCAAACGCGGCAGCAAAGGCCGCCAAGAGGGCCAAGAGGCGCAGTGCGGGATATTGACGGGCAGTAGCTCTCTCCATGCATCTTGTTATTTAATAAGCATATAGCAAGCATCCTCTTTTGATTTGCAAGACAACATGCCGCCGGTTCCAAGAATGGTACGGTACCAGATGAAGTGGCTGCAGCGCCGCGGGGGGTCCAATTCCCCCTCACCCCCGCGGAATGGATCAATATTTTTAGCGTCGTAGAATTGGAACGCGGTCATAGTCCTTTGGTCATGGAGCCAAGCTCAGCACGCTCAGAGTAGGGCTGTCGGAGACAGGAAGGCTTGTCGTTTATGGTACCAGATTGGGTGCTTGAGCAGCCGAGTAGTCATGTTGAGGCAGTGCAGGTCAGACAGGGGAGAACGGAGAAGGACAAACAATGCAATGGCCTTCCAACGCGAATTGAGCGAGAGCAAGCGACCCAGGTTCTTGTTTGTGCTCTGCTTTCTCTCGATGCGGTTCTGGTGCTGTTTTTTGTGGAGGAATACACTTATCGCGCCGCCCTATCGAATCGGAAGATTGAACAAGGTTTCGGCCTTTGTAAAGGGTCACGGAGGTAGTATAGTAGCGCACCTGGATGCTCTCTGTACAGTAATGGCTGCTGACCAAAAGAGTCACAAGCACCGGCAAGCGTGAGCTGATCACAAAATTGGTAGGCCATGCGTGTGTATAACACGTCGCCGCCAAGGCATTCCTATCTTGCCGCTCCAAGGACGCAGATTGCCTTACATCCACCATAAATCATACTGGACTGAGCGTGAACGATGGCTCCTTGGACATCGAAGCAGATTGCGACATCACTGGACAAGCTCACCCTTGCCAATAAAGACGAGGTTGCCAGTCGTCTCGTTAATATCGTCGAAACAAGAGGCCAAGTCGAGAAATTGGCTGGCCTTGTCAGTGCCAAGGTCAGCAAGCTTTACGCACCAGGCTTTCACCGCTCGTACGACGACGGGAGAAGAGCGCTGGCCGATGCGTTTGTCGCGAGACTGCTCCATCACTTTGCAAATCGGCGAAAATCCATCAAAGGCGTGCCCACGAGTCAAGGTCTCAGCGGCGTGCCACTGCTCAAGTCGGACCTCCTCTCCTCGGCATGGATCCGTCCAAGGAGAAAAGGGAAGCAGCATCACATGACCGTTGCGCCGGTCGTGGCGGCGCTCTACGGCGCCGGGTGCGCATCCGTCGCAGACGCAAGAGCCGTCGTCGAGGCATGCCTCGACGATGGGGAACAAGCGAGGGTGGAAGACGCGCTGCTTATTCTGGAACATGCCGCGAGGGACATTGATGCCGAAGCGCCCGAGAAGCTGGACGACATGATGTCAACTCTCACGCGCCAACTCGACAGCCACGAAGACCTAAGCAGTGAGCGCATACAATGCGGAAATCGGGTGCTACCGAGCTTGTACGACCGTCTGGACGTGCTCATCGACAACAGGCAACGCGCATGGAAGATGAGTCCGTATGGTGCGGCGGGCTTCTCTGGTGCTCAGAGCAGCGCCAGCGACCCCGCTGCCAGCCGGAGAGGGTCCGAAGCCCCTGTCGCTTCGCTGGATAATGATTCAGACTCGGACGACGCCGAGGAGATCATGACACCTGACGGCGCAGAGAGTCTAATCAGCGCAGACGATTCGGGCGGCGTCGGGTCAAGACTCGCAGACGAGGAAGCAACGAGACGGTCACAATCACCCTGGCCTGCTTACTTTGCCGCAAAATCCCACGACGACGCGCCAGGTGAGACAGTCGGCGCGGCCGCTGCACAGTCAAGGGACGAAGTTGTTATTTGGGCATCGTCATAAAATAAACATCGTCTCTGCTGGCCATCCCGGCTGTCAAGAACAATGCATTCTGGCGTTGATACCATCAAGTCCATCAACAAAGACCATCGTAGTTCTTCCTGACGATGTCATTCCAAAGATGACCTTTTGAGGAGGACTGAAAGCAATGTGACAAAAGCAAGATGCTCTGCACGGTGACAGGTCTTCTCTCCTCCCGTGAAGATCGAAACATGTAAGTTGACGAGCGTGCAGTTTTTGGCCCATTAGGCACCAAAACTATTCTTAGCATGAAGGGTTCAATTATTGAGAATTTTCATTCTTCGGCTGGATCGTTTGGAGAATTCTCAAATCCACGAAATTTTTACCAGGCCATTCTTGTATTAGAGGACCCCTTTTCGCGTCTGGGATATTGCTATTCCTCAATACAAATCAGGGGAGGACAGAGAAAGGGAAAAGAAAAAAAAAAGGGACACACACCTCAGCAGCGGCTAGGCAGCGCCGTCAGTCTCTGCTGCAGCGTGGTGAGCGATCGAGCACATGCACACACCTACTTCGAATCCTGGGCTCCCTAGTCTGCTCACAGCCTTTTCACAACACGCTCTTACCCTTTCCCTACCCCCGCCCACCCCTGCACCCCGTTGCTTTGTAGGTCCGGTCGGTGGACGTTGTTTACGTGCCCGCTCTTTGTGCATAGAAGGACAGTCGATATCGAGCAGGTCGGAAATCAAAGCCGGCGTATCCCAAACGCCTGGTGATTCGCGCTGTCCCCTTCCTCAGCATCCGACTCGATAGTACCGGCAGCCGGAGGACACCACGATTGCTCTGCTCCCTCTCTATCCTCCCTTCTTTTTCTCTCTTTCTCACTCTCGCTCTCTTCACCTGCTTCGACAAGAGGAATACTGCCTCAAGGAATCAGCGGAGTGTCGAGATCAACAGCCCCTATTACTCCTGAACGCCTGGACGACATAGAGGACTGGCAAACTGTTTCCCATTGTCGAACCGCACTCTCGCATTTACGTTGGAGAACACTTGAAGGAAGCCGCCGAAACAGGAAATCGCCCTCTCTATCCTCAATAGAGATTGTGGACGAGAAGCCGTACCGCGCCGCCGCCGCCGCCCAATTGCTCTCTCCTTTTCCCTTCTCCGATTTCGAAGGCCGCGCGCCAAGAACGAGGCGTAAGTTGTGATCGAGGGCACCTCAATCTCTCCCTCGCCCCCTCCCCTCTTTTCCTCTCTCTGTGTTGTTGAATCTCTCTCACACGATTTCTCTCTCCGACTTTGTTGCTGCTTCCCATGGCAGTGCGCAGATGAACCCCTTCAATAATCGACAGTCGCAGCAGGGAGCAGAGGAGCGGACCCAGCGAGGACAGCCGCTGGAGCCGTTGAACATACCCAGCGACGCGCCGCCTCGGCCGCCTCGACAGCAGCCGCCGCCGCCGCCTCATTCGTCCTCATCGGCCTATCTCAGCAGTCCCTATGATCAATATGCAGGCGGCAGCTTCGCCCAGTATGCCGCCCCGCCCCCGGGCAGCAGCAACGGTGGCCCCAGCAACAACCGGCCGGGCCTGAACCAACCCTCTGTTTCGTTTCAAGAACCTTACCGAAGCCCTCTGCCGCGCGCGCCAGATTCGCAAGAGTCCGTCTCAAAGAAGGGCACCCTCATGGGCGAGCGACGCGGCAGCGCTGCCACAGGCATCTCCGACCTGCCCGAGCTATCGAGGAGCCGAAGCAACGTGGCGGCCAACAACCGTCTCCTGGATCCCGAAGCGGGCTTCTCGGGGGCCAATCCAAACTTCAAGCGAAAGAAGTCGCTCGTAAGGCCAGACCGAGAACGCATGGACCCGAGCCACCGGCAGTGGTACTACCGCAACCACGCAGCCAACATGGACGCCGTCGACGCTTCTGGCCGCCAGGCTGGGTTCAGCTACATGCCCTCCAAGACGGGCCACCTGCCCCAGCATGGCGCAGCACCTGTTGGCTACGACGTCAACAGCTTCCAAGGCCCCGGTGGCGGTATCAGCGGCCTTGGCATGGGTCCCTCTGGCCCCAGGACAGGCCTGGGACAGGCACCCCCGCAGAACATTCCGCCAGGTGGTCTCGGTCGGCCACTGCCGCCAGGCCCTGGCTTTGGAGGAGGTGGTGGACTCGGTGGCGCCGGCGGCCTTCGCAGAGGCAAGTCCATCCTGGGCAGAGACGAGGACCAGGTCGAGTCGAGCCTCAACATCCTCAAGCGCGGTGTGAGCCTTCGTCGAAGCCGTAGCCAGTCGCGCAAAGAGGTGCCGCGCGATCTCGACGAGAGCACCAGCTACCGGTCCAAGATTGCACCCGGACCCGTCGGTCCCTGGATGATGTACTGCTACGTCCTGACGATTTGCTGCCCTGCCCCTTTCCTCTCCGTCTTTGGCATGAAGACGCCCGAGCAGCAGCGCGCCTGGCGAGAAAAGATTGGTCTCGTGAGCATCATTGCGCTTTGCATGGCCTTTGTCGGTTTCATCACTTTCGGCTTCACCCAAGCCGTGTGCGACACCAAGCAGACGCGCTACTACGCCGGCAAGATCGACACTGGTTCCACCGTCTTCCATGGCTACGACTACAACTTCAACAGCTTCTTCCACCCCACCAACGTGGGGCCCTTCGGCGCCAACACGCCCTACAACCACACGAACCCGGCCTACTCGGACCCTTGGCTGACGGGAAGCAAGGACGCTTCGATGCTCTTCCAAAAGGTCGGCGACAAGTGCACCAACTTCCTCAACAACACCTCTGGTGGCGGCCAGCCAACGAGGTACTTTACCTGCACCGTCTACCAGCAAAACGGCAATGTGTACCGGACGAACAACACGTGGTGCCACGACACGACGGTGACTGCCAACTTCCTCCAGCCAAATTACCCTCTTCGCAAGGGCCAGGTTTCGTGGGATTGGAAGGACGTTCAGGACCCGGCTCGCAACCTGGCCGTGTGGAAGGGCGCCGTCATTGACTTTTCGCGTCTCAACAACCTGCTTCCCAATGTTAGCAGGCCTGCGCTCTTCACCGAGCTCTCAAATCGAAATGCGCAGTACGCCGGCAAGGACGTCAGCGCCATGGTGCTCCGATCCAAACAGGACGACGTCTTTGACTGCCTCGAGCAAATTATCAGCGTGGGCTACATCGACTCCATGTCGATTGGCTGCGTCGCCTCCAAGGTCGAGCTCTATGTCTCGCTCGTCTTCATCATTGGTGTTGTCGCCATCAAATTCATGATGGCCGTTATCTTTGGTTGGTTCCTCAGCTGGCGTCTGGGCAATTACGCAAACGAGACGTACGAGGAACGGATGAAGCGAGCAGCTGAGATTGAGCAATGGACGGACGATATCTACCGTCCTGCTCCCGCCGGTTACCGTCCCAACGCCAAGAAGCACCGCACTCTGCTGCCTACGACGAGTCGTTTCAGCACCTACAACTGGGCTGACAGCAGCAACAAGTCTACCCCCAAGGCTGGCCAGGCTCGCACGGCTCTGTCAGAGAAGGGAGGCACTCGTAGCCCCAGCTCTCGGCCAGGGCCTCTGAGCGTCACCTCGCCCCTTGGAACCCCGCCTGGCTCGCCCTCGCTTCACGGTGTTCGCAGCTCCACCTCGCTCGCCCAGGCCGGCCGAGACTTCCAGTCGTACAGCCACGGTTCCAGACGGTCTTCCTTCTCCAACGATGTCAGCGGTGTCCACTCGGGTATCATGGGCGCTTGCCCCTTCCCCCTTCACGACGTTGTCCCGCAGCCGCCGCCCGACTACCAGCCGTTCAACTTCCCTCTGGCCCACTCCATCTGCCTCGTCACGGCATACTCGGAATCCTTTGAAGGTCTTCGAACTACGCTCGACTCGCTGGCTACGACCGACTACCCCAACAGCCACAAGCTGCTTCTTGTCATTGCAGACGGCATCGTCAAAGGCGCCGGCTCGGAGATGTCGACGCCCGACATCTGCCTTTCGATGATGAAGGACTTTGTCGTTCCCCCCGAGGAAGTCGAGGGCAACTCTTACGTGGCCATCGCCGATGGATACAAGCGCCACAACATGGCCAAGATCTATGCCGGATTCTACGAGTATGACGACGAGACGGTCGAACGCAGCAAGCAGCAACGGGTGCCCATGATTCTCGTGGCCAAGTGCGGAACGCCCATGGAAGCCGATAGCGCGAAGCCGGGCAACCGAGGAAAGCGTGACTCTCAGGTCCTGCTCATGGCGTTCATGCAGAAGGTCATGTTCGACGAGCGCATGACGCTCTTTGACTACGAGTTCTTCAACTCCATCTGGCGCGTCACCGGCATCTCACCCGACCACTTTGAGATTGTGCTGATGGTCGACGCAGACACTAAAGTGTTCCCCGACTCGCTCAGCCGCATGGTGGCCTGCATGGTGGAAGACCCGGAGATCATGGGACTGTGCGGCGAGACAAAGATTGCAAACAAGGCTGAGACCTGGGTGACGATGATTCAAGGTGAGCCTTTTGATCTTATGTGCTTTCAGTCGAAAGACAAATGCTGATTCTCTTTTTTCTCAAGTCTTCGAGTACTACATCTCGCACCACCAGACCAAGGCCTTTGAGGCTTGCTTTGGCGGTGTAACGTGTCTGCCTGGTTGCTTCAGCGCATACCGCATCAAGGCGCCCAAGGGTCCTAATGGCTACTGGGTCCCCATCCTGGCCAACCCGGACATTGTGGAGCACTATTCGGAGAACGTCGTTGACACGCTGCACAAGAAGAATCTGTTGCTGCTGGGCGAGGATCGTTACCTGACGACGCTGATGCTCAAGACGTTCCCCAAGCGAAAGATGATGTTCGTACCGCAAGCAGTGTGCAAGACGATCGTTCCCGACACGTTCCGCATCCTGCTCTCGCAGCGACGTCGATGGATCAACTCGACGGTCCACAACCTGTTTGAGCTCGTCATGGTCAACGATCTTTGCGGTACCTTCTGCTTCTCGATGAGATTCGTCGTCTTCATGGAGCTGGTCGGTACGCTCGTCTTGCCGGCCGCCATCGCATTTACGCTCTACGTCATTGCCATTGCCATCAAGGGTCCCGTCGTGCCTACGGTGCCCCTGGTTCTTCTCGGTATCATTCTGGGTCTGCCAGGTCTTCTCATCGTCGTCACGTCGCGCAAGATTGCTTACGTCGGATGGATGCTCATCTACCTCTTGTCGCTCCCCATTTGGAACTTTGCCTTCCCCTCGTACGCTTTCTGGCACATGGACGACTTCTCATGGGGTGCCACCCGTATTGTCCAGGGCGACAAGAAGGGCTCGAATCATGGCGATGCAGAGGGCAAATTCGATCCGACCAACATCATTATGAAGCGCTGGGCCGAGTTCGAGCGCGAGCGCCGATGGAAGAGCGGAACACACTCGAGGGACTCGACCTACGACGTCGTCCAGCGCACTGGCTCCCCTGAACGATCCGGCAGCACGAGATACAGTGTCGTCTCGTCCGACACCTACCACTCGAACCCGTCTTCGCTGCCTACCGATGCAGCAAACCGGCTGCTGTCTGGCCTCGGTCTCGGCGACCGCAGCAGCAATGGCAACGGCGGATCCGGTGGGCACGGCACACAGGACGGATCCGAAAGCGGGCACGCCAAACAGGTGTCTGGTGGCGCTCGAGCCAGGCTCGACTCTGTTCCCCTGCTGGAGCTGCCGGCGCCTCTGGGTCCTGACGCGGGAGGCAAGCCGAGGGCCCTGGCAGCTGGCGGTGTTCCTGGGTCAGTCACTGTGCCTCGTCCGCGGGACCTGTCTCCTTCCACGTCAAATGCTGCCAGTATCGCCCAGCGCGCCCCGGCGCCGCACCATCCCTACGAGTCGTATCCCTTCACCAGTGACGAGGAGAACCGTCCGATGATGGGTTCGCCCATCGGTTCGCCCGACCTCAACGACTCCTCGAGCAACGGAGGAATGCCTCCTCGTGGTCTGACCTCGATGTCGCAGTCGTTCTACGACCCTGTCCGGCATGGAAACGTCAGCAGCGAGCAGAGGTACCCAGGCGTTGTCGAGGCCCACTTTGCCCAAGGCTTTACGGCTGAGCCAGAGGAGCAGGAGAGCCTTCCGGCCAACGCCGTTGGTTCGTCCTCGCAGCAGCACCGTTCGAGGCCCTCGAGGGGTTTCAGCCTCGTCGATGACGGACCCGTGGCATCGCCCCAGGGTGTTCGCCAGGTGACGAGGGGAGCACGGAGAATGTCGTCGGTCAACCAAGGATCGCAGGCACCGACCTCGCCTTCGGCCGCTTCGCAATCGTCGGCTGCGCCAACGAATTATGCTTCAGAACGTGGAAACGGACGCTTCTCTCGCCACTAGCAGCAATATTACCCACCAAAACTCTTCTTTGCCCCCCCTCTCTCTTTCTCTCTCTCCTTCTCGCGCATTTGGACAATGGACTACACAGCCCTTTTTCCCACCTTTCTTAACGATCACGGTAGCCTAATCTCCGTCCTTATAACGAACAGTATCTCTTCCTTCTGTAGAATTCTCTTGCCTCTCTCCTCTCCTCTCTCATAGCGGGACCTTTCCTCCTCATCTAAACATACTCGCTCTCTCTCTCCCTCAATCCTTTCCTAGTCTGTCTTGTCTCTTTCACGTTGGAATTTGAACTAGTCGAAAAGAGACTCTCATATTACCTCGAGCGCTGCTCAAGCGAGAGAACAGAATCACTGCTTTCTTGGATGATGAGCCAAACACGAATGCGCATGAAGAAAGCCAGTGGAAAGGGGTGTGGGAGGGGGTTGAAAATATACATGAAAGTTGTTGGTGGTTGCCGTCATTGCTTGATCAGAGACATTGGAAGTGTGGGTGTGGTGCGGTGTGCTGTTGGATGCTGAATTCGGTCGGAAGTGCTGCTAACGTGTGTAATTCGGAATCCTTTCATTCGTCTCGGTCCGCAGTCGTCGTCGTAGTCGTGGTTGTGGCAGTCGTGGAAGAAGTCGTTTCTTCGGTTCTAGCAGTCGGCAAGAGCGAACCTTGGCCACCCTCTTGCTCGCTCCTTTCGGCTCTCGCGGCCACTTCAGCGTGCGTGAGGAGCGGTGCCGGTCTCGGCGCGCCCATTTGTGCTGGCGGAGAAGCCATTGTCGAATCCTGGCTGGGCCTCGCGTCGCCGCCATCGTACGTCGGCGGCTCCGCGGCCACTCCTTCGGTCTGAGGATTGACGGGCACGCCAAAGCGGCCCAGGCTGTCGACCGAGGCCAGGAAGGACATCTGTGACTCTGTGAGGCCCCTGGCAGGTGCCTCGTACTGCATTCGAATTAGGCTGCCGTGCAGGGGCGATGAGATTCTCCTTCCGTCTGCCGTCTGTCCTTGCACCATCGATGAGTCGTTCGAGGGATCGAGCGAGGCGCTGCTGTTGTTGAGATGAAGAAGCCGGCCAAAGGAGCTGGAACGGGCGCGGGACGACGTCGATTGTTGCCCAGCTGCCATGCTGCCGCGGGAAGGCTGCAGGCTCAAGCTCAAGCTCGAGCCTCCTGCGCCCAAGTCTGAGGGTGTCAGGCTGCTGAGGACTGATGCGCTCGAGTTGAACCGTCGATGGTGCGGTGGTGACTGGTCCGTCGAATAGCGATCCTGACCAAAGCTCTGCACAGAGCCCAATGATGCGCTCGCCTGATGTTGTCCAACGGCGGTGCCGCCTGCTGCTATCGCACCCCCTCCTCGCTTGAACAGGCTCCTAAAAGCTCGTCTTCGGTTGTTCGCAGGTGACTCGGGCTCCGGCTGGTCTTCGAATCGAATTGACGGCGGGAGCTGAGGATAGAGGGAGGAGTACTCTGGCGTGTCCGACAGCTGACCTTGCTCCTCTTGGAGCTCTTCTCTCGCATCAGCCTCTGACTCTTGTCTGTGGCCGAGCTCGTCCATCTCATTGCCATCGCCATTGGAGTGCGCTGCATGCGCTGCACCTCCGTCTCTGGGCCCGCCAAGCCTCATGGATCGCCTTATGGAATTAGAGAGCGTCTCTGCGACACCCATGACGCTTCTCCTTGACTCGCGTCTCGATGGTGAGGTAGTGACATTGCTTCCCAGATCGCCCAGCTCGCCTTCCGTCTCCCGTGTAGACTGCTGAGGATCGAGTGTAGGAGAGGAAAGAAGGGGCGTGCTGTTCGCCTCGTCTTCCTCTCGTCGATGAGAGTCGGACGAATGCGAAAGATCGACTGTGACGTGATGGCTTGATCGGCGAGAGTGTCGACGTGGAGGCGTCTCCGTCTCTTCGACGTTGACCGAGACGTCGTTGACCGAGAGAGATGAGTCGCCCCTGCTCGAACAGAAAGAGTCAGCTTGGGTTCTTTGTCAGTGTTGTTCTGCCCACAACACGCACTTGTAGAGCATCATCTCGTCCTCGCCCAGCGCTGTCCGATATTCAGGCAGCGTCTTTACGCTATGACCGCTATCTGTCCGCCGGACGCCATCCCGCCGCCTTCGATTCTGTCTCTGGTTCCGGCCTGTGCCCTGGTCTGTGCGGGGGGCAGAGGTTGAATCGGCAGCATTCTGGGCCTGCAGGGCAGTCGTCGAGGCCGTCACGTTACCACCGGGACCATAGACGGCCGTGCGGTAAAAGGCGCTTGCGAAACGCTTGTACCAGGGCACAGTCGCCTGCGGCGGCGGCCTTTGCGCTGTCGCAGACGACGACGGGCGTTGGGTCCGCCGCCGATTATCTTGCTTGAACTTGCGCCGAATCGAGAAGAGAATGGCTCCGAGGAGGACAATGACAATGACGACGGGAGCAGCGATGGCCGGGATGAGGATCTTGCTCTGCTTCGAGGCGGGCTGGGGCTGAGCCCCGACCGACGTCTGCGCCGCGGGAGACGAAGATGACGACGCAGATGCAGAGGTGAGCGTCGTGCCCTGCCGGGCCATCATGGACTGCGGCGGCATGGCAGCGAGTTGCTGGTCCTCGTGGGCCAGTACCGTGGGGCCAGATCTTTTGCCGCTGGAAAAAAAGGCTAGTTGGGGCGTGTGTCGAGCAATGGGGCAAAGATGGAAAGATGGCAACGCCCGATAGCACAGCCTCGTCGCGTGGAGGTACTGGGCACAGCTGACAATCAATCTGTGTGATCTGCCCCGATGCTGATTCGAGAGCCGCTCGGGCGAGGCGAGGTAGCTACTTCGCCTTGTGTCGCAAAGAGGGGGAAAGGAAACCCAATCAGCGGAAAGCGACGTCCTGCACCCCCGAGGCAGGTCAAGAATCTCAGTCAGAGAGGGAGCAGGCACTAGGATTATTTGTCCAAGACTAAGGACAAGTTCGGGCTGTGCACGGACGTCCGGCGCATGAAAAGAGCAAAAAGCAGGGCCCTTTCTGCCTTAGTGAGGAGGGTCCCCCGGAATGAGAGAGGAGGATCTCGAGAAGCTAGTAGTAGATTGAAAGGTCGGTCGTTGACATGTGCACCCGGTAGACGGTAGACTTGGAAGAATGGATCAGGTGAAAGACAGGCTTCGTTTCATTCGAAGCGCCCGCCAGACGATGCCCGAACCCAGCAAGCAGCACGGAAGGCAAGTGCTTACTTAATACATCTGCTTGTCCACTGGTAATTCAACGGAACAGGACTTCCTCGGCCCGGTCGTCCTTCTAGTTGTTTGTGACTAAGAGACAGCACCTAATCATGGTCCACTCTCAAAGTGGATGGATGATAGACTCCGACGAGCGCCAAGAGCGTGGAGTCCGCCATGGTGTGCGAGTGCGGGCCCCCTTTCTGTCTGCCTGTCTGCCACAAAAAAAAAGAAAAAGGTCCGAAAGAGTGCCGAGGCAGAGGTAGAGAGAAGAGGTGGGGGATAAATGCAGTATGCAGGCAGGATTTAGACTTTTTTTTTGAGTGAGCGTCGCCGCAAGAAGGCTGCCTCTTACTTAACTCCCTCCTCTCGCTCTTGCTCTCTTTCTTCCCCACACCCCCCTTCCCCACTGCATACCACCCCTTCTCGTTACCCATCCTTACCGAATCATGACTGAAGAGGAGCCCGTCGTCATTGTCGGCGGCGGCCTGGCTGGGCTTGTGGCCGCGTACGAGATCACAAAGGCGGGTAAGAAGGTCATCATCGTCGACCAGGAAAACGAGGGAAGCCTGGGTGGGCAGGCGTTCTGGTCCCTGGGCGGCCTCTTTCTCGTCGACAGCAAGCAGCAGCGAAGGATGGGCATCAAGGACTCCAAGGAGCTCGCCATGCGCGACTGGATGAACTCGGCGGCCTTTGACCGGCCCGACGACGAGGACTACTGGGCCAAGCAGTGGGCCGAGGCCTTTGTCAACTTTGCCCACGACGGCTTCAGGGACTATCTCGACGAGGTCGGCCTCAGCATCATGCCCAACGTCGGCTGGGCAGAGCGAGGCTCGATGAATGCCGAGGGCCATGGCAATTCGGTTCCGCGCTTCCACATCACCTGGGGCACGGGCCCCGAGGTCGTCCGCGTGTTCCGCGAACCGGTCCTCGAGGCGGCCAAGAAGGGCCTCGTCGACTTCCGCTTCCGACACCGCGTCGACTCGATCCTCATTGGCGAAGGAGGGAGAGCAACGGGTGTGAGCGGGACTGTGCTGGCGCCTTCGACGGCTGAGCGCGGTGTCTCAACGGACCGAAAGGCCCTGGACACGTTCACCATCACGGGCCGCGCCGTCGTCGTCTCGTCGGGCGGCATCGGCGGCAACGTGGACCTGGTGAGGCAGATGTGGCCGACCAAGCGACTGGGCAGGGCGCCGAGGAAGGTTGTCGTGGGTGTACCCGCCCACGTCGACGGCAGGATGCTCAAGATCTCCGAAGACGCGGGCGCCAACCTCGTTAACCAGGATCGGTGAGTCAGGAAAGTACTGGTGTGTTGACACGGTCGGCTGACCTAAGTTGCCTACAGCATGTGGCACTACACCGAGGGACTCACCAACTGGGACCCAATCTGGCCCATGCACGGCATCCGCATCATCCCAGGCCCGTCGTCGCTCTGGCTCGACGCCACGGGTAAGCGGCTCCCCTCGCCGTGCTTCCCGGGGTGCGACACCATGGCAACGCTCAAGGCCATCCTCGACACGGGCTACGACTACACCTGGTTCCTCCTCGACCAGTCGATCATTGCCAAGGAGTTTGCCCTCTCGGGCTCGGAGCAGAACCCCGACATCACGGGCAAGTCGCTGTCGCTCCTCATCACCAGCCGACTCTTCTCGGGTGGCAAGGGCACCGGCCCTGTGCAGGCGTTCCAGAACAAGGGCGCCGACTTTGTCGTGCGTGACACCTTCGAGGAGCTCGTCCAGGGCATGAACGAGCTCGCAGCGAAGCAAGAGGGCAACGAGGCTCCGCCGCCGCTCGAGTACGCCGCTCTCCGGAAGGTCGTCGAGGACCGGGACAGCCAGGTGGACAACCCCTATACAAAGGACGCGCAGCAGATGCTCATCAACAATGGCCGCGCCTACTGGCTGGACAGGTTGACGCGCATCGCAAAGCCCCACAAGCTGCTCGCTCCCGGCAACGGCCCCTTGATTGCTGTACGTATGAACATCGTGACGAGAAAGACGCTGGGCGGCATCCAGACGAACCTCAAGGGCCAGGTCATTGGTCAAAAGAGCAGAGAGGAAGTCGTACCGGGGCTGTATGCGGCCGGCGAGGTGTCTGGCTTTGGAGGCGGCGGCGTCCACGGCTGGGGTGCGCTCGAGGGCACGTTTTTGGGCGGGTGCATCTTTGGAGGACGCGCCGTCGGCCGCACCCTGGCTGCGCTGTAAGCGAGCGGCTCCTACGATTTCCCCTTTTCTGTATGGCGGCGTTGCCCCCACTCAATGTTATTAACGGCCCGTGCATATCCCTGATCTCTCTCGCTTGAGACTGAGTGCGCGGGTGAATTGAGTGCGCGAGACAAAGTTTGGCGTCGACTATCGGGGCGCGGGCCGCTACATGCTTCGCCGCGCTTGTTGTGTGTGCCTTCCCTGCTCCCTTTTATCCTCCCTTGGTTTCCCCCTCTTGCAGTCCCATTCTCTTTCTCTCTCTCGTATGGACGACCGATTTGCAGAGATGAAGGAAGCGGGGATTGTCAAGATGCGTAAACGCGCTCAGAGCCACAGCCAGGGCCAGAGCCAAGGCCAGAGTCAAGTGTACATTTACGGCGCACACACGCAAGCGGACGCGGCGGGCAGATCGAGAAGTGCGGCAGGTACGACAGGCACGGCCGCCGCCGCCGCTGCTGCTGCTGCTGCTGCTGCGACTGCTGCGACTCGGTGGAAATTGCCCTCCGCCGCTTCTCCGACGACTGGGCCTACGATGAGACCATGGTTTACGGTTCCCCCTTCTTCTGCCACCCACTCTTCCTCTTCATTACAGATTAGTGCAGCAGCAGCAGCATCAACGGCTACGACGACGACGCACATGCCGCTGCAGACGAAAGATCACCAAGGCGGCGCTGGCAACACAACGGCGCAGATACCTTCGACTGTCGTCCACTCTATTCCCGTGCCCTTATTCGAATGTGAGTGCTCGCCTGTCCTTTGCCTCTGTGACAATCTCCTCATCCTCTCTCTTTTTTTTTTCTATCTTTCTTCTCTTCTCTCACTTCTGGCCGGTGATTCTCATGTTTCTTCATTATAGGCTATGCACCCGTCTTGGGACATTCCGCCGTGCGATGTGTTGGCCAGACGCATGCACAGGCACTCCACCAACTGGCGCCGAGCATCCTCTTTGGCCTGGGCTGCATCGCTATCATCATTCAGTGGATTCGTCTCGCTTGTGCCCGGCGCAGATTCGGTGTCGTGCTCACCTCCTCGATGGCCGTCTACGGTGGCTCGGCTGCGACGCTGGCCTTTTGTAGCAGCATTGTGCCTCACGCGAGCAGCGGCGACGGTGCCTCCCTCATCATAGGCGCCCTCACTTCGCCCCTGCTTCTGCTTCACCTCATCGTTCTGTATCTGCTCGCACCCAGGAGCAGAGCACGGCTGGCTCCGCTCGACAGAAGTCTCTTCGCGTCAGGCCTCGCCGTCCTCGTTCTCAACGTTCTCACCTCGACCGAAAAGGCATCTGACTCCCCTGAGCTGGCTTCACATCGACATCACTTAATCTACGCCGAGGCTACTGCGATCCTCGTCTTCTATGTCTGCTCTCTTTTGTCGATGGATCTTCTCAGGTCTCAATTCAGAGGACTGAGGAGGCTCAATGGGAAGCCCACTCCGTGCTCGCAAAGGAGGAAGCTGTGGGCTGCTGCCCGCCTCTCCCGTGCGCTTTTTGCTCTCGGCACCGTCCTGCTTTTCGCCCACGCCATGTTGGCATTCAGTCACCCTACAAATGAGGCTATAGTTCTGGCGGGCGGTCTACTGGCAGCCATTGCCTATCTCGCCCATGTTGCGACGTTCCTCGTCCTCAATTGCGCGTCTCGATCACCCTCGTCTTCGTCGTCGCCGTCGTCCGACGACCAGTGCTCCTCTGGCGACGTAGATCTCGACGTAGACTTTGAAAAGCGCGGCCGGTCCGATCGCTCCCCACAGCTGCCGGGATTCAGCCGATCGCCCGGTGGCACGTTGCTTCTGCGTGAGGGACGGCCGAGAAACAAGCTTCCTGCTGCGCTGCCGCCGCTGCCCACCGAGGCAGGCTCGCCAAAGGGCGCCGTCGCTTCTCCACTACAGGCGGCCGTCGTTAAGGCGCGGACAAAGAGCAAGGTCAGCGTCGTCTCGTGGGATCGCATCGAGTCGCTGATGCGGCCCGACTACGTGTTAAACCGCTCGCCGAAGGTTAGCAGTGCGTCACCGATGGCTCTGAGGAGAGAGGACTATATGCGGCAGGGGGAGGAGGATAATTCGCAGAGGCGAGGCCGAGTCACGTCGCTTGTCACTGAGGCGTCTGACTATGGCCCCAACACGACGTCGTACCACGAACCATCACCAGGCGGAAGAGCGAGCTTCCATGCAAGCCATCGTAGGAGCTCCATGTTGGTCGGCTGGCACAACCTCATGAATGCACACCGCCGGTCTCAGACGCCAACGCAGACAGCAAGCGCGACGCCCACAAGCTCCAAGTTCCCCAGCGGCGTTTTTATCGTGGCCAAGTGTCTGGACGAAGGGGAGCAGGACATCCCGCTCGTTCCTGATCCTGCCCTCCTCAGTGATTTGGCCAGGCGCAAGGGAAAGCAGAGGGCGAGGCGCAACTCTACCATTGCCAGAAGAATCGCCTCGGCATCCGTTTCAGCCGCTGCCTCCCCGACTCTTCTCGCAAAAGCAACAGGTGCCTCAGCTTCTTCTGCTTCTTCGCCACTGAGCCCTCGGCAGATGTTGAGGCATGCAAGGAAGATGACTCCACGGCGTCTTGGATCTTCCACAGGCGACAAGGCGGCTGTCGAAGACGACGAGATGGACGAAGGCCAGGTCGTTTTTGTGGGAGCCATCGGAGAGCCCAATAGTGTGCCCACATCGGCAGTGACTGCCGACGCAGACGTTGTTGGCATCTTGAGCCCATCACTGGCATCGGCTGAAGTTGTGAGGAGTGCGTCTTGGAGGATCGCCGCTCGTGATGGCGCTGCGACGGTCCAGATGCCCATCAGTGCGAGCAACGCAGCCAAGGACAAGGCCACAGTGGACGAGAGAGTCGGACAGGAGACAGACATTCATCACGAGCACGGTGAAAAGGAAGAGGCCGATATTGGACAGCAGGGAAAGATCGGCCGAGTCGAGCCTGGTCCGAAGACGATATGGAGAATGCAAGACAATAACTCGAAGAGGGCGAGCCGCAACACGCTGCTCTCCATGGTTCCCTCTCGAGTTGGAGAGTCGTGGGAGGACTATGACGAAGAAGAGACGGCTCTGTGTGGACTCTCCAGCATCGAAAAGGTCCTTGCAGAGCGCGGAAGGGTAGGTTTGGAGCTGACAAGAAAGTCTATCCAGCTCGAGCATCCCTCTTTCAGCGACGCCGAGAGGCAAACTGAACGCCCCATAGCGGAAATGTCGAGCAAAACGAAGTCGGACGGCGCGCCAAATGACGCTGCAGACGGCTTCCATGGGTCCACGGTTCCTCAAGAGGAGGGTAAGACCAGCTTCGGCAGCAACAGGGACAAGCTGCTGGTCGACATGGTGGCCGGGTACGCACGCCTCTCGACGATTGACTCTGCCGAGTGCTCAACTACCGTCCACCGCGATTGTTCAGCGACACATTCTCCTCCTCCGTCTCTGCGCTCTGACCCTTGTCAGAAGCCAGGAGACTCAACAACACAAGCATGTGCGACGACTGCCCCGCTCTTTTCGCTGGCGAAAGAGGCAGGAGCAAGAAGAGCCGGCAGCAACAAGAGAGAAAAATCCAGTCTCGCGGGCGTCACAAACACCATTACCTTTCCCAAGAAGTCTGTCACTCCGTAGGGGGAGGAACAACGACCTGTACATACCCTGTGCTAGATGAGAATACGAGCTAATCTCCCTTGTGACTTTTCGCCGATGACGGCCCTGAAGCATTGTCATGGCCGCTTTAATTGATCAGAGAACATACGCTAGAGTAATGTGGCCAGGGCTTGTGGGTTGCGCGCGAGCCGTGCGTCGTAGAGCCAACGCGCCACTTTTCCGCGCGGGGCGGCCGGCGTCCGGCTAGGTAATGCGGAGAAGGGGGCCAAGTCCTATAAATTAAAGCTGCCCTCCCTCTGTGTCTGGCTGCTCCATCAGGAAGCTGCCGATTCTGTTTCCCACCTTTCACCCCACATCAGCCCCATACAGACAACATCCACCATGCTTCCCCTCGTCGCCCTCGAAGAGGCTATGAACCTGCCTGCGCTGGCTGAGCAGTCCAAGGTGAGAGGGGGTCACGGAATGGCCTCGACTTTACGGCGACGCTGACACCGAGGAGCTGCCTTCTCATCATACAGTACCAAGCGAGCCTGTTCACCGCTGATGGAGACGCCGACGGACATGCGTACAGGCTGGTAGGTAGCTGCGTCTTTACCTCTCAGCGTCTCAGACGTCTCTCTGACTCTTGATGCTCCAGTGCGACATCCACGAGACGCGCGCCAAGAAGATGCAAGAGCACGGCGTGGCCCACACGATCCTCTCGCTCACCGCGCCAGGCATCCAGGACTTTGACGACGCCAAGGTGGCTGCCGAAAAGGCGCGCGAAGTCAACGACTACACATACGAGCAGATCAAGAGCTCTGGCAAGCAGTTCAGCGCCTTTGCGTCCCTGTCGATGCACGAGCCTGAGGAGGCGTCGCGCGAGCTGAGGCGAGCCGTCACGGAGCTCGGGTGTGTCGGTGCGCTCGTCAACGACAACCAGCGTCTGCCCAACGACGAGCATGCGTGGTACGACCAGCCGGAGTGGGACAGCTTCTGGAAGACGTGCACCGACCTCGACGTGCCCTTCTACCTCCACCCCATTGCCGTCAAGGGCGAGCTCCACCGGAGGCTGTACAAGGACCGCGCCGCCCTCATTGGACCCGTCAAGTCGTTTGCCACAGGTGTCTCGACGCACATTCTCGGCATGATTGTCAATGGCGTCTTTGACAGGCACCCCAAGCTCAAGATCATCATTGGCCACCTCGGCGAGCACCTCCCCTTTGACATGTGGAGGATCAACCACTGGCTCGAGGACGTGCACAGGAAGCGCGGCGGCACCAAGCAGCAGCTGACGATCCGCGACTACTTTGCCCGCAACATCTGGTGCGTCTTCTATGTCGGATATTCTCTCCATTGACCTCATGCTAAAGAAGCTATCTCTACAGGATCACCACCAGCGGCCACTTCAGCAACAATGCCCTCATCATGTGCCTCGCCGAAGTTGGCGTCGACCGGATTCTCTTCTCGATCGACTACCCGTACGAGTCGTTTGAGAGCGCCTGCAACTGGTTCAGGCAGCTCGAGCCGCAGCTCAACAAGACGGATCTGCGCAAGATTGCCTACAAAAACGCAAAGATCCTCTTCCCCCACCTCAAGGACCTCCCCGAGGACATTTAGGCGGTCCGTTGTGTCTTTTAGTCAGATCTTTTCCTCAAAAGCGACATGCCATGTCTTTTTATTTCTCAATATCATCCTGACGTGTCTCCAAGGGCTTGCTCATGATTAGGTCTTGACTGCTTCGCGTACTTTCTTCAGTCACAAGCGTCCAATCGCTGCCGTCACTACTGTCCCACATTGCCAAACGCAACACGTCCCTTTTTCTTGTTTCCAGATGGTCGAGGACTGCCTTTAAATCCTGATCTAGCTCCTCTTCTCCCATGGCCTCTTCGTCAATCCTCTCCAATATTCGAACCTTTCCCGTCCACTTTAGCCCTTTCTTGTCCTTTTCCTCCGCTTGCATCAGATCGAAAAGTCGAGTGAGCTCGTGAATCCGATGCTGAAAGTATTCGTCCGTCTTTCCCGTTCCCTCCATTTCGGCAGAGGGCACCCTCCCGCAACAATCGAGTTTAGTCTTTGCTCCGGCCGAAACTTTCTGTGTATTGACAGAGCTATTGCTCCTCGCCTCCGCAACGGAAGGACGACAGTCGGCACCGTAAATGCTCTTGCGCTTCAGGCCGCCGATGAGAGCATCGGTCTTGGCCGTCATTTCTCGCGCCTCAGCGGCAAGCTCGAGCGCCGTTGCCATCAGGTTCGTCAAGGTAGATGCGCAGTTCAGAGAACGTCGTTGGACTGGAGCGGGAGTCTGTCGAGAAGAAGAGAAGGTCGAGTCTGCGTCGAGGTAGATTAGGCATGACTCCAAGAGGAGCGTAAAGAGGCGAGAGCTTATAACATTTGCTCTACTCGAGCTATCGGAAGCAAAACGCTCCTCCCTTAGCTTAGCAAGACGGAAGCACAAAGGAGGCCGCGATCGAGACCTCGACAAAGTAGCCAATATGTTCCAATTTCTGTCCTCTAAAGCCGCGTCTAGCAGCGGTGACCAAACATTCTTGCCTTCCTTGCCTTCTTAGACCAGACCAGCCTTTTGCATAGCTTCCTTCATCCTGTAGACGGTAAAAAGGTCCCTTCAGCATCGCATACACGGCCAGGACCAAGGGACAAGATCAACTCACAAGGCGCCGATCTTGGCGGGGCTGTCTGCAACAATGGCGCCGGCCTTCTCCAGGGCGGCCACCTTGTCACCTGCACCTCCCTTCCCGCCAGCAATGATTGCGCCAGCGTGACCCATCCTCCTTCCGGGAGGCGCGGTCCGGCCCGCGATAAAGGCCACCACCGGCTTGGGTTGCTTGCGAGTCTTGTTGTGCTTCTCGAGGTACTCTGCCGCATCCTCCTCCATGCTGCCGCCAATCTCACCGATCAGGACGATACCCTGCGTCGCGTCGTCCTCGAGGAGCAGCTTGACCAGGTCCAGCGTCGTGCTGCCCGGGTAAGGATCTCCGCCAATGCCCACGCAGATCGACTGTCCAAGGCCGACCTCGGTCGTTTGGTTGACGGCCTCGTACGTCAGCGTACCAGAGCGCGAGACAATGCCTGATGGGTTGGGTCAGTGCCACGGCTAGAAGTTGATAGTAAAGAGAGAAAAACGCACCAATCTTGCCAGGTGTGTGAATGTGCCCAGGCATGATGCCGATCTTGCAGCCCTCTGGGTTGATGACACCAGGGCAGTTGGGTCCAATCAGCCTCGACTTGGACTGGTTCTTGAGGGCGTGGGCGACCCTGATCTCGTCAGCCTGGGGAATGCCCTCGGTAATGGCGACAATGAGGGGCACTTCAGCGTTGATGGCCTCGATGATGGCATCAGCGGCGGCCGGAGGAGGGACGTAGAGAACACTGGCATGAGCCTTTGTCTTGTCCATAGCCTCCTTGACGGAAGCGAAGATGGGGAGGCCCAGGTGCTCCTGGCCGGCCTTCTTGGGAGAGACGCCTCCGACGAGGTTCGTGCCGTACTCGAGTGCTTGCTTGCAGTGGAAGGTCGCCGTCTTACCGGTGAAGCCTTGGCAGATGACCTGTAGGATTTCACGTTATAATGCTGTGTTCCTCGCTGCGGACTGTGAAGCGTGCATGAACTGACCTTGGAGTCCTTCTTAACGAGGATGTTCTTGATTGTGTCCTCGTAGCTCTGGCGGACAGCGCTGGTCGAGAGCATCTTGGCGAAAGCACTTCCGCTGCGCAGACCACCGCTTCGCGGCAGTGCGCAGGCAGCGCCTCGAATCGACGTGGCCAGTCCGAGCATGTTTAGTGAAGTAGAGGGTTATTTGACGAGGTGAAGAGGCAGGTCCACGGGAACGGAGGCCGCCGAGGAAAGGGCGCAAGGCGCTCGTCTAGCAAACACGTGTTCAAGGCACAGAGGAGATTATATAAGCGTGGCATACGTGTTCTTGAGCCTTGCGGTCCTTCCAACTTTTGGCCCTCCAACCACCGACTTTCGAGGCAGGATCACCATCTCGAAGCGGCTGTTTCCATCATGTGAGTGCTTTGGTCGTAACAGCCTGTTAAAATGTAGTAGCAAGGCTGAAAGCAGCTTCAACAGGATTCCCGTCCAATCCCCCGACATCGCTCGGGTTTCTCTCCACCGGCGAATCCCCGTCGAATGGCACCTGTACGTCGCTCCGTTTCTGGCCCTCTACCCTGTCTGGGCGTACGCCTACTTCGTCAAGTACGATACATGGATCAAGTCGGAGGAGTGGTCGTTCATCTACACCGTCTCCCTCATTGCCGGTCATGCGCTCAGTTTTCTGGTGACGAGGTGGAGCATCGGCGCTAAGGCACTCATCACCTGCGTGTCGGCCAAGTCGTTGGCAGAAGCTCAAGTCGTGAGAATTATCCCTCACCCACACAAGGGAGAGGGTGAGATTGTGCCGCTCAGCAGGATTGCAAGGCCTGGTATGCCCGTCGAAGTATCTTTCCTCTACCAGGCCGACAAGTACATCCTCACTCAGCCCGATCCGTCGGCTTCGGTGACGTCTGTTCTCGTCTCGCCCCTTGTATCGGAACCAACCTTCAGGCGCCTCCCGTACCCTGTCGATGCTGGTCCAAATCTCGGAGAGATGCAAGCCTCAAAGGGCCTCAGCAGCCAGAAAGATGTCGATGTGGCGCTCGGCACATTTGGCCCTAATAACTTCGACATTCCCAAGCCCACTTTCGTCGACCTCTTCATCGAGCATGCCGTCGCCCCTTTCTTCGTCTTTCAGATCTTCTGCGTTGGCCTTTGGATGCTTGACGAGTACTGGTACTACAGTCTGTTCACCCTCTTCATGCTCATCGTCTTCGAGTGCACTGTCGTTTTCCAGCGGCTGAGGACCCTCAACGAATTCCGCACAATGTCGATCCAACCATTTCAGATCAATGTCTATCGGGCGGGGAAGTGGACAGAGGTCTCCACGACTGCTCTGCTCCCTGGCGACCTCGTCTCAGTCACGCGATCAAAGGAAGACTCAGCGGCCCCTTGTGATATTCTCCTCCTATCGGGCAGCACCATCGTCAACGAGGCTATGCTTAGCGGCGAATCGACTCCTCTCCTGAAGGAAAGCATTGATCTTCGCGATGCCAGCGACAAGCTCGACGTCAACGGGGTGGACCGGAACAACGTCGTATTTGGCGGCACAAAGATCCTTCAAACGACCACATCGGAGGGTGGCCACCATGGCATCAAGTCACCTGATGGGGGTGCGTTGGGCACAGTCCTTCGCACGGGCTTTGGCACTTCGCAAGGCCAGCTCATCCGCCTCATGGTTTTCACCAATGAAGGTCGGGTTACTGCCAACAACCTCGAGAGCTTCCTCTTCATCGCTTTCCTCCTCGTCTTTGCCATCGCTGCGAGCTGGTATGTTTGGACAAGAGGTTTGGACATGGGAAGACCAAAGGGAAAGCTGCTCCTCGACTGCATCCTCATCATCACGTCTGTCGTGCCTCCAGAGCTGCCTATGGAGCTTTCGATGGCCGTCAATGCATCCTTGATGGCCCTGGCGAAGCACGCCATCTTCTGCACCGAGCCGTTCCGGATTCCCTATGCAGGCCGTGTCGACGTCTGCTGCTTTGACAAGACAGGCACAATCACGGGAGAGGACTTGGTGGTGCAGGGCGTCGCACAGATCGGTGCCAGGGAGCCCCAACATCTTCTGGACCTCAAGGCGGTCTCCCTCGAGACGACCCTCACCCTCGCTTCTGCTCACGCCCTTGTTCTCCTTGAGGACGGTTTGGTCGGCGACCCGATGGAAAAGACGACGCTGGACGCGCTTGCTTGGAAGCTAGAAAAGGGCGATATGCTGATGCCGGCCGACGTCCAGCAAGCCAAGCACAAGGCCCTCATCTCGGTCAAGCGTCGATTCCAATTTTCTTCTGCTCTCAAACGCATGTCCACGATCAACACTATCGTCAACAGCCCTCTGGGAAGCAAGCGCACATTGGCTTCCGTCAAGGGTGCTCCAGAGACGCTTCGATCAATGTACCGAAAGCTTCCCAACGACTACGACGAGACGTTCAAGACTTTCACCCGCCGTGGAAGCCGAGTCTTGGCGCTTGGATACAAGCTGATGGACAACGTCCAGTCGACCAATGACATCAACGCCGTCACGAGAGATCAAGTCGAGCGTGATCTTGAGTTTGCCGGATTCTTGATCTTCCACTGCCCTCTCAAGCCCGATGCCGTCTCCACCCTGCGCCAGCTCAACGACTCTTCGCACCGATGTATCATGATCACCGGTGACAACCCTCTCACTGCCATCCACATTGCCAACGAGGTAGAGATTGTCGATCGTGAGACACTGATCCTGGACGTTCGGGAAGGCGCCACTAGCGACCAGGAGCTCTCTTGGCGATCTGCTGACGAAAAGAAGATCATCAACGTCAACGCGTCCGACAGCATCGACGAGAAGCTCTTTGAGACGTACGATGTATGCATGACGGGCGCAGCCCTCAAGCAGTATGCTGGGCAGCCAGAGAAGTGGAACATCCTCGTTCAAAATACCTGGGTGTATGCGCGCGTGAGCCCAGCCCAGAAGGAATTCGTCCTCAATACGCTCAAGCAGCTTGGCTACGTCACGCTCATGGCTGGCGACGGCACCAACGACGTGGGTGCCCTCAAGGCGGCAAACATTGGTGTGGCCCTCCTCGATGGATCGCCAGAGGACCTGAAGAAGATCGCCGAACACCAGCGTCTGGAACGAATGAAGAAGGTCTATGAGCAACAGCTTAGTCTCACCTCTCGCTGGGGCCAGCCACCACCCGTTGTGCCCCCGATGCTCAAAGAGGCTTATCCTGATCTGGAAAAGGCGCGAGAAGAGGCAATCGGCAAGATGAAGACACAAAAGCTTGCGAACCCAAAGGCGAGCTTCGACCTTTCTTCAATCACCTCGCAGATGGCCGACATGGACACCGACGACGGACCGCCGCAGATCAAGCTGGGAGATGCCAGCGTCGCTGCACCCTTCACCTCGAAGTTGTCCAATGTCTCTGCCATCACGCAGATCATCCGCCAGGGTCGCTGCAGCCTGGTGGCGACGATTCAAATGTACAAGATCTTGGGTCTGAACTGCTTGATCCAAGCCTACTCGCTCTCGGTCCTCTACCTCGATGGTATCAAGTTTGGCGACTACCAGGTGACGATCTCGGGCATGCTTATGAGCGTGTGCTTCCTCTTTATCTCTCGAGCGCAACCAAAGGAAAAGCTGTCGAAGGAACGGCCGTTGGCCAACATCTTCAATCTCTACCTCGTCCTCTCGCTGCTGCTCCAGTTTGCGCTGCACATTGCCAGCATGCGCTACATCACCAATCTGACGCCCCTCTACGAGAAACCCGAGGAGGTTGTAGACCTCGAGGCCAAGTTCACGCCCTCACTGCTCAACTCGGCCGTCTTCCTCATCGGCCTCAGTCAGCAGGTCAACACATTCTCGGTCAATTACGTCGGCGAACCATTCCGCGAGCGCATGTCTGCCAACCCAGCTTTGTACTATGGTCTGCTGGCATGCTTTGGCGTCGCCTTTGCCGGTGCCACGGAGTTCATCCCCGAGCTCAACGCTTGGTTGCAGCTCACGCCGCTCCCTGCGCCCTACCAGATCCGGCTCGTGGCGGCCATGGCCATTGATTTCGTGGGTTGCTACATCATCGAGCACGGCACAAAGTGGCTCTTTGCGGACTTGAAGCCGAGAGCACTCATCGTCAAAGGAAGCGAGCGAAGAGAGGCTCGGAGAAAAGCGTTGGCCAACAACCTCCAGTACCTCGCTCAGACGGCAGCCAATGTCGGACAAAATCAGGCCAGCAATGGCGCAAAGAAGTAGAGAAGCCTACCTTGTAAGGGTACGAGGGGAGGACATCATCTGTGTGGAATATCATTTCATTCTTCTTCGTCATGACGCAACGCCCTGCCTAATAGAGATTATGAATAAGACTGCGACAAAGAGCATGTCCTGCAAGCTGGAATATCGGCCCCTGTAACGGGTCCGTCATTGATGGGGCACGGCTCCGGTCTTGAGGAGATTCGCGGGAGGCACTTATTGGAAAAACAGACAGCTCCTACCGTATCACTGTGCCACACGGCAGATGTGATTCGATAGTGGCAGAGAGCCAGCAGCGAGCAGCACACGACACAGACAGATCGAAGGGCCGAGGGTAAAAGTCAACAAACAACAAGTGACAATCAGAGTACGTAATGCAGAGCAAGGAGGCGGGGCACTAGGAGGATTTCATCACATCCACAGTCAGGGACGTAGACAGCGGAGGTTGACGTTGATCACTATTGTTTGTCCGGCTGTCCAGCGTCTTACCTGATCATCGTTCGGGTGGAGAGAGGGATGGACAGCTGGCTGGCTGGGCAGACAAATCGAAACGGAGTCGCGTGGTTCTAGATCTCGCCCAGCCAGAGGAAGGCCCTTCTTCGTACTTCGCGTCTGAAAGCAAGGGGTTGGCGTCATCCCTGACAGCGCGTATTGCTGGGCACGAATAAAAAATAACTTTAAATCGCCGAAAGAAACGCTATCATCGGATCCCCCATGCATCCCAAATCCCATCCATTGAGATACGTGCATCTTCTGATATGTGGCTTCTTGCTGGCCGGACCGTAGAAAAAGGAGCAACCCGAGGCAGGGGTGGGATCGAGGTACATTGGAAGGTTCATCGATGAGGTCCGATAGATTGGTGGAACGAGACCTGCCCCTTTGGGCGATGATGCCGTCGGGGCAGCGTGCCAGGCGGTCAGTAGTAGCCAGCTACGGCTGCAAGTTGTGGAGTTGAGATGAGCTCAGCCCTGCAGTCCTTTGCGCCGCCCTCTCCTGCCTCTTTCTCTCTTAAAAGGGCAACTGTCTGCCTCGTCCTCTTCTTTCCTTCTCACCACTGCGACGCTTTGCCACTCCTCCCCACACTCAGTCTTGCTGCTCCCTCTTCTAACCCCCTCCCTCCCTTCGACTTCGTCTTTCTATTTATCGATCCCGCTTTCGACAACGCTCTTTCCCCCTAATTTGTCTCAACGCACCCACGACGGGGGTAATTCAAGAGGCGATTGATTCGCGCCCGCACAGAATTCTCGCACGCCCTCGATCCGGCGCACCCTTGATAGGCACCGTGGCTTGCCTCCTTTCTCTTATCTGCCAGCAAGCGATAGCGGCGTCCCGTGTGCTCCCCAAGTAAATTTGCTTTGCGATCGAGGCCTTGGGTGGCTTCTTGCTCGCTATCAAATTAGCGTGGGTGCTCAATTTTTCTAGGGATGACATGTAGTGGATCTGACCTTGACCTCACCTCGGTATGCAACAGGCTTATACCGGGTTTTACTGCGTCGCCCATCGCCGCTCATCTCACCACTATCACCTCATCACCGTTCTCTGACTTTTCGACATGCTAGGCGAAATCAAGGCTGGCGTCGCACACGTCAGGTCGCTGCTGGCCGTCAAGAGGTCCAACGGCGACAAGTTTTCGGAAGACCTCCAAGCCAGCCTCGAGAGGCGCTACGCCAGCTGCTGGTATCAAGACGACGCAGAGCGAGGCTCGGCCTCGAGGGCGCTTGTTTGGCACGGTCACGGTGGAGGTGAAGGTCTGGACGACGATGTCAAGCGGGCCTGTCTTGCGGAGACAGCTCACCAGACTGACAACGTCCTTGACATTCTCCCCACCGTTTTCACAATGTGGATCGACCCAAGCTGCGTCGCCATCAGGATGGGCGGAGGTCCAGGCACCTATCTGTCGTCACCGTACCAACACCTCAACTCGACAATTAACGTCGTGTGGGGCACGATGCCCCTCTCGACGCCGTCGATTGCCCCACCTGTGCCCGCGCCTACTCTCCGCGTGCTGGCCTCGACACCTGCACTGGACTCGTCGACATGGACTTCAGGCAACAGCAAGGGTCTTGCTGCGCTCGACTATCATCACGCTCGGTTGCCTTCGACAGCCAGCAGCATCGACAGCTTTGTCGCCGTCTCTCGCAGCTCGAGCATGAGCAGCAGCGGTGACGAGAGCGAGCAATCTTCGTGCCCTAGTCTATCCTCCGCCTCGTCTTCCCACCGTGACAACAATGACTCCGATAGTGAGCTGTCTATCGAGGACATGGTCGGAAATGGCTGCTACGGTCACTTTGACATCATCGATGATGAAGATGATCAGCAAGAGGATGCCGGTGATGTCACCATCACGCCGCAGGACGATCTTGATGTGACCCTTGGTCAGCTCCCGACGCCAGGCGATGCATCGTGCGAGTCGTGGAACAATCCTTGGCAGCAACAGCAGCAGCAAGGAAAGAGACAACCCCGTGTCGAGGCCAACAAGATCAACTACACCATCCACGACGGTGGTAATGTTGGCGTCCTTGGTGGCGGCGTCCGTCTCGGAGGCGGTGGCACGTCTTCCAAGAGCCTTACGCCCCGTCCTCAGCAACAGCTCCAATCTTCTTTTTCGACCCCCATGCCCCCGGCACCAGTGCCAGTGCATGTGCAGCTCGCGCCTACCGCATACCGGCCTGAGCTCCACGACCACTACGGTGCTCCTCCTCCGTACACAGCGAAGCCAGCCTATTACATCGAGCAGCAACACCAGCACCAGCATCAGCAGCCACAACAGCCTCACGGCTTCCACCCTTCCTACCCGGCTTACTACCCAGGCCTGCCCGGTCACCCTCCCTTTGACGTGGCCCAGCAGCAATACCTTGCCGACATGATGATGCGACCCAAGCGCATTCGCTCACGCGGTCGCCGCTCTCGTGGCCGTGGCGCTGGAAGGGCAGCACGTCGACAAGCAGCAGCTGCCCTCAAGGCTCTGGGAGAAGAGGTCGACTACGATTCCGTCACAAGCGGAACGCCTTCGACAATGACGGGCTCTTCCTGCTACGATGACGACGAAGAGGAAGAAAATCACGGCGAGATCACTTTCCGCAACCACGAGATTACCAATGAGGCAGGCAATGCCTTGGGTCTCATCAACCTCGAACGCCCCTCGACGCCCGTCTCGAAAGTCATGCTCGACTCGTCCCTCGAGGCCACGCCTACCGCACCGGTCAAGACGGACGAGGAGACTATGGCACTTGTCCGCCAGCGTGCAGAACAGGTCGCCAACGATCTCGCCAGTCGCCAGGACGCTGAGCGCGACGAGCGTGTCCGCTTGGCGAAAGCCAAGTTCCAGGCGCAGGCCGCCCACGCGCACGCCCAGCTCATGATGCTCCAGGAACAGACCAGGCGCCCTCAGCACCACGGTCTCCAGCCCTACAGCTACGCAGCTGCCGCTGCGCATTGATGATGCTGCAACAGACAGACTCTCCCCAGCTCGCAGTGCCGCGACGTGTTTCGCCTCTGTGGAAACACACACCGCGGTCGCGCACTCCAACCCCATTATCATCGTACAGTAAAAACTTCTCGCCTTCTCTACCTTTTATTTTTGATAATACTACTAGCAGCGACCTAGCCAAAGCGGTCAGCGTCCTCATCTCTACATACACACACTCACTCAACTCTGTTCATACCGGCAAAGAAATACTCTCGAGTCCGATTAATTATCAAATAGTGAAATCCCATTCTATCTCTTCTTTGCCCACCGTCGGAGTCTTCTTTCTCGACCAAGCTGCGCAGTGTGAAGGAGGCTCTAAAGCTGCAAGACTATCGCTTCTCTTGAGACTCACGCTTCAGGCTGGTGTCATCTTCGAGAAGAGGGTAACGATTGTTGAAAGTTTTGCGCTCAAGAAAGCCCTTTTTTGGATGAGGGAGACTGGAAGACAGAGAGTTGCAAGAAGAGAAAAAGACAAGAAAGAGACAAGCCGGGGGATATAAAGAGTGAGAACAAACAAGCCGCCAAAGCCAGTAGAGAGGAGAGAAGGGGTGTGAAAGGGAAAAGGGGGATGGGAGGGTGGGGGGAGGGAAAGAAGGCACGGCCTAGAGGAACCCGCTCTCTTGCAGTAGCCTCGCAATCTTTTCGTCCTCTCTCTCGCGCGGCTCTAGCCTCAAGCTCTGTTCGAACAGCTCCTCGTCGCTCCTCGAGTCGACGAGGTTGTCGTCGATGAATTTTTGGATGCCCTCGATTGGGTGAAAGTTGTACGGCGTCGACTGGAAAATGACAATCTCGCTAATCTTGTCTGCCGTCATCTGCCGCTTGCTAAAGTTGATCAATCGTTCGTCCGTCTTTAGCCGGTCCGAGTTGCCGTCCTCGATAAAGGTGAGGTCGGTCAGGTAGACGCCCAAGAAGGGCACGCAGGGCGGCTGGAGCTTGCGAAGCGTCTCGCGGTACTTTGAAAAGTTCTTGGTGGGCGCCAGGATATTCTTCATGTTTTCAAAGAGGGCAAGGTGACGCTGGTTGACAGCATCCCACGTCCGTCTCAACCGATTCAGAGCCGCATTGTTGAGGCCCGAGTAGATGGCCATCATGCTGCTGAAGTTGTTGAGCGCATAGCATCGATCGGCAATCGCGACAAACTGTTTGACGTAGGCCGCGCGCTTCTTGAGATCTTCCTGCATCAGGATCGATTCCGACGTCCAGCCCGAGAGCCGATTGTTGGCCTTGATGACGTCTCGGATCGCCTGGGCTCGCTCAGCGCCGTCGCTTTTGCTCCACGCCTTGCCGAGGCATTCGGCAGGCCGGATCGCATTGTACAGCGCCGAGTCCTTCAGCGTGAGCTGGCGTGCCATCTCCAGCGGATCGATATCCATGAATTTCATCTTTCGCAGGTTCTTGGGAACGATAGAGCTGGGCGCAGAGACCGACAGCGTCATCTTGCGAATCTGGTCATTCTTGCCTCGTCGCCGCTCAACGAGGCGAAGCAAGAGATTCGAGGCGTGCTTGAGTCCTTCCGCCTGGCTCAATTCCTGGTGCAAGAACTCCTCGATCCGGTCGAGATGTCGCTCGTCTTCGCCATTGTAAAAGTGCGACTCCAGCCAGGACTTGAGAACGGTCGAGACTCGGAATCGGATCAGCGTCTGCTTCTTGCTGACCCACATCTGATGCTCCTCGTCCGTCAGGCCTGGCGGTTCCCTGATTCTGAATCGAGCAATGACCAGGTCCAGGAATTCGTCCGTTGTCGTAAAGGATCGGTAGGTCATGAGGAACGTCGTGCTGTACGATCGGTCCACATAGGCATTGTGCAGCGTCAATCTCTCGATGAGTGCGCCCAGCGTCGCTCCCTTGACCTGGCCGTTGGGGTTCAAGACCAGGTCCTGGGGTGGGTAGTCGGTCTCGAGGAACCAAGGCACCTCTTCAATCTGCTTGGGAGGCGGCACGCTGTTCTCATTCGATCCGTCGCCACTCTGCCCCTGCTGCATCGGTTGATGAGCAGCAGAGAGATGGTCGGAGCCCGAGTCGTCGCCAAAGAGCTTCTTCATCTTCTGGCTTCGCGACAGCTTGTCCTCTCCTTCCTCGCGAGAGTTCGCGGACGCCGCCGTCGTCACAGAGCCGGACCTTGCCCTTGCACTAGCGAGGCCGCCCCGGATCGACGAAGCGATGCGGTTCGTCGGGTAAGGCGGGACCGCCTGTGCCGGACTCTCCTGGCCATGTCCTTGTGTTTGGACCTGCCCTGCACCTGCACGAGGCGGAGGCCCACTCGGGACGGCCAGACCCGGTCCCAGGTACATGACCTCGCCATCCTCGTCCCTTGTGTATCCGTTGTGCTCGTCTGCCGCTCCAGCATCTGGGCCCCCTCGTGCTGCGACCGAAGAGGTTCTGACCGACAACTTGGGCCGCAGTCCGCTTGCCGATCGGCCGCCCGCACTGATTTGGACATCGTTTGTTCCGTAAATCTTTGCCCTTGCTCCGATTCTTGCACCTGGGCCGGTATAGTGGGCTTGCTCCTCGCACACGTCAATGAGCTCTTCGAGTACCTGCCGCATGACACTCAGCAGCACCGAGAAGTTCGTCACTGTCGCCAAGACGTCGCTGCCATCATCTGATGACGATCCGTCCTCGTCGTTCTCGAGTTGGATGGCAATGTCCTGAGCTTCGAGCATGAGCCGTGTCGAAACGTCGTAGAGGCCCTGCTTGATGGCTGAAAAGTGGTGGATGGCGTCCCTTGCCCGCGTGACCGAAGCCACGTATTCTTCCACCTCTACGCCATTCTGCTGCCGCGCATCAGGACCGTCGACATCGAGGACCGTGGCAAGGTCCATCTCTTCGACGTAGATCATCAGCGCCCCAAAACGGAGAAGGACGAGCTTGACCTGGGACGACAGCAGCCTCGACCCTCCCGGTGTTTTGGGAAGGTGGCCTTCGTCGCTGCTGACGCCGTCGTCGTCCTTTGGCCCCCCACCTGCAGAGGTAATCGTGGGTGTCTGAACCCGACTCGCCGCATCCTGGTCCCACTCCAGCTGCCATTTCCGCTTTGCCAGGCCACGAAACTCTTCGAGCTGGGCTTCGAGGGTGGCGAAGCGGGGCATGAGGAGCGTCTCGACGTCGATCCGGCTGAATGTCGCCGTTGGCTTTCTCCGCAGGGCAATCTTTCCCGACGAGAGTGCGTTCTGCGCATCCTTTGTCAGCTCAAACGGGTTCTGGTATGACCCCATGGCCTCGGCTTGCAGCGCCGCCGCCTCGGTGGGCGTGGGCAGCACAAATCCGTTGCCTCTCCAGCCAGCTGCCGAGCCGCCGCCCATGATTTCCAGGCCGACGCCCGCGGTGCCTTGACCGCTTCGCAACACGCCTTGTACCCGCTTGATCCACGGTGTCGCTGAAGCACCACCTCCACCATAACCGCCGCCGCCGCCGCCGCCGTTGCTAGAGGCATACGACGCCTGGCCTCGTGCCTTCTCGGCCTCTGAGCCAAAGGCTGCAGTCGCCTTTGCCAGGCTATCAGCATCGTCGCGTATCCGGCCCCGGTAGACGTTGACCTTTTCCAGCTTGGCGGGTGTCAGAGTGGATCTCTGCTCCTTGTCGACCGACGACTCCTCGATGACAGTGCGTACCGACAGGACGAGCTTCGAGAGAGTGGCGCTCAGCTTCTTGCCAAGTTGCTCCAGCGACGCGGGCGGCTGCTGAACCGCCTGCTGGTGAGCGGCCGCCACGATGGGCTGCTCGCTCACGTCGAGCTGGTGCGAGCGGTTGGAGAGGCCGATGAGTGCGGCTCGGAAGCACGACAGCGTCGATGAGCCAGACTGGCTCTCGACGAGACCGGCCAGCTCCGACACGGCAATGAGGTCGACCTGTGTCACGCCCAAGGAGCCAGTGGCGTAGAGAAGGTCGCGAATGGCTGCCACGACGGTGGCCGAGGCCGCGCCCAGCCTAGACTTGTCGACGAGGGCATCGTCTTGATCCTCGTCGACTGGCGGCAGAGCAGCACGAGCCCTGCGGTCCTCGTTGCTGAGGCCGTCTGCGGAGATGGATTCTGCCGCGACACCCGCAAGGACATTGATGGATTCATTTGCCGCAACGATAAGGGCGAGGAGCGTCGCAGTCGATGGAGGCTCGAGGGCCGCTTGAAGATCACTGGCTTCCTTTTCGTCGTCGGCTTTTGCGCGGGGTGCATCGTCGCTCGAGGCCACCGTCGGTTTCCGCGGCTGCATGTCCTCCTCGTCGTCTTCGGCGAACCCGCTCTCGGCAAGCTGCTCCAGAGCATCTACACCGTGGGAGATTCGGCCGTCTGCGGTGATGATTGGGTGGTCAAACCTGGCCTCGCCCGTCTCGAGATTGCGGTAGAGGAACTTGTCGCCCTCGCTCGTCCTCTCAATCGACCATGGGTAGGGAACGCTGTCCGGTGGCGGCATCATGTCGACGTGGTTGCGGCGCGAGGTGGAACCGCTGCCGACACTGTTGCTCAGACTCGCGCCCCTGCTCCTGGTGCCGCCGTTGACGTAAACGGTCGACGAGTGGCGCTTGAACGGTGGCCTGGACGACTTTGGGTCGTGGAGCCAACCTTCATCGTCGGACGCCATGGGGCTCGGCGTCATGGATCCTTCGGCGAGGTCTGCGCCCTCCGGCAGATCCTGTGCCTGCGCACCGGTCCTGGTGTTGAAGTAGATGATCTGGAGGAATTGGAGAGGTGGTTAAGGTCAAATTTAGGCCCAGACAAGAGGAGAGAAGGGGATGACTTACCTCTCCGCGCTCGTTTACTTTTGGCACCCAGAAGCTGCTCTCGTTTTCAGATCTGCGAGAGGCCCTGCTTCGCGACGACGCTTGCGTCGCTGCCCTTGGTCTGCCCAGGGACGACATGCCTGGCGCGGCCAGGTGCGAGTGGCCCGACGAGAGGGAATGGGCACGGAGCCGTTCCCTCTCCCGCTCAGAGGGGCCCGCCAGGCGTGCGTCGAAGCCGGCCAGCTTCTCTGCCTCAGAAATCGAGGGCGCAGTGCTCCGTGGAGCGACGGAGCTCAGATCGGTGTGGGTGAGCGAGACGTTGCTGGGGCTCGTGCTCGTGGTGGCGTACGAGCCGTTGCGCCAGCTCATGTCACTGATGCGGCTGCTGCGGTGGCCGCCGTTGGCTGTCGTGCCCGTCGTTGTGCTCGTCGCCATCGAAGATCGAGGCACAGCAGCCGTGGAGGACGATGAGGGCGACAAGGCAGTATTGGGGTCCGATGCGCGCATGGCCGCCTCGGCCAGCTGCTCGAACGTCGCGTCCGAGTCGTCATCCCGCGCGCCCATCAGCGACCGGAGGACGTCAAAGTCCTGAACAAGGCCCAGTCCGGCATAGGGTTGAGCGCCAGCATTAGCCTGTGAATGCTGCTGCTGCTGCTGGTGGTGCTGCGGCTGCTGGTGTTGAACGTGCTGCTGCTGTTGTTGTTGCTGGATGCCCTTCTCCTGCTCCTGCTGCTGGAGCAGCTGCTCAAAGTACTCGTCGGCCTCTTCCTCGGAGACAACCTCGACGTAGTTGGAGGGAAACCAGCCGCGGATGCTTCCCCCCATTAGCCCGTCCCACCATCCGCTCTCGAGCTGGGTGAGGACTTCGATGATGTCGCCCTGCTTAAACGAGAGCGAGCTGTTGTCTGCGGGCGTGAAGTCGTACACAGCTCGGACGAAGAAGGACTGGGCCTCTTCATCCTCCTCTTCGTCGCCCTCGACTCCCTCCTCGACCCGACCCTCGGTCCACCCGACCATCTCGCCCTCATCGGGCGTTCTAAAGTCTTCGTCGGCCGCGCTCATCCTGGTCGTCGTCGTTGTCGTCGTTGCCGTCGTAGTCGTCGATCCAATGACTGGTTCTGCCGCGGAATGGATCGGCCCTACCGATCGAGGCAAGAGTCAGAAACAGCAGGAGGACACGATAAGGGGCGCAAAAGAACGAGACAGGTGCACGAGCCTCGTCGCCGGCCGCCGACGAGTCTCTGCTTTCCATCGCCCGCGCACGAAAAAGAGCCGCTAACTCACCTCTAGCATCTACAGGAAAGATTGGCGCCCGAGGAAGTCGTGGTGCATTGGGCGGAAACCAAGGCTGATAGCTTAGTCAGTAGATTGGGTGCAAGCGGCGTCAGTAGACTGATTAAGGACCGAGTGGGGACAATGACGAGGCGAGAGGGCCTGAGCGTCGTTTTTTTTTCCCTCTTCTCGCGAGAGATTTGTCCCATTTACCCCAGCCGATTGCGGCAATTGGCCTGCCCTACGAGTCACTCACCTCGAGCGCCTCTCTCGGCAATGGCACAGGCTAAAAGACGGCCAGCGGTGGACCTGTTCTCTCTCTCTCACTCTTTTTAGTCGGCGGTGATGTCCAAGGATCTGGCCCGAATCTATCCCCGGCCTCTCTCTTCTCTAGATGGTTCTCGCGGCCGTTTTGTCGCGATCTCTACTCGACTTGGAGGTGACGCCGGCGCCGAGGAGCCACCAAAGTGCAGACGGATTGACCAAGCAGTCTCAAAGATACGACGCAGTAGACAACCTCTAGGCTCGCCTTCTGCTCTCGCGTCGCGGAGATCGCGTCGAGAAATGCTGGTCCCGGAATAGCGTAGTAGTAGTAGTAGTAGTAGTGTAGAGACAGTCGTGAAAATAGTGTAGCGTGGCTAGCGGATACTTTGCATCCGAGCTGGTAGTGTGGTAGTGTGCACTACAACAATTGCTATGCGTACTCTACTTTTAGTTACTGCTCACGCCAGATGGAAGGATCGCACTAACGAACGACGCGCTAAGTTGCTCCTTCTTTCTCTCTTTTTTTTTTTTTCTCCACGAATCTATGGGCTAACCAAGACTGATCTGTTCTGCTAGGGTGCCAGCGGAGTCGGAGCTAGGCTCGATTGGTGGCTGCTTCTGGGCCACACACACGACTCCACTACCGCCACTATCACACCGAAGACAATGGCATCCTCTGTATTGGCCCGTCGCTCTTGTTTGTGCATTCACACGGGAGCGCTAGCTAGCTCGAAGCGGGCCCGCAGCTGTTCTTCTGTACATGAACACGGCCGACGTGAGCGGTTCTTTAAGCCCAGCGGTTCCCGATACGAACGCAGATTATTGGTTTGATTTCAGATGTTGGGTCCTGTGCGATGACGGATGACAAGCAAGCCTTGTTTGTACCACAAACTTGGGGAAGGGACCGGCCTGCGTCGCTTCCACCTGAGGGTGCACTTGCGAGGGCGGAGTTGTCCCTTCCTTGGGAGGCCACGCCACGTGGTCAGGCCTATATCCGAGGGCGACCTAAGGAGAAAATTTGAACTCTGTTTTTTTCCTTTTTTTTTTTTTTTTCTTTTTTTTTCCTGGTTGCTTTTTTTTTCTGAGGGCGAGCGCGACGACGCGCTTTTCCCTCTGGAACACCACCCACCACCACCACCAGAGCCAGAGCCACGCCACCAGAGGACAGGACAGGATGAACGGACACGCCGACAAGATCGACAACGGCCTCTACCACGCCTCGACGTCGGCGGCACCGCTGGACCCGGCCCAGGCCTTTGCGCAGCTGGCCACGTACAAGCACGGCGATGGCCTGTCCATGTCTGAGCTCATCGACTCGCGCACCCACGGCGGCCTGACGTACAATGGTGAGTCTCTCTTGCGCACAACACAAGCTTTGATGATTCGAGAAGCAGAGGCTTACTGACATGGTTTGGCATTCCCCACGGCTCCTTAGACTTCCTCGTGCTCCCCGGCTACATCAGCTTCCAGGCCTCGGAGGTGTCGCTGCAGACAAAGGTGACGCGCAACGTGACGCTCAACACGCCCTTTCTCTCTTCGCCCATGGACACCGTCACCGAGACGGACATGGCCATCTCCATCGCCCTAATGGGTGGTATGGGCGTCATTCACAACAACATGAGCGCGCCCGAGCAGGCAAGCATGGTGCGCAAGGTCAAGAAGTACGAGAATGGCTTCATCACCGAGCCCCTCTGCCTCAGCGACAAGGAGACCGTCGGCGATGTCCTCGACATCAAGCAGCGCCTCGGCTTTGGTGGCATTCCCATCACTGGTGAGTCTCTTTTTTGAATGCCTTTTGGAGGCCTTTGCCGGTCTCGCCGGCCTCGCCGAGAGGATGAAAAACCAACAACACTGCTGTAACCTTCGTTCTTCCTACCAAACCTCTCTTCGGAGACGGTGACTTGAGGAGAAAGTTATAACCTATGTCCACTGATTCTTGATTGCTGTTCTACTTTGCTGTATGCAGGCTCGCTGACATGCATCTGAACCACAGACACCGGCCTGCTCCAGGGCAAGCTCCTCGGCATCGTCACGGCGCGCGACGTCCAGTTCAGGGACCCCAGCACGCCGCTGGCCGACGTCATGACCCGGGACCTCGTCACCGCCAAGCAGGGCGTCACTCTCGAGGAGGCTAACCGGATCCTGCGCGACAGCAAAAAGGGCAAGCTGCCCATCGTCGACGCCCAGGGCCATCTCGTCTCGCTCCTGGCCCGCTCGGACCTGCTCAAGAACCAGAACTTCCCGCTGGCCTCGAAGCGGCCCGACAGCAAGCAGCTCTACTGTGCTGCTGCCGTGGGCACGCGCCCGTCGGACCGTGAGCGCCTCACCCTGCTCGTCGAAGCTGGCCTCGACGTTGTCATCCTCGACAGCTCGCAGGGCAACAGCGACTTCCAGGTCGAGATGATCCACTGGATCAAGAAGACGTTTCCCCACCTCGACGTCGTTGCCGGTAATGTCGTCACGCGCGAGCAGGCGGCCACGCTGATTGCTGCGGGTGCCGACGCGCTCCGCGTGGGCATGGGCTCTGGCTCCATCTGCATCACCCAGGAGGTCATGGCCGTGGGCCGACCGCAGGGCACGGCGGTGCACTCGGTCGCTGAGTTTGCCTCCAAGTTTGGCGTGCCCGTCATTGCCGACGGTGGCATCCAGAACGTGGGCCACATTGCCAAGGCCCTCGCTCTGGGCGCGTCGGCCGTCATGATGGGCGGCCTCCTTGCCGGCACGACGGAGAGCCCCGGCGACTACTTTTACCGTGAGGGCAAGCGACTCAAGGGCTACCGCGGTATGGGCTCCATCGATGCCATGGAGCACCAGAAGAAGAGCAAGACGTCGGGCGCCACGGGCAAGGGCCTCGCCAAGGCCAGCCAGGTCGCCGACGCCGGAAGCGAGAATGCCGCAACGCAGCGCTACTTTTCCGAGGCCGACGCCGTCAAGGTCGCCCAGGGCGTCGCCGGTGCGGTGCACGACAAGGGAAGCGTGACCAAGTTCCTGCCTTACCTCTACACGGGTCTCCAGCACTCGCTCCAGGACATGGGCGTCCTCGACCTCAAGAGCCTCAAGGCCGGTGTCGGAGCTGGCAAGGTCCGCTTCGAGCTGCGCACCTCGGCTGCCATGGCCGAGGGCAACGTCCACGGCCTGGCCTACCACGAAAAGAAGCTTTTCAGCTCCTGATGACTTTCCCATATGTATTTTAGATCCTGTTCCCTCTTACGCCCTCCTTCATTCCACCCTTCCCTCTTTTCACCCATGCTATAGCACAACTCTCCCACACGAGGAGAAGCTGCAATCGCGATGGTCTGCGAAACCCTGTTGCACACTCAGAGGACGTGACTCTCCGGAAAACGGGACTTGGGAGGTGCCGGGTTTTGAGGTTTTTTTTTTTTTCTAATTTCTTCCCTTTCCCAGTGCGTGCTTGCTAATGTTTTGGCGTTTCTAGAGACTCATGACATGAGCAACGCCGCCGAGCTTCGACGCCGCCAGAACCGATCCGAACAACGAGCAGGAGCCTCGCCTCTGTTCTCTGCCTCTGCTACCCTTGACCCCAGCGAGGAATCGACGACAGCAAAGAGGACGGCTGCAGCAGCGGCGGCGGCGGCGGAAAAACAAAAAGAAGGAGGCGCAAGAGGAGCAGAGAGGCTGGCTCGACAAGGTCAGCTACTGACGCTTGCTTCGCTCGCCTTTGTCGCTCTCGGCCTCTTTGGCCTCCTCGGTGGCTGGCAGTCGCTCGCTCGCTCCTTTTCCAAAGATAGCAGCAGCAGCGCGACAAGAGGGACAGCGCAGGCGTGGAAGGCGTCGGAGCTGGAGGAGGCTGCGGTGCTGGAGACGGCAGCGACGTGGCTCGACTGGCCCTTCTGTCTCGCCTACTTTGTCCCGCTCGCTATTCCGCTCGCGACGTTTGGCGTCATTGCGCGGTGGACCGGCGAGAAGGCCTTTCGGCATGCGGTGTAGCGCCCCGACGCTGAAGCAGCAGCAGCGGCAGCAACTGCAACAGCTGCTGATGCTGGGGGTGCGGGTGCGGGTGGTCGCAGGGAATGCAGCAAGGGCGAGACCGGCTTGGACTGCGACGGCGGCAGCTGCGGCTGCGGGATCATCGAGAAGGAGGCGAGAGTCGCTGCTTGGGCGGGCCTATTCTTCTCTTCCATCAAGCTCTGCTGGTGGAATGGCTTCGTCTGCATCGTCGTCGTCGAAGGGTGTCGAGATCGACAGACCGCCGATAGCAAAAACACCAACTTCGGCACCGACATCTGCTGATGCAGACCCGCAGGAGAGGGGGAGGGATGCTCCCAACGACGCCTCGGCTGGAGCTGGACAGGTCGAGGTGGACACAGCGCAAGGCAGCCATGCGCAGGAGGCCGGCGCGACGGCGGCGATGCAGGAGAGGAGAGAGGTGCTTCGGCTCAAGAGGCAGCGGCAGCGGCGCAGAAAGGCCATGCGCCGGGCCGAGAAGGCAGCTTCCGAGGCGAGTGAATCGAAGGAAGTGACTGCAACGCCAGGCGACGAGAGAGAGGCTGTGGCGATCAACGACGAGAATGACTCAGCAGCTGCGATCACGAAGGCGGCTGAAACAACGGCCACGATGCCGGAGGTGAACGAGGACTCTCCCAAGGTAGTATTTGCCGCCAGCGGAGAGACCGACGCTGGAGAAGAGAAAATGGAGGGCAAGGCGGCGGCGGCGGCGGCGGCTGCAGAGGAGACGAAGGCCACGGTACCACAGCCGGTCTCGGCGACTACATCCAAGACGAAGCCGGCAAAGAAGAAGGCCAAGCCGGCAACCAGGGCAAAGCCCAAGTCAAGGAGCAGCATCTCGCTGAAGCACGCAGAGAGGACTGCAGCGGCAGGTCGGCTGAAAGGCAAGACTAAACGCACGAAGAAGGAAGAGGCCAGCCAGCACGATGCCAAGGAGCGAAGCGGAGACATCAGCCGCACTGGAGACGGGGAAGCGGCGCAGCTGCGCCCGATGGCGGGCTCCTGGTGGAAGAGCATCCTGCAGTCGTGGAGGCTGTCACCAGCACCAGCTTCAGCTTCGACTGGCGCAGAAGGCGAAACGACGCCAGCAAGCATGGGCGTCGATGCTGAGCGTCCGACCCTTTTCAACGGAAAATCCAAGGCTGTTTTGGCGTGGTCGAAGGGCGAGAGACTGGGTGGCATGACTCCGAGGCAGAGATTCCTGGCGAGGAGGGGAAGAAAGCAAGTCGCCGATTATGATCAGACTGCTCGAGATGCCCTGCGGAGACGCTTCAGCGCGTCTGGTGAGGAGGCAGCAAATGGACTCCAGGCCAGCGAGCAGACCGCGGCAGAGGAAGGGCAAGTCGAGAGCGGGCAACGAAGAGAGAGAGAAGAGATGGAAGGGAGCCTTGGCTCAGCGCAGGTCAACGAAGCAGACGATGGCCTTCAAACCTCAGCGGCACTCGACGCCTTTCAAGGCCCATCGCAGTCCTCCTCATCAAAGGAGCGCTCTGGGCACTCGACGTCCGATCAGCGTGGTTCTCCCACTCCGCAGCCGCTGCCGTCCCGCCATCCCACGCAGCCTTATTACTTGGAGCTCTCCCCTCAGCAACGCGAAGAGCGTCAATTGGCAAATGCCAACGCTGTCGCCGAGGGGCGCCGACAGCAGCCACTAACGTCGCGTCCACCGCCTAACCCGATGTGGTCTCTGTTCGCCTCGATTCGCAAGCGGGTCAAGAGCGAGGGGAGCGGTACAGAAACGCCCTCTTCAGAGGCTCCTCTGGCGCTTGACAAGAGGGGCGACGCTCAAGCGACGATGGAGGGGTTCTACCGTTTTGACCACACACCGATCATCTATCCTCCCAAGGACAGCTACCCCCCTCCCCTGCCCCCGGTGCGAGACGCGGACCTGATCATGGCCGCCAGAGCACTGCGTGTGCTCCGGCCGAGCGAGGTGGCGTGGGTGCCCCACGACGGGGAAGGAGGTCAAGGCCGCTGGGCAAGGAGACACTGGCCCGACTCTTGGTACGAAAAGCAGGGTCTCCTCGAGTATCTCGACGGCGAGCAGGTGCGTCTTCGCTTGTGTCCTCTTCCTTGACTTGTTCTTCTGCGCTGACATGATCGATGAGACAGTCTCTTGCCTACCTCGGCGATTCGCTGCTTCACTTTGTCACCCGCCTGCTCGTCATGCGGCGATACCCTGATCGGCGGAGTCGTGACATCAGTGAAGCAGCAAGGTTCCTCGTGTCCAACCAAAACTACATTTACATCTACGACGATGCCAACTTGGATGCGGAACGTATGGCCGTCTACGGGCTCATGAGGCAAGAGTCGAAGCGGCGTCAGATTGAGCAGCCACGCAGCTACAACGCCCGACCGACGGAAGTCCTGTCGGCAGAGGAAAAGCTTCTCAGGGAAAAGACTCCGTTGCCAGACGCCGTCATGCCGTCGTTGGGCTCGCGGTGGAAGCAAAAGGCAGACTCGTGAGCAGACTCTTTACTCTAACGCATTGATCATCTAGGAAAACGTTGGGCTCATCATCTCCCATCTGTCCGATATCCCTTACGCAGTTTTGAGGCCTACGTCGGAGCCGTCTACCTGACCTTCGGATTCGACGCCACGCTCCGCTGGTTGGAGTTGCTGCTTCAGCCATGGGTTGACCGCGTCGGCCGAGAGGAGAACTTCCGACAAAACCCCATTCTCAGCCCCGCCGCCCAAGCCGAACTTCGTAGGCGTGAGGCCGACGAGAAGGACAAAAGAAAATCACAAGTCGGCAGTCTCGTGGGCTGGCTCCGATCATGGTACAACAAGGGCTAGGCCCCATTTTCACAATGTAAAGATAATATGTTACAACTTTGCACATTAGTCGCCACCAGTCACCTCTCTTGTGCTCCGCTCTTGTCAGGACGCAATGCCGAGCTCAAGGGCGAGGTCGTCGGCCCGCTTGAGCGCTTCTTCCTCTGACGCGCCGCGCCGGCCGGCCGTGGCAAGGCAGTCACTCACAACGCCGAGCAGGTGCTGGTTCTCGAGGGCGGCCGCCACACGCTCCTTGTCGTTGAGCTGCTTGTTGACGGCGCGCTCCGACTGATGAGTCCCCGGCCTGACCCTGATGTCGACCTTGTACCGAGTTGGGAGTGCACGGAGAAGGCGAACGCGCAGCGCCAGGCCAATCAGCGTCGCCATGCTGCAATGCGGGATCGTAGGGGTGAATTCGAGGAGGATGTGAGGAGCCTGGTGCGCCTCAGCGTCAGCAGGCGTCACTGTGATGTGGGATGCGTTGACTACGGCAAGCTGCTCGAGAGTCAGAGGATGCTCCGGGTCCGAAATAGACCGGATCAAGTCTGCAATGTCTCATGTCAGTCATTCGTCCCGTCCCGCCACCCGGCTCAAAGTAAATGAGAGACTATGGACTCACCAAAGACTTCCTGGCTGTCGATTGGCTCTGCTTTGTCCTCCTTCTCCTTCTTCATCATTGAGTCGCTCTGTGACTCCTTCATCTCTGAGTCACCAGCCTCCTTCTCGTCTTCGTCGTCCTCATCGACGCTCCCGTACCCGGAATCGCCGTCTCTCCCGGCCCACCGCGACGAAGCGCCAGTGAGCGCAGTCGCCATCTTGGAGTGGCCCATCGATGCATCTCGCCACCACTCGTCCTCGTTGTCGGTCCCTCTTCCCACAGGATTCGAAGACTGGGCGTAGACGATGGGGTTCGCGTTGTCTTTGTCGGCCATCGTTGCTGGTTTCGCTTTCCGCTTGGTGGTGGTCTTGTGCTATCTGACCTTCGGTGATCATAAAGAAAATTGGAGCGTCTTGATTAAGCCACGTGGGATTCAAATTAAGCTCGCGTCTAACGGTAATGTCACAACCTTCCTTTCTTCGTTCTTCGTGTGGGAGGGGGAAGAAAGATTGAACATGCAGGTTACGCAGCAATAGAATCCTTGGTAGGTACTGTACTGTACATTCTTAGCCTGGCAGTGAAATACGACTAGTACTACTAGCTTGCCTTTGTGAGGTTGTGTCTCCTTAGTCATCCATCCAGCCCCGCTTACTCTTTTCCTTTATTCCCGGTCTTTTTTACGCTACTATTACGAACCACTCTGCCACGCTTTTCTTTCTGTTTCTCGGCTTCTTTTAAAGTGCTTGCAGCGACCGTCAAGAGGCGCTCTTCCATGGGACACAAATTTAGTTGTTCACAACATTAGCAGTCTTGCTCTGCTTCGAGAGGGCTTCGAAAACGGCGGAGTTAAAAAGCGAACTAAGCGCCCTGCTTCTCTTCTCGGGAGACTAGCAGCTCGAACGGCGTACTTCAGCACCTTTGTGCACTTCGCTAGCGCCCACTCCCCTCCCCCCTTTTTATGACCATCGGCGTCGCAGCAAGAACAGGATGCATTGGAAAAGAACGGAGGTGAGCAGAGACTCGATCGGTAGCCAACAGCTTGATGGTAGACAGCGTCATGGAGGAAACAAACGATTCGAAGGACCGTCTGCAACAGAGACTCGACTCTCGTTGATCGACTTGCCTGTTTTGGTAGTAAACAAGGAAGTCGCTCTTTGCTTCGAGTAAAAGTGTCAAGTCCCCACTTAGGAGGCACGAGTTGGCCAGACAGCCTTCTCCGCCTCAAAAAATGGGCAAATGATGACCATCGAGCAAGCGCGCCGCACCCCCTCCAACCGAGGCGAGACCCATTGTTGCGGGCAAACGGCAATAAAAGCCGAGCAGGGTGCTTTGCCCTTCCCTTTTGTGCTCTCGCCTCCCCTCTTCTGTCCCAGAACCTTTCCCCGGTCAAATATGACATCCAAGCAACGAGGCCCACAAGTCGACTCCCCGCTTAGCCCGCCGCTGACACCCACATCCTATCCCTTGCTTCGCCTCATCCCTAGTAACCCTTCTTCTCGTTCCGACCAATCGGTAGGGCGACTCGCTGATACATGCTATCGGCCGACAAGGGTGACAATCGACCTGGATCGCCTTGTCGACAATGTCGTGGCGCTGCGACAGAATGCAAACGTTCGTTCCTTCGCTGCCGTCCTTAAGGCCGACGCATACGGGCACGGAGCCGTGGCAGTGGGTCGAAAGCTGTGCCAGAGCGGTGTTGTCGACGCCTTTGTTGTTGCCCTCGTCGAAGAAGGCATCGAGCTTCGGCAGTCCGGCATCACTCTACCTATTCTTGTCGCTGCTGGCAATTATGCGGGCAAAGCTTACGTTGACGTCATTGCACACCAGCTCACGCCCATCGTTGGCAGCATCGAAGACCTCCATGGCTTCTCTGACGCAGCGAGTACGCTCGGCGTTGATCGCGTTGCTGTCCACCTGGAATTCGATGTAGGGATGGCCAGACTGGGTTTTCAGGTCGAGTCGCTCTCTCAGCTTCGGATGGCTGTCGAGGGCTTGGACCGAGTCGTCATTGCCGGTATGATGGGACATCCTTCGCACGCTGAACTCCCTGATGCGATACGTACATCAGAACAAGAGACTCTTCTTACCAGTATTTGTGACGTCGTAGTCCCAAATCGATCGGTCAAGGACTGTCCCAGCGGCCTGATGGTTCACATGGCCAACAGCAGTGCTCTGACGACCAGCCATCGACAAGACACCTTCGAGCTCGCCCGCATCGGCCTTGCCATCTTTGGAATACAGCCCGTCCCCTCCCTGCCTTTGAAAGGCATAAAGCCCATTCTCGAGTGGACCGCCGATGTGGTAGCGCTGCGCACCATTGCAAAGGGCCAAACGGTGGGCTACGATGGCAAATGGACAGCTCAGAGGACGAGCAGGATCGCGACCTTGGCTGTCGGCTACGCAGATGGGTATCCTCGCAGCTTCTCGAATCGCGCAGAAGTCCTCATAGAAGGCAATCGCGCTCGCGTCGTGGGTGCAATCTGCATGGACTACACCATGATCGACATCACGGACATACCTGCAGCAGACCGCATTGGCGCACGGGCAACCCTTCTTGGACAAGGTCCCAAAGCGCCAGACGTCACAGAGCTGGCCCTCTGGGCCGAATCGATTTCCTGGGAGATCCTGTCTCGAATCGGATCCAGAGTTCCGCGCTTTTATCTCGGAGCACAATGAGGGCCCATGACACTCACCTCGAACATTTACTACCGTCTCTTCTCATAGCTTGGCAAGCCCAATAGCTCTTTCGATCATATCACCTTCTCCTCTAGCCTCCTCCTCCTCCTAACATTACCCTAAGCAATGCCCTAATCGTAAGCACCAACCTTCAATCGATGCAACTCCACCAGAGACATTTAGCAAAGCCTTGGACCAGAACGAATGGAGGGAGAAGTAGTTGCAAAGAGGCACGGACTTCAATGCGCAGAGGGAAATGAGTGTCGGCTCCAGAGAACGTGCAAATTAAATGATGATTGAAATTGTGAAAATCGGGACCAAGGTTGAGTGAGGTGCGACGAAGCTGGTTGTGTATTGCAGAAGAAATTGAGGCAAGAGTCGAGAGCCGGTGACGACCGACAGATTAGAGGCACCAGCTGCAATCGTCGAGAACCAGTGACGACGAGGCAACAGGCAGCAAAGGCGATGGCCTGTGACAGAGGAAGGTCCTGTGTAGAGTGATTGTTGACAGACCATACAGCTTTGAAGTAGGGCTGATGGTGGTTGATTTATTTTATTTTATTTTCCGTTTGTCAGACCTTGATGTCGTAAGGCCTGAGGACCTGGCTCAGAACCCAACTGGGCCGGTATGAACGCTCGGCACAAAGCCGGTTGAGTAGCGGCAAGGTCGTGTGGTGGGCTTGCGCCAGGAGTGGATGGCCTTCATGGTCTAATTGTGCAAGATTGGGCGTGCTGAACTCGAGCTTCTCCGATCTTTTGGCCTCGGCCGGCGATGAAAGAAACGATGGACCGGGCGACGGTGGGATGTCGGTCATATCCGGCTCCGACGAGCTGGAGAACGACGAAGAGAACTCGTCTCGCGTGGGCGAGACGGGCGTAGAGAGGCCCGAAGAAGATGACGACGAAAAGGATTGGTCAGCAAAGCTGCCGACTCCAAGGTGTCCGTCAAACGGAGAACCCGAGAATTTCCTGATGGATAGACCTGCGAGCGAAAGCGATGCGGACGAAGACTGGGGAGAGAATGTCTTTGCCAAGCCGTACGTCCCTGGTGCTCGATGACAGATCCAGTCGACGTTGTCTTCGATGCAGGCCACACGCCCTGCGAGATCCTCCTCTTCCGTCTTGGCCTTACGGTAAATGACATGCTGACAAACAGGGTAAACAGCCATGCGCTTGTCCTCGGAGCTGATATTCCTTGTCCAGGTGATGGCTGCCTCGTGACAGGCAACTCGATCTTGGCCTCCTTGCTGGATGTAGACGGGATGTCGCACTTTGCCTGCTTCTGCCTGCAGCCTCTCCATACCTTCGTGGATGCACAGCAGGTGCCCGACTCGGAACGCACCGTGGTGACTGCGTTTGTCCTCGGTGACGAGCGATTTGTAGACTCTTGGGTCCTTGTCGAGAATTTTCCTGTGAGGAACGAGAACCTCGACGCGACCGGCACCCAGCCATCGGTCTGCACCTCGGATGGCCCATTGAAGTGGAAGAGGAATGTGAACATTGGCTCGATGCTGGCCCAGAATGGGTCCTACGGCGATGATGCCGTCAATTGGGATCTCATCCTGACCTCTCGGCTCTTCTCGTAACGACAGCGGGTAGTCGAGAGCGTACATGAGCGCCACGGAGCCACCAAAGGAAAGACCCAGCATAAAAGTTGGCTTTCGTTCAGCTTTCATCGGCCGTCTTCGTGTCGAGGTTCCCTCGTTGTGGTGCTCCCTACCAAAGTAGTCTCGGTTTTCCGCCACTTCTTCGTCCTCGTGGTCATTTAGCTCCATCCACAAAGCATCGTCGCGCCTGGCAACGTCATGCAAAACAGCGTGGAGGCCCTCGGTGTACGCGCTCAAGTCCCTTTGGTAGACGTGGACGCCGCTCGAGTAGCCATGAGAGACAAGGTCGGGGACGATCAAGCGGAATCCAGCATCGAGATATCGTCGCGAATGGCTGGCCAACGTGCCAGAGTGGACACCGGTGCCATGAACAAAGATCATATCGGCGCGCCTCCCCGTCCGCCTTTGCGCCTCTTTGTCCTCCCAGACCTGGTACCATGACCAGTCTTTACCATTGGGCAGCATCGCCCTCCCAAACCAGACTTCAATGTTTGGGTTGCTATGTAGCCGCTTCTCCATAGGTGAAAAGGGAATGTGCGACCGTCCATAGGTCCGGTCTGATGCTTCGTAGAGGCCTGTCGAAGTCAAGGCCGGCTCCGCGAAGGACTCCCATGCCGTCCGCCCAAGAAAGGAGAGTGTGTCCATGATCGGGAAAGAAGAGAATGTGTCGGATGAGGCAATGGGTGAAGAAAGGAATGTAGAAAGAGAAAAAAGAGCGTGATATCGTCGCCGACCGTTACAGGTGGCTCTGACGTGGGAGACGGTGCGCGAGGGAGAGGTGACACACAAAGGGAGGGGGTGCAAAACGAGGGTGGTGGTGGGGATGGGGAGAGACAGGAAAGGGGACGTCCTCCTACTACCTGCAATTGACAATTGCCACTGCCAACAAACTACTCTATTCGACCCGTTTCTCGACAAACAAAGCCGGCAAGACTCCATATGGCCGCTGCGAGCGCTTTGCAAGCGAGAGTCGCGCATACAGTGCCCGTGGCAGGAGACTGCTATGATGCAACAACTTCAAGCATCTAGGCCATCAGACTGGACATCGCATCATCTAATGTCAACACTCGCTCGGTTCGCTAGGCCTTGTATGCCCCATGAACTGGCGTATGCTCCGTGAGGATCGCAAACTTGGTGCAGGCATTGACATGCCTCATCCTTCAGTCCCGAGGCGTTCTATAGAAAAGGGGCTTCTATTTTAGGCATGCGTCTGTCAAAAGAAGCACGCTAGGTGCAACAAAAAAACGGATTCAGCTAATCGCTAATCCCTCGCGCTTCGGCTCTCTGCCTTTTTTTTTTTTTTGGCCCTTGCCTCAGATAGGAGAAGATGAACAGAAGCCGGCCGGAACGTATGCGATGATGTCAAGGTCTGCCACTCTTGTTCATCGTTGTCTACATACAACTTTGACTTTGGCAAGAGGCTGTCCTGCGACACTCTGTTGCGCATAGGAGAATTATACTAGCTGTATGACTTTTGTTTTTGGGGGGGCAAGGAGGTGTCTATACGCACATGATGCAAGTCGACGCATCTGAGGCAGGCGGCCGGCAGGTGGCTGGACGCGTACAAGCCGACACGCGCGCGTGGGGAGGGAAAAAGAGACAGGAAAAAAAAGAAAGTGGACGTGCATAGACAAACAGGTCGCGCGCCCCTTGCCTGCCCTGCCGGTCCTCACAGAGGCAGCGTCGAATCGAAAACAATCGCCCTACTTACTACAATTGTACTGTACCATTATTGGTGGCTCGCTGATCAGCCAGAGATGTATTGTGTCATTGCAGCGCTCATTCTATCATCACCTTTCTTGCTTCTCTCAAACACTTCAGCATCCCACTTGACACGCTCCTTTTCCTTCTTCACGAAACTCGCTTCCTAGCTTCATCTTGCAGCATTGTCCCCGGTGGACCATCTTCACACTCCCTATGATCCCCCGATCAGAGCCCCTGCTACGCCACCACAACTGAGCTCCTGCTCCTTGCCCTGCGTCGATCCGGCTGTTGCGCCAAGTCCCCACTGCGAGCCAGGGCATCGTGATGGGATCGCAGGAAGCTTACGGAGGCTGGCCAGACCAGGACCGGTACGACGAGGGCCTCGGACCATGGACAGCGACAAGTGCAAGAGAAGCTGGTCTAATGGATCCCCCCTACTCGCCCTCGCTCTACTCCAACACAGACGATGGAGAGGTCAAGGATGAGAGATTCTATCAACAACCCGAATCGACGTCGAACATCACGCTGGTGCCGCTGCATCGACAAACAGGGCCGAAAGATGGAATGGAATTTCCCTTGAATTACTCGGTTGGCAATGGAAGTGAGCCCTACCAAGAGTCACCTCCGCACTGGCGCTCCCACGTCACAGACCTTTCGCAGGCGCCAACGAAGCACGCCTTGCCTCACAACGACCCGCGACAACCTCACTTCGATGAGTATCAGACGAGGGTCGACGTGGGCGCTACACCAGCACCAGAAGCTTTTGCACCACCGGCGGAGCCCAAGGACAAGCCAAAGAAAACAAAAAGATTTTGGCTCATCTTCACTTCTTTGATGGCCGTCACTTGCCTCACTGCTGTTGACATGACCATCATCAGCACGACGCTACCCACCATCGTACTCGATCTACCAAAGTCCGACATACCCGCATCATGGGTCACTTCTGCTTTCTTGCTCTCCACAACCGCATTTCAACCTTTCTTTGGTGGCCTTGCCGACGTCGTCGGACGCAGAAACGCACTCGTCTCTGCCGTCATCTTCTTCTTGGGCGGGAGCGTTTTTGCAGCTCTATCGAACTCTATGCTCCTGCTCGTCATCGGTCGAGGCATCCAAGGAGTCGGCGGCGGCGGCGTTCAAGCCGTAGCGGAGATTATCATGTCGGACCTGACGACGCTGCGAGAGCGGGGCTTGTATGTCGGCCTCATTAGTCTCGTCTTCGCGGTCGCATCATTCATCGCTCCCGTTCTCGGTGGCGTCTTTAGCGACTGGAACTGGCGCTGGGTATTTTGGATCAATTTGCCCATCGGTGCGGTGGCGCTGGCCATGATCATCCCCTCGATGAAGCTTCGCACTCCAGAGATGTCGTTCATGGCAAAGGTCCACCGGATGGACCTCTTTGCCAATTTCGTCCTCCTGGGAAGCGTGATTAGTCTTCTCATCGGCATCACCGACGGCGGCGTCCTTCACCCTTGGTCATCCTGGCGCGTCATCGGGCCCCTGATTGGAGGAGGCACCGGCCTGATCCTCTTTTTCTGTCTCGAACTCATCCCCAACCCCCTGGCGAGAGATCCTGTTCTCCCGCGTCGCCTCTTCAGCAACCGGACGGCGGCCACTTGCTTCTTCATGACGTTCACTCACGGCATCATCACCTACGGCCTCATCTATATGCTGCCCATCTACTTTCAGTCGATCAAGGGCGCCTCGCCACTCAAATCGGCCATCGACATGTTTCCTGCCACAGCACCTGGTCCTATCGCGGCCATTATTGCGGGTGTCATCATGGCCTTGACGGGAAAGTACAAGATTCAGATAGCCATCTGGTGGGCCGTGCTGTGCGGTGGATGCGCATGCATCTACCTCCTCGATCAGGACACAAGAGTGTGGGAGAGCGTCGTCTTCCAGCTCATTGGCGGTTTTGGTGTCGGAGCTCTCTTCAGCCTCACATTGCCTCCGATCCAGGCCTCGTTGCCTGTTGAGGAGCTTGCTCACGCGACGGCTACCTTTGCATTCTGCCGTAGCTTTGGAAGCGTTTGGGGCATTGCAATGGGTACGACAATCTTCATCTCGACCGTGGACGGCAAACTTCGCCAGGTTCCTGGCCTGGCCGAAATTGGCCTGACTGGTTCCACCTCACTCGGCTTCGCCACAGAGCTGGGCAAGCTCCCTCTCGAGTTGCAGCAACCAGCAAAGGACGCCTTCATGCACGCGCTCAAGTGGGCATTCATGGCGTACATTCCCCTTGCCGGCATCTCTTTCCTCATCTGCTTCCTTGTCAAGGATTTGCCCTTGCCCGACTTCAACGAATCCCAGCACGGACTCGACGAATCTGCCATCTCGCCGACGACGAAGTCGCCAGACAAAAAGGCGGGCAACCGGCAAAGCATCAAGATGAAGCCGCAAAAGTCCAAGCAAAACCATCGGATCTCGTCAATGTCGTTTGCAACGCCTCTTCCTCCCATTTCGTGGGACGAATCCGAGCGCGAGAAGACGAGTCCAAAATCTTTTGACGACTCGCTGGACGATGTCCATGATTTCGATGACAATGGGCGCATGTGGGTCGCAAGAAATGACCCTTCAGCGAACCACGGTCCCTTGGGACATCGGCAGCATCCGTACCAGCAAGCACAAGAGCAACAAGGCCACCTCCGGAAGCGCTCTACTCATATCACCATGGATCCTGTCTCTGCGAATCGGCGGACGTCTGGTCGCTACGGCAGTGCATGGGACCCATCGACGTCGGCAGTGACCCTGACTGAGCCACCTGCTCATCAACCACAGCCACGTCCCTTGAGCACCTCCAGAGACACCGTTGAGGGCTTCCACCACTATGGCTCCGCTTTCTAATCTCCATCATCATTGCCTCTTCTTGTCAGCACTGTAGCATCTCATTCTCCTCACAACCAGACATAATACTTGGACAATTAGTTCCCTCTCTCATCTCTCATCTCTCATCTCTCATCTTTCGAAGCACAGGCATGCCTAGTAGCATCGAATGTGCCACAAATCCAATTCATCAGACGTTTCTCTCTGTGTCTGGCTCGACGTACAGATTCAGCCGCGGCGGAATGTACGCCCACTCGCTGTCTTTCGCTCCTTCTCCGCTTGCTCCGGCTTGGCGCGGTTAAGGACCTTGAGGAACTCTGCGACCCTGTGCCGCATACGACTGTGCATGTATGCTTTTGAGCATTTGACTGTCGGAGCCCTCTAAATGTCAATCTCGTCTTCTTTCCTCAGTAAGTCGAGTCCAACTCACTGTGGTAGTGCAAGTAGTCACGGAAGAGCTGGATCCTTGAAATTGTGGCGGCCATTGTCTCTGGGTGGGTAAAGTGCCTCGGAAAGAGGACAAAGGTGACGTAGCCCACGTCTTCACCGCGATTCAGCCCAGGGATCGAGCGAATTTCGAGCGGTGGCTCGCGGTTGCTGTACAGGACCTGAGGCGCATTCTGGATCGATGGTTGGCGTCTTGCGTCGACGAATTCCTGATGGAGAGAGGTCCGGTTCACCTCGGTTAGTCTTTCATATCGACGTCAAGAGGGAAAGGAATGGACCGACCTGCAAGAAGACTTTGCCAAAGATCCGGTCCGTCTCTTCCTTGAAGACCGTAGAAAAGACGACAGTGACTCGGTCGACGGCTGGGATGACGTAGAACGCTTCATCGTCTCGATAGTTGATGCTCATAATGTCCGTCGCCCCGCTTCCCGAGACAGCTTGTGGATTCTGACCTTCGGCCGCGGCCTCGAGCTGCTTCTGAAGCGCAAATGCTCGCTCAAAGGGCGCAGCCATCGCATTGCGCTTCAACAGCGACACCGCATGGATGAGTGCTTGGCGCTCGGCTGGTTTTGGGACCCTCGAGTCAGTATTGCACTTCCAGTTTATACACCTCCCAACCCCGAAGAAGAGGATGGGATGGTACATGGGCTTAGGCTGCTACTCACGACCCTCTGCCGGCACCTTGGCATAATCAAACTCCAGCGTGACGCTATACCCGCTCTCTGCTGCGGGCTTGATCCACGACCCGTACTCCCTCTGCAGGATCTCCATCGCCCCGCAAGCCTCGAGCTGCTTCCAGCATCGGATATCCATCGAGATTGTCAGGGGCCCCGTCTTTGTGCTTTCGATGTGGTAGCCCACGCCGTCAAAGTCCGACAGCGTCTGATCGACGCCAGACGGGCGAGCGAACTTGTCCGTGAGGACATCGCGGATGAGGATGTTTTCCGACTCGAGAAGGATCATCAGTGTCGAACTCTTGCTGCAATCGAGAAGGTGGAAGGTCGTTCGCCGGTCGTCGGTCGGGGTGGTCGTGCGGCGACAGCGCTCGAGCCAGACGAGTGAAAGTGCCACGCGGCAGGCCACAAACACGCGTCAGGCAAAGCCACCGACCTTCTCTCTCTCTAGTGTGCACCCCAGCCAAGCCTCACATTACGAAGCCAAGATGGGTATGTACACGGATCCATTGCAATTATCGCTTCTACAATACAAATGAAGAGAATATGAAAGTATCTTGTGGTCTACACATCGTTTCTGGTCGTCGCGGCTGTCGCGCCTGGGCAAGCGACAAAATAGGAGTCGAGAGCCTCCCCAAAACGTCCTGCATAGTCTGCCGGCGGGATTACCGTGGGAGCTTGTTGCTTGAGCGCCTTTTTGCTGCTGCTCTCGAGCTGCTTGACAAGTGTCCATGCTCCAAGGAAATCCACGAGACGACAGCGGAACGTGTTGCCATCATCCCTCTTCCGCTTCAGAGCCGAGGCCTTGCCCTGCTTCGAAGATGCTTCGTCAGAGGAGTATTCCACTTCGAGCGATGGCTCAGTGACGCCGACGAGGAGCGAATAGTCCATGACATTGGAGGCCGTCAGGAATGTGAGATCATTCTGGAGCGCACGTCTGAAGAGAGCCTTGCACGGCTCGGGTACGTAGGCCCGTGACTGGAAGCTATCGATCCATTCGCCGTCCCACCACACAGCCGCCTTGTCCTCGTCAGTCGCCTGGGATCCGGCCTTTACTCTCCTCTCCCGGATGCCCTTCAAATCAAAGCGGATTGACTGACCGTCGTCACCAGCGAAGACGTTTTCAAGCACCTGGACGCTCATCTTGAGCTTCGTCTCGCCCGTTTTGACATCCTTGATCTTGATGCTGTACACGCCGGCAATCTTGACCAGGAGCGTCGGGCACTCGTTCTGCACCGAATTCATCATGTAGCGCAAGTACGCGGGAGCAAACTCGAGGAAGGCTTCCTTTTCGTCGACGCTCCACACCGTAAGGAGCTGCTTTGCAATCCACTGCTCGTCGAGAGTCATAAAGAAGCCGCTCTTGGATTTGCCGCCGGCAGCGCTCCAGCTCTTGCACCGGCTCAGGCTCTCGACAAAGTCTTGAGTTACGCCCCATTTCTGCCTGAGTGCCGCAAAGTCCTCTGCGAACCACGAGACGCAAGAAACCTTGGTGTTGCCATGAAAAAGATTGTGCTTGACGTGGGGACTCGCTGGCGAAGGTCCGGAAACCGCTCGAGGTGTGCTGCTGTTGCTGGGCAGGGCCTGCTGCGCCGAGCCCGACGCCGACGCTGCTGACGAAGGCACATGTAGATCTGCAGACTGCAAAGATGATGACGTCAAAAGGACGCTGTCTGACACCATCCGACTCGTTGCCGTCATGGGTCCAGGCAGCCCGCCTGGCTCTCGCCGGCCGCTCCGAAGCGAGGCGAAGCCTGTCATGGGCGACCATAGTGACTGAAGTGAGCTGCCGTTGGCGAGGCCTGTTTGATCAGGCAGTCCAGCCCTGGAGAGCGAAATTTCCTTTGACACTCCGTCCTCGCTCGCCTGCTGGCTGGTATCTACGCTAGAGGCAGTTTGCGAATCGCCCTTGGTTTCGTCGCTAGCAGTGAAGAGGCTGCTCAACGAAGCCGTCGGTTTTCCCGACACCTGGGTGATCTGAGCCTTGAAGGTGTCATTTGAAGCCATCGACGCGATCTCGCCATCGTGTTGAAAAGCCGAGTTACTGCTGCTGCTGCTACCGCCAACACCCCCGCCGCCACTTCCACCAAGGATGCGGCTTGGTGTAGGTGTAGAGCTATTGTCATGCTCTTCTTCAGGCCGCCGAGTGCTTGGCAATTCAGCCTCTCCTGCTGTGCTCTCAGAGGAAGCCGTCTCGTCATCGTCGCCAGCTCCCTCGATTTCGATGGAGGGTGCTTGTTCTGTGGCAGGCGTATGGGTGCGTGACTCGGAATGTGACGAGATAGATGAGCCGACCCGACGGAGCGTCAGGGAGAGAATCGAAGCATCCCTTGTTCGCTTTTTACGCTTCATGTGCACCCGGACGGGCTCAGGCTGATGGAATACCTCATCGAGGTCTGGGTCCAGCTCGTTCTTTTTCTCGCCGGCACCTGTCGCGGTTGCGCCAGAGGTAGCAGTCGATGTTGACGACTTGGTAGACGCCGCAGAAGAGGCGACTGAAGAAGACAGCTGCGAACCTCCCATGCCGGGCGCTACGCTGGTCCTCCACTGGAGAACATCGGCGCGCTTATCTGCGGACTCGGGCTCCTGGTGACGTCGGTAGAGATTGACCTCCTGCCTGAAATCGGCCGACGACAGGGAAAAGGCAATAATGCTGAGTGGCTCGTCTTCTCGCACCACGATATGGCTGCCCGGGAAGGCATGACGGCCCGGAAGGGCATAGTCAGGTTCTGAGTAGGTCAGAGCGCCGACCCGACTGAGCTCTTCCTTCGTCAAGTGCTTTTTAGCCCAAGCTTCCAACCTCTGCTTAGATGACTTTGCGAGGTCAAGGAACAGTTTGCGCACGTCATTGATCGAGCCAGCTGCCGGGGGAGAGGTTTCAGTCATTGCTTCGAGTGAAGAACACGGGGCTAACCCACCGTCGGCATCCTTCAAACTGCTGTAGAGATCGAATTCGGCCGCGCGCAGCGATGTCTTGAGCCTTGACAAGAGGGTCAAAGGTCTTGACGAGGCGTCCATGTCTTCGCCTTGGATAGGCGTGCCTTTACTGGTCGTCGCCTTGACCGTGTTTCCACGCTCGTCGAGCTCGCGAGCAACAAATAGGTGCTCCAATGACGAAATTTGCTCCTTGATGCTGGCAAAGAAGCGTTGGACCTCGAGACGAGTCCTGTTGAGAATTTTCTTTGCCCGCCGCTCCTCTTCGTCGACCAGGCCTCGCTCAGATTCCGTCTCGGATTCGCCTCTCTCCTCGTCCTTTCCCACTCTTTGTGCCATCCTCTCACCGCCAGCGTCGTTCTGCGTTATGACGACAGGACCCTCGATGAGCAGGTTGAACAAGGCAATTGGCTGAACCTGAATCTTGATGAGGACCCGACCAAGTTTGAAAAGTCGGACTAGATCGAACTTGGAGTCGATGCCAATCTGACCACCGAGAACAAGGTGCTCGCCCGATTGAATCACATTGGCAAACAGCTTGGGATGCATGACGATGGCCTCCAAGAATTTGCCGAAAGAAAGCAGATAAGTGGCATCGGTCATCTCCATAACGGTCGTCTGGTTGCCAGTGCGCATGCTCGCCGTCCAGAGGTGGATCATCGACCGACTCGACGACTTCTCGCCCTGTGCCGTTGGCTCAGCCAAAGCAACAGCAGCACGTGCGGTGTCGTGATCGGTGCGAAGTGCTTTTGCGACGGCTGCCACGTCGGCAATGTCGATTGCGTTGCTCGTGGAGGACGCCTTTTGCTCTTCTACGCCCTTCTCGCCGTCAATCACAGGATCATCAAGATTCTTTGGTGGCGTCGGTGGAGGTAGCACGGTGGCGAACATAGAGATTCGGTCGGAGGCATGGACGAATTGAGCAACTTTGAAGCCCTCTACGCTGTGCGAGCATCCCTCGGGGAGTCGCTTGGAGGTGCCAGATGCCTCCTTCTTGCTCTCACGTTCCGCCTTGGCCTTCTTTGCTTCACTCTCGAGAGACAGGGACATGGCCCGCGCAGCCGCCTCCTCAATGGCCTGTCCCAAGGAGACATCCCTTGAAGGCCCGCCATGCTGGTAGAAGTTTACTTCGCGCAGGAAGAAGCCTTCGCGACCTTCGCGCGCCCTTGTTGTCGCGCTCGTCGCTGTAGAGGCTGTCGTGTTCGCCGTCGACTTGGAAGCAGCCGTGCTTGCAGTCCGTTGCGAAGATGCGACGGAGAAGGTTGAGCTCGTGACCCCGGGATCTGGCCCTTCCCTCGTGGAGCTAGTCTTGGACGAAGGTGAGGGCGTTGCCATGCGCCTTCCTTTGAAATTGCTGCCTTCGATGGACGCTGCAGAAGACCCCAGCGGACCACCAAGGCCTTCGACCAGAAGAGCAAAGGTCTGTCTGTCGAGAAAATTGTCAAGGAAGGCCGCACCGTCCGCGCTTTCGGCGCCCTTGTTGACGTCCTCTTGCGCCCTAGAGATATGCGGCGAGACCGATGACGGTGGCGGCCCCCTGAGCGAGGCCGTCTTGACATTGTCCATTGGGTTGCTCTCAGAATGCCTTCGCTGCCGAATAAGCTCTTGATCCTCATCCTCGTCTTCTTCCAAGACCACTGGCGACTTTGTTCCGTCTCCCTCCGCAGTCGCAGGCCTCCGCGAACCGCCGAAGGAGGTGATCATTCTGCCCAGGCGTGTGTATGCGGTCTTTCTACCGTCCGAGCCCTTGGAAGCGGAATCAGTCGTCCTGGTCCGCGGAAAGCCAACCGAATGACGGCTACCGGGACCGCCGTCTTTGGCTGGGGTGGCCGGATTGCTGCTCTGAATCATGTTCCAGAAACCCCTCGACCAACGCGTGTAGGATCTCTCTGACAAGTCGTTGGAGTGGATGCCCTCGCCTTCTAGATGGTCATGGGCCTTTATAACGGGCACTGCGCTGCTGTCTCCGCTTTCGAGCTGGTTGAACGAGCCTAATGGGGGTGAATTGGGCGGCAATTCTTCCTCGCGAAGTGAGGTCCTGATGCTGCAGTCGTGCAGAAACGCTTCCTCCAATGCCATCGAGCATGCTACATATAGACCCACGTCGAGGACAGTGCCGATGGTGTCGGCGTGCTCCTTTGTATCGGCTTGCACGTCAAAGGTGCCGCCGAGGAAGTTGATCCTGGACCCATCGCTACGGTCGTCATTCTTGGTGGCCACGTCACTGGCCAGCGGGTTGAGGAACAGCTCGTTGCCGTGAAACTCGTTTGGCTGCCACAATACACTGGCATGCCCCACAATGGCATGTCCATTCGTTGGTCTGAACTTGAGCGTTGCATCGGACCTGGTGGATGCATTCAGTTGCCGTCTCTCGGCGGCCGTCATCGTCGCAGTGCCGCTACGCCTCCTTCGGATGGTGCTGCCGCCCTCGCCACCAGCATTGCCAAGAAGACCGTTGTCATGCACATTGACACAGACCTTACACACCGTCATCTTGGCTTCCTCGACATCGGACTCTGCGTCTCTCTGCGTGCTTGACCTCGATGCACGATCGGGTGAGGTCGACTTGCTTCCGGGCCTTGTCCCGCTCTTCAGCTGCATGGCCAGCCGCTCGGTGAGCGTTGAGTGCTCGTCTGCATGCGCGCCCTCGTCCTTCTTCTCTTCGTCCTTCTTCCCCCGTTCCTCCTCCCTCCTCTTCTTCTGTTCGCCAGCCTCCTTGACCTCTTCTCCTTCTGTCTTCCTGGGTTGCTCTTCGTCATCGCCTGCTTTGCTCAGCGCCACTGTCGGGGCCGCTCCGCGCAGGAGAAGATTGGGCGCTGCACCGACGGGCTTCTTCGGGGTGGCTGCTGCTGCTACAGGTGTTGCAGGGGCCGACAGCGCAGCCTCCGTCGCCATCTCCAGTCCGATTCCTAGACCGGCGCCATCGCCGATACCGACGCCGGCCATCCAAAAGGCATTGCTAAGCAGCCGCATGGCCACGTCCCTCTTACGGGCAGCTCTCATGGTGGAAGAGGGCACAGAGGGCGGGGGCATCAAGCTCGAGTCGGCGCCGAACGCATCGGCGCCGGCAGACCGACCTCCTCGCCAAGCTAGTCTGGGCCATCGCATACCTAGCGCGCCAGAGCCGTTGTCTCCCTTGCCACACTGCTGCTCGCTCGATCGGACCAGGGCATCGACACGCCACCAGACCGAGGCAGTTCGCTGGAGCGCAGACAGCGCCTGCGGCTCTGTCAAGGTGGCGATACACGCCTCGAGGGGACCCACGAGAGTCTCTGGCTCCACCGCCAGCGTCTCGTGGCCGTCTGCAAGGCTGAGCAGGCAGTGATGGAGGACGTTGACCAGATGGATTCGGCAGTCCTGATTGAGTACGATGCCTCCCTTGCTGGACGACGAGGTCGACGAGGTCGAAGCCTGATCGATGGCGACTACCTCCGACATGTCGGGCCACCAGCTCAGCTCGATGCGTTGCTTCTCGACGAGGTCTTTAGCCTTGACTCGACTAGCCTCGAGCGTGGCGGCATGATGTCGAGGTGCATCGTGTCGACCAAGTATGTCGCTGTGTGTCCCGCGGCCTTGCATCTCGGTGTACGAGGCGGTGAATTCACCCAGCGTTGGCGTGTTGGCGGTGCTGCTGCTGTTACTGTTACTATTGCCGCCAGTCACCGACGCCGATGCAGACCGGTTGGGCACGTCTGGCAGCGGCTTGCGGATCAGCCGCTTTCTCGTGGGAAGCGAGAGGTTGATCGAAGCCGGGTCCCCAGACGACTTGGACGACGAAGAGGACGCGGCCGCTCGCGCGTCGAGGGCCGACTGCAGCGACTTCTCAGTGTCGAAATCGATCTGATCCATACCGTAGCGTGCTGTCGGACCCCCCTATTTGGGCGTTGGTAGCTGACCGGTGCAGTCAAAGGCTAGGGCGAATCCGAGCTAGAGGCCGAAAAGGACCGAACCTAGTCTCATTCTCGTCGTAGCAGAGTAGCCAGGGGCTTGGGCGGGCGTAAACGCGAGGCAAAGGGCGCACGATTGGCGCTCCTCCGTCTTCCCTCTTGCACACAGACACAAGGTGTCGGCGACAACGTCTTTCGCGGGTCGAGAGAAGAGCTGGGTGTAGGGAGGACTACGTAGATCGAAGGAGCAGCACCCTGGATTCAACCTCGATCCAGATTGAGTTGCATAGGGGGAGGGCGTGCACGTGGAGGCCGCGCACGGGCTTCTGTTTTTTCGAAAGACAAACAACAGCGAAGGGGGGAATGGCGAAGGCAGCACCTAAGGGTGCAAAGAAAAGCTCAAGCCTGAGGCAGAGCAAGTAAAACTTCGAGTCTATTCGACTGGTTGTGATTGCTGTCGTCGAAGAGCTGGCTCTGGCGACGAAGTATGCGTTTCCTCTCTTTCTTTCCCGTGTGCCTCGCGGCATCGCTGTCTCTCTCTTCGCCTCTCGTCCCTATCGCACGACCTCCCGACACCACAGGGCAACCACTACTCGACCTCGAAAGTATAAGACAGCTCATAGAATCAAGTCTTGAGCCAGTAGTCTGGAAGTGGCAATTTCCGGCGCTGCTAGACAGTGGCAACAAGATCGATGCCGGCGCATGGCTGACGGATTATCTACAGCTCAGTAGCAAAAAGGGACCCGTTGGTCAGCAAAATCTCGACTTCATCAAGGCGCCCAATTCTCCGCCCACTACCTCGCTGAGCGTGGCCTACCCAAAGGGAAGCTTTAACATCGCTTCCGCTTCTGAAAGCTCGGGGAAAGAGGGGGGCGTACCCCTCGGCGGGACCTCATTCTATTGTCCGATCCAAGGTCCCGGCAATAAACAATCACCATTGTGGAAAAGATCTCTGCTTCTCTCCTACCGCGTCACCTTTTCTCACGATTTCGATTTTGTCAAGGGGGGCAAACTTCCCGGACTGTACTCTGGTCTGCTGCAGTCCGACGGCAAGATATTCAAAGGCTGCCAGGGGGGGTCAAGAGAAGAGGCCGGCTCCAAGTGCTGGAGTGTGCGGATCATGTGGCGCGCAGGAGGTGCTGGTGAAGGTGTGTCGCGTTCAAAGAGGCAACCTGTCCTGTAATACTCACTCCGATCGTGACAGTCTACGCTTATATCCCTACCACCGGAGACTCGTCATATCAACTATGCGGCCAGCAAGGTGTGCAGTGCAGCAAGGGAAACTATGGAGCGAGCATCGGGCGCGGCAACTTTGCATTCACTGCCGGAAGGTGAGTGTAATCTTCACACGAGGAGATTAGTCGCATTCAACTCATAGCTGGACCAACGCAGCCCGATGACGCTCTCACTTCTCGTCGTGCTCAACAGCAGAGAAGATCGTGCCGACGGTAGGATCTCGCTTTTTGCCGACAAGAAGCTGGTCATCGATAAGCCTGGCCTTCTGCTTCGGACGGCGGGCTTGCAAGACGACACTCCATGGGTGGACAACGTCAGTGTTACGATCGCAACAGTGGTAATATGTCAAGCTGATGAGCAATCCAGATCTTTTTTAGCACTTTCTTTGGGGGCTCAAAAGTCGACTTTGCATCTTCGAAAGATGTCAAAGCCTCCTTTGACTCGGTAGAGGTGAGCAGATCGCATCTGCTGTAGCAATTAACTAAGCGCTGACGCTGTAAGCAGCTTCGCTCGGGTAATGTGTATGTGAGCACGTAGGCTATAACCTTCTGCCACAGTACGGCCACCAATTTTCCATACCCTTAAGCCCTCTTTATTCACTCCCTTCTGTGCTTCGGCAATCTGCACGGCAGATAGGCGATGTCCCGGGGAATGCCAATGTCTATCGTCATCTTATTCACAATCTACATTCACTTCTACGTCCAAATTCAAGCTGTCAAAGACACAAATGATGGCTGTTGCTTGACTTGCGAGGATGGTATATCGCAGTGAGGCCAAGTCGCGACAGCGCACTCCATGTGACGAGGTGGCGCAGACGTCTTGAGTTAATTTGCTAATTTGAGGCTAAAAGCTGCGCGAGGGCACTCTTCCGAATTGTGGACCTTTCGCAGTAATTCTGTATTCGGCCTTTTAATGATATTTCCCTTTAAAACCCGACAATTCAATACAGGAGGCAGGCAGAGGCCGAGAGCGCGCACAAAAGAGAGGACAGGATGCAGAAGAGTGCAGATCGGCCTGCCGGCGCCTACTGCCCTGCTCCTCGTAGTAGAAGTAGTATTACTACCAGAACCCGAGAGAAAAAGAGAGTCGTCGGCGTCACCGCTTTTCTCTCCTCTCCTTCGGTTGATACCTTCTCCCTTCATCGGGCTCGTCATCACCATCGAGTCGCTCTCTGTACTTTTCGAGCGCCCATTCTACCCCGACGCATCTCTTCCGACAAAGGGGTAGAAAGGACCGCCGCGCAACTCTTTTACACAAGCACAATTCACTGGTCCCTCGTCGCCCGGTGAGTGCGTTGGTCCATCTATCTGCTCGGCTGTCCGTCCGTCTGTTGTCTTCCAGGAGAGGACGAGGACAAGGGGGCCCTGCCTCCTGTCGGAGCCTGCTCTGGCGATCTGCCCCGACCCGCGCTTTCCGTTCTCTCCGCTCTGCTGCAATTCTCACGCCCTGGCTTCCCCTTGTTTCGATCGTTCACTTCTGATCTCATCGACCAGCCTCTTACTCATCCTCGTTTTCGTACAGGCTTTTGTCTAGCCTTCTACAGGACCGGGAGCCCCTCCGCGATCCGCTTGCCTCTGCTCGAGAGGTTGGGCCCTTTCCCCCCTTTCAAGTTCTCTTCCACACGCCCCCGGCCGCTAGGCACCGCGCCCTTTTTCTTTTCTTTTTCTTTTCCAAGAAAAGGGAAAGTGGAAATTTATTGACACTGTGGTTGACAGGGCGCGGCTGCAAGAGTGCCTAGCTTTGTCGCCATCGCCAATCGCCGACCGCTTTTCCTCCTATCCTTCTGTTCGCCGATTTTTTTTCTGTTCCCTTAGCGCCATCGCCATCGATCACGCGCGCACACACCCAAGGCGTCTATCTCAGCCTGCTATATACGTACGCAGCTGGGAGTACTCGAGCAGCCTCGAATGGACCTGAGGTAGGAGAGCCAGGCGCTACACAATAGAGACCTCTTTGTGCCGTGCTTCCCGGATTTGTGCAACGGTGAGAAGTGACGCCCAGCGGCAGAGCAAGCAGTCACCGCCATGTCCGACCGCTCCTCTCCTCCGATGCCCGCGTCCTCGATAGACGACTCAGCGGCGACGGTAGGCAGTCGTGCAAGGAGGACGACGCCGGCCTCTGCCGTGGCGCCATCCGGTGGAGGTGGTGGCGCGGGAGGATGGTCCAACGGTCGCAAAAGCGAATCGGCCGTCACTTCGCCGACGTCGGTCAAGGTTCGCGCTGACAGCATCGCATCCTCCTCCAAGGATGCATCGCCTGTCAAGGCTGCCGCCGCGCCACGCCGTCGACCTGAGCCCAGCTTTACTACGTCTCGCACCTTTGCGCCCCTCGCCTCGGCAGGCAAGGAAGACGGAGCCGGCAGCAGCAGCGACACACCGCAGGCCCACTCGGCAAAGGAAGGAGGCATGAAGAGATCAGAGAGAAAGAGTAAGGTAAGCCACCTTTTCCACCGCAACGGTGTGTTTTTCCCTTGAAGTTTCCTCGGGCTGAGTTACGGGTGGCAGACCGAGGCCATGACGGTCCTCAATGGCAGCAATGGCCACTATTACAACGACAGTAGAGACTCTCCAGACCCAGACGGTAATCAAGGCCCGCCCAATCCTGCCGAGCATCCGACTCGAAGAGCCATGATGATAAAGAAGTCTGGCGTGCCTACCGACCCGCTTCCCTTCAACTTTTCAAACATACCCAGCGATGAAACCAACGGCCGCTGGACCATTCCCACGCACATAAGCACGCCACGCCACCCACCCAAGCGCCTCCGTCCACGCCTCTTTGACCTCGAGGAGGCACCCACCTTCTACCCGACCCCCCAAGAATTTTCTGACCCACTCCGCTACATACAGTGGGTCGGCAGCCCAGAGGGCGGCAATGGCAAAGAGTACGGCATCGTCAAGATTGTACCACCAGAAGGCTGGAGTCCTGAATTCGTCCTTGACCAAGAGGTGAGCTTTGCCTTCTTTGCATTTGCTCGCCGACAAGCATCATCCACTGAATATTTCCTCCCCTTTCTTGTTAGCGTTTCCGGTTCCGCACCCGTGTCCAACGGCTCAATTCGCTCAGCGCAGATGCCCGCGCCTCACTCAACTACCAGGAGCAGCTGCAAAAGTTTCACGCTCAGCAGGGCCATGCCCGTGTCTCGATTCCCGTCATCGACCGTCGGCCGGTGGACTTGTACAACCTCAAGCTCATCGTCGCCTCGCTCGGTGGGCATGAAGCCATCGCAAAGGCACGCAAATGGGCAGAGGTCACCAGGAGGCTTGGCTACGACGAAAAGGATGCTGGCCACTTGGCCGCTCAGGTCAAGGCGGCCTACTCGAAGATCATCCTGCCATTCGAGGACTTTCTCCTCGTCGCAAAGGAGCAGGCCAAGCTGCATGGCTCGCTCAACTCCAGCCTGCTCAACGAAGCGGCCGGGTTTGCTTCGCGACACACGACACCCGGCGCCTCGGTTGCCGAGGGCAGCCACGAGTCGCGCAGCCAAGCCGAAGCCTCTACATCGCCTGCTGCCAGCCATGACCACGAAGGCGGTAGCGCAGAGACAGAGACGGATGGCGCCAAGCGGAGGAGCAATCGTCGTCGTATCGACACCCTCACCACCACCAAGGGAGCCGTGACGCCGCTGTCTGCTCGCAAGCGACGGCCTTCACCCCTGGACAGCAACGGCAACAGCAACCAGCAAGTGATCCTACAGCCGGGTGCTGAAGAACAAATGTGCGAGATCTGCCTTCGCGGCGACGACGGCATCTCGATGCTCTTGTGTGACGAGTGCAACAGAGGCTACCACATGTACTGCCTCGACCCGCCGCTCACGACTGTGCCAAAGTCGCAGTGGTACTGCCCTCCGTGCCTCGTTGGCACAGGAAACGACTACGGCTTCGACGACGGCGAGACGCACAGCCTCGACAGCTTCTGGAAGCGCAGCGTCGAGTTCACAAAGAGCTGGTGGTCACAACGAGCCCAGAGCATCTGGGATCCCAATCATGACGCAGATTTCAAGCGTGCCTATGAGGAGAAGGAGGAGAAGGTCGGAAGCCATCTCACCAACGGATGCACGCGCAAGATCCCCGGCACTGGCCTCAGTGTGTCCGAGGACGATGTCGAGAGGGAGTTCTGGCGCCTGGTTCACAGCCCCGACGAGACCGTCGAAGTGGAATACGGGGCCGACGTGCACTCGACGACGCACGGCAGCGCCCTGCCAACGCTCGAGACGATGAATTTGAGCCCCTATGCTCGCGACGGATGGAACCTCAACAACCTGCCGATTCTGCCTGGCTCGCTCCTGCGTTACATCAAGTCTGACATTTCCGGCATGACGGTGCCCTGGATCTACGTCGGGATGATGTTCTCGACGTTTTGCTGGCACAACGAAGACCATTACACCTACTCGATCAACTACCAGCACTGGGGCGACACTAAGACGTGGTACGGCGTACCGGGCGGCGATGCAGCGAAGTTTGAAGAGGCCATGCACAAAGCTGCTCCTGACCTCTTCGAGACGTGCCCCGATCTCCTCTTCCACCTCGTGACCATGATGAGCCCTGACAAGCTCAAGAAAGAGGGCGTCAGGGTGTACGCCTGCGACCAGCGAGCAAACGAGATGGTCATTACCTATCCCAAGGCGTACCACTCTGGCTTCAATCAGGGCTTCAACTTCAACGAGGCTGTCAACTTTGCCCTGCCAGACTGGGTCGACATGGGCCTCGAATGTGTGCGACGGTACCAGCAGTTCAGCAAGTTCCCTGTCTTTTCCCACGACGAACTCATCGTCACGGTCTACACGTACAACCACACGATAGAGACGGCCAAGTGGCTGCAGCATTCGATGGCCGAAATGGTGTCGCGGGAGATCGGCAAGCGCGATGTCCTGCGTCGCTTGATACCGAATCTCGTCGAGATTGTCGAAGATGCCGACCGGCCAGAGCCTGAGTACCAGTGCGGCCACTGCAATGCCTTTTGTTACCTAGGTCAGATCACGTCGGAAAAGGCAAACGGCGCCGTCGCGTGCCTCGACCATGGCAACCAGGTGTGCGGTGCAGACTCGCCCTCCAAGTGGACCTTGCGCTGCCGCTTTTCCGACGAGCAGCTCGAAACGATGAAGACCAAGACTGAGGAGAGGGCCTCGCTGCCGGATCAGTGGAAGCAGCGGCTCCACAAGCTCCTCGTCGCGGGCCCAAGACCGCCGCTTCGGTCGCTCCGGGGACTGCTGAACGAAGGCGAAAAGATCACTTCGGTTGCTTTGCCCGAGGTTGAACAGCTGCGCGAATTCGTCGACAAGGCCAACAAGTGGATAGAAGAGGCCAATGCATACATTGCTCGCAAGCATCAAAAGAGGGCCAGAGCGGGTGCCTCGACGATTGCTGAGTCAAGGAGCTCCCGCTCCACGGCGAGACGAAACGACAGGGCCAATGACGATCGCGAGAGCTCGACGACGCCTGCTGATGCTGAGGCGGCCACATCGACCAGTGACATGGACCCAGATAGAGTCTATCAGCTGCTGGCCGAAGCAGAAACGCTTCCGTTTGATGCACCCGAGATTGCCTCGCTCCGAGCGGTGGCAGAGGCCATGGACGACTTCAAGCTGCGCGCCGAAGAGATGACTTACCGGGCCCAGACGGGCGGCAAAGACGCGCCTACGCTCGAGGAATGCGAGGCGCTTCTGTCGGCCGGTGCGGCGCTGAGCAGTGTCAAGATGGAGCAGCTCGAATGGCTAGAAAAGCACGTGGCGAGGGAGAAATGGATGATCGAGATGAACGACGTCAAGGACAACTTCCTGCACCTCGGCGAGGTCGAGGAGCTCATTGCAGAGGGAGAAGAGGCCGGCGTCGATGGAGCGCACGAGCACGTCGCCGATCTGCACCGCCGGAGGGCAAAGGGCATCGATTGGCGCGCGGCTGCTGACGACGTCCTGTCCAACGAGAGGACACGGCTGGTGACAAAGGACGAGCTCGTTTCCTTGACAAAGGCATCGTACGAGGTTGCAATCATTCCAGAGATGTACCAGCGCGTCGAGAAGCTTTTACTCAACTTCAAGCAGTGGAGCCGAGAGGTGCAGGCCCTATGCTCGGCCGACGAGGGTCAGACGGATCGTTCGTTGATCAACAAGAAGCTGGCCGATGCAAAAAAGGTGTTGTACAACATCGAGCGAGAGCGTCTCGACGTGGATGGTCTCGACATTGTTCGCTCCAAGGTCAATCTGTATGACGACTGGACGCTAGGGGTCTCGTCGACAATGACTGAATTCCTGCTTGTGGGCTCGTCGGCTGCCTCGAGAGGCGCAAAGGGGGAGAGGGAGATGGAGCGGGCGATTGTCAACATGTGTGAGCGCGTTAAACAAGTATCGGACCCTGCGGACGACTATGCGCCCAACGTCGGCACAGGTGAAAAGATGCACTTCTGCGTCTGCCGGACCGTCGAACCGCTCGACCGAAATTTGACGGATGAAGCGGAGCAGTGCACCGTCTGCAAGACGCACTACCACCTCGCTTGCCTTGAAATGGCGCCCGGAGATAAACGCTTCATCTGCCGGCTCTGCAGCCCGCCCAAGTTTGCTCGATTCGTCGCACAGCGCCGGGCCATTCCCACATCGAGGTTGCGAGACTATGCCCGGAACCAGCGTTTCGCACTGGTCAACTTCATCTGGGGCGCACCGCTCGGCTTCGACGAGGTGAAGACCGCTTACGAGGGGGCACAGCGACTCGAGAGGCTGTTTCTTGACTACCAGAAGCTGCAGCCTTCGATGTCGTTCCGGCAGTGCGAGTTTGCGTGCCGACACCTGTTACTCAAGTGCTTGGGCTCCCCGATCGAGGTCTTGGAGCGCCCACCGGCGATCAAGCTGCTGTCCGAAACACTCTTTACTGTTTTCGCCCCTCAGCTGGCCACTGCAGCCGCCGCAGCAGCAACAGCTGCGGCGGCGACGGCGACATCCACCTCGTCCTCTTCACTCAAGAGAACTTTGGACGAGGGCCCGGGCGCCGACATCAGCGAGTCTCATGACTTTGACAGTCCTCCGCCTGCCGAACACGTCGGTGAAGAGCATCCATCTACCGATCCACCTGCCGCCAGGAACGACGAGCGAAAGAAGAAACGAGGCAAGCGGGCCAAGTTCGTCTTTGAGGAGGAGGTTGGAATCTTTGTCCCTGTCAATGGCGAAAAGGTCTATTGCCTCTGCCACCGGGCCGAGACGGGGACGATGATCTCGTGCGATCGATGCAATCTCTGGTTCCACAACGCCTGTGTCCACATCGACGATCCCGCTGATTTGGGCGAGGAGCGCTGGATCTGCCCAATGTGTTGCGTAAAGACTGAGCGCAAGTACCCGCACGCAGAAGTCAAGGTCAAGCCCATGGGCGTCGAGGACCCAAATGTCTGGCTCGACATCCGAGCCACCCTCCGTTCCACGAGACAGCCGATCAGCAAGCCCCAGATATGGACCGCCGAGGAAGGCAAGCGCATCGTGCTTCACCTGCAGAGCTTCTTCCCGGCCATTCTCCCCGAACAGGCAGAGCAGGCCAAGCGCCAGAAGCTCAACGAGGCGGCGGCTGCCGCTACCGCCGCTGCCGCTGCCTCTGCTGCCGCCATTGCCCCCTCTTCTTCCTCGAGACCGGTTCATGCGAGGTCGCCCAGCCCGCATTCCCCAGCACCAGCCCCTGCAGCCGTCGCGACTGCTCAGCCACCTCGCCACGGTCGACCTTCGCCTCCGTACTCTTCCGCCGACCAGTACCCGCCAAAAGCACCGCCTGCCACTCACCACTGGAACGATGTCCGGGCGAGAGTCACGCCTGCTCATCGTGCGCCATCGGCACAGGAAGAGGAGCTGGCAAGGCGGAGATTTGAGGACCAGGAGAGGGAACGGAAGGGTATGCTCAACCTGTACAACCGCGGCGTGACGGATGCCATGATCCAGAAATGGTACATTGGCTGGAACGGCAAGCAGCTCGTCTACCCTCGCTACGATCGCAATGGTCATTTTCAAGAGCTGCAACTGGGTACCCATATCTACCTCGACCCTGATGACTCAGACGGAACGAGGCTGATCCGGACGCTCCTCCAGCGAGAGGCCGAGGAGAAGCGCCGGGCCCGCGAAGCAGAGGCAGCCGCCTGGCATCATCGGGTGGGCCCACCTTCTTCCTACCACGGCGGGTCTCGCTATCCTCTCTCCTCGCCCTCGACTTCGTCTGCTTACCTGCATCCCGCCCAGCATCCTCCTTCAGCCCCTTCAGTGCCGGCGTTTAAGGGCCACGGCCCACCACCACCTCCACAACCACCACAACCTCGCAGCAGCAGCAGCAGCACGGCCGCAAGCACAAGCCGGTGGCCGTCTCATTATTACGAGCGGGGTTCCTACGATCAACAGCAGGCCCAGCGATACGAAGAAAGCGCCAAGCAACACGCCCGCTCTCATTACGATCCGCCCGGACACTACGAACAAGCCTACTACGAGCAGCCCTACTCAGAGCCAAGGGCATCAGCGTACGATGAGGCGCGCCAGTACGACCCCCACTTTGGTGCAGCGCCTCGGCCTCCACCTTCGCCAGCCTACGCAGCCCGAAGCAAGCCGCTGCCTCCTCCCCTCCCAACGCTCAGGTCGCCGGCCCTCTCTGCTTCGTACCCGTCTGCCCCGCAGGCGCCTCAACAGGATAGGTGGAGTCATCGCCCCAACGACATGACACCACGCGAGGCCCATGCGCAGCCAAGCTCGTCGACTACTTCGTCGCCCGCAATCGCTACTAGAGTCATCTCGTCTTCTTTGCCCGTCCGGACCCCAGTTTCTGCGGTGGGCCAGGCGGTGCCGGGCTCGCCGGCGTCCGCGACGGCGCTCCCGCCCCCATCACCTCAACGTCAAGCATCCCACCCACCAACGTCTATTCAGCAGCGTGCCTCTGCCTCTGCAACAAGCGCAAGCCCAGAGAGGTCACAAGAGGAGATGGCGAGGCGCATGGCCAAGCGACTGAAGCCCGACGCGTGAGTATTTTCTTTTCATTTTCCTCCGTAGTCCGAGCCTATTCGGCCAATTGGAGCTGACAAAATCCCGATCGAATCTTGACAGGACCGAAGAGCAAATTGAGCAGCTCGTCAGGCAGACGCTTCTGAGCAGCGACGACACAGCTCCTGGACAGGCTCCTTGAGCTTGAGCTAAATTCTAGGACCCCCAGACCCCCCTTCTCTTTCACCAGAGATAGCGAGCGAGGTGGCAAAGGCCAGATCCACATCGACGATTGGACGCGTCATGTCGCGCGATGTTCCTTGCAGCTTGGGTAAAACCAGGAAGAGAAGGAAAAAGTCCTGGACTCGGACAATTTTCCCCTTCTCTGTATCTATTATATTGGTAGTTGGATTTTCTATCGCTCCTGCACTGCGGGGCCTTTCTGGTTGTATTGGGAAACTTCTGAAAGTTGCGGCAGTGTAATTTTTGATAATACAGTAGCTCTTACTAATATTCTTTTAATCCCTGGTCTTCGTCTATATTGCGGAAATGGATTTCCAAAGCGGTGTAGATGCAGGCAAAGAGCTGTCCAAAACCCCTTGCTGGAAAAGCGCGTTTGGATGAGAGTCGCCGTTGCGGTGCACGCACGGCAAGCGACTCCGACGAGACGAGATGGAGTGCAGACGGCAGGCAGCCCGCCTGGGCTCGATAGGAAGACGACGTACGTACTGTTACTTGAAGTAGAAAAGTGGATGTTTCCTTCTCCCTTTCCCCTTGCCGGGCGAGCGTGCTGTGTTTCCCCCTTCGGAAACTACTCCGACTTCATCTACCGGTATCCTTTTTCAATTCACCAGCACGTACTGGAAGGCAGCGCAGCTCGTCCGTCGGCTTTCCCCCCCGCGCGCACGGCCGCGTCTCAACACTTTTGGATCGTCGACCCTTTTTTATTTTATTTTTTCCTCTTCGTCCGCCTGGCTCGCCTCAAGTTCGACCAGGGCAGGAGGCCTCACGGACCTAGACTAGGGCAGACAAGGCAAGCAAGCAGACGTACAGGCGCAACGAGTAGCCGCCGCCATATGCCCTTCGAGTGGACGTACGTAGTACTGTTCAACTTCTCCGTATTTGCATGCGCGCTTGCTGCAGGTCGAGCAGGGCGAGATTGGAGGCAAGCACGATATAGATAGCTAGTGGTAGCAGGGTAGCTACCTACTACGTACGTACGTACTTAGTGTACAGACGGTGTCCATACGCCGGCCTGGCTAGCTGTCCTTTCCCACTCCTTCGCATTAGCTCTTTGTTTCTCCCCTGACACCCATCACTTCCGTTTCGGGCCGTCAAACCTTTTCTCCCTTTCATTTTTTATTTTTCTCGCCTTTAAGCGGTCCCCCATTCGCTTGGTGAACTGGAGGGCAAGGCAAGGAAGGGGGCGGATTCTGGACGACTTCTCAACGACCAACGACCACGGCCATCACGACGACATAGAGGACCAGGCTCGGTAGATGTAGCTTCGCGACGAACAGCACGGACGAACACGACCTATTGGCCCATCTTGCACGACTGGACTTAGCACTTTGTTTGGATGAAGCAGTGGCCACAATCGCTCGTCCTCTTTCCCACCTCATTCCCTTGGTCCAGGCTCCGACATATAGACGGGCTTTACCGCGGCGCTTGGCAAGCAGAAGGTCGTCTCCCAACGTCATAGAGGCGCGGTCCGGCAGCAATGACGGCCTCGCAGCAAGACTCTGCCTTTGCACCGGCAACGATGCTGGGCTACCCATCTTCGCGCTCTTCGTCTTCCTCGAGTGCCACACCACCGACGACAAGACAGCAGCAGCAACAGCAGGCCCATCACACGCTCAGCCACCGACCCTCAATGACGGCGAGCCTCATTGCCAGGGTCGCGCCCAGCTCTGCCTCATCGCCTGCCCTGCGCGGTCTGGACGGCGGCGCTTGGTCTTCGTCGTCTTCGTCGTCGATGATGCGGCCGAGCTTCGGCAGCCACGCTGCCGGCCCGTCGCAGGGGAGCGACTCGCGCTCTGCGTCGATTTCCTCCATGGTGCAAAGCTCCTACGAGGTGCCGCTGTTCTTTGACCCGGCCGCGCAGAGGAGCGCGAGCACCTCGTCGTCGTCGATTGCTGCCAGGCGCCGGACGTTGACCGCGCGGCCCTCGTCGGCTTCCTCTTCGTCCACGTCGGCAGCGCAGTCTCCTTTTGCTTCGCCTAGGCGAGACGATGACGACGCGGGAAGCGACTGGACAGGCAGTCTCGAAGGCATGAAGGAGCCTGATGAGGACATGGATGTCACGGCGGTCGAGCGAGAGCTGAACAAGCGGACCAGGGAGCTCTCCTTTATGGCCAAGAAGTCGGTCGATGATCTCCGAGCCGTCGTTATGGCTTCGCAAATCGACGAGCCCCTACCGCCGCTTCCACAGACGCCAGCTCTCGATGAGCTGCACAAGATGTCGAAGAGTGACGAAGTAGAGAACAAGAGCAGTGGCAGTGGCAGCAGCAGCAGCAGCGGTGGCAGCAGCGGCAATAACGGAGCGGGCAAGCGGACAAAGAAGCGACCGACAAGGCTTCAGCTCGCGGAGACGAATTACGACGAGGCACCGCGGCGCGACAGCCCGGCGACGAGCATGCCCGTGAGCGTCAGCTACGGGAGCCAGCTCACGCTTCAGGCGGGCTCCAAAGCAAGTCCACACGGTTCGGCGCACACGAGAAAGACTGTCTCGTCGTCGCGCGTACACAGTCCCCTCACGCCCTCGATGCCCCCCTCGCCGTCTAGACGCCACCTGTACGCCAAAGCCGACGAAATCTTTCCGAGGGCGTATTCTGTCTCACCCACGAGTCCTCACGCCACCTTGCACTCGCCGACGAGCGCGATGAGGACGTCGACGGCGATGAGAGAGCGAGAGTGGTCTGATGCGGGTGAGTTGGCCCGAAGCCAGTCGAGGTTCTCCGACGGCACCGAGGACAGCCACAACTCGACGCCTCTCTTTTGCGACGACTCGGTCAGCTCTCGCGCTTCGTCGGTACACCCGCCCCCGCCACAGCAGCCTCCCCTTTCGACGGCGAAGCCGTTGCAACACCAGCTACAGAATCCACTCCTTGCTGGCCTCGACGAATACTACTACCCTCGCCGTGCACCCGTCTCTCCTCGCGCCGTGGCTCAGGCGGGCAGGCCGTCTACGTCCGACGCGGCTGTGCACTTGGCAAACTCGACCTCGCCGCCCCAGTCGCCCAGCGGCGTTCGCTTTGTTCGACACAACCACTCTTCCTCAGACCAAGAGGCTCTCAGGCGCTTCGTCGAGGAGGAGGAAGAGCCCCTTCGACACCGACCTCGCCACCAGCTCCAGATTGTCGAGTCTCCACCTCTCACCGACTTCAAAGGCGCCATGAGCTCGTCATCGCCGCCACCGGGCAGCGGCAGCGCTAATGGCAACGGCAACAGCAACACCACCGGTAGCAGCAAAAAGTCCATCTCACTCGGGTCCCGGCTCAGAGCTGTTTCTACACCAAAGCTACGGCATACCTCGAGTGGCTGGAGACTCTTTGGCGCCGGCTCTCCGCCCGCCGAAGCCGCGCCACCACTTCCCACGCCGGAGTCGAGGCCCGCCTCCGCGTCGACAAACCAGTCGGGCCCCGCTGCCTCTTCGCCCACGGTGGCCACTCGACCAGGAAGCTCGACGACTCGCATTTATCCTCCTCAAGCTCCCAGCGGTCGCTTTCGATCTCGCACCATCGGCGAGGCCGATGACGGCCGTCGTCGTTCGAACGGATCCAACAAGAGCAGCATCCTCAACAACACCGGCAGCAGCAGCCATGGAGGCGATGATGAGGCAGGACCGACGCCGCAACGTCCTCGGAGGCCCTCTTCGACCGAAGCCATTGCTGCTGTTGCTCGCCGTCCTCGCAGACCAAGCAAGGCCGAGACGTACTCCAGCAGCGTCAACTCATCGGTCCACTCGTTTCTCAATGCCTCTCACTCCTCGAGCCAGATCATTGCCACCAGTCCTGCCACTGCTGCTCCTCCTTCCTCGACACCGGCCTCGACTGCCGCCTCGACGACCAAGGCTGCCAAGGTCGCGCCACCAAAGAGTCCCGCGTCTCGGCCAAAGAGCAGCAAGGGCGGCTGGGCCAGCCATCTCCACGAAGGTTTGACGCTCCACGTCGACCACGGCGGGCATCGCAGCTTTGTCAAGCTCGCCTACCTTGCCTACGAGCCTTTCACGCGGCCAGAGATGCTCTGTCCAGCCGTGCTCGATGAGCGACCAGCGACACCCAAACGGCCAAAGTCGAAGGGCGCTGATGGCCCGTCCTCGTCGCCTTACAACAAGGCTGAAGAGCTTGGCGCGCTCGAGTACGGGCCCGCAGACATCGCCACGCCCATCATGCTCGAGGCAGGCTCGGAAGAAGTGGTGATCAAGCATCTGACCCTGGGCGACGACACCAAGGGCGACTTGCTGACGAGGCAAGCGACGCTCTCGACGCGCATCGACGGTACGCATGAGGTGTCTGGCTGCGAACGCAAGGGCAGACTTGCCTGGCGGTGCGTCTACTCGATCGACCAAAGGACGCTGCGCATCGTCGGCTTCTTCTGCTCGGGCGAGCTCGTGGACAGCAACCGAGCGAAGAAATCGAAGCTCATCAGCGGGATCCGCAAACAGATGGCACCCAACCTTCAGTCGATGCAGATCCTGGGTGCCTCTCCTGCTGGTTCTTCGACGATGCCGCTCGTGGACTCACCCACATCTTCGCATCCTTCGGGAGGACCATCTTCACTGGCGAGGCCTGGTGGCGCGACATCTATCTCGACGTGGTCCCCCGCTTCGATGGCTTCTCGTCAGCTCGACTCATCACCCCAATCGGTTCCCGGCAACCTGCCACCGGGTGTGGTGCCCTTCAAGATGTCTTCATCGACGACGAGGTCCCATTCTCGTCCACCGCCAGCGGCCACGAGCAGTGCTAGCAGCAGTGCCACGAGTCCCGTCACCCCGGGCAACCGGTCGCTGCTTCTGCCCTCTCCCCTGTCGAGCCACTTTGCCACGCTGCAGCACCAGCCGCCCTCCATCACGAGCGACGGCACCGAAGAGGAGAAGCTGCAGCCTCCCACGGGCACAAGGCGAAGAGGCCACTCGTTTGGCGAGGCGGCCAGGGGCCTTGCCGTTCCTGTTCCTTCGCGACCCGGCCAGAGTGGCGCAGGCGCGCTTGGCCTCGATGTCTCTGCTGCAAAAGGCTCTTCGCTGCATCCATCGAGACAAACTCAGGAACAGCAACAGCGCCAGCAGCAGCAGCAACACTTGCTGCACCAGCGCCAGCGTGTCCTGTCCCAGGCTCGGGATGGGGGTGCCGAATATGGGCAAAGGGTGCGAGCGGCCACAAGTGGCGAGCCGGCCTCATCCTTGCGCTCTTTCTCGTCGGCGCGGCAGACTCCTTCTCCTTCAAGGCCACCCACGGCAAGCGAGGAGATCAAGTTGGCCTATCTCGGCACAGCCGCTGCTTTTCGCGAGCTGGGTCTCGACGACGAGATGTTGTCGGCCGACGAGGGGGACGCCGAGACTCGCAAGGCCCCCACGAGGCCTCTCACGGCCGATGTCTTTGTCCGTGCAGGACGAGGAGGAACGCCCGCCTCGCCGCACAGGGCCAATGTAGAGGTTCACTCCGGCCTGCTCAAGGGCACGGCCAAACCGCTGCCTCCCCCGCCTTCCTCTCTGATGGCAGATGAAAGACCAAGGACCACGTCCTCGATTCCGCCGGGCCAGCGCTTTGGCCTCCCCTCGGCCAGCCCTGAGCTCATGAGGAGGTGGCTGTAGACGACTTTTGTTATTTTTTGCTCCTTCGCTCCTTTTCTCACCCTCTCCTCTGATGTAGCCATATGTGACTCTTTCCTTTCTCTCTTCTTCCCAGTCACCCTCACTCTCTCCTCATCTCATCTCATCTCACTTATAACACGACTGCAATGTTCTTTCAAAGTATGCATACAATGTTGACACGTCTACAAACGTTTGCCGTCGAGATACACCACGGGCCGCTCGCTCGAGCTGGACCGATGGAGGCGGACCTCGATCCTTGCGTCGAGGAGCTGGGTGAGGGCTTCGTTGCACAGAATCGAGACGGGCTCTCCCAGCTCCGAGAGGTGGACGAGAATCATGGGAATCGACGCTGCCGTGGCGACGATGGTGGCCTGCTTTGAAAAGCCGGTCTTGGACACGAGCACGCCCACCTGTGTGCCCGCTGCCTCCTCGCCGGCCGCAGCCGCTGCTGCTGCCGCTGCAGCCCGGGGCTGCGCCGTATAGGCGCCGTGCAGCTCGCGAAGATGGACGGGTCCGCTCTTTTTGCTCTCGGCCTTGCACTGGACAATGACGCGGATCCGCATCGGCTCCGTCGAGGGCTCCGACGAGGCGGGCGGCGACGGCGCCGGCGCCGGCGGCACGAGCCACCAGCCCCGCAGGTCGATGCCGCCATCGTGTGCGCCACCCACGCGGTCCAGCGTCATGCCTGGAAAGAGCGACGAGAGCACATCCCGCGACAGGTTCTCGTAGCTCGTGCCGATCTCGACGGTCGATCGCTTTGGCGGCGCCTCGTCAATCCAGGCGGCCGAGCTTCGTGAAGACGTGGACAGACATCGATGCCGGGCCCCAGAAGCAGCGAGGAGCAGTACTGGCGGGACGCAAAATGGGGACTCGGCCGGAGGGGAGCCACGCCGATGGCAGTCGCCGACACCGAGGCGCAAACCGGCCCTTGTCCGCGCCTCGATTCCGACCGACAATTCTGCCCGAGCGATTGCAGCGGCAATCGATCTCATCTAGCTTGCTTGTCTTGCTTGCGCGCGCAGAATCGTCATCTCTCCTCGATCTTGCCTCGCTTCCTCTCGGTCTTGCCTCGCCTCCTCTCGACTTGGCCTCGCTTCTAGCGATTTTCGCCCCTGCTTGACCGACGTCCGTACGCAGCAAAGCCACACCACTACTACAACGACTGCCTACACCACGTACTTCCACAACTGCCGTTGTTGTATGTACGTCCTGCAGCCAATGTGAGACGAAATGGAAAAAAATCGCACGATGGAAAGACCGTGGGAACAACTGTCGCCAGTCGCTCCACCGCACGTGTTATCTCGCCGGAGACACGGATTCATCGGGTTGCGCTAGCAGAGGAGGAAAAGCTGAGACAAGAAGCTAAGCGTCGGGCAGATTGGCCCTAATTAAAAAAAAAGTCGGAGAAGGTAGTGGGGGAGGAAGGACCCTTGCATGTTATCTCGCTTCCTGCAACAATTGGTCTTCCCTAGGCACGTCGGACCGTCTCCTACCGTCGTAAAACCTCCTCGATCTGCTCGTAGATTTTGGGGGGGTCGAGACAGGCGGGCAAACCGCGCGCGAACAATCCTCCGCGAGTTACAGTACGTGGCTTGAATTGAAAAGGCGTGTCGCCTCCATGCCGCTGCCGCTCTCTTGCTCGGGAAGCAGACGATGTCTCAATCATGAAAAAGGCAATCGCACCTACGTGCTGCATGTAGCTCAATCGAGTCCTGTATGCACACGCACTGCTGCTGCTACGCTGTTTGCAAGCGAGCAAATAACTCAATTCCTTCTCGAGCGCAAATGCATCTTTAGCGAGCAGGAACTCTGATCGATCGAGTACTCTTGACGGGCAAATAAAGTAAGCGAGACGTGCTCGTAGCAGTCGTGTAGCGGTAGTACAGTCAAGAAGTGCACGTACTAATATATTTACTACCGCTAGCACCAGTTGCTAGTGGACGGAGCTCGGATCGCAGAGTGGGACCTGCAGGGTTAGGGAATTTAGGTCAAGCAAGATAGCTAGTCGCGACACGTACCACGTACTACTATGCTTACCTCACGCAATGCCCACGCTCCGCCTCTCCCATCTGACAAGCGCGTATCGATAGCGAGCGCCTGTACACGGCTCGTGGAATTGATTCATCTTATGCGACCTGCGTGAACAACGAAATGGAACAAATTATATTGCTACACTCCTCGAAGACGCATGCGGACATTGTTGAAGAGAACCCTATCCTTTTTTTTTTTCGCGCCTCTCCACAGATGCCCATGTCTATCTCATCCTGTAGTCATCTTCGACAGCTTGTCTCGCTCTTCCTTGCTGGTCAGATACTATTAGCCATCGCATCCTTGCTCGAGACCATGCCAAGCAGACAGACCCAAGAGAGGGGCAATGAATCCGTACAGGATGCCAGGAGAGGACCAAGAATGAAGCTGGATGTGTGTGGTCCACAAAATGACTTGTCATTTCTCTTCAAACTTTAAATGTTCCGTTCCAATTTATTTATTTTTCCACTAATTTCCCAACTCTTTTTTCTTTTTCTTCTCTTTTCCTGGTTGGTTTGGTCGTCTTCTGCGGCGCTTTGACTTTTTTTATTTTTGTTTTTTCTTCCATTCACCGTCTGGTCTTGATACGGGGGAGGACCAGTCTTCTCTCACCTCCGACGTGGCCCTCACCCGCGAGCGCTGCTGGTCCGCTGTGCGCCAGATTGATTCGTCACTGGAGCGGTGCCCGAAGTGCTTGCCCCTGTCTCTCCCCTCACCCCCTCATCCTGAGCGCGGTCTCGCCAGGAAGATTCGCACGCGAGCGATCTAGCGCGAAAAAAATACACGACGAGCGTATCGGGGAACTAGCGAGCAAGACAGACACCGAGACACACTGATCAGTCTAGAAGGGAGCCACAAGGGAGGCTGGCGCTGCAGCAGAGGAAGAGAGAAAGGGCGACGACGTACCCGCTCAAGACACAAGCAAACAAAGCAAGCGAGCAGCAGTAGTGTAGCGAACGCACGTAAAGTTCAGCGTACCGCATTCGGCCTAAACATCAACGCTCCTAGGCCAGGCAAGGATCGGCGGGAGGAAACAAGCAATTAATCTGTCATTCACTGCTCGGGTCGACTCTTTCCGTTTCGTGCAAGCAAACGGGACAGAACCTACGTTAACTAGCCATAGCTAGTAGTAGTGTAGTTGTACTGTTGACGAGTGGTTTTGCCGTGGTGGAAACCAAGGCTAATAAGGAGCACGGTCAGCAAGCGCATATTCTCGAGGCACGCTGCGTGCCTCAGGTCGACTGCCCTCGAAGCAAGCAAATAATAATCCAGAGGCGACGACATCAGCTGTCTTGAGCTTACCGGTAGAAACTCGCGGCAGTAGGACCCTACCCGTTCGGTCTATATACGCCCCCTCAGGCAAGAAGTGCCGTGGGAGCAAGAGAGAGCATCCGTTGGGCGAGACGGTAATCGATGCGTCACTTGGTTCCGCATCAGGTCGTCTCTGCATTAATAGGTGCTACTACTCTTCCTCCTCCTCCTTCTGCGCTTTCGAGCCTCCTCACAACGAAGCCTGCTGCGACTCGTCGGCACGCGACGCCAATTCTTACCCCTTCCTGTGAGTACCAAATTTGTGTTTGTCCAGCGCACAAAGGACCTTCGTCGCCGCGCAGTGGAGGGCAGGTTCGGCTTGTCAGTCGGATGAGACAAAGGGGCCAAAGGAAAAAAAAAAAAGAAAAAAGGTTTTCAAGGCTCGGTCGGAAAGGTCATCGAGGTCCATCAAGCGAGGGGGGGCTATGTCGCAGGTAGACATGGATGCATCGAAGGGCCCATTTCTGGCTTCCTTATCCTACCACGTTCGCTGACCGATTTACAAAAGGCGGTGTCCGCTTGGCGACGAGTGACTGCCTACGCCTCGAATCCCGCGCCGTCCACCTGGGCTCCTGTCGCGCTCGATTGGGTGAGTGTGCAAGGGCTTATATGATGAAAGAGGGGTAGTGAAGGGCTATCGTCGTCGAGTTCGAGAGTTCCAAGTCTTCCAGAGACGGAGGAGAGTGATGATTCGTCTTGCGCCTCTAGCCTGACGATGCCAGGAGGGCGAGAGATAGAGAAAAGGGGAGAGGTCACTGCAATGGAGTAACATCGTCTCCTGATCTCTCAGCTCAAATTCAAGGCTGCTTTGAAGGTTCGTCGAGCTTACCCTTGTGCCCCCCCCCCCCCTTCTCTTCCTTCCTCTGCCCTCCATCGTCCCTTTGACGAAGTCCGACGGCCACAAGCGCAAGCACGCCGCTTCTCACGATACCCACGACAGCAACTCTCCGACCTCGGCCGCCTCAAGGCGCTCCTCTTCCAACTCTCTTCCTTACCGCCCGGCTCCTCTTCGGCCCAGTCTAGAAGCCAGCGACGGGCGCGTTTCAACGAGCTCTTCAATACCTTCTACCAAGCCACTGTCATCGAGGATCACCAGGACAGATTTCTCGAAGAGCTCCAGCAATTTGACGAAGAGTTCCCGACCACACCCGCCCCTGACGCCGTGCTGAGTGGCATTGCCAGCAGCATGAGCGAGCCTGCGCTTTCGTCAGCGGCTATGAGCAGCAGCATCGCGCCCACGGCCGACAAGCCGGGCCAGCTGGCCTCGGCAGCCAACATCGCCAAGCCGTTCCAAGACGCCATCACTCAGGCGACCGCGGCCCGGGCCTCTGCAGGCAAGAAGCTCGCCAAACTCGTCGGCATTCTTGCCACTCCCAGCCCACCAAGCGTTGCTTATGCCCAATGGACAAAGAAGGCGTGCGAGCAGGTCGGCATCGCATTTGACATCTGGAAGACGTGGGAGGACAAACCCGAAGAGGGCGCCTCTCCAGCCATGGACGTTGACGAGGTCAAGAGACCAGATTCTGATCTCGAAGCAGACGTCGAGGACCTCATCATTGCCGCCAATGCAAACGACGATGTTCATGGCATCATGGTGAGTTACATCCACGTAGATGACACGCTTACACCACCCTTGCTGACACTCTGCACCAGGTATACTACCCCATCTTCGGCGGCAGACAGGACACTTATCTCCAGCAGATCGTCGACCCACGAAAGGACGTCGAGGGCCTGCATTTCAGCTATTGCTGGAACATGTACCACAATGTGCGGTGGGTGCTGCCCAAGCAGCTTGGCGGCGCGCCCGGCACGACATCGGAGATGCCCCCGGATCGCGAGGGTGTCAACGACGACGAGAATGTGCCACCAGGCTTTGCAAAGTCGATCCTTCCCTGCACTCCCCTGGCTATTGTCAAGTGCCTCGAGGCGATGGGCGTCTACGACCGAACACTTCCCTACGGTGATCGCCTGTACGGCAAAGTCATCACCGTCATCAACCGGTCCGAGGTCGTGGGTCGACCACTGGCCGCGTTGCTAAGCAACGACGGTGCGAAAGTGTACAGCGTCGACATTGACTCGATCCAAGAGTTCAACAAGCGAGCTGGCGCACCCACCCCTCAGCAATCACACGCCACCGGCACACTCAGACCATCGCAAGCCGTAAAAGCCGCAAGGGAGGCCAATTCATCAAGGAGACTGCGCCCACATCACGTCGTACGGGGATCCCCACTCTCGGTCCAGGAGTGCGTCAGCGCCTCTGATGTTGTCATCTCGGGTGTTCCCGCGGCCAGCTACAAGGTGCCCACGGACTGGATCAAGCCAGGAGCAGTAACGGTCAACTTCAGCAGCGAGAAGAATTTCGAGAAGGATGTTCGAACCCGGGCCAGCATACACCTGCCATCGATTGGCAAGACGACGATTGCCATGCTTCAAAGAAATCTCTTGCGCCTGGTTGAATACCGCGAGCTACAGGAAGTTGACGACGGTCGTCATCTCCCGTCTGATGGCGGCAGTGGCGGCGGCGGCGGCGGCGGCGGCGGTGGAGGACCATCGGGTGGACCTTCAGGCGGCGGTACTGGAGGACGACCTTCGGGCGACGGAGCTCGAAGCGGCGCACCAGGCCCTATGGGTTTTGACGGGCCGCCTCGTCCTACTCCTGGCGAGGGCGGCGGCAGCAGTGGAGGAGGTGGTGGACCACCTTCGCATTCACAACAACAAGGAGGAGGAGGCGGCGGTGGCGGAAAGTGGACTTCCTATGCTCCCAGACGCGAGACCGCTCGCGATCAGGGTGAGGCAATGGCCGTAGATGCGGAAGGGTACGGGGTCAATGTGACTTCTCCCCTTTCGACCTCGTTGGACGCTTCTAAGCCGGCATCGTTCCCCCAGTCGCCAGCAAATATGCTCGAGTCTCGTGCCATGCTCCTCGGCGGCAATGGCGGTGGCCATCTTGGCTCCCTTCAGGGTTTCGGCAACCGCGGGAGGGCGAGCACAATGACGCTGCCCAGGTCCGATCTCGCACGAGAGAGGTTTGTCGGGCCGCCACTCTCACGTATGAGCCCCACCTACCCGCCTGCCGGAATGGTGATGCCCGCCCAAACCAATCACACTGGCTCCACGGCCTCATCAGCCAACAGCCTCTGGGACTGGCGGACGCATAGCGCTCGTCGTGACAGCGTCACCTCGGGTACCACGATTGGGTCGACGCCGCCGTTTGGGCCACGCAAGCAAAGCTACTCGTCTTCGACTCAGTCGCCACTCTTGTTTGCGCCCATCAGCCCCTTTGCGCCACCCCAACACGGGTGGCCACCACCACCACCACCTCGAGCCTCCGTAGGCTCTCATCACCAGTACCAACACCCACCAAATTACCAGCAACAGCAGCAGCAGCATCAACAGCTGCATCACCCTCATCATTCTCATCAATTGCATCAACACCCGCAACAGCATCAGATGCAAATGCACTCACTGGCGGGCCAGTCGCCCCGGTCGGAAACGCCCGTATCACCCCTGTACATTGATCGGCTTACTGTCGAAGACGGACCTAGTGTGCCCCGTCGAACCAGCTGGCATCCCGTCTCTTCGACCAGCAATGGCGAAACACACTCCCATGCGCCGCCATTGCCGTCTGTCCTCGAGCGACCCTACAAACGATCGTCTCCACGTCCTATGACTTCGCCCGTCGACCGCAGGCCAAGGCTGGACAGCGATCCTAGCCGGGACGCGCAAATGCGACCGCCACAAGCAACAGCCGACTTTTACCCGCACGGTATGCATCCGCCTTCGAGCCCGGCTTTCGCCGGGCAAAGGTTGCAAGATGGTCCAGAAGCGCACCTGCAGCGACCGAGGTCCAATTCCAATACGTCGACGTCGCTCAAGCTGCAGCCTCCTCCGGACCGCATCGCCCACAGCCGCCGTCGCCGCCGCCAAAAGTACAGCTACTCGACCCTGATCGCCATGGCCATCTCGTCGAGCCCCGACAAGCGCATGACGTTGCGTGAGATCTACACGTGGATCAGCAGCACGTTCCCGCAGACGTACAGCATGAGCCAGGCCGATGGCAAGGGGTGGCAGAACACGGTACGGCACAACCTCAGCTTGAACAAGTACTTTATCAAGGCGCCAAGGGAACATTTGGAGATCTACCAGAGTGAAAAGTCCGGCCAGCCCCATCTGAGCAACTCGGCCAGGGGAAAAGGAGGCTGGTGGATGCTTGATCCGGAAATCTCAAAGTCGCTCAACCTAGACGATCTCAAGGCAGGCATGCTCGATGCACACGACTTGGGACCGCGTGCCGATGACGACCACGACAGTCGTACACCTAAGCGCGGAAGAAGAGGAAGGACGAGCAGCTTCGCGACGGATATGACGTCGGGCGACGAACCCATCTCGCCCACTGATCCAGTTTGCAACATGCCTTCGGTGCTACAGATGCGTGGAAGGTCACCAAAGAGAGAGTATCCGACGGTGCCATCTGTCCTGATGCCTCCGCGCACCCGTTCCGCCGAGAGGGCTGTGCGGCCGCCCACGGAAGGGGGCGCCTCTTCACACGATGGCTCCGCTCACCCTCAGCATCCTCCTTTGATGTCCACAACGGCCGCCAACTCTAGCAGTGCTGTGCAAAGGCCTGCAGGAAGGTCCCGCGCAAACACGACAAGCATTACCGAGACCGTTCGGGGCCGCTATCCTTCCATCCTGGGTCGTGCGCCACCTTTGCCCTCAATGTCGCAAAGTGGCCTACCAGCGGCATTCCAGCACTATCAGCAGGGTCCTCCGCCAGGATCTCCTTACACGAGTATGCAAGTCCCGTCGCACTTGCCTCCGCCTCCCTCCATCAACCAGCGCTATTCGGCCTATAACTCTTTGCACCAACAGGGCCGAGTGGTATCGGGCTCCTCATCCAACGTCGCCAGTCCCCTGTCAGTGACAATGAGTCCATCCAAGCGTAAGCTCCGCTTCGACGCATCGTCGTCTTCTGTGACCTCGATGGGCATCCCAGATCCTGACGGTCGGCCCTTCACCTCGGAATCTTGCTCCTCGACCTCGTCTGTCGATGAGCTTGGCGGCGCTCGCAAGACTGTCCGCAAGGGTGCACCGCACGAATATGAAACGATCAAGACGGTGCGGCCTGGAGTGCCCAGGACACGCGTCAGCTCGGCGAGGGGAAACATTGACGAAGACGTCGACGACGACGAGGCCGACATTGACGGCAGTGGCGTGGAAGCGGAGGAGGAAGTCGACGAGCTTTCGTCGATGGAGATGGAAGATGGGTCCTCGTTGGCGCGGGGAGAGACGAGAATGTCGATCCACGGTCTTCTCAATGATTAATTGCTTGTTGCTCTTCGCTGTACTCCTTGTTATGGGCACCCTTTTTTTTTTGTACGGTTCCCGTCTTACATCGTTTCGACTATCCGTCATCATCAGTCGTCTGTGTACCAGGTCACCATTATCACGATCTCTCAATGTTGCCGCATACAGTAGTAGAGTATAGTTTCAAGTCTCGAGAAGAAGAAAGAGGAAAAAACTCTGGAAGAGATATTACGCAATTCAAATGTCAAGAAGAAGCTATTGCAAAGTGATTGATGAGGGCTCGTCTAAAAGGACAAGTTGACGACATCGTCGAAGTCCAGGCCGAGGCCCAGACCCGCCATAAAGTCGTTTGTGGTTGGGGTTGCCGAGGCTTGTTGCTGGTGCTGATGGGTTGCTGTGGCTTGTTGCTGTGGTGTCGCATTCTTGTGGCTCGTTTGCGAGGAAGGAACACGAGTGCGACTGAGGAATTCAGCTGGTCCTTCGAGACCAACAGCTGTACCTGGCGCTCCTGTAGAAGACGCCAGCTTTGCAAGACGCCTCGACGAGGTCGAGACCGTTCCTCGCGACGAGGATGGCGACTCGTGGTGATAGCGATGGTGATGTCCAGTGTGATGACCCTGATCGGAAAATGTGGGCGTCTTAGGGAAAGGGCTGCTGGATGGAGGCTCATCTGTGTCCGAGATGACGTCCCAGTCGGACTTTCGTCGGTCACCACCCTTCTGCCCGTCTGGAGCCGAGAAGTTACGGAGCGAAGAAGTCATCGTCCTACTTCGCTCAGAAGAGACTTGGCGGGCCCTTGTGGCGGCCCTCGTCGAAGAGGTGGGCGACTGCATCTGCCAAGACCTCAACATGCTGTGGCTCTCACCATTGTCGAGATGGTGGCCGCCTGTGCCACCAGCCGATGAGGAGTAGACGAGACTGGGCGGGTTGTGGTCCGATGCGGAGCCAAAGGCGCTGTCCATAAAGGCCCTCGTGGTGGGAGTGCTAAAGGTCCATGCGCTGGGCCCCGATTCCTCCCTTGAATGGGTTCTCGGCGTCGTGACGGAATGCAGCTCAACATTGGAAGAAGCAATGCGGCCGTGATGGCCCCAGGAAGTCGGTGTCTGCAGGACGCGAGAGGGGGAGGAGAAGACGTCGGCGGCATCTCTGACGCCGTCCAGGTCGCGATAGCTCGATGTCGTCCTTCGATGATGTCGCCCGCCGGACCAGTCGGATGTTCGCCCGCTTTTGGCATGTCGAGTGGGCGTGGCCAAAAGGTGGGCATCTCTACGGGAGGACGAGGGCCTCGGACTTGGTGTGCGGTCACGGCTGGTGTACCGAAGTTCCGATGGTCCCGGGGCGGATCCGCCAGTGCTCGAGGGATTGGTTGGCATCATGCCCAGCATGAAAGGCGTGCTCATCGGATCATGTAGGTCGTATGATGGCACTCGCGATCTCGGCGAAGGTGACGTGGGAGCCCTTCCGGGGATCATGGATCCCTTGCTCGGCGTACGCGCGTTGACGCTACTCTTGCGATCCAAGGGCGATGAGGGCTCGTTGAAATGCCAGCCGACCCTCTCTGCCCTACTTCGACCTCCGGATCGAACTCTCATCGGGTCTGAATCCGTCGAGGGCATCTGCGGGCTCGGTGCCAAGGCTAGAGCGCTAGACAACGACATCTGCTGCAGGCCATTTGCCTCACGCATCGGTGACTCGATTGGCTGCGCAAAGACGGGCAGGTGGCCTGCGCCGGGTCGAAGCTGATGAGCAGCTGTGCTTCTCGGGAACGAGGGAGTGCCCAGGATGCTGCTACCACCCAACGAAGATGCCGCGTGAGCTGATGTGGCGTTTGACGGACTCATGGGTGAAACACCAGATGCAATCATTTCGCTGCACTCCTGGCAGTACCAATGCTCCTCCTTGATTGTTTCTCTCGAGCCGAGGCCAACGCACGAGCAATGGTACCAACGAATGCAGCCGTCGCAGCAGATCATGGCACCTCGCTCCTCGCCTGATCCGCAGTGGCAAGCGATCATGGAAGACGAAGACAAGGGGCTGAGCGCAGCCATTGACCGTCTGTGCGAAGCCTGCTGAGACAGAGAAGTGGCCGAGGGAGGATGGAGCAGAACGCTAGAGGGCTCCTTTTCAGCCCTTGCTGCCGTCTTGCGCTTGCCTCGTGCCTTGCTTGACTTGGCCATGCTGCTCTGTTTCTTCGATGACGACGGCAGCTTCTTGTCCGACTTTGTCCGGCGTAGCTGTGGCATCGAAGCCCTCGATGTGAGCAGCGCGTCCTTCCTCACACGGTCCCAGAGCACCTTGGCGACCATAGGATGATGTTGAGGATCTTGATCGCCAAAGGATCTCTGCAGGAGTGCATGACCTTCGTCGCCGCTATCTTCGTCAAGCCACCTTGCAATGCGACTCTTGCGCTCTGTCTGCGCTTTGCAGAGATGTTGGCTCGCTGCGGCCCAAGGTCCCGTAGGGCTGTCTGGCCAGTCAAGAGTAGGCATCTGATCGATGTGCAGCGCGGTCGAGCCGCCAAGACGTGGCTGATAGAACAGATCAGCTTTGGCCGTGACTTTCGGTGTCTCACTCGACGATGACGCCATGTGAGCCAAGTGGTTCTGAAAAGCCGACAGCATCGACTGTGCTTTTTGGTTCGTCGAAGCTGCTCCATGTACGGGAGAGCAGGGCTCTGAACTGGGAAACGAGGAAGAGAGGGAAAAGCTTGGCGAAGGTCCGAGGTTGTCGAGCGATGTTGCATTTGTCGACACTGCGCTCCTTGAGGACGAGGACGATGAGGCGCCGTCGGTGCTTCTGGATTGTGACGGTGATGACGAAGATGCCTCTGGCATACCGAGCGTTGAAGAGGACGAGGAAGATATCTGTTGGGCCAATTCGCGATGAACGATGACCCTGCCCATGCCAGCTCGCTCGACGGCCAACATAGCCGGAGCGTCTTGGCGAGGAGAGGAGCGATCAAATGCCTTCAGTCTGTCGTAGTGTCCGACGTTCTCTCCAGCTTTGCTCCTTGGGGCTGGCGTCGGTGAAGAAAGTTCCGGTGAAAAGTCTGTCTTGTTTTGCCGTTGCGAAGCGGGGGGTTGGCCTCCAGACAGACCTGTAAGCGCAGCAGAAGCCCGACCTGATGCGTCGACGAGCGACAAGCCGTCAGAGGAGCCGCTGTTGCCGACGTGGGCGGTACGCTTCCTTGGCGTCGCCAAAGTCGCCTCTATCCCGGCTTTCTTCCTCTTCTCCTGCCTGCCGTTTGCTGAAGGGAAGGTGAGAGAGGCAAAGCGTCCCGTCGACTCAGCCGAAGGAGGAGAGTCCCAACCAAGGTCAACACCAGCGAGACGCCTGCCCCTTCGCGGCGTCTGGAGCACATGCTCGTGGTTGCTGCCGTGTGATTGCTGCTGCTGCTGCTGCTGCTGCAGCAATGGAATGCTGTCGTGGTCCACTGCTCTCTGCGCTTGCACAGCCTTGTCGAGGGATCCTCGTGACGTCGGTGTTCTTGCTAATGTGTGTGGGACATTGCTCGAGAGCGAGAGCACGCCTCCTGATGATGATGGATGGCGCATCGCCTCTGGCGTACTAGTGGAGACAAGGGCCGAGGCCATGGCTGTTGCGACAATGGCTGGATCAGTCGAGGCCTGCCTCATCTTGAGCATTTGACAGATGCACTCACTTATGTCTTGTCCCCGTCTGCGTCAACTGTCCAGCAGCCAGACGCTGTCGAGATGGAAGCCGAGTCGATGTCAAGTGCAGCAAGCGAAGAGGGAGAAGAGAAGAAGAAAAAAACCTGGTTGTGCCAGGATCTCGTCGCTTGCGCTTGCTTGTACTCCAATTCTGATTGGAAGAGGGACTGTGCACCGCCTAAATTTGTTCGTCCGTGGCCCTTGGATACTGTGTGATGTGTGATGCAGAAGGATACGTAGCAATGCGTCTGAAGATGCGTATTAACGAATGGTGCCGTGGGCCGATGCTTTTTTGACTTTGGTTTTTCTCTTCGCTTTGTGGTTGCTCTTGAAGTTGCACCCCTGTCGATGAAGGGGATGAATGCTTCCAATGATTATCGACACGATGAAGAGGAACGAGGAGATGGAGAACGGTCGACGTAGAGTGGACCCCTCCCTTCACCTGCCGCTCACTCCTACTACTACTACTACTAGATTGTCTCCTCTTGCTCTCTTCCTCCCGCTGCTGCTGCTGCCCAGCCGCGCTTTGTTCGATATAACCAGAAGATATTGATTGACCCTGGAAAACTTATTTCTTCTGGGATGTGTTATTTTAAATTTTCCCATTTTTTGGTCTTTCTTCGCAACGCCGCATCGATTTGTCCCTTTGTTCTGAGAACAAGAAAGCACAGCGCGGCCGGATGGAGCTCTGCCCTTCAATTTGACGAGTCGCACATCACTCTTGTCAGCTCTGAGCGCCCATCAGATAGTATTGCCGTCCTTCGCGACACAGACCAAGAATCGCAGGAGGAGGCTGCCACAGGTCAGGCGACAGATGCCACAGCCTCTTCCCAGGACGGAGGTTTGTCCCGCCTCCCTCTGGTCAATCTGCCCCTTTCTGGTAGAGCTCGGTCTCCCGACCCAGCCGCCACGAAAGACTGGATCTAGACAAGACAACATCTACCTGTGGATCGGAGAAGAGCAGCTCCTTTATTTTGTCTTGTCAGCTTGCTTCCAGCACGTCAGCCCGCTTCTCCTGCCACTCGGGCTGGCCTGCCCTTTTGCTCGGTGATGCAAAGCTAGCCTGTGATCTTTGCGCTGTTCCCTTGCAGCGCGATTGGAAAATTGTGGTCTGTGCATCACAGCTTTACACGCGGCGCGACGCGTCCCTTGCATGTTCATGGAAAAGTCGCGTCGTGCAAATGGATTCAGGCAGCAATCCTCGCTCGCTCCTTCGCGCGGATCGGTGTCCCGCTTCGGAAGTTAGGTTACAGCAGAACAGGAGTATTCTAGTAATGTACAGTACTGTATAGATGCACCAGGAATGAGCACGTTTGACTCACCTCTGCTATGTTTCACAAGGATCGGGTCACAGGATGATCATACATACTCCGCAAACAGATCGGAGACACCAGACGCAGAAAAAGACAAGAACGGGAAACTGGACCGAGAATGGAGCACAAAAAAGGATGCGATTTGTTGCCCGAAAAAAAAGAGGAAGAGAGCCAAAGCTCTGTCAATGAGAGAGAGCAAGCGCACAGCGCCCGAAGCTCAAGAGAGTGGAATGATTGATCACGGCGGGGTCTGGGTCCCATTCTCCACCGTACCGGGCCCTTCGGAAATTTCTTGCGGGCCGACCGTGGCGCTGGCCTTGGTGGCGTCGCCCGAAGGGGCAGCTTCTTCCGGTGCAGGTGCAGACAGCATGACTGTATCCACTCCAGCAGCAGGCGCCGACGGGTCCTTCGACTCTCCCACAGGAGCAGGTACCATGGTGACTTCTGCAGAGATTTGTCCTGTCTGATCCTGTTTCCCCTCTTCACCGACCCACTTTTCAACTGTCTCTGATTCTCTGTCTCCTCCGTGCTCCCTTTGCGGCTCTCCCATCTCCTCTCCTCCTTGCATCCCACCGGGCGTCTCCTCCGTAGCCTCTTCCACTTCGTCTCTCACTTCTTCGCCTTCGACAGGCGGCGCCACTTGAGCCTCCGATGATGACTCTTCGACACTCGACCCTGTAGCAGCAGTGACAGCAGGTGCGGCAGAGGCATGGGCAGCGTCATTAGTAGGAAAAGCCGTGGCGTAGGTGGACGAGGGATCCTGGACCTCGGCCGGCGCATCCTCGTCGCCCTCTTGCCTCGAACTTGCTTCACCTAGTGAAGGAGCCACAGACCCGGCACGGCTCGAAACCTTGCTGGAGGTGCCTTCGCGAGTCGAAGTTCCAGAAGCAGCTGCAGCATTGTTTTCTTTGGCTCGTTGACGTTCCGCTTGCCTTTCTTTTGCCCTCTGGCGATCTGCATGATCCTTGAACTGTAAGATGTGAAAAATTGAGCCATAGCCACACAAAGACAAACTTCACAAGAGGAAGTCTCGACTTACCATACCGTCCATGGCTCTGAATGTAAGGCGTACGGGCAGTGACATTATGATCTCACCCATCTGAGCTTCGAGCACCTCGGCCTCCGTTCCCGCTACCTCGGCGTAATTTCGACAGAGAGAGAAGAGGGCCAAGACGCTGAGGCTCATATGGTTCTGGTGGCCCGGATATGCGGAGAAAGACAACGCATTTGAGAGCAAGGGACCCAGCTCCTTTTGGTTAGGGGCAGAGTAGTAGCGATCACCGTGGATGAGCCAAGCGAGAATCTCGATGTAGGAGGATGCGCCGCCGTTCAGTGTCTCTGACACGAACCGACGTCGGTCCTTTGCGAGGTTCACAGTGGACCGATTGGTCCAATCGCTGAAGAGGTCCTGAACAGAGGGAGGAGGATCTGGGTCGACAACGTGGATCTTGCGCGCCCATGCCTGCTCCGAGGTTCGCGAAAAGCTCGGCAAACCGGCAAGCCACTCGACGATGTCGCCCGTCTTCAGCCACTTTGCCTCCTGCAGTGGAGCCACCTTTTCCAACGCGATGTGAATAATCATCTCGCGACCGGGCGCCTCCCTTTCCGGATCGGCGTCCACGTCTGAAGCAAGGATCCGGTGAAGGGGAGGCAACGTCTTGTGGCTTCCCCACACCCGGCTCGGAGGATCCTTTGCGCTGCGCTGCTCCGTCACTTCTTCGTCTCCATCATCATCCTGCTGCTGCTTCAGAGACTCGTTGCCCTCGTCGTCTGCCTCTTCCCGCCCCGCTCCCTCTCCATCTCCGTTTGCACCACCCTCCGTCAGCCCCTCGTCTTTGGTCTCGGTCCCCTCTTCCTCTGTCTCGTGGTACCAGGCATGCTCGAGCTGTCGGCGGCTGACAGCATCGTAGCTGACATTGTCTTGCTTGCGATGCTCGATCACAGGACCCTGTTTTCGGCTCTCCAGCAAGAAACCTTTGCAAATCACCCACTCTTCTGCTCTCTTTTTCCACGAGGCGGCCCTCGGCCTGGTGCGTGGCATCGTGACGGCGTCGATGACGATCTCGACTCGCTTTTCCTCCCGACAAAAGCGCACCTCCTTGACCACTTCGGCATCCATGACCAGCCGCCTCGCGCCAGAGGCGTATGTCAGCCCGATTCGGTTGCTTGAGAGCTGTGGCGGTCCCTTCGTCTCTGCCGTCCAAGTGTGAACCTTTTGATCCGACGCTGGCGGCTCTTCTCCATTCTCTGTCGCTTCTTCCTGGTCGTCGATCTTATCGCCATGTACGACCGTCTTCTTGCTCTCAACCTTTGCGCTCTGATTTGGTGGGGAGAGAGCGGCAAAGTTGATCTTGAGCTTGTTCGCCTGGCCTTTCCTTACACCCTCTTCTGCTTGTTCTTGCTGTTGCCAGATCGCGGTACGTTCCGCTAGAACTTTGAGTAGTGATATGGGACGATCGAGATCACCCTCATCGTCAGAGTGTGACTCCGCTTTCACTTCACTTTCGCCTTCTTGTTCCGTTGGCTCCTTTGTGCCAATGGCACTGTCATAAGCGGTCCAGATCCAGTCAATGTCAGGAATGTGGATGCCCAAGATGTTAAAATCGGCATACGTCTTTTTCGAAGCGGCGGGCACGGGATGATCGAGATCTGTCGATGCCTGCGCTTGAGTGGCGATGATAGCCGGCTTGTTGACGTCAAAGGAGGACTGCGAATCCTGTGCCGCAGGCTGTGCGTTTCGTCTTGGTCCCGATGGCGCCTGTGGTGGCCGCGATGAGGCATCGTTGCGCGTCTTGGAACCCGATGAAGAATCAGCGCTGCGTTCAGCGTGAGACGGACGACCGTTCCGACGACTGGCCTGCGCAGCACCACGGGAAGAAGAGCCCGGGGGAAGTGCATTGACGCCTACGGGGCCCGAAAATCTCGAAGGGCCGGCCGTACTCGAACCGCCGCTCGCGCTCCGGTCTTTGATCTCGGAGGCATTACTTGAAGAAGACGATGAGATTCGGCTTGTGCGCGAGGATCCTGCATCATTGGCAGGGCGACGAGGAGTCATTGCGTTTCGTGGGCCCGTTGGACCCAAAGGTCGGCCGCCTGGGCCCGTGGGGGGCGCTTGACCACCGTGAAACGGTAGGGGTCCTCCCATGTATGCAGGTACAGGCCTCATGGGACCAGAGCTGGGGCCTACTGGCGGCTGCTGCGCCATGCCGCCCATAGGAGGACTGCCGCCCATCATCATGGCTGGCTGCTGGAAGGTGGCCATGGGACCGGTATTTCTCAGGCCTGGACCTGGGCCTCTTGCTACGCCCGGCGGTCCCATCGAAGGATTCTGCGGCTGTTGCCAGCCAAAATTGCTCGAACCATGCCTGCTGTTGAGCCCCAGATTCGCCTGACCAACTCCTTGCTGTGGCTGGTGGGCGACGGGAACAGCTCCGTTCATGCCGGCAGGACCGGGTCGAGGACCGAACTCGTGCCTGGGCCTTTTGTTGGCCGAGTTAACGCCAGGTCCAACGCCCATACTGGGACCCTGTGGCGATGCATACTGTTGCGGTCGCGGCTGTGTGGGCGTGTAGGGGCGTTGCGGCTGATACGCTGGCGTCGCATGTTGTTGAGAGGGTCCCCCAGTCCAAGCAGGCGCCTGTGGTCGTGGCTGGGGTTGCTGTTGGGGTTGAGGATACTGGGAGTAGTACTGCTGTTGAGACTGTGAGTGCTGGGGCTGTTGCTGGGGCTGCTGCTGGGGCTGTTGGACAGGATATGCCTGCTGTTGGGGCTGTTGTGCTTGTCCACCTGCCTGGGCAGCGGCCTGCTGGGCATAGTACTTTATAGCATAGCAAATGAGCACAATGGCCACCAATCGAGGCACTGAATAATCCTTACCTGTTGCCATTGCTCGTGCCACTGTGCTTGCTGCTGGGCGTTGCTTGATGGCTGTTGAGCAGGAGGGGGCGCGTGGATTGCAGCATTGCTCCCATAGCCGTACGCGCTGTAGTCCGGCGTCTGCTGCGACGCCGCTGGCTGCTGCGTATGCTGCTGCCCTCCCGCAAAGGGATAGGTCCTTTTCAAACGTGGTCAGAAGCAGTCTCGCAACGCATACAAAGAGCATTCCCTCACCTCTTCATCTCTTCTCGAGGCGTGTTAGATCCCAGGGAGAGACGGCTCGCGGTGGGCGCTAGAAAGAAGCCCAGGGCGCAGAAGTCAAAGAAAGACACGTGAAAATTTCCCGGCCGAAAAAAGAACCAAGACTCCCACCTACCCAAAATTCCACCTATCCTTCGCGACAGACGTCACTCTCTGGCAAGCGCTATCCCTCCCATCGAGAGACATCCACCATGGCGGGCATCAATCCAGGAGACTCCAAGCTGGTGTTTGAATCAAGTGAGGAAGTCAAGGTGGCACCGACATTTGACGCCCTTGGGCTCAAGGAGGATCTCTTGCGGGGCATCTACGCCTACAACTTCGAGCGACCATCTGCGATTCAACAGCGCGCCATCCTGCCTATCATGCGCGGCCGAGACGTCATCGCCCAGGCTCAGTCAGGAACGGGAAAGACGGCGACGTTTGCCATTTCCATGCTGCAATCCATCGACACGTCGCTCCGAGAAACTCAGGCGCTGGTTCTCAGCCCAACGAGGGAGCTGGCGACGCAGATCCAGAGCGTCGTTCTGGCGCTGGGTGACTACATGAATGTGCAGTGCCATGCCTGCATTGGTGCGTGGATCGATTCTGCCCTTGAAACCGACTCCAGCGCTGATCTGATAGCATTTTATAGGTGGAACATCGGTGGGAGACGACATTCGGAAGTTGGACCACGGACAACATATTGTCTCGGGGACGCCAGGGAGGGTCTTTGACATGATCCGACGACGCAATCTGCGCACGAAGAACATCAAGATGCTCATTCTTGACGAGAGTGACGAGCTTCTCAACATGGGTTTCAAAGACCAAATTTACGACATCTACCGATACCTACCCCCTGCCACTCAGGTGTAAGTACGGATCCTTACGACTACTGCACTGCGTGCTAATCTTGCCTCGACAGCGTCCTGCTTTCCGCCACACTACCTCACGACGTCCTAGAGATGACCACGAAGTTCATGACCGATCCGTGAGTCGAGGAGCGCGCGCTGCTGCTTACGCGACGACTGACGTTCTTGCAACAGCGTCCGAATCCTCGTCAAGCGCGACGAACTGACGCTCGAGGGCATCAAGCAATTCTTCATCTCGATCGAAAAGGAGGATTGGAAGTTCGACACGCTGTGCGATCTGTACGACACATTGACAATCACGCAGGCCGTCATTTTCTGCAACACGAGGCGAAAGGTTGACTGGCTGACCGACAAGCTGCGGGAAAACAACTTCCAGGTCTCGTCGATGCACGGCGAGATGCAGCAGAGGGAGAGGGACGAGATCATGAACGAGTTCCGCCAAGGCAACAGCCGCATCCTCATCACCACCGATGTCTGGGCCAGGGGCATTGACGTTGCGGGGGTGAGCCTGTGCATCAACTACGACCTGCCCAGCAATCGAGAAAACTACATCCATCGCATCGGCAGGACCGGTCGCTTTGGTCGCAAGGGTGTCGCCATCAACTTTGTCACCATCGACGACGTCAGAATTCTTAGGGATATTGAGCAGTACTATGCCACTCAGATCGACGAGATGCCGGTCCGTGTCGAAGACCTCCTCTGAGTACACTCACTCCCTCCTTTTCCCACCTCTCTTTTGTATATCTCTCTTTTTTTTTCTGTTCTCCTCGGGCGATGTATTAAAACTACAATCGTGAACACTATCCAAACGCCTTCTCCAGCCCAGCGAGCAGTCTTGCCTGGAAAATCGACTCGACAAATTCACCTTCCTCGGTGAACCATTCGCCTGATGTCTCTCTTCCCCCTCAGCCTCGCTTCGCTTCTTTTAAGATGGAAAGAGGACACAAGACTCACCCATGTGGCCCAGCTCAACTTTTTCCTTTGCCTCCCTCAGTAGGCTTTTGCCGCCATTGCTCTTTCGGGTATAGTCGACATGCAAGCTGTAGACCGGAGGTGTAGTCCAGCGCTTGCCATCGGCGGAGGGTGTCGCGGCCGTGACCGGTTTTGGGAGCGGAGGAGAGGCAATGACAAGCCTTTCCGTCTCGATCTAGTATGATCGCAGAACCAGCATGTCAGTATCACCGAAACGAGTAAAGAGCGCGACAGGAGAGGTGACGCACCCTCTTTGCCAGCATCTTGCGCTTGCCAATGAAGATCGTGTGTCCTTGCATGTATGCGTCGGCCGTCTGAACCCCTGACAGGACAATGTAGCTGAAGAAAAGGGGAGAAAATCCGTCAGCAAGCCTGCACCCTTCCTAGACAGCCCTGCGAGAACAGGAACTTACATGACGACGGCGACTGCGCAGGGCCACTTGTTTTTCTCCCACTCCTTCTCGACAAAGTACGACCACACGCTCGTCCCAATCATTACAACGGCCGCCGTGTAGCCCAGAGCGAGACGGAGATCGGTGTGAAAGTGAGAGGCCTTGAAGGGCGGAAAGGGCTCAGAGCTGTCAGTGGGCGCCCTCGGCAGGGAAGAAGTAGACGAGGAAGGAGACGAAGCCGAAACAGGCGAAGAGGCGCCATTTGTGGGCGTTGCACCCGATGCAGGAGCCAACGAAGCAGACGGAGATGACCGCGTCAGAATCTGTGGAGATTGAGCTTCGTGAGACATCGAAACAGTGAACCCGAATTCTCAGATGTCAATCTCACCCTCTCGACGGCGTCATCGCATGTCGACTTGAGCTCGGAAATGTTGCTGTTGTCGACGTAGATCCTGTCCTCGGCAGGAGGCAGATCGCCCGTGTCTTGCAGCTGCTTCTTTTCGCTTGCCATGATATGCAGCCAGCAGGCTTGTTAGACAGCGTCGGCGGCGGCGAAAGGCTCGAGCTTTATCGTCGCCGATGTTGTCGTCGCCTGTTGTTTTCAAAGTTGACACGACGACAGATTTAGAGCTCGAGGAGAGACAGAAGGCTCAGGCCTGCCTCGGCCGACGACCGACACGTGATTTCTCAATGCCAGAATTCGGCAGGCTGCGTTTTCTTTTTCTTTTTTCTCAAGGGGGACTGGGGGTGGGTACGAGGCCAGAGGGGGGAAGAGAAGGGAAGGCAAGAAACGGTCCTACACACGACTAGATCCAAGCAGACTCAGTCGACAGCATCGATAGGTGGTTGACTGTAGGGAAAGGAGTCCTCTTTTTCGTTTCAATCCACAACCTCGGCATTGCAGGGCATCGAGGTCAGCAAGAAGAAGGAGAGAAGGAGATCAGAAAAAGAAAGGCCGCCAAGATGCGTGAGTGAATGAAGAGCGTCGCCTCTTCATCGCGAAGCAATGTCCTCACTCAAATTCTTCTTCTCGATGCAGCTCCCAAGAAAAATCAGAAACTGTCTCTCAACGACTTCCTCAATGATGAGAGTGAGTTGCAGGTCCTTCGTCCACCTCGGGCCCCATTTCTAACGGCTCCGTCACCTCACAGGCACCGGCAAAGTCAACTGGGCCGATGACCTAGACGATCTCCCCACCACTCGTGAGTTGTTCACGGATGCGTTGAGGCCAAGCTTGTGAAGCTGATCGTCTGCTGTATCCAGCCATGTCACGGGAGGAGCGCGGTGCAACTCGTCGCGGATCTGACTGGCTTGCATCGCAGCCGGACCGTTCCGAGCGTGACCGCATGTCTGGCGGCGGTATGGGCGGCGGCTTTGGTGGAGGAGGATACGACCGTGGACCTCCTCGCGAGGAGCTGCCTCTGCCGGACAAGCCTCCCTACACTGCCTTCATCGGCAACCTGGCTTTCGATCTTCAGGATGCTGATGTCGCCGAGTTTTTTGCTCCCAGCAAGGTGAGCTCTCTTGGTTTTTCAAAGGGTCAAACTTGTGAATTTCTGCTGACTTTGAGAGTACGATTATCCAGCTGATTAGCATTCGCATCGTCTCTGGCCAAGATGGCCGCCCCAAGGGATTTGGCTATGTTGAGTTCGAGACCCTCGATGGCCTCAAGGACGCGCTTTCCAAGAATGGCGCCCCTCTTGTCAACAGGACCGTTCGCGTCGGTGTCGCAGAGCCCCGTGAGTCGTCCTACTTCGACCGAGCTTTTGGCGCAAACTAATTAGCCCGCATCTTTCTACAGCCAAAGGAGGATCCGGTTTTGGACCCAGTGTCGCAGAGGAAGCTTCGCAGTGGAGGCGCGCCGGCCCCCTTCCCTCGAGCGATGGCCCCTCTCGAGGACCTCCTCGAGGAAGCGACCGGCCCGGCTTTGGGCGAGAATCCTCAATCGGCGGAGGCAGCAGCGGGTTCGACTCGATGGAGATCGGTGCCGGCGGACGAAGTGGCTTTGGCTCTCGCTTCACGCCTTCAACGCCAGCTCGCGATCCGATGCGCGCTCCTCGCACCCCACTGGCCGGCGCGCCCGCCGAATCGCTTGAGCCTAGCGCTGGCGACACGGCATCGGACTGGAGGACGGGCAAGCCAAAGGAGCCGGTCGCCTCTCCTACGGCGCGCCGCCCGTCGACCGAGGGAGCGCGTGCCCCCTCGTTCAGAAGAAACGATGCCACTGAAGTCGACGAGCGCTTCGCCAACCAGGAACGGCTGGGATTTGGATCCAAGTTTGTGCCTACGCCTCCCGAGAGCCCGGCAGGTCCAGGCGCCAAGCGCCCTGGCTTCGGAGCAGACCGAAGAGGAAGCAATGCGCCAGGTCCGAGCGCCGCCGCTCCAGGCCCAGGTGACGAGGCTGACAACTGGCGATCAGCTGGCCGACGGCCCAGCGGGAACCAAGTCAACAAGCGCGGAATGAGCAATGATCGCTTCCCTAGCCCTGCTGGACAAGGTTCGGGTTCGCCCTCAAACACCACCGCGGCCCCACCTGCTGAGCGCAAGAAGCTGGATCTCAAGCCGCGCTCGACGCCTACAGGCGATGCCCACGCCAGCGCCGACGCCCCTAAGTCGCCGGAGCCCGGTAGTGGCAAGTCGAATCCATTCGGCGCGGCCAGGCCCATCGACCAGTCTGAACGCGAGCGCGAGATTGAACTGAGAATGGCGCAGCGAGAGAAGGAGCGAAAGGAAGAGGAGCGAATTCGCCGAGAAAAGAGCAAGTCAGAAAAGGATCAGGCCCTTTCCAAGGCGCCCACTGGCCCTCGAGCTGACCGAGAACGCGGAGGCAGCCGACAACGGAAGCAGGGCGAAGGTTCGGAGCGGGGAGGAAGTGAGGCTTCGGCCTCTCAGGCCGCTGGTACGGAATCGCCTGCGGCTGCTGACTCCCCCAGCGCCGCCCCTGCTTCGGTCGCGTCTGTGAAGAAGGATCCCCCACCCACCGGCGCCTGGGGCGGAGGTCGGAAGCCCAGCGGTGCTCTTGTTTCCGGACAAGCCTCTCCCGCTGCGACAGGTTCCCTGACACCTGTGAATGGCAATGGGAACGGAACCGAGACTGGCTCTACTACGCCTGCATCGGGCGCAGGCGCGGAGGACAAGCAGGTCGAAGAGGTGACAAAGGGCGTCGAAGCTGCTGCTGTCTAGTTGCTTCGAAGCCTTAATTTTGGGCTAATGCACACCCAAAACTCAAAAGGGGGAGCGACGACATATAAGGACCTTAGCTTGTAGCCTAGCTCATCCCACTCTCCCCATTCAATGGTCATTTTACAGCTCTACTATTACTCCCAGTCTTTCCAGTCCCGATCAGCTTCTTAACTTGTAGATCTCTAGACCACCGGCCTCAGCAAGTGCGACAGTCAGGTCCACTTCTAGGTCACGACTATTACCCTCTATTACTACTCACGCCCTTGCCAATATAGCCTAGGTTCATCGCCTGGGTTCGTTCAGAAACAATCGGGGAAGAGCCTTATTTTATTTAATTTTCAGTGCCTGACCGTGGAGCGCGCCATATCGACAAATTCGCCCTTATGCCCTTGCATATGGCTCGACTGACGGACAGGAGCTACCTGACCTATTGCGCCCGTCCACAGCATACGTCGGGATCGACGATGTTATTCGTTAAGGGTTACAAGATGTAAGATGACGGGGCCGGTTCTAATATTATCGATGACTTGCCTTTTGAGGAGAAGACTGCTAGGCTATCTGTGCCTGTTTCGTCGGCTTGTTTTCTACAATGCATCTGCCGTTTAGACAGTTGGAAACGGCGCCTTGGCGGCCGAACCTCTGAAAAAGCGACGTCCTGAATGATTGTCTCCCTTGAACGCAGACCTCCATCTTGGGCTCTCTATCCTCATCACACGGTCCGAAGAGCTCTCCGCTATGCAGTCGTCACAGGTTGACCGACGACAGCGCCGCTTCCTGACTCTGGTCTTCGTACCACTCGCGTTTTCTCTGTTCCTCTACCTCTCGATGTCCGGATCGACCAGCCGCGCCGACGAGGGTGCTATGCTGCTGCACAAACGGTCGCATCTTGCAAGCAGCCACGTACGCTCTAACTCCATGATCATGCGCAGCGCCAGGCTTAGATCACCCTCATCGCGGGGGCCATTGGCATTGCCGAGGGACGGGTTCCTGGAGACAATGGCAGACGCTGTCACAGGTGGAGGCGGAGATACAACGGCGGCACAGGCTGGCGTCACCAATCCACTCGGCCGTGAGTTGTTGACCGGCTTTCCTGAGGAAAATTTGAAGAGCGCGCTGATTCCCTGGCCCGCTCGAAAAGGTGGACAAGATCCAAATCCTTTTTCGAGAGAAGAAGACGGCGTCCGTACCTACTATTGTGAGTGCGACAAAGATAATTGCCGACGTGAAAGAGCTCATGGTTCCATCTCTTTACCGTCTTGAAAGTTCCCACCATCGACTTTGTGAGTATCAACCACACCAGACGGTCTATCTTTTGTCTCTTCGGCTGATGAGCGCACCAAATTGTTCGACCAGGGTACCGGCGTGTACATGCAGACGTCGACCGATCTCAACACTGTTCTGTCGGTTCCAACAAACGAGAAAAAGATCTTTACGTGGGTCTGGTCCTTTCGACGCTTCGACGCGCTGAGGTAAAACTGACGGTCTTCATTTCAGGTACGACAAGGAAGTCGGCACGGAGGCGCCTGCTTACTTCCGATGGGACGATGATAACAACCTCCTCGTCATCAGCTCAGTGGGACCGCAGGGAAATGGATTACTTAGGATGTTACACAGCACCAGCCAAGATCTCTTGACGGGATGGGAGGATCTCGGGCCCGTCAAGGACGGCAGTGGGAACAAGCTTGTCAATTACGACGGCTTCATCTTTCAGCATCCTAACGGGAAGCGCTATCTGTAGGTTGTAGACACCTGAATGGCAGTGCCGTCCAGTCACTGACAATCTCCTAACACCAGCTTGTATTCGGCCTTGAAGTCCATCCTGTACGTCTTTCACGAGTCTTTCTTTTCAGGGTCCAAAGCTGAACTCCCTTATCAGTATCACCGAGCTCACCTCGTTCAACACCGTCGGAAAGAGTCTGACGATCGTCACTGGAAATGGTCAAGTCATCGAGGCACCGGCTGCTTTTATCTCTGGCGACACGCTGAACTTGCTCTGGAGCGAGAATGGCTGTAGGTACAGCAGTACAATCTTACCTATCGCCTTGCTGTTGGGAGCTGATCATTGCGAAAGTCGCCACGCCCGATTACAACACCCGAAGAAGGGCAGTCTCGACACATTCAGATCCGATGGACCGTGAGTGTCCGTTTCCTGATCTCTGATATCGCTAGCCTGACGAGCGTGCCTATCACTGCAGCAAGCACTTGGCGCTTTGCGGACTCCAAGACAATTTTGCAGTCGGGCAATGTGAGTCAGGAGTGAAAGACCCAAGGCGAAGAGATTGTGGCTTGTTCATTCTGAGGGACGTGAACCGTAGGGAGTCTACGGTACAGGTTCAGTCGGCGTCTTTACCGGCCCAGACGGGTAAGTTCTATGTTTGCTCGACTTGCGCAAAGGTCTGAGGCTGATTAAATGCCTCTTGAAGACAACCATGGCTTGCCTATACCTGCTTCTATGACCCCAACGGCTTTCCTCAGTCGATCAATGTGAGTCTACACCTAGCTTTCCTGCTCACTTTTGCCCATTATCTGAATTTTCCTTCCTCGCAGCCTCGCAGAGTCCAGTACGTTTTCACTCCACCGTTCCCGCTGTTTTCGAGATGCTCACTTCTGCTTTTTATCAGGGCTCAACCTCTGGTGATTGAAAACGACGTCATTCAATCGATGGAACCAGACGCACCAACAGGGCCTACGGGAACAACCTGAATGGACCCCCATCATCCCGCTGCGAAATCTCTCACTGCTCCCCTTGTAACGCTTTCATTCATCCGTTCGCAGAAGAAGAGGGTCCCCTTTTTTAAGCCTTGCGATAGTAGAATATACCCTTTTCCGACGGGCCGGACCCTTTGCTTAGAATAGATCGGATGGCGAACCTCACCGCGCTCTTCCTAAGCATCTACAAGACTGATTAATTTTTTTCCGGCGGGAGCGTCGTCTACGTGCCAGAAAAGCGAACTGAGCAGGCCCAATATAGTAAACGGGAAAGTGGAATCTGGTCGACCGCAGCAGCCACCTCTTCGCCTTTTGGTCTTGGCGTTCGGTCGCAAAATCGTATCTAGAGCCCCTGAGTCCGAGGCCCCGAGAAATTATGAAAAAAGAGACCCTCTTCATCGCCGGGAGCGGTAGTCCACATTCCAAGATAAGCCTTCAGCTCTCTAGCGTAATTTGAATCTTCTCGTTGACAGTAAAGACGTGGATGGATCGTTCTGAGATCGGAAAGTGATGCGGGGGCATATTGACCTAGTGCATAAGTTGTGGAGGGGACCCATTGGGAAATTGTATCGGATGACGCTAGACAGATTCTAGCGCTTGCCTCCTCATGCGGCGACTTTCATTTCTTCTGAGAAGACACCATGAACAGAGGGGCCCTCAAGACGCCGCCAGACCCGAAGCCTTTTGATGGCGACAAGATGACCTTATCTCTCGAGGTTGATTGGTTAATTTGTCTGCTTATCTCAAGGGTAAGGATGATCGCAGGATTAACGAAACGTAATTTGCGAGAGAAAGGCTCTAATTCTGCCTGATCCCCATCGCTAGAGAGTTCCTTTTGTTCCTGCCCACTTACACCGTCGCTCCTGCTCCATCGACCGAATCCGTCCCCGAAGACACATCGATCTGGCCTCGTCGATTTGCTGCACCAGCCTGTGAATGTGTATGCATTGATGCGTGCGTGTGACCTTTGCCATGTTGACAGGCAAAGGAGGACAGCAGGCAAGCAGAGAAGAGAACCGATGCACACCTTCCTCATGAGCTGTCTTCCCAAGCGTCACATCCAAGCCCGCATGCGATGGGTCCTTTTTTCCGTCTCGATGCTTCGGTCATTCCCATCGATTAGCACTAACGAGAGATAAGGATGGAAAGTCTGCGCTTCGGAGACATTGTTTTGACCTTGGCAAAACACAGGACCCAGAAGCCGTACTTGCTCTATAAAGACAGGCCTTCCTTGCCCCATCTCCTAATTTTCTCTCCTCATCACCTCATTTCCTCCCCCTCTCATCTTCTCACTTCCCTCTTCCCCTCACCAAAAAAACCTTCCTCAAGATGCGTTTCTCCACCGTCCTCCTCTTCACTGCCCTCGCCGGCATGGCTGCTGCCGCTCCCCTCCAGTCGCGCTCCGCCGTGACGCAGATCGGCGACGCCGTCAAGGACTTTGACGACGCAGCCGGCGTCACCGACCTCGAGGACAGCCTCGACAAGGACTTCCACGGCCACATCACCGAGACTGAGGACGCCCTTGGCCTGACCAAGGCTGAGGAGACCCTCCACCTCGAGAGGCGAGCCCAGGATGGTGTCGTCCAGGACCTTGGTGCCGACGTCAAGGAGATCGAGGACGCTACGGGAATCACGGCCGTTGACGATGCCCTCGACAAGGCCTCGGACGGTGCCCTCACGGACGCTGAGGATGAGATCGGGTAAGTGTAGTGCTCCATATTGTCATCGTCTGCGATTTTTCCCGTTTGCTGACAACATCATGTCTGCAGCGTCACCGACGTTGAGAAGGCCATCAACGCCTACTAAACGTCTGCCTTACTTTCTCATCCGTCATCTCCGTCTCCCCGCCCTGCACCCAACTCTATACCTCTTCTCCCAACCCCTCTCATAGGTAGCTGACGACTCGGTCGACGAGAGCCATTTCCCCTTAGACTTTTTTTTCCCTTGGCTTTCTCTCAGTCGTCACCCTTCACTCTGCACACTCATTGTTCGCCTTTCTTCCCGATAATGGCACACATTTCTCATAACTCTACTCTTTGTGTGATGGCGTGAACAGTTCAGGGCAAGAGCAACTGTTGATGCTCAGTCAAGACGATTGATCTCTTATTGAACAAGCGTGTAACGGAATACATTGAGTATAAACATCACCGTGACAGGGAGGAGTAATGTAAAAGAAGAGAGTAAAAAAGAGAGGAAAACAAGTGGACGATCACCTGCGCACCGTATGAAAACTGTCCAAACACCTCGCCCAGCTCTCGAGCTCCTGCTCCGAAGGAGCTTGCAAAAAGTACGAGTTGGCCGTCGTGTAGAGAGCCATAACGAATTTGCGATTGAGGAGCTGTTCGACGTTCTGGTCGTTGGTTTCCACTCGCACTGACGACAGGTTCATGGCCATGATCTCGTCGAGCTCCGAGCTGGACTCATAGACGTAGAGGTACGGCCGCCGAAGAACAAACCATCTTCGAACCCAGCGGTCGGTAAAGGCCTCGAGCGGCATGGCCAACCAGCCTCGTTTCGCCGCAGTATCGGTCCGAGGCACCAGGCTCACCTGAGCTGTGAGCTTTGGCGGTGGCACAAGATCGGACGAGCTTTTCCCCTTGGTCGGCTCAGAGCTCGACGGCGGTGCAAGAAGCTGGTTGCCATTCTGCTCGCTCAAAGCCTCCCCTTCCCCTTCTTCGTTGGGCTCCATCTCCTTGCTCAGGACAGAGGGCACCTTTGTGTCTTCGTAGGCTGCTTGCCAGAATGCCAACGCTCTCTCGACGACTCTCGAGTCTTCTCTCAACCCACTGCCATTCTTGCTGGGAGAAGGCGCACTAATTGAGAGTGGCGGCCTGGCTTGGAGGAGGGCTCTAACGCCTTCGACCTCTGCCCTCCTCTTCTCCCTCCTCAGAAGCTTTGCGTGGTCATGCACCAAGCTCACGCCCCTCGGTCTCCACGAGCCCCTCAACGACTCTTCTCCACGGACGTACTTGGCCGCCGTGTCGAGCCTCCAAAGCTCCCGCGTCGTTTTTGTCATGGGAGGGACCAATCGGACGGCAAAGATTGCGCTCGTCTTACTCAATGTCCGACTACCGCTGGCGGCCGATTCGATGAAGCTCATGAGTTTGCCAGGCGGTTTGGCGTCTCTTCCGTTGATGGCTACGGCAATGTCCATCTCGAAATGGGCTGGCTCGCTGCAGCTGTCGACGTCGATCCAGAATCCGAGCCGAAGCAGGACTCGGTGTCCGCTGGCAGTGGCGCGATTGAGAAAGATGGAGTCGTGCACGCTGCTGTCCCACCAGGCCCACAGCGTCAGCTGGCTGGTGCCATTGGCATTGTAGGAGACCGATTGCTGCTTGCTTGGCACCTTGAGCTGCACAGCATCGCCCAGCGTGGAGACGTGGATCTTGCCCTTTGGATCCAAAAGGCGCACCTGACCCAGCTCCAGCTTCGACACTCTTGTCCAAGGAAACTGTCGCCCCGAGTCATGAGAGAGGTGAAGGACAAGCTTGCGCTGCAGGCCCTGCCTCAAAAAGAAGGCGCCCGGGTCGAGGGCCGACTGGGCTCGCACAGCAACAGGCTTATAGTCGCCTGAAGCATCTAGCTCGCAAAGCTGGACTGACGACAAAACGTCGTGTCGCTCTTCATTGACCATTTCCTTCTCTGAAAGCCGCCCCGCGGAGCTCGACTTGACGTGCAGCGTCGGTCTAGGCTGTCCGTTACCATTGCTCGCGCCCGTACTCGCTGGTGATTTGGCCATTGATCGGTGCGCCTCCTTGTCTGCATCGAACCTTTCCAAGCCGATCAGGTACTTGTCCTTGACCTTTGCATGAAACTCGACGGGTGCAAAGCCCGACCTGAGATGGGCAATGATGTCTCTCGTCAGGACAAAAGTGATTGTCCGCCTCATCTTGACATCTACGAGCTTGCTGCTTCCTGCCTTTGTCTCTGCCGGCACCGACGCATAGACGTCGTCCTTCGCGATCGAGGAGCCCGCGAGAGTACTGAGACGCACTTGGATGTGCACCCGTTCGTATTCATCAGCTGACAAGCCCTCGACCAAATCGACCGAGAGCTGGAAACCAATCTTGTGGCCAACTGGCAGGTCGCTTACGTCATTGGCAGAACTCTGTGACAAGGCCGGCGAAGAGGCACCGCTGACTTGGCTCGCACCCCGTCCATTGACGCCCAGAGTGGCTCGAGCCAGACTGACAAATTTGACCTCGACGCTGCAGCTGCCAATTTCCTGACCTGTATGTCGCGATGTAATTGGAAGCCGATACTTTGCCGAGACTTGGTGAGACAGTGGGCAGAGAGGGATCAGGCAATTGCCTACAAATGTGTAGGGAGGCGACGGATCCTCGTAGAAGGGGTCGGCCCAATTGAAGTGCTGCGAGTACTCGGGCCGGTCGATGAAGTTGTAGAGGTTGCGCATCTTTTGCAGCCTCTGTTCCAGTTTGGCCAGGGACCAGACGTAAGCAGTGCTGTGCAAGTGGTCCATGACCTTGACGCCAATGCATGGTTTCGGCGCACTTGCCAGCTCGGCATCGGCCACATCGTCAAACTCTGTCAGGCCTGCGATGGCCTCTACTGAAGAAGTCGGGTTGGCAAGCGGACCGTCGTCGACGACAGTAAATTGGTAGCTTGTCTGCTTGCCCAGGTCTTTACTGATGACATTAGCCTCCTTGACCAACACGGCATTCGAAAGGACGTCTTCTGCCATCGACACCTTCGTATGTCTCCTCCAATTCTCCAGCGCCTTGGCTAGCAAGCGCTTCTCCTCGTCCGAATAATTTGCTGGTAGGTCCAGTCGGTTCACATCCCGATTGTTTGCCAGCTTCGTGAAGCGCTCCTCGTACTCCTTGACCTTTAGCTTGAGATCGAGCGTCTCTTGGTTGATCACTTCTGGGTCCGGTGTGCCGATGGTAGAGCCACCGTCATCTCTCATGAGACCACCGTTGAGCCGCGGAGAGCCTCTCTCGCTCAGGACATTCAACGACCATGGGTCTATACTTGTATCGTCGGTATATGCGCTCATCGAGTATGGCCGCAGCAGCTCCGAGCTCGCCGTCTCGCTACCATTGTCGTCAAAGGAGCTGAGACGGCTATCCGGACGCCAGTTGGCCCCAACCTTCTTTGATCTCGCCCTGGCAATGTCCTCGTACAGCTTTTCGAGATCGTCCTCGTTTAAAGCGTCAAAGTTGACGTCCTGCCCATTGAGACGTGCCATGGCAGCTTCTCGTCGAGCATAGGACCAGTCGACATCGCCCTCGTTGGTATCGGAGCCACTTGGCGAATCGGGTCTCGACGACTCGTCTCCAACGACGGTCTCATCACCCATAGTGGAAGCCATGCGGACCTTGTCGCGGGCCCTGCGCACCTCTTCGGGATGATTGAACCTAAAGACATGTCGAAAGTCCTCTCCAAGGATGATTCGGTAGCCCGATCGGAGCCGCTTTGGTTCATCAGGCGAGATCTTTTTGCCATTGACCATCGTCATGCTGTCGGCCTTGTTGGCATGTAGAGTGACGACGCCATCGACATTTTCAAACGTGCAGTGTTCCGGCAATATGGTGCTCCCGCTAAGGAGAATGCGAGCAGCAGCACCGCCATCTGCGCCTTCTCCTTCGAAGTTGCCCGCAGTAGTAGTGCCGGGCTTGAGCTGGTAGATGAGGCACTCGGACATGAGCGGATCCTCGTTGAGATTGACGAGATGGGGCAATCGTCTTGGGGCGTGCACGCCCACGTTTGCCTTGTCGACGGAAATGCCCAATTCTTCGAGGGCCTTTTCTCTCTCCTGCTGGATCGCCCGTGTCTGGGCGACCTTTTCCTCCCAGCTCTGGTTGAGGCTGCTCATCAGCTTCTCGCTCTGCTCCATTTGCTCCTGCAGCTCGGCCTTTGTCACAGTCCGAACTTCGCCGCTCTTGGTCTGGTAGCGTACCACCTGCTTTTCCGGGGGCACGTTTGGATCCCATGTGCTCTCGCCCTCGCCACCCATGCCTCCTCCACCAGAGACCCGCGTGCGAAGCATCTCGAGCTCCTCCTTGAGCTCGCGAATGAGCCTTGCATTGGGATCCTCGTTGACCACCGCCTTGTTCTTGATCTTCTTGGCCTGGTCTGCGTATCGGAGCGTACTCAACGTCTCCTCGTAGTCGGCTGGCGAGATGGCGGCAATCATGGCCGTTTTAGAATTACCACCGAGGCTGTCCTTGAGCAGCCACGTCAGGACAGAGTCTCGATACGGGACGAAGTTCTCCAGCGCTGCCTTCTTCTTCGTCTTAGACGGCTCAGAGGAAGCCTGTGCCAAGGCCGCAATGACCTTTCCCAACGTAGTCAGGGATCGGTTGATGTTGGCTCCTTCTTTGAGCCTCGATCCGGTAGCGCCCGTAGAGTTGGCCCTTTCCGAACCTGCCAAGTCGACCAGGCTGATCCGCGACACCTTTTCCGCCTCGAGCTTCGTCTCCTCGTCCTTCTTTTTCTGCGTCACCACCAAGGTAAAGACAGCGTGGGATCGTGATGACGTCTCGTTCATGTTGGTAGCTGCGACTGTCCTTGCCTTGTTGCCCTCGTCCATGAGATGCTCAATGTCATTGAAGTCCTTGACAACAAGCTTGCTGAGGTCCTCGACGTATGGGCCCAGACTTGGGTGCTCACGTACGCGAAGATTGCCCTTATTCTTTGGATTGAGGAGATCGCGGACCTTTTCATTGTAGATCTCAATGTAGGAGACCTCGACGGTGATGCGAAGATTTGGGTCGGCGTCCATCTTTTCAGACGCATCATCGAAGAGCTTGGAGCAGGTGAGGGGAATGAGGCCCTTTGCCTCTGCGTAGCCCACCATGCTGTGCGATTTCCCAGAGCCCGTCTGTCCGCTGTTGGTGCACTCAACCTCATCAGCATTGTCCCTCAGAGAAGATGAGGTGCTCGACTTACTAGGCAAAGACACACTAGCATGGAGAACAGGAACAGATCATTAGCACCTCAATGCGGGCTTTGCTCTATCTCTGTCCTTTTCTCATTCTTCCCCCACTCACCGTGTTGAACCCGTTGAAGCTGTGCTCAAGGAGCTCCAAGCCGACATACTCAAACAACTCCCTTTGCTCCGTATTTTCGTCGTAAGAACGATCAAAGGAAAAGGGCATCGACTTCTTTTTCGTTGCCCTTGCATTCTCTCTCGAGTCGCCCTCTTGCGGCGGCTGCAGCACGAGCTGATGCTCATCCTTGACCTCGATCAAATTTGACGCACCCCTCGTCCTCTCTGTGGCCACAATGTTCCCGCTCAGCTCATGCATACGAAAGCCCGTCGAGGAGCTGCTCACCTCTCGTGTTCATGGGCCTGCATCGGACCACGACCTTAATATTCCCTGAGTCTGACATCGTGCGCGGCGTCTAAGTGCAGTCTCGTTGAGGGATTGCGGGTATTGATTGATGGTATAGTCTTAGTCGGAGACTGTTCCGAGCGTGAGAGCGAGAAGGGTGCGATGGGGTATATGGTCGTCTCTTCACAGTCTCGTACGCCTCTCGGCGTGAATACGCACCGCCTGCCCCTAGTCTCTCTCGGTGCTTTCCCTTTGTATATCGTCGCCAGAGCGACCTCACCTCAGCTACGAGTGCGAGGCTAGTGAGGTCGACGAGAACGACGAGATGATATGTAGAGAGAGAGGGACGGGCGGGATGAGCAGACTCCGGGCTGTGAGAAATGGCAGAGGGCGAGGAACTGCGAATGCGAGGGGGACTGGCCGTCCGTGTTGGTTCCAGGCGTGGCTTTCATGGGCAAGTGCCTAAATTCGTTGCCCAATTTCCCACGTGGCGCATCCGACCGAGCCTTAATCAGAGGTCTGTTCTTCTCACCTTGTCGGAGCGAGGTTTGTCGGGTCTTTGTTCCTCAAGCTTAACGGCGTCAAAGGCGGGGTCGACATGCTCTCGGCGACGAAGAGGAGTGCGCGGACCTGCATCAGGGTTGCAGGTCAGAGGAGGTCGGTGGCCACCAAGGTGAGGGTGCAGATGCAACAACGTAGAGCGCAGGCTCATTTTTCTTGTTAGGTCCATGAGGGTGGGGGACCGACGCTGCTGTCGAGGCGCTTCGTCCCTACTTCGAAGGCCGACTCTCTGTCCGGGCAAGCGCAAGAACTTGAGAGCCTCAAGCTTCTACTGAGGGGAGGCTACATCCGACAGTCATCATCGGGCATTTTCACACTGCTACCTAACGGCCTCCGACTGGCGAGAAAGGTCGAGGCCATCGTTGCAGAGGAGATGGAGAGGGTCAGTAAGGCAGAGAGCCAAGAAACGAAACATGATGCTAACGAAGGTACATCTTCAGATCGGGGCCTCACAGTTGGAGATGCCGATGCTGCTGAGCTCTTCGCTCTGGCACAAGAGCGGCCGCTTCGAAACGATGGGCAGTGAATTGTACAAGCTCACAGATCGCAGAGGCTCACAATTCGTCCTCGCTCCCACTTTTGAGGAGGAGGTGACGAACATGGTCGGAGATGAGGTGCACAGCTGGCGACAGCTTCCCGTGCGCCTATACCAAGTGACACGTAAGCATCGTGACGAACCTCGACCACGAAACGGCCTCCTTAGGACGCGCGAATTCGTCATGAAGGATCTATACACCTTTGATGCGAGTTTGGACGAAGCCAGAGAGACGTATGAGCTCGTGCGAGGTGCCTACGGGCGCATAATGACGAGACTCTTTGGCGAGCAAGGATCAGGGTGGCGTGTGGCTCAGGCAGATACAGGCGCCATGGGCGGGCAGCAGTCGCACGAGTACCACGTCGAGGACGACGCGGGTGAAGATACGCTCCTGTCGTGTGGTAGCTGCAGCTACACGGCTAACAGCGAGCTGGCTGCATCGCTTCCTTCGCGCAAAGGTGCACCACTGGAGACCGACGACGTCCAGGTGGACCTCTTTGGCTCCACCGACAGACTCGCTCACGGCTGCACCCTCGTCGCTTTTGTCAGTCCGCGGAAACGAAGAGCCAACGCAGTCAAGCTGGCGCGTCATCTCCCTGCTGGTGAAGGCCCTGTAGGAACGCTGAGACAGGGCGGGGCCGAGGTGGAGTGGGACTGGAAGGATCGGCCAGAGGGACCCATGGTTCGCTTCGACAAGCTTCGCGTCATCGTCGACTACGAGTGCGCCGGCGTCGAGATGCAGGAGCTGGACGAGGCTGTGCTTGCCGCAGTGGAGCGCTATGCCTCCGATCCGACTCTCTCGGGGCCTTCTTCGGGCCCACAGCTAAGCGATTACTTTCCCTCGCAGCTTCCAGTGGACAATGAGTTTACACCGCTGCCGTTGGAGCTACAAGACCTGAGAGAGGCCGAAGCAGGCGATGAATGCGCTGCATGTCGATCAGGAAAGCTTCGGTCGAGCAAGGCAATCGAGGTGGGCCATACTTTTCTCTTGGGCACAAAGTATTCCGAATCTCTCGATGTTGGCTTCGTCCCCAAGTCAGAAGCGCCTAGTGGGAGAAAGCCTTTTGAGATGGGCTGCTACGGCATCGGCATCACGAGAATCATCGGCGTCCTTGCTCAGCGTGCGCGCACCGCGACTTCACTCCTTGCTTGGCCCCATGCGGTCGCGCCCTTCTCCGCTTTGATTCTTTCGACGGCTGGAGGAGAGCCTGAAGGCAAAGCTGCGGCGTCGGCAACGCTTCTCTCGATTCTCAACAGCAGGGGCGGACCCAGTCGCCTCTTCTCCGATCTGGCTGCCTCCTCGGACGAGAGTCTGGGTCAAGGCACGAAGGACTTTCTTGGGCCTGATGTCCGCATCGACGCTAAGGATATCGCCTTCGACGATCGGGCAGGGATGTCGGTCGGCGTGCGACTGGCCGAGGCTGACCTCGTCGGGTATCCCCTCGTCCTTATCCTCGGTAACCACTTTGATCGCGACGCAAATGTCGAGGCTCGCCTTCGTCTCTTCTCGCCCGACGGTCAGGCTCGAGTCGAGAAGAGGTTGATCCCCTTCCGAGAGATCACATCCATTGTAAATTAGTAGTAGCATGACCACCACCTCACACACAAGCAACACCTTTTCGGTTTCACCTTCTGCCTCTGCCTCCCACTGAAAGCATTGTGTCATCTTACTTGCATTCCCTTTCTTTTGATTGCTTCTTTTTCTGATTGCAGATACTAACGTGAAGATGGTACTGTACTGTACAATGATGACCGACGACTTCTACTCGTCAAGGAACCTGACGGCTCTCTTTGACTTTTTCCGGATCTCTGGACCCCATCTCAGCAGCACAAAGGGAAAGACGGCGAGGACGAGCGCAATGGCTGCCAGGACAGAGGAGGCAACGGGCGGCGTGAGGCCGCGGTACATCTGATCGGTAAAGAGGGGAAAGCAGCCGGCAGTGATGGTGCGGATGAGCGTCTGCGAAGCCAGCGCAGACGACGCATACTCCTCGTAGGCGTCGGAGAGGTAGGCAAACGAGGCGTAATGGATTGGGTAGACGGCTGCCACCACAAAGGACAGACCGATGACGGAGACGGCCGGGTGGATCGACGTGCGGCCCGACCAGGCGTACCACAGGCAGGCGACGGAAAAGACGAGGCCCGCGACGGCGCTCCAGTAGAGCCGCGCCTCGGGCGGAACGGTGCGGCCGGCATGTCTCTGTGCAGCGCGTTGGTAGAGGTGCTCCTGGTGCAGGCTGGCGAGGAAGCCAATCCCGGCGCCGGCAACGTAGGCCAAGAGCACGGCTGAAGAAGCCAGGTTCGACCATCCGTAGCCGTACTCGAATGACGGTGGATAGCCTGCCGTCTGGGTAGGCGGCGACGAGTAGACGATGCCGGCCGATTCGACGATGAGATAGATGCAGCCAAAGGTGAAGCCGATCCAGATGGAAAAGCACGTCACGATGGGCTCGGCCACGAGGTAGAGTGACGGTCGAGAGAGACTGGTGAGTGTCTCGACGTACCAAGCTTTCATTACTTCGGGCTTGTCGAGAGGGTCCTTCTCTGCGTGTGCCGCTGCTTTCCGCCTCTGACGCCTGGCGTAGAGCGTCGAGGACCTCGTCTCCTTGCCAAAGACGAGCAAGCCCACGGCGGTGAAGCTGGCCACAATCATGCCCAGCCACGCCTGCCACCTCCAGCCGATGGGCAAAACAGCAGCGCTAATCACGGGTCCGATGCCTGTGCCGACGTAGCCGATGGCAACGTAGACGCTGAGGATGGTGCCGCGCTGCGATGGTGGAAACATATCGGCAAGCGAACCGCCAATATTGGCCTCGACGACGGAGCCTGCGCACCCCTGGATGAACCTCGTGACGATCCACGTCTCTGCATTGTGCGCCAGTGCCTGGGGAAGGTAAAAGAGGGCGAACATGGCACCGCTGATACTGTAGATGACAACCCGGCCTCTTGACTCTGACAGGGGAGCCAGGACGAGGGGCGCAATGCCCTGGGCGATAAAGTAGAGGGCGTTTCCCACAAGTAGAACCTGTCTTGTTGTCTTGAGATCAGCTGCGGCGGCCGAGGCGACGGGTGCGAAACCAGCACCATTCATGTTGACGGCGACGGTGAACAGAAAGAGCCAGGCCGCCACTCTCCACTTGATCTGCTTGTCCCAGTTGAACGGCATTTCGGGGTCCTCGAGCCATGCGTCCTTTTCCCTCTCACTGTACAGGTACGGCATTTGCACAGCAATGCCGCCGTCGACATCTTGTCGATGCCCTTTTTTGGCGCTGTCTGGTGGAGTCTGCAGCTCTTCAAACGACGAGGATGCTGGCGACGCACCGGCAAGGGGCAGCGCCGAGCTGTTGGTTGGCGTTGACCCTGTTCCCAATGGCTCCATGGCTGGAAGCGTATCAGGGAAAGACATCACGTCGCTCTGTCTGCAAAGTCAAACATGCCAGCCTGGCGAGCGAGCGGGCGAGAGAGAGAGAGACAGAGACAGAGGGAGAGATAGCGAAGGTGAGAAGAGAAGAGAATAGGTGCGGGAAACACAATGGCCGTGGATTCCTCCCTCTAAAAATAATTAACAGACACTGGGCAGGAGTGGCTTCTATCTGTGCTAATTTGACATCATCCAAGGCAAAGAGTAAGTGCATTCGCCTTCGCAAGCGGCTGCAACACCGAGGGAAGCTAACCGCGCGCGCAGACCCAAAAAAAAAATCCGTCCACAGAGCTAGCTAGTCACCGCGCGCTCTAGAAGACGAGAAGGAAAACGAAAAGAGGCCAAATGAATTTGGGTCGACATCCGAAGAGCAAGCAACCCAAGCGACAGGGCTATTTTTATATTTATTGATAATTTTTTAATATCTTTTTCCTTTTCGGCCAGGGTGGAGATGACCCGTGATCCTATTTGGAAAGAAAAGCGTCGGCCAGTCCTTGGCCGCGCCCTCTCAAAACCTACAATGGAATGTTGGCCGGTGGGTGGCTTCGATAGTGATACGGCCTTCTGCTCCGGTTGCTGCAAATGCATGTTCGCCGCGCCGCGGGGAGCAAATGGTCTGATCTTGGGCAGCAGCAGATAGCGGCCATCAAAGTGAGACTCATGGTAGCGGCAAGCTGAACCTAATGGTAGATCGAGGTTGCGCGCTTGCCGCAAAGCAGAATGTACAGTACTTGCAGCTTTCCTACAGTTCGATCAATGGAGAGTCGTAACGACTATCGCCATTCGCCGAGCTAGGTTCCAGCGATCGGTTTTGGGGACAGAAGGAATGCTTACATGGGATTCCTTGTGACAAGTCAAGTACAACGAGGATCTCAAAAAGAAGGGGGATTCTGCTTAGTCCTGCGCGAGTCTAGCTGTTGGCCGGCGCGAATCGGTTCTTTGCGGCGTAGCCGACAAAGGTGTCCTGGGCGGCGTGCGTGCCCTTGAGGACAAGCCTGAGCATCCACGTTGGCAGGACCTGGACGAGCGGCTGAGCGATGTGGAGTGCTGCTGGGAGCATGACCGTCTGAGACCGGTCAGACTCGAGCGTGCTGACAATGGCCTGCGAGACATCGTCGACGGTGAGCGTGGGCAGCAGGAATTGATCCCTTGTCGGTGCCATACGACCGCGCGTCATCTCCGACTCGACCTGTGCGAATCCGTTAGTTTGCTACATTTCAAAGTGCAAGATAGGGAGAGAGGGAGAAACGCACCATGAGAGGACAGACGACGGAGTTGCGGACTTTGTTCGTCTTGTGCCAGACATCGAGCTCGAAGCCAAGCGTCTGGCTGAGCGAGTAGACGCCAGCCTTGGATGAATTGTAGGACGCATTTCCGGGCAGGGAAATGAATGCAGCGCCACTCGCAATCAGGAGAATGTGGCCGCCAAAGCCGTTTCGCGGGCGCTGGCCTTCGCGCCGGGCGGGCTTGAACTTGGCCGAGTCCTTGGGCGGGTTCGCGAGAATCGACTGGACCTCGACTTCCTCGTCGTAGTCGGCCAGCATGTCCTGGCTAAACACCTTGACAAAGTTGTAGGTGCCCGACAGGTTGATGTCGTGCAGCTTCGTGGCGTACGACGACGGAAAGAGGTGAGGTGGGTCGCAGACAAACGAGTGCCTCGCCAGCCCAGCGGCAGAGACAACCATGCTGTACAACGCCTATGATCAGCTTCTCATTCTTTGCTAGTGAAGAAAAGGGAATGAAAGAAAAGGGGAGACTCACGTCGGGAAGCCGAGCTCGCGAAGAACCAGCTGCCTGGCCTCTCGCAGGGCCTCTTCGTCGGTGACGTCGCACTTGACGTACAGGTCCTCCTTTCCCAGCGTCGACTTGTCCGCCATGTCGATTGCGACGACGCGGGCGCCACGCTGCTTGAGCTGGACGACGACGGCCTCGCCAATGCCCCGTGCGGCGCCGGTGACAACGACGACGTGCTTGCTCCACTCGATTTTGCGCGCATACAGAGCGCGGTCGACGATGAGGCGCGTCAGCGTGCGCTGGAGCACGCCGACGAGCGAGACGACGAGGTAGAGGCGGATCCAGCGCTGATCCTTGACCACGTCGTACAGTCCCTTGATGAGGGTGCGAAGGCGGTCGGTGAGGCGGGGCTCCACACGAGCATCCTGCAGCGCCGCATAGAGCTGGTCCGGCCGGGCGCGGTAGGCAAAGAGGAGCGCGACGAGCGGGGCGACGCGCGGGCTCAGCAGCGGCCACAGTGGGCGCAGGGCCGTGTCGATGTTGAAGTGTCCCTTGGGCATCCTTGTGTGGCTAGCAGACGGGGCCCCGCGAGATCGTCGTCGTCGTGGGTGGTGCGTGCGTGCGTGCGTGCGTGCGTGTGAGAGCCCTTTCTTCGGCTTAGCGGGACGCGTCCTGGCCCGGTGCGAGAGGGTCCCACAATCTGGATTTATATAGCTAGAACTGCTACGACACTGTAAATAGCAAGCTGCAAAGACACATAGCAAGGCTGGCAGGCAAGCGCAGCAACTTGAGACGCACAGAGATGACAAGGCAAGAATCGACATAGCATTCAGGCAACTAAGCTACGTAACTAGCAGCCGCTACTTGCGGTCCGCAGGCGGCGTCTGGTCGACAAAAGGCATGCTGAGCGCGGCAAAGGCCTTCTTTCTGCCTTCGTTGAGCATGCCAAGGAAGCCGGCATTGGCCGAGTCTGTCACCCTATTGTGGTCCCACTCCTCGACGTGCTTGAGAATTTTGCCGGAATTGTCGCGCTCAATGGTCAGGAGGCTGTTCATGGTCTTGAACGGCTTGGCCGATGGGTCCTTGTCACGGTAGTACGTCACGTCCTGATCGACGAGCATCGACCTGGACCGGTCGAGCGTCGAGCTGGCTGGCTGCTCCAGCACGTTGAACTTGTCAATCGTGGAGCGAGGAAAGAGGGCGGGGAGCGCGTTGAACTGCGCTCGAATCTTGTCCACGCCCTCGGCGATGCTGACGGGATCGTGGAAGACGGCATTTGTCGCGTAGACGGCGTAGCTGCTCTCCTTTGGCTCGCAGCTGTAGAGCTGGTTTGACGTTGGTGCGCAGGCAATTGGCCAGTCAGTCAAGGAGATCCTGTACCATTATGACAGGTGCCGCACTACTCACATCCTTGAGTGCGCCGACGATGGCCTGCTCCTCGGACGTGGGCTGGCGCGTGGCGAGCGACTTTGTCTCTTCGGGCGTCAGGCCGGACGCGTTTGCCTTGGACGACATGGCTCGAAGTGCGGGGGCTGGGTTGAGATGGGAGACGACGGCAGAAAGACGTTTCGCAGAGTTCATCAAATTTGGTGAGGTGGGCGTGAGGGGTAACTATGCTTCTTGAAGCCAGCCGGCAGGGTTAAGTAGTAGTGTAGGGTCACCTTTCTCCACCCTTCTCATGTCAGCTCAGCGCTTGTGGAGATAGACGGATCTTCGAAAAAGGAAGCAGACCCTGAGCTTAAAATTTAATGCATCTTGCCATGACGTACTGTACCTGAACGTGCTTTTCCCACTCCTTTCTCGAGGACATGGCGAGACTTACGTCGCCGCTGGTCATGAAGCTCGCAGCAGCTTTGACTGGAGATTGATGCACACGCGCGTGCGCATCGTAAAAAATGGACGGCGGAAGTGATTGAGGCGCAGCGCTCCGATTTGGAACCCCGAAGACGGGCGGGTTGGATGAAAAGGAGGCGGGCGGCGGGCGGGCCGTGCCTGCTTCGCACGACCCCCCGGTGCAATACGCCCAGCCCGACCGACGACTGGTGTCCCTTCTAAGCAGAGGGGTGGAAGCAAAGGGATGCGCTATCTCTCCAACTACCACGTCGGCGACAACGGCGACTGCACCGACGACGACGACGAGGGAAAGAGGACGAGGTCGAGGACGAGCATGGGGGAAGCACCTGCGTCTGTGCATCTCGTCGTCGTCTTGCGAGAGGAGACAGTGAGCGCCAAGACAAGGACGCCGCAGGTCCGCGTCGAGGAAGAGTATGTTTCAATCAAGAGCGATGAGGAGCTCAGCCCACCCTCGACGCCGGCGACAGCGACAGCAACAGCAGCAGCAGCAGCAGCAGCAGCAGCAGCAGCAGTGATGGTCAAGCCCATCGGCACGCCTGAGATCAGAAAGATGCTCGACTTCGATCGCATGATTGAGCGGTGCTCTTTTCCCAGCAGCCAAGACCAAGACGATGGCTTGGAGCCACAGACGGCGGACATCAGCGGGCTGAGGAAGATTGTCATGGGCAACGAAAGGGCCAAGATTGCAGAGCAGCGAGGGATGAGCAGCGTCAGCGACGGATACCACGCCCACATGCCCTGGGAAGCATCGGACGCGTGGAACCACGTCCTGGATCAAAGCGACCGCCAGGCATCCGAACGCATTTCTCGGTGCCGAGCTGCCTCTGTTACCGGTGCTCCCAGTGACGCGCCTCAGCAACGATCCAACAAGGCCAAGAAAACGGTTACCCCAACGACTACTCGTTGGCCGTGGACCCAGACGCACCTGCGGCAGGCGCCTCGAGGGCAACAGCAGGGTATAGGTGCGCGAGAAAGCAGCAGCGGCAGCAGCAGCGAGCTCGAGGAATTCCCATGCAGGCGGTCGTTGAGCGACTACGCGCGTTCCGCCGAGACGTCGCAGGAGAAACTGGCCGGGCCAGTAGTTGCGCCGATCATCAAGACGCTCAAAACGCCATTCAAGCGGTCATGCGAAGAGCTGCGAGACTATGTAGACGTTATGCGATCCGTGGCCCGAGACTCTTCGACATCGTCTCCACCCAGGCACAGTCTAAGTCAGAGCCAGAGCCAAATTTACATCAGCGCGCCACCACCGGCCGTGGTAAAATCGAGCGTGTGCAAGGTCTCGCAGACTCAACCGACAGTCACGCCTGGCGCTCAGCTTACGACGGCAAATCTACATGGCACCAACACAGCGGCCAGAACGGCAGAGTAGGTTCCTGGACGACTCTCCCCTCCCAAGAGTGCTTCTTGACACAATCCTCTCCTTGCAGCAGCTCTACGAGCAGCCCAACCAAGCCTGCATGGTCGAGAGACCGTGATGCCACCGGAGCAATTGACCTCACAAAGGCAAAGATGAGGGTGAGTCGTCGTCGCTCTTGGAGGCTTCAGCGTGCAGCTGACTTGTCTCTTCCACGTCTTGACAGCTCGACTATCCGACGGGTGAGTAGGAGAGCAGGAAAGGGCTACGAGGAAAGTGGCCTGTATGCTGACAGAAGGACGAAAGGCTATGAAGGCTTCAACGAGATCCTGCCACCGCCGCCTGAGCGGAAAAAGATGCGCAAAGAATCTATTCTTGGGCGCAAAAAGAGCACGGTCATTGACAAGGACGCATTGGGCGAGGAGAAGCTCGAGCAGCGACCGGTCAAGACGCTTCACTACTGGAGGCTCCACCCTCCACTCGACTACGACCCGGCAAAGGACCGTCTTGCGCAGTCCAGAGGTGCACTGCAGTATGGCCAAGCCGTCTTCAAAGTCAAGGTCGAAAAACCCAGCTGGACGACGATCAGCAAGCGCTACGAGAGCCCCATCAAAGTGTACGACGGCCAGACTGGGGTGGGTAGCTGTGCCGTGCTGCATCAGTCCTGCGCCAATGACTGACGAAGTGACCTCGATTCAGCAATGTCTTATGGTTTGTAAGCCGCACGGCAAGCGCCAGGGTTGGCTTAGCAAGGGCTCGGAATGGACAATCGAGAACCAGCAGACGCAGGCCCTTACCTTTTTCTCTGAATCGGGTGATACCGATGACTACTGCCTCCTCATGGAAGACGGCCAGAGCTGGAGGCCCTACGGTCCTGACCGCGACATTCGCATCCGTCACTGTGAGTCTTCTCGTTTCTCATCCTCCAGCACCATACTCTTCACTGGCCCTGGGATGGAAGTCCTCGTCAGGCGGCTAACGAAATAGACGCCTCGTCTCAGCCAACGCTTCGCGTTCCCGGAAAGCCCCCATTGTGATCCAGTACACGGCCGATGAAGGGAGATTCGGCACGCTGCGCCTGGGCCTGGTTGCGCCTGAGGCTCTCCTCAACATCTGGGACTACTACGGGCTCCCGGACGAGTATTCAGAATACCTCCAGCCCATCTCTAGAGAGAGCGTCTGCGACCAGGAGCATCCGGCGATGGCACCCTGCGAAGCTGGCGAGAGCACACTCATGCGAGCCGCCCATGCCGTCGCAATCTTCGAGGTTGTCAATGCGCTGAGAGATGAGTGCTCGCAGGGCGCAGGGAGGTCCAGGCGAGACGAGAGGGGAAGGCTCGACATCATGCCAAGGGAGGACTGATCTCGCTGGCCTAGCCATTAACAATCCCTTAGGACCACAATGGTGATGACAACAATCGTGACGATACTCTATCTTTCCAATAATCATCCATCCGTAATAATCACCACCTCATCATTACTTGCTTCAGAGAGTGTGTGTGTCTGACCCATGAGAATTTTGGTGGTTGCCCTTCGTAGAAAGACGTGAAAATCGTACAGAGGGAGAAAGGAAGGCCCATTTAGGTAAGGAGGGTAAGCCGGCTCGAGACCTCTGCCTGAGCGCGAACGACATTCGCGAGGTAAGACACCATGAGAACGTCCTGGAGGTGGCTGTTGAAGAGCGTCTCGAGCTGGCTGGCACCGCCGTCCTTTGTGTCTGCCACCGCATTTCCGATGGGGACCGTGGAGACGGCGTCCATGACGTAGCGGCCCACGACGGGATCGCCCCTTCTTTTCCCTTCGAGAACCTCGCGCACGTACTGGAGGACCCGTCGGAGCTGCGCCTGCACAGTCTGCAGCGACGCGGCCAAAGCATCCATGTCGTTCATGAGTACGCCAGGGCCCGTGCCGACGGTGCTACCCGTGGCGCCCGATGACGAGCCCGCAAGGAGCGAGAGGGATGGCCTCTCGGACGGCGCGGCCAGGAGCGTAACGGGAAGGGGGGTAAAGACGGCATTCTCGGCCTTTGGTGTGAGGCCGACGGGAGAGCTGACGTATGCCCTGACGCCCATGTCCTCCCGCACGTCCGTATCGACGGTCAGGTGGACGGCCTGGTGAGGTGCCGTCTCCCTCGAGTAGTAATCCTGGATAAGCGACGTGTACATGTTGAGGTTGGGTCCCGTCGCATACCATCCGACAATGACCTCCTCCGGGTTGACGCGTTGGTGAAGCTCGTACATCGTCCTGTGGTACTCCATGTCGACTTGTACCTGCTCCCTGGTCTCGTGATGCGGAACAGCAAAGCAGCTCCGGACCTCGACCTCGCCCTCGCTTCTTGTCCCCAGCAGTGTTCCAATCACCCTCTTCGAGGACGAGGGCGTTTGCTCCTCATCCTCGTCTTCAGCCTCCTCGGGGTCTGACCGGCGGAGAAAGTGGTCAAGAATCGAGAAGAGCGCGACGGGGTGCACCTGCACGCCCGAGAGCGAGCGCGAGTGCAGGATGCCCGCCGAGGCTGATGGCGGGAAGTTGAGATAGAGCGCCGAGTCGGACGGTGCACCTCCGAGTCCCATCTTGTCGCTGTAGTCTTGGAGATGTGAGGGTTTCGAGGGGGGACGCGGACGAAGAAGAAACCAAAATGATTGACATTGACACGTGACGAATACAGCACGTGGAGATTTAAAGCTTGGAGGCTTGGATGGCTCGAGCCTGTCGCTGGGCTGTTTCTGACTAAGCGACACACGTGCAGCTCTGCTTCCTGGAGATTTTTTTTCCCAATGCCAATTTGAACTTCGCCAGGAAGAAGGAAGATCGGACTCTCGGCCTCACAACTCGTCGACGAAGCGTAGCCGCAGGAGGAACAGAAGAGGGGAGCAAGGTTGCCAAGATGTCGATGGACACGACGCGACCGATGCCGTCGTACCTCGGCGAGGCCTCCTTTTCGTTTCTCTCCAGCGAGGAGATCCTGAGCATGTCGGTCAAGCAAGTCGTCAATCCCGTGCTGCTCGACAACACCAACACGCCGACAAATGGCGGTCTCTATGACCCCGCCTTTGGCCCAATGAGGAAGGACGACATCTGCCAGACGTGCCACCAAAGTTCGATGCAGTGCCCAGGTCACTTTGGCCACATCAGCCTGCCCTCGCCCGTCTTCCACCCGCTCTTCATGACGAACACGCATGTACTGCTCCGGGGCATCTGCTTGTTCTGTCACAGGTTCAAGCTGACCCTCGTCCAGCGTGCGCTGTTTCAGGCACGGCTTAGGCTGCTGGACTATGGGCTTGTCAAGGATAGCGAAGACATGGCGGCGGCTCGGCCGAAGTTCCAGACACACTTCGCTGATGGCGAAGAGGCTGACAAGATGGAGGAGGACGACGGAGATGGCCAGGTCGAACAGGGTGGACAGCCCGTCGAGTCGATGGCCGACTTTGCCAAGAGAATAGCGAACGAGACGAGGGAGCTCATTAGAAACGCCGTAGAGAAGGACGGGGCGAGGAAGGGCAAGGACGCGTCCGATGCAGTCTATGCCGCGCGAAAGCGGGTCGTGGCGCAGTTCCTCGCAGCGCTTGGCAAGCCAAAGAGATGTCCGAGCTGCAATGCGTGAGTGCCACTGCTCCCTTTCTTCAGCGTTCTTGAGAGATTCGATAGCTTACCCCGAGATAACATACAGCATTGGGCCCCGGCTGCGAAAGGATGGCTTCATCAAGATCGTCGAAAAAGAGCTTAGTCAGAGAGAACAGGCCATTCATGAGGCCATGGGCATCCGAAGACCCGATGCCGTGGCCATTGTTGCGGGCAAAGCTTCTGCACGGGATGAAGGGAGAGCTAAGGGCGGAGTCGACAAGGCAAAGCTGAGCGAAGCCAGGAAGCAGAGCAAGCAGTCCAGCGAGGCGACGAGAGTCATGCCGCCGCTAGAGTGCCGAGCGAACTTGCGATTGGCTTTCGCAAGAGAGGCCAGGCTGTGCGCTCTCATTTTTGGGAGCGAGGACGCCAAGAACGCAACCTCGAGCAGGTCCACAATCATGTCGAGGGCCGACATGTTCTTCATGGACGTCATCTCAGTGACGCCTACCCGCTTCAGACCAGCCAGCGTCATGGGCGAACAGACGTTTGAGAACCCGCAAAACGAGCTTCTGACCAAGGTCATCCGAACCAGCGCCGAGGTTAAGGTGTGCACCGACAACCTTGCGCTGGCCAGCAACAAGAAGGCTATGGAAGAGCCCGGCGCCGAGCAAAAATTGATCACGTTTATGAATGCACTCATGAATGCCACGATCCAGCTCCAAGTCGATGTCAACTGCTTTATCGACTCGAGCAAGAACCCGAATCCGGTCGCCCAAGGTATGGAGCCGCCTCCGGGTGTCAAGCAGGCTCTCGAGAAGAAGGAAGGCCTTTTCCGAAAACACATGATGGGCAAGCGAGTCAACTACGCCGCCAGGTCCGTCATCTCGCCCGACGTCAACATCGAGACAAACGAGATTGGTGTGCCGCCCGTCTTTGCGAAAAAGCTTACCTTTGCCGAGCCAGTCACGGTGCACAACGTCAACTTCTTGCGGCGCCTCGTCATCAACGGGCCAAGCGTCTATCCAGGCGCTGTTGCTGTTCGAGGCGAGGACGGATTCGAGACGCTGCTGGGAAAACTTACTCTGGAGCAGAGGACAGCGTTGGCGAATCAGCTCCTGACACCTCAGGGCGACGTCTCCCGACATGCCAAGGGCACCTTTGCTGGTCTGGGTGCGCCAACGAGCACACCCTCGTCGAACAAGAAAGTGCTCCGCCACCTCCTCGACGGCGACATTCTCGTCATGAATCGGCAGCCGACACTCCATAAGCCGTCAATGATGGCCCACAAGGCGCGTGTTCTGACGGGCGAAAAGACGATTCGCATGCACTACGCAAATTGCAACTCCTACAATGCCGACTTTGACGGCGACGAGATGAACATGCATTTTCCTCAGAGTCAAGCAGCGCGAGCAGAATGCTACAACATTGCCAATACCGACAACCAATACCTTGTCCCCACGAGTGGGAAGCCCCTGCGAGGTCTAATCCAGGACCACGTCGTGGCTGGCGTGTGGATGGCGTGCAAGGACACGCTGTACACAAGGGAGGAGTACCAGCAGCTGCTCTATGGCGCCCTGTGGACCGAGGACGGCTACTCGGGTGTCGAAGGACGAATCATGACGCTTCCGCCAGCCATCTTTAAGCCGAAGCCGCTCTGGACTGGCAAGCAGGTCATCTCGATGGTCCTCCTCAACATCAAGCCACCCAAGGCCGAGGGTCTGAACCTCGATTCGAAGTGCAAAGTTGGAGGCGACTACTGGGGCAAGGCAAACATGCAAGAAGAGGTCGTTGTCATCCGCGACGGCGAGCTCCTCACTGGCGTCCTCGACAAGTCCCAGATCGGTGCTTCGTCGTACGGTCTCGTCCATGCCGTCTTTGAGCTGTACGGGCCAGAGGTGGCGGGCAAGTTGCTGAGCATCCTCTCGAGGCTCTTCACAAAATGGCTTCAGCACAATGCCTTTACCTGCCGGATGGACGACTTGATGCTAAGCGGCAAGGGCAACGACTCGAGGCGGGATATTCTCAAGAAGGAACGCGACGTAGGCAAGGAAGCGGCTCTGGGCAATGTCGGGCTGAAGAAGGAGGGCGAAGAAGATGTGAAAGACGACAAGGAGGTGGATCACAACCTTCGCATCCGGCTTGAGGAGGTGCTCCGCGACGACAACAAGCTGGCCGCCCTCGATGCGTCGATGCTGGCCGCTTCGAGGGAGCTCAGATCGTCGGTCATCTGGGCCTGTATCCCCGATGGCCTCCTCAAGGTCTTTCCCGACAACAACATGCAGATGATGACTGTCTCAGGAGCTAAGGGCTCTCCTGTCAATGTCTCACAGATCTCATGTCTCCTCGGGCCGCAGGAACTCGAGGGCCGCCGTGTGCCAGTCATGGTGAGCGGCAAGACCCTGCCCTCCTTCAAACCATTCGACACTTCAATTCGAGCGGGAGGGTTCGTGTCGGATCGTTTCCTGACGGGCGTACGGCCGCAGGAGTACTACTTCCACTGCATGGCGGGTCGAGAAGGTCTCATTGACACGGCCGTCAAGACGTCAAGATCCGGCTACCTGCAGCGCTGCCTCATCAAGCACCTCGAAGGCATCTCTGTCCAGTACGACAACACGGTGCGCAACTCTGATGGCACCCTGCTCCAATTCCACTACGGCGAAGACTCACTCGATGTGGTCAAGAGCACCTATCTCGACAAGTTCGACTTCACCGCGCAGAACTTCGAAAGCTTCAACAGGCGCTACAATGCTGCCCAACTGCAGCACGTCACCGATGAGCACACGGCGAGCGAGTACATGCGCAAGGCGCTCAAGAAGCCACATAAGTATGCGCCTGTCATTGATGTCTACAGCCCCTCGACGCACATCGGCTCGATGGCGGAGAAGTTTGCGGAAAAGATTGAGAAGTACATCAAGGACAACCCCAAGGGCTTGTTGCAGGACAAGAAGAAGAGAAAGAAGGAGGAAATGGATGACGACGAGGGGGGGAACAAGGCAAAGATCGGCAACGAAAAGGCAAAGATTAACAAGGACCTCTTCCGGCTTATGAACCAGGTCATGTACCATCGTGGCCTCGTGGACCCTGGCGAAGCCGTCGGTCTTCTTGCGGCGCAGGGTGTGGGCGAGCCGTCGACGCAGATGACTCTCAACACGTTCCACTTTGCTGGTCACGGTGCGGCCAACGTCACGCTGGGTATTCCGCGCTTGAGAGAAATCGTCATGACGGCGTCGCAAAAGATTAAGACGCCCATCATGAACCTACCTGTGCTCGAGGGCGTCAACGACGAGAAGAAGGTCCTCTTCTGTAAAGATGGCAGTCGACTCCTGCTCAGCGAGGTCGTCGATCGGGCAACGGTCACGGAGCGCATTGCGCCAAAGACGGCAGAGACAGGGTACAAGCGCAAGAAGACATACACGATTCGGCTGGAGTTCTTCCCTGCGGAGGAGTGCAGTAGGGAGTACAACATCGACACGACAGACATCCTCACGGGCATCGATGCGACGTTCGCACCATTGCTCGAAAGGGAGGTCCTCAAGGAGCTGAGGCGCCTGGAAAAGGACAGGATCAGCCAGAGAAAGTCAATCGGCAAGGGTCAGCGATTTAGCGAAGGGGGCGAGGGTGCAGACCAGGACGACGAAGACTTGGGCGGGAGCGCAGCGTCGAAGGGTCGGAGCAAGGGAAAGATGCCCGGAAAGCAGCTTGGCAAGCCCGCTGCCCAGCAGACCGCCGCTGATGCGGACGATTCTGACGAGGAAGGAGGTGAAGCGGAGGACGGCGTTGATGGCGATGCCGACGACGCCAAACGCAAGCGAAAGTCGGGCGCCCATGTCTCCTACGATGACGATGAAGATGACGATGACGATGAAGATGACGATGACGATGATGCGTCGCTGCCTGCTGCCGATACGGAGGAGAGCATCGACGCGGCCTTTGCATCGTCTGGTGAAAAACAACGCAAGAAGAAGGACACGCATTTCAACGCCGACCGCGAGATCATCGACAAACAGGTGCGAGACCTCGACGACAAGCTCAGAGAAATGAGCAAATTCATCACTTCATTTAGGTTCGACCGCAAGAAAGCTGCATGGGCCGAGTTCGAGCTCGAGCTCTCGACCGAGTCCGAGAAGGTTCTCCTGATCAACGTCGTCGAGCGCGTGTGCCGCATGTCGGTCATTCATGAAATCGCCAATGTTTCACGCATCCTCAATCCTCCCAAGCCCAAGCCGGGCGCCAAGCAGGAGCACGTTCTGACTGCCGAGGGCATCAATCTGCCGGGCATTTGGGACTTTGGCTTTGGCATCATTGACATGTCAAGGATCACGACGAACGACATTGGTGCGATCCTGCACACCTATGGCGTGGAAGCTGCGCGCGCTGCCATCGTAGGCGAAATGTCGGCCATCTTTGCCACATACGGTATCGATGTGTCGATGCGACACCTCCAGCTCATTGCCGACTATCAGACGTCGCAGGGCGGCTTTCGACCCTTTTCGAGGGGCGGCATCGCCGATGCTTCATCACCCTTGGCCAAGGCTTCGTTTGAGACGACGATGGCTTTCCTTGGCACGGCGGCGCTGCACCACGAGCACGACGACCTCAAAGGGCCTTCAGCCAACATTGTTGTGGGCAGACCGGTCAAGAGCGGCACCGGTGCTGCCGACCTATTTGTTTCTCTGTGATTGCCTCTCGCTATTTGCTGCCGGAAAGAACCGTCTTTGTTACACATGCATTTTTCTCTCTTCATCAATGTCAAGTTCTACCACATCGTCTGTCGTCCGCCGAACCATGCCTAGTCATCTGCGTTGTCAAAGACCTTGCCATCCTCTTCTTCTTCTTCTTCTTCGTCGCTGCAGCCTTTCGCCTTGCGCTTCTTCGAAGGCGAGTCCTCATTCTCATGGAATCTGCGCTTCTTGGACGGTGTCCTGCCGGGCGTGTCAGGTGCAGGGATTTTCCGTGTCGAGCTCTTTGGCTTCTCAAACTCGACTGCTGGTGCCTGCTTTGCCAGATTGGAGCAGAGACTGACGACGCGGGAGTTGATGCCCGACCCGGCATTGCTCGTCCATGGCTTCTCGTGTTGATCACGTCAGCTAGTCTGCGCGTGTGCATGGTCCAGACGCACATTCACGCACCTCGAGACCGGGCAGACGCTTCAGCTCGGCCTTGTGCGCCATGATAAGGTCCAGGACGCCGCGCTTGAGGATCTTGTCTTGTTCGACGGACCACTGGGTGGACGATGCGCTGGACTTGGCGGGGGAAGCTTCAGGCTTCACGGGTGTCTTTCTCTGTCGCAATGCACGCAAATGTCAGTCCCAGAGAGAAATACTACCTCGACCGTCAAAGCAGCTCACAGGCGTGGAAGGAGCCATGGTCATCAATCTCGACTACTGGCAGCCAAAGTGATCACTGCAGACGAGACGAGCCTGTTCATCACTTCTACAAGGCCCCTACGACGCCCGCCGCCGCTCCTCTCATCATTCATGCCCAGTAAGATTCGGCGTTGTGTATGTCATGACCGATCTATTGTGTCAGTCCGCCGTGATTGGCTTCCATTCAGCCCCAAGTCCAAACACAGACTGGCCCAGTACGTGTCTTGAGCAGCGACTATTGGCTTTCAGAGTGAATCTTGTCGCATGAGGCGCCGGCAATCTCGACGACCGTGCTGCAACAAGTGCAGCTTCGGCCAGTCGAGCAAGGTGCGCGGGTTCTACTACGCCTCTAGACTGGCTGTGTGCATGTTGCCGTGCGACTCGCCGTGGGCTCCATTTGTCTCGCGTGGGCTTTATTTTTAATGTTCAGCGCGTGTAGCGGAGCGCAGGTGCCCTTGCATCTCTTGAGACCAACTCACCTCTGCTTTGTTCACGTTGACGAACCAGGCTCATTTTTCAATCTTCCTCCCGCCTCCCCCCCCACAAGCCTCGTCGAAGAGGGCGAGATAGAGCGAAAAGGAGTCAAAGGAAGCAGGCGCAGAGAGGATGGTCCGGCCCGCAAGATTGGCTGCCCTGCTGGGCAGTCTGGTCCTGGGTTCATCGCTGGCGTCGGCGGCAGGGACGCAGGACCGACCTTTGCCCCAGAAACGGACATATGACTCGCACCACTACTATGCTGTCGATCTGCACAGTCGAGAACGCCATACGGACCCAAGGGACATTGCCGAAGTGCTTGGCGTCGAGCTCGTCGAGCGTGTAGGCGAGCTCGAGGGTGTCTGGCTCGTCCGGTCGGAGAAGCAGCTCGACATCGCCAAACGGGGCGCCGGAGTGGAGCTCGAGGGGGAGGACCGTGTACTGAAGAGATGGACAGAGCTGAAAGGCGACGGTGCTCAGCTAGTGACGAGGAGCGAAGCGCTTCATCCTAGGCACCTCGCCGCTGCCACGGCAATTCGATCCGTTGAGAAGCAGGTGCTGCGAAAACGGCATAAGCGCGACGTCATCTATTCTCCATGGGACACCCCTCAGTACTATCCCCAGGTCCGTGCTCCTATCCCGGGTCCGGAGCCTCAACCGTATCCGGATCCACTGCCCCCACCAACAAGCGGGAGCATCGACAAGATTGGCGCCATGACGAGCAAATTTTCTATCCAAGATCCCATCTTCAAGGACCAGTGGCATCTCGCAAACAACAAGATTAACGACTTCGACTTGAACATTACAACTGTCTGGGAGGATGGCATCACGGGCAAGGGCGTCCGTGTCTGCCTCATTGATGATGGCCTCGACTTCAAGAGCCCTGATCTCAAGGAGAACTTCTTCGAGGCCGGCTCTTATGACTTCAACGCCCACACCGCGTTGCCAGAGCCAAGGCTGTCCGACGATCAGCACGGGACGAGGTGCGCAGGAGAAATTGCGGCTCTCAAGAACGACGTCTGTGGTGTCGGCGTGGCCTATGGAGCCAATGTTGCCGGTGTCCGTATTCTCTCTGGACCCATCACCGACGTCGACGAGGCGGCTGCGCTCAACTATCGCTACCAGGAGAACCACATCTACAGCTGCAGCTGGGGCCCGCCAGACGATGGTCGAAGCATGGACGCACCCAAGGGCCTCATCGCCAAGGCTATTCTCAATGGTGTCCAAAATGGCCGAGACGGCCTCGGAAGCATCTTCGTCTTTGCCGGTGGCAACGGAGGCGCGTCAGACGACCAGTGCAACTTTGATGGCTACACCAACAGCATTTACAGCATGACAATTGCCGCCGTCGATCGAGAGGGCTTGCATCCTTACTATTCGGAGATGTGCGCAGCCACGATTGCCAGCGGCTGGAGCTCTGGCTCGGGCGATCACATTCACACGACCGACGTGGCATGGAATGGCGTCAATCGGTGCACGTCGACGCACGGAGGAACCAGCGCAGCGGCGCCCCTCGTTGCTGGTGTCGTCGCCTTGGCTCTGGAAGCGAGACCAGACTTGACCTGGAGAGACATGCAGCACATTGCTGTCCACTCGGCTCAAATGATCAACCCAGACGACAAGGACTGGCAAAAGACGCAGGCCGGCAGGCATTTCAACCACAAGTACGGCTACGGCATTATCGACGCAAAGAGGTTCGTTGATGAGTCGAAAAATCACAAACTGGTCAACCCTCAAGCTTGGATGACTGGGCCAAACATCACGATTCCCAAGGACCAGACATTCATTGGCGACGGAGGCGTAAAGAGTACGTTCACGGTGACAGAGGAGATGCTCAAAGGTGCCAACCTGGCTGCAATCGAGCACGTCACTGTCCGCGTCTGGATCACACACGAGCGCAGGGGTGATGTCAATGTTGAGTTGACGAGCCCGCACGGAACGAGGTCCGTCCTCGCGCGATCCCGGCGCTATGACGATGCCACGACGGGATTCCCAGGGTGGGGCTTCATGACACTCAAGCACTGGGACGAGTCGCCCGTCGGTGAATGGACGATGGAGGTGTTTGACAAGTCTCATCCGAAGAAGACGGGTAACTTTTGGGCCTGGGGAATGACGCTCTGGGGTGCCAGCATCGACCCGCTGAAAGCCAAGCCTTGGAACTTTCCCGAAGACTCGGTCGAATTCCACGAGACGCTCGAGGGCGCGCCAGCCACCACGTCGGTCCATCTCCCTCCCGGCTACACGCCCAACCCGACGGGTGCCGACGAAGCCAAGCAGAGGCCAAAGCCGACCGATCATCTGCCCGACGACCATGGCTCCGCGCCAGGCGAGTCTCACCAAGACTTTACGAATGGCAATGCGCCCTCTCCCGAGGCGGACACCGGCTACCTCTCTGGCCTGTCGAAAAAGAAGTCGACGTGGGTCTTTGCGGCCAGCGGCATCGTACTGATCTTTGCGGCGAGCGTCGCGGCCTTCTTTATCCTCCGAAGACGAAGGGCTTCTGGGCGAGGCGGGCGAGGCGGCAGGAGATCCGCGGGCGAAGGAGAAGGGTACGAGTTCATCCCAGGCGGTGATGATGACGATGAGGAGGACAATGTCGCCATGGCTTCGCTGGGCGGCGCTGGGAAATTGGCCCGGGCGGCCGCTGCAGGCGCCTCAAAGATCAAGGGCAAAGGCGCCAAGAGGACAAAGGAGCTTTACGATGCGTTTGGGGAGGCCAGTAGCCAGGAGGACGATGACGAGGATGATGCATTGGTCGGCGGTGGTCAACATCCGCAAAAGTACCGAGATCTGCCCGTGTACGAGGACGAGGAGGGTGATCAGAGATTCACCATTGGCGGTGCGGGAGGTGGAGACGACACCAACGACTCGCGGGGCGGACAACTGCTTTTCGATGCAGAAGAAGTCCACGACGAGAAGCAGGGAGAGTCAGAGGAAGGGAGCGGAGGCAGCGGAAGCTGGCAAGATGCCGGGGCCGAAGCAAAGGAGTAAAAGGGAAAGAGGTTGCCAGAATCGCAGCGCAGCACAGGAAGCAGCAGGAGCATCATCGCTTGCGTTTCCCCCATCTGCTCAAAAATGTGTGCAAATCGCAGTTACACTACTAAATACATTTCTTCGTTCTCACCTCGCTGCTGCTCCTTTTTCGCAAATTTCCCCTGCCCAGTGGTAGAAAAGGGATCTGATAGAATTACAACAAAGAATGGAAGAAAAAGAACACAGGAGGCCCTATTGTTGTTACTCGGCCGTCTCCTTGACAGCCTGGCCCAGGATCTCGTTTCGCTTCTTTGCGCCCTGGACCTCTTTTTCGAGCCTCTTCATCTGCTCGACGAGCTCGGCGACGCGCTCCTTTGCGCCCTGCCTCTCGCGTTTGACGCGCTCTTCGGCCGCTTTGCACCGCGCCTCGAGTTCCTTGATCCTCGCGGCCCACTTGCCCGCGCCTTCTCCGTACTTTGCCTTTGCCTCGCCCAGGCGGTCTTCGGCCTGCTGTGCCTGGTTCTGCGCCGCGACGAGCCTCCGCTCTGCATTGTTGGCGCGCGTCGTCATTGCGCTCAGGCGATTCGCTTCGCCGGGACTCGTCGAGGCGAGGTTGGCGCGGGTCCGCAGGCTCGCGAGCTGCTGCTGCAGCTCGCCGTTGGTCGCCTTTACGCTGTCGAGCTCCGTCTGCTTTGACACGACTCTCGCGCGCCACTGGGCCTGCTTGTCCGTCGCGTTCTTGATGGCCACCTCGAAGCGGTCAATCTGGCGGAAGCGGCCGTCCTGCTGCCTCTTCAGCGCCTGGATCCTCTCTGAGAAGGACTCCTCGATGGATTTGGCACGCTTGTCAAACTGCAATTGGACCTCGTTGATCCGTTGCACCCGGCCCAGCAGGCTGTCGTGGAAGACGGCAAAGTTGGTGAATGGCTTGAGCTCCGTCGAATCTCCCTTCGACGACGAGATCAGGGCGGAAGACGATGCAGGTGCGCCGGCCTTGCGTGGTGTCCCGGCCGGAGAGGCCTTGGCCACCAGACCCGCGCCGAGGATCTTGCCCATCATCTGGTAGACAGTGAGCAGGAGCATGTTCCTCTCCATGAGCTTGTTGTTGTTGGCCTGCTCAACATGCATCAGTGACCGCTCCTCCTTGTTGAGCTGGTCCTCGAGCTCCTCGACCTTGGCCCGTTGCTGCCGCAGCTGGTCTTGAGCCTCTCGCAAGGAGGCTTGCTGCGCTTCCCAGCGCTCAGAGAGGCCAAGACGGCCCTGCGATTCCGAGGCGAGCTGGCTGACGGCGTTTCGATGCTCGGCATTCAGCAGCCTCAGCTGCTCCTCGCGCTCCCGGATCGATTCTTCGCGCCTCTCGACGTCCTTTCTCGCACGCTCAAGGTCCGCCTCGCACCGCGATAGGTCTCGCTTGAGGCGGTCCATCTCCAGCTCGAGCGAGTAGCGGTCGTTTGAGTGGCTCTGCCCAAGCCGCTGGCTCTCGGACTCCTTGTTCCTCAGGGCGTCCTGCAGCTCCTCGACGTCGTCCTTCTTTGCCTCCAGGGCAGCCTCGACGCTCTTGAGATCCGCTTCGAGCGAATCCATCTCCCTTTCCTTCTCCTCCATAAGCCCTCTCCACTTCTTGTCCTCTTCGTCGAGCCGCTTCTCCAGCTCCTCTTCGGCATTCTCGCGCCGCTTCTCCTCCTCCTTGAGATCCTCGATGGCGTCCTCGACTTTTTCGTAGAGCTTCTCGAGCTCGGCCTTGAGGTCCTTGCGCTCCTGCTTGAGCGAGTCGACGTCCCTGCCAAGCTCCCTGGCCTCTTCGGACGCGTTTTGGAAGTCGTGCTGGACGGCCTCCATCTGCGACTGCAGCTCGGCCTTGTCCTGCTCGGCGGCCGTGAGCCGTTCGACGAGGGCGGCCTCGCGGCGCTCGCTGCGCTCCTGCGTTTCTTCGAGGTCGACCTGGAGCTGGCCGAACTCGGCCTCAAGGCTGTTGAAGTCGGCCTTCATCTCCTCGATGGCCTCTTCCAGGTCTCGTACCCGATCCGCGTGCTGGTCAGAGAAATGTCAGTACGGGAGAGAGTCGCAGTCAGAGTGGGAGGTTACAACTCAAAACACACCTCTTGAAGCTCGCGGTTCGTCTCGCTCAGATCGGCGTCTCTCGCCTTGAGGTCCTCCTTGAACTCGCCAATGAGCAGCTCCCGCTCCTCTGCGTCCTGGCGCATCTTCTGGATGTCGTACTCGAGTGCGTCGAGGTCTCTGTTGAGCGCGTCGAGCTGGTCGTCCTTCTCCTCGAGGGCCGCGTTGGCCTGCTGCAGCTCGTACTCGGCGTCGGCCATGCGCGTGTCGTCCTCGTCGCGCTGCACCTCGAGCTGCTCCACGAGCTCGGTCCTCTCCTGCGTCTCGAGCTTGGCGGCGGCCAGCTCGTCGCGCAGGCGGTCGTTTTGCGCACCGAGGCGCTCTGCGACGGCGTCTTCGGCGTCGCGGATGCGCTGCTCCACGTCGTCTCGCTCGGAATGGACGTGCTCGAGCCGTCGCTTGGCCACGTCGAGCTCGCGCTGGAGCGCATCCTCGGCCGACTGGCTCGCCTGCAGCTCGTCCCGCAGCTGCTCGAGCTCCTGGTCGAGGTCGGAGCGGCCCTGCTGCATCTCGTCGAGCCGCTTGACCACCTGCTCGTTTTCCGTCTGCGCCCTGGCGAGGTCCTGCTCTGCGTCCTGCAGCTCGCGGCGGAGCTTGCGTGCCTCGGCGCCGTCGGCCATGGAGCGCGACGACTGGTCTGCCCGCGACCCTTCGCCCGCTTCGAGCTCCTCGATGCGGGCCTGGTAGTCGTCGCGCTCCCTCCTGAGCTCGTACAGTGCCTCCTCGTGGTCGTCGCGCTGGTCGTCGAGCATCCTCCGCAGTCGCTCCACCTCGTCGTGGTGGTCGCCGCCGCCGCCGGCAGAGGCGCTGCTCACGTCTGCGTTTCTCCGCTTGAGAAAGTCAACCTCGTCGTCGGCCCGCTCCCTGGCCTGGCGCTCCTCCTGGAGCTGCGTCTGGGCCTCTCTTAGGCTCCTCTCTAGCTCCAGCTTCTCCTCCGTCTCGCGCACCGGGTCGCGGTCGCCCCAGCGCTTGAGCTTCTTCTTGTTCTCCCGAATCACCTTGTCCTGCTCCCGGAGCACCTGGCCAAACTGCGCCTCTTTGCGCTTGAGCACCTGCCGCTCCTTCATCAGGCTCACGACGCGGTTCTGCGACTCGGTCGGCGTCATGTTTTGGCGGTAAATGTCAATCTCAATCTTGAGTTCGTTGTTCTCGGCCTCGAGCTTGCGCATCTTTGCCTCGGCGTCCTTGAGCGAGATGCCCGCTGCACTGCGCCGGCCCATTGCCGCTGCTGTTGCTGCCGTCGCTCCCCCTCGCCCCCCGCCGCCAAGAGGAGGCGCCGAGGCAGACTCGTCGTCGTCGTCAAACGTAGTCTCTGCATTGGAGCGCGACAGATCGCGCCTGACGCGCTGCAGCTCTGCCTCGCTGTCGTCGAGGCTGTCCTCGACATCGTCGGGAATAGCCTCCTCGTCGTCGGTGATGCGCACGCCGTACCGCCTGCGCGCCTGCTCCCTCTGCCTCGGCGTCGTCGCGCCTGGTCCCCCCTCGCTCGGCTTGCCGCTCTGCTGCTGCGGCGCAGCAGCCTCGGGCCCAAGCGGCGTCGAGGCCCGCCGCAGCGGCGAGAGCGTCGGCCGCTTCGGGGGCTGATTGATCGCATGCGGCCCCAGTGGAGCGCTACCACCGCCGAGGGAGATGCTGTCCTCTGAATCCAGGCCGGGCAGCCCCGTCCGGAGCGCGCTCGCGTCCGTCGCACTGGCTGCCGTCTCGTCGGCGGACCCGCCCGGGAAGCCCGCAAGGGCAGCGAAGCGATCCGACATGTCGCCGGACTGCCTCTCGCTCTCGCTCTCTCTCTATGACTCTTTGTTGTTGAAGAAGAAGCAAGTTGGTTGGGTTGAGTCGAAATCAACACCTGCCTTTAGCGCTCGGCCGCGGTTTAGACTTGGGGAGCGCGTCACTTTATAGACACGTGCGTCCGCCTGCCTGGGCCTTGACAAGGGTGCCTCTCTAAATGCTGCCCGACGACATAACTTGTTCTTCGGTGAACAGAAGAAGTCTTTTCTCAATGCATACTCTCGCTCAACCCCGTGAGATGCAGTGGGAGTGCAGGGAAGGGAAGAATGAGTTGAAATCAAAAAAAGAATGGGGGAGAAGAGAGAGAGAATATACATGTCTGAGGAGGCCCTACTTCTTCTTTGCATTGGCCGCCGCAAACGCAGCCGAGCTGCCCTTCCAGCTCTGGCCATCCTCTGGCAGGCTCGTGCCGCTGCTGCTGCCGCCACCGCCACCGCCACCGCCGCCACCGCCGCCGTTGCTGCTGCTGCTGCTGCGCGAGTGTTTGGGCGGGGGCAGTGTTGTTGCGTTGGACAGTGGGCTGGGCCGCGCCGTCGTCGATGTGCCTGCAGATGACTTGTGCAAGATGGAGGAGGATACATTCGACGCGGGCGGCGCTGCTGCTGCTGCTGCCGCTGGCGAAGACGCAGAGGTAGAAGCGGGAGGCGCAGGCGTGGGTGCCGGAGACTGAGCCGAGGCAGGCGTGGTCGCCTGCTTGTTCACCGTCGATGCAGACGCAGACGGCAGGAGCGCATCGCCGCTGATCGACGTCGTGCTCGGCAGCTGGCTCTGCTCAAACGTGACCCAGCTCGCCTTGGCCATCCATGGCCTGCCACCCAGGCTCAAGATCTCCCGGCCGGAGCGCAGCCAAGCTCGGGGAGGCCGGGCCGCACCGGACTTGTCGAGCGGCGCGACATTGAGGAAGCCAGTGGGGATCTTGGGCGGCGCGAGGATGCTGTGGGCCGTGCCGCCGCGCGCCGAGGGCATGGCCGGGTACCGAATGGTGCCCCGTGGAAGATCGCTGGACCCACCGCCGCCGCCGCCGGATCGGGTTGGTGCGTCCTCGTCGACAACAGCCTTGCGGCCGGCCGAGGAAGCGGTCGGGACCATGTCCACGGAGCCTGCACGGGAAGAGGAGGCAGCAGCCGCATTGCCATGCCCGGCCAGGGGCGACTCGGAGCGGTTGCCAGAGGCGGCGTCGTTGGCGAGTGCCTCGCGCGAGAGAGACGACTTTGGCCGGGCGAAGCTCGAGGGCGTCGTCTGGGCCACCTTGGTCGGCGCTGACTCGCCCGGATGCTTGTACACTGGCTTCTGGTCCCTATTTTGCCCAGAATCATCAACGATGAGCCCGGTATACAATACGGACATACGATCTGCACAACTCACATCTTGAGGCCCTTTCGCCAGCCCCTGCCTGGGCCCGTGGCGCCGCGTGCCTTGAGGCTCTTTCGCCGCTTGGCCGCCGGCAGCGCCTCGATCTCCTCGAGCGTCAGGTTGCTCGAGTAGCTCCGGCTGGTGGATGTGCTGCGCGGCGCAGACGAGGGTGAGCCAGCTGGCGCGGCCTTCTTTGGCGTCGTCGATGCGCTCCCTTTCCCTCCTGTGCCCTTGCCCTTGGCCGATGTAGCTGCTGCCGTCGCTGCTGCCGAGACAGACGGCGAGCGCGAGCCCACGTTGGACGAGCCAGGCGGGGGAGAGTCTTCCTCGAGCTCGTCAAACTCATCACCTGCCTCTTCTGTTCAACGAGTCAGCCTTCTTCTTCTCTGCGACACATATATGCATGCATGCATGGAACTCACCATCGCCGACCTCGCTGCCCATGGCGCTGCTGGTGCCATCGGCAACGGAGCTGGCCCCCTCGGTGGGTGCAGACGAGAGCCGGTCCGAGGCTGCGGCCGCGTTGGGGTTCGGCGGCAGCTTGAGCTTGATCTTGAACGAGCTGGCCATCGTCTGCGTTGGTGGATGATGAAGCCTTGGCAGCTAAAGGAGCGAAAAATTTAGGGCGAGCGAGCGCCAGGGCGTCGGTCAGTCAGTCAGTCATGCTCGGAAATCTCCACGTCCAAAAACTAAAAAGCAGCTACGCGCGCGCCTGTGATCTATAATCACTGCCAATCTTTCACAGAGAGAGACAGGGCAACAACGACGATGACGACGACGCTGTCGGCCTTTGGCGTGCCTCTTGAGCCTCGTCCTGCCTCGTACGCCAGGCAGGCAGCTGCTCCATCAAGGCCGCTGCAGCGCACAGAGGTCGCCCGGCTGCTGGAGCGCATCGAGGCACGGCTCGAAGCGCGCGACGACGGCGATGCATGGAAGGGCGCCAGCCTCGCCGTGAGCCTGTACCACGCGCGGGAGCAGGTCGAAGCACTGGCGCACGACGATGCGCAGCAGCGCGGCCAGGGATCGAGCTCCCAGCTCCTCACGAGCACCGCTGCGCTCAGGGTGAAGCTGCAGCGGCTCGAGTCGACTTTTCAGTCGAGACAGGCAGTGGTCGTGAACACGGTGAGTCTGCTCCTTCCGAAGCGAAACACTCTCGAGGTACCCTCTCGCTTGGTTGTCGCTCATTCTTTTGCTTTTCAGAGTCCCCACTCTCGATCACTTACATCGACGCCAAGTGCAAAGCGCGACTTTCTCGTCCGAGGGCTCATGGACGATGATGACGATGATGACGACGATGGTGACGACGAAGAAGAGGACATCGATCCGCGAATACTCGCTCGAATCAGGAAAGTTCAAGCCCCTGCTCCTGTTTCTGCTGTGACGACGTCGACCGAGAAGGAAGAGGAAGACGAGGAGATGGAAGCGTACGAAGCAGCCTCGCGGGCTCGCCAAAAGGAAAAGCAGGCCACTCATGCCAGCGGGCCAGGGAAGGACGACGACGACGACGACTACGGGACAAAGGAGAAGGGCAGCAACCAAGAAGAGGAACGGCCGACGGCGTTGCAGTCCGACCGCTCGCTGCAGGACTCGCTCTCGGGCGAACTGCTGCGCATGGCGGGCACCCTCAAGGCCAACTCGCTGCGCTTCGCAGATGCCCTCGAGCGAGACCGCAAGATTGTCGAGGAGGCCGGCTCCAAGCTCGAAGTGAACCTGACGCTCATGACGCGCACCCGTGGGAAGCTGGGCGAGTACAGTAAGAAGGCCCGAGGCATGGGCTGGCTGACGCTGGGAAGCGTCGCCGTCGTTTGCATCAGCTGGGTCATCATGTTCGTCGTCATCAAGTTGACATGAGCAATTTCTATTCAAATACGCGGCTGGGTGCTACACATGGTACTGTACAAGTGGTGGTGGTGATGGGCTAAGGTCAGTATCAGAGTCATCCCTCGCGCCAGGGGTCGTGGGGCGCATAGGCGAAGCGGTCAGCAACGGGCAGCCACGGGCCGTCGTCCTCGGTCGGCAGTCTCTGGTGCGCCACGTCGGGCCTACGCGGCAGCTCCAGTCGATCTTCATGGACGACCTGCCACTTCTGCCCCTGCTCATCGTGGCCCGGCATCGGCTTTGAGTACCGTTTGATGCGCTTCCGCAGCGCCTGGTTATGTGCGCTCGACGACGACGATGCTCGCCTGCGCCAGTCTGCAAAGGACTTCTTGGCTAGCACGAGCGACTTTCTCGCCTTGCCCCTTCTCGTTTCCTGCGGCGTCTTGTCCGCATCCACGACTCTCGACCGTCTCGTTGGCGTGTTGGGAGTGGACAGATCGTAGGCTGCGCCTCGTTGACCTCTCTCGATGAGTTGTTGGATGGCGTCAGCTGAGTGCGTATGGTCTTCGGCTTCCGGAGCCTTTTCAACCGGCACGCTGTTTCTGGCATCCCACCGAAAGTTCTCGTTGATCCCACCAGCACTCGTCGACGTCTGCGAGAGCCCAATCTGGCGACGAAGCTCCTTCATCCGCCGCTGCTTCTCCCTCTCCTCCATCTCATGCTCGATGCGCTCGTTTTCCTCGCGTGCTCGCCGCCGCAGCAGCTCGTTTCGCGTTGTCTCGTCGGGGATGCCTCCCGAGAATGCCTGGAGGACAGACGAGATGGGCTGCACGGTCGCGTCCTTCGAGTGCGAGGCGGACCTGCTCAGGACCGAGGGGCCCCGGTCGAGTGTGACGGCTCCATAGGCCCTGGACCGAGACTTGGAGCGGTCGAGGTTGAAGTTGACGCTGCTACTCATGCTTTCGCTTCTCCGCGGTCCCGTCGCCCCACCCAGCGAGGCATCACGGAGCTGGATGCTGGCGAGACGCTCAACGACTTGCTTCCCAGACGGTCTGCGCTTGACGCTTCCGATCCCGCTTCCTCGCTTGCCCTCCGATGAGCGCATGAGGCCCTTTTCGAGCATGTCGCCGCCGCCGCTGACGCCATCGTTGCCTCGCTTGGCAGCGCTGAGCAGCCTGGCGCACCCGCGTCTGGTGCTCTCCGCTTCGTCTCGACGCTTGCGGACCAGGGACCTTGCCTTTTTGCCGCGTGGTCCAAAGACGAGACCGAGGAGGACATTGATCACGCCTATCCAGAAGAGGAGCCAGAAGGCGACGAGTGGGAAACCGTCCTGGAAGTGCGCAAGTAGACTGACGGCGATAAAGGCTTGCATGAAGCCGAGCGGCGCCGTACCGTGCGATGAGCCGAGGAAGGAAAGGTGCTTGGAGACTAGTCTGGCATGCCACCGACCCAGTGTCATCTCTGCCAAATTTATTAGCGAATCCATTCGATAGGTTGAGGTGTGGAGCCGACTCACTCACCACAAAGAGCGCCGACGAGACAGGCAGCCAAAAGGATAGTCCGGTCGAGAAAGAGCCAAAAGATGCCCCAGGTCGAGAGGGGGATGTCGCTATCGGGGACGTATTCGCATCCCTGCAGGTCCTCGTCGTCGAGCCCATGATTGTAGGAATGCAATGCTTCGACATCGCTGCGCATGAGGACAATGATGCCTGCAAATGTCAAGCAGAGGAAGACGATGGAGAGAAGTCGGACGACATTGAGAAGGAGGAAGACGTACGCTTTCATAGGCAACATCATGTCCGAATGTAGTGCCAAGGTGGTGGCGATGAAGGAGACGAGAACATTGACAGTATCTCTATATTATTCACTCTTCGACTACTTTCCCATCTCCTTTGTCGCCGACGCCTTGTCCTCCTGAGTTCAAGACAATGGGAATCCTTTTCACTCGACCGTGGCCCTTTGTTCTCTGAATTGTACGCCGATTCTCCGTCCTTGCCGCTACAAAGGGGCCCAAGCACAGGTTTGAAACGGCGAGACCTAGCCCCTCGAGACTCTCTGCTATCCCAGTCCCAATTTATCCTTCCCATCGCTCACCATCAACGATGGTCTCCTTCCGAGCATGTCGGGAGGAAAGGGAGCACAAGCATCATCTGACTTGACGCGTGGCAATTGTCGTTCTGCAGTAGGTTGGCGCGTCAAAACAAAGGCCGAGACAGGTTTAGGTGTTGATGTTCCATTTTTGTTCTTTGCGTTTTCTCATCCATCGCTCTTCCCTCTGCATCTCCGTTTGCGCGCGCGCACGTCACCGCTCCTTTGCCTTTGACGAGAAAAGGACGCAGAGAGAGGCTGGAAGCTAGCAGCAGCCTCTGTGAACGGCGCGCCGACAGATATTCCGCAAGTCGCGAAGCGGCATCCAGCATGAACGGCGGCGGCCACGCCACTTCGTCCTCCCTGGACTCGGCCGGCGTCCCTCCCGGACAGGGCCCCAGCACCTCGTCGTCCTACCCCGCAGTCCCTGGCCGGCCGCAGATTGATGCGAAAAAGAAGCTCGTCGTCGTCGGGGACGGAGGCTGCGGAAAGACAGCCCTCCTCATCACCTATGTGCGTCTTCTTCCTTTTTCTTCAAGCAGCGCGCTCTGACTGACTGACGAGAACGGTCGTGGGTGCAATATCAAACAGGCAGAGAACCGGTTCCCGGAACGGTACATCCCGACAGTGTTTGAGAACTACGTGCCCCTCGTTCGCTTCGAAGGGAAACTCATCGAGCTGGCTCTCTGGGACACGGCGGGGCAGGAGGAGTACGACCGGTTACGGCCCCTGAGCTACCCCGAGACAGACATTATTCTCATTGGCTTCGCCGTCGACTACCCAGTGAGCCTGGCAAATGTACAAGACAAGGTGAGAGGCAGCATAGCAGAACAGCATGGGGAAGAAAAAGAGGCAAGAGGCTGAAAGAGGAAAGCCGAGCAGTGGTATCCCGAGATCAACCACTTTTGCGAAGGCGTCCCGATCCTCCTCGTCGGCCTCAAGACGGACCTGCGAAGCGACGCACATGCGCTCTCGATGCTCCGCGCCCAGGGCACGCAGCCCATCACGCCCGAGCAGGGCCGGGCCGTCGCAAAGGAGATCGGCGCGGCCCACTATGTCGAATGCAGCGCAAAGGAGCGCACCGGCGTCCAGGAGGTCTTTGACACCGCCCTCAGAGAGGCCTGCCGGAAAAAGTGGAACAAGCGGAGAGTCGTCGGGGGCAAGAAATGCTTGGTCTTGTAAAAGGAGAGAACACAGCCTACCTCCTCCTCACCGACTCGTATGTGTACTGTACATAGTAGTAGGCTCAATTCTTGCAAACCACACCATTCTGCAAGCATTCAAAGAGGAGATCAAGTGTCCATTGAGAGAGTGTGTGTGTCTGTGTGTGCGAAGCAATAGCAGGAATGTTATAGAGGACATAGCTACTGTATTATCGGTGATATGGATCGCTGCAATTGGCCGTGAATCTGGTCGGGGTATCCTATCTCCATGAACATGGAGGCTGAAAAACTTGAATCTAGAAAAGAGAAGGAGAAGGCAAAGGAGAAGGCAAAGGAGAAGGCGAAGGACAAGGCGAAGGACAAGGCAAAGGACATCGTTACAGCCAGACGCGCCTCTTGATGCCTTCGATGAGCGGCGCAAACAGGCTTGCATTCTGCTTTGCCTGGGCCAGGCTCTGGATCGTCTTTTCCGTCACGAAGCCGTCCTGTCCGTCCTCGTCTGCGCTGCCAGACAGGATGCACTCGTCGAGGATCAAGTCGACGATGCGGTCCACGATTTCGTGGCCGCTCCTTGGCGTCGGTCCATCGTCGTCGTCGTCCGATATCGACGCCGCCTCAAGGGCCTCGCGCCGCTCCATGGCCGTCGGAGCAGAGGCAGCGGCGGCGGCCGTCAGGGAAGAAGAGCGTGACGACGAAGACCGCGGGCCAAAGCCAAATAGGCCCCTGGACCGGCTCGAAGCCCTCGATGACGAGGATGACGAGGACTTTTGCTTGCCAACGGCAGCATCTCGGCGGACCTTAGTGAGCGTGCCAGCGAATTCGTCCGAGACCGCTCGGAAGGCCAAGAAGCTCGTCGCGCCCTTGGCGTCCGCAACCTTCGGCACGTTCTTGATCGAGGCCGTGTTCACGCGCGTCTCCTCGTTCAGGAAGGAGACGACGAAGCCCCAGTGGTCCTCGGGATGGTAGCCCTCGTTGGGCGCGAGGAGGTAGAGTCCCTTTTGGATACCGACAACATCGCCGAGGAGGATGCGCGAGAACTCGACGAGCTTCTCGGCGGTAAAGTCGTAGCCGCAGCAGTAGATTGCCTTTGTTGTGAGGAGCACCACCTTTTCTTCTAGCTTGCTGCTAGCGATACTGTTGGGCTCAATGGTCGAGAAGAGCGTCCACCCTGCGAGGAGCGTCTCTTCGGGCTTGTCCGCTTCCAGCACCATGGCAGCACACGTTTCAATAGCACTTGCACGGACGCGACGCAACCGATGTCCTTCAGAGGGGTCCTGTGCTGCCAAGTCGTCGTTGTACCGCTCCAGCGCAGACAGAGACAGCTGACCGTACTGGAAGTCGGCTACGGTCTGCTTGAAGAAGTCGCTGACCGCACCCTGAACCATTCGGTAGACGCTTGCCGTGGCATCGTCTGTTTGACGTCAAGGACGAGTCAGCAAACACTTCATAAGTTTATACCTGGCAAAAGACACCCACTCATCATGCCAATCAGATTACGCTTGCCGGTCCTCGTGAAGTCGCCCTTGAGGGCTCTGGTGCCTGCGTAGATCTGCGAGACCATGTCGCCGTTGTTCGCCCACGAGTCATTGAACGCAAAGTCGAACGCTTCGTCCTTCTCGCCCTTGGCCGATGGAATATCGAAGCCAAGCCTCTGCAGCTGGACCAGGAGCATGTGCCTGGCGAAGGCCGACTGGACGACATTGGTTCGATCGAGGCAGTCGAGACACGACACTCTGAATGCGCCCCTCTGCCTCGCAAATGTGCTCCTCTGGTTGACCTGCTGACCCTGGTACTCGGTCGTGGTGACGCTGGACCAGAAGCAGTCCATCTCCTCCATGACGTCGTCTTTGACCTCGTCCAAGAGCTTGCGGACATTCTCAAACTTCATGCCCGCACACTCCTTGTGGAAGTCAAAGGAGCGGTACTGGACCTCGTTGGGCCGTTCGAGCTGCTCGACGGCGTCCTTGTATGCCTGCGTGATCTGGCCTTCCTTGCCCTTTTGCTCGGCCAGGTTGATACAGATAACCTTGCCATACCGCTGAACCTGTACGTCAAAGTGCCTTGAACAGGCCTTTTTGTTCTCTGCTGCGCTGCGCTCCAGCACGGGAGGAGGCTTGAGGTTGAAGGGATTCTGGCTCCAGTAGAGTGGAATACTGCCTCGGAACTGGACAAAGGTCATGAGGTGTGTCTGACCGTTGCCACGCTTGACGTAGAGGATCTGCTCCGTCTCGACGTAGTTGGCAACCTGGCCCTCGTCGTTTGTGCCTCGGCGTTGGTATCGCAGTCCGGCTCGCTCCTTGGACCTCCTCGAGATAATGAGGAGCTGCGCCTCAATGCGTTCCGAAGACGCTGCCTCCGAGACGGCGTCCATGGCATCGCCTGCGACATCGGCGCTCACGGGAGGGCTGAGCGAGTTGATTTCGATCGGAAGCGGCGTGACCTGGAAGAAGCCTTGCATCAGAGGGAGCGCCAGCCCATGCAAGCCAGCATCGACAAAGTCGCGAATCAGGTGCTCGTTGTGCCAAAAGCGACGATCGGCCCGGCGCCAGAGTGGAAGGGTCGGGTGAGGCTCGAGAAAGGGGACCGGATTGCTCTTCGTCGCCGTCGTCGAGCCACTCCGAGCCCTGTTTGTCTTGTCCGGCTGCGCATTGACCTTGTTGAGCCGGAGCTCTTCCTTGCGCTGCAGAGGCGTCGTGAGGTCAAAGTCGTAGGAGAACCACATCTCGCCCCTCGAGTACTGCCTCGCCGTCTCCTTGACGACCTTTTCCTCCAGCTCGGCCTTTGTCGCCTCGTGCCAGCGCTGATCAGCGGTGAGGACGCGGTTGTCAATGGTGCCAGTCTTTGCCACTTCTTCTTCCACGGGCAGCACAGCCTGTACAACGGCGGGCTGGGCATCGGGCAAGCCGCCGGGCGCATCGACGTCGAGCTTCAGACTCTGAGGTGCAGTGGCATCGTCGGAAGCAGACCGGGACCTCTTCACAACCTCGTTTGCCCAAGGTCCGCTTTTTGATGGCTTGACCGTGGCCGACTTGTCCTTGATGCTCTGGAGGAAGGACTCTCTCGGGACGATGCTGGGCGTGACGACATCGTCTGCCTCGCTCTCCTCCTCGTCATCCTCATCCGAAGATGAAGACTCGCCAGCGGCGGAGGAGGCAGCTGCGGCAGCGATCTTCTTTTCTGCTTCAAGTCGCGCAATGACTTGCCTCTCTGACTCGGCTTTGAAAACATCCTTTGCCCTTGCGTACGAAAGAGGAATGGGCAGTACGGCCGTGCTCTTGTAAACCGGCATGTCGACGTGCACAAAATCACCAGCAAATGTCCTCGAGGTGATGACGAGAAGATAGGCGTCTATAGCAGGATCGATCATGAGCTCTCGCTAGCTCTTGGCCACTCGTTTCGGGGTGCACGTACCTTTAAAGAGTCTCTGAATGCCCACGATGCCGTAGCATTGGATCTCGAGGGCCGCGTCGTCGCCGAGCAGGCTCTTCACCTCGGCTGCATTCACTCGCTCGGGCTTCGCCTGCTTGGACCACGGGAGTCTGGCTCCGTGGCCGCTCTCGGCCGCCTGAGCACCCTTTTTGGCCGAGGCGACGTCCTCGGCGATGCCGCTGAGAGACGGTCTCGGCGAATGGGTGCTCCTCGTCGAGCGCTTTCCGTCTTGTTGCGCCTCGCTCGACGATGGCGTTGGCCTGCTGGGCAGGATCACGAGGCCGCCACGGGTGCAGTGGAGCGACAGAGATCGCTCGGGCAAGGGATTGGGAAAGGGAGGAATGGTGAATTGGGCGCCCAGTGGCCCACCACCGGCCGCCGAGGTGGTGCTCTGCCTCTGCAACCCTCCTTCGCTGCTGCCGCCGCCTGCGGATCTCGAGCCATCGCCGCCAGACATGGGCCGCCGAAAGAGGCCCTTCATCTGTGCGTTCCACGTCGCTCGCCTTTTCCTCTCAATCTGTTGATCAGTCGGTCCTCCGTCGTCGTCGTCAGCCTTTTCTTTCGTCGACGACGTGCTACTAGGGCCCTTCTCTGACAAACATCCCTCTTGGACTCGTTCAAACTCAGGAGTAGCGCGCGCGACGCACAGATCAAATATCAACCGCTAGAATTGAGGGGGTAAAACGACTGTGGGCCATACGCCCCACGTGTTGCTGATGATCTCTTCGGGTCAACCAACCTCCACTCTTGGGGCATAACCTCTCTTCATTCAACTCAATCAGCGGAACGAGAGCGATCGCAGCAGGCACCCACGCGACGAGAAGCACCATGGCAGACGAAGGAACGCAGCCCCTGAGCGGCGCCGAGGCGCAGCTGCTCGAGGCACAACAGGCCCAGCAGGCGGCCGAGTCCCAGACGGGCACGCAGCCCATTGCACGCACCGCCGCGACTCAAGACCCCACCGTCGTCGATCCGCGCTTTGACAGGGTAAGCGTCTTCTTCCTAGCTCTTTTGTACGGAGAGAGAAGGTCTCGCTGACTATGTGAGGGTTGAAACAGGACGACCTACGACAGGGAAAGCCTGCACCGGCCGTCCGAAAGGGATACATGCCCAGGAAGATCAAGGTGCGGCGCCCGCGTCACCTTAAGGGCACGCCGTTCAAGCAAAAGGGAGTTGCGGCAAGCGGCGCGGCCAATGAAGGCGCCAAGACGGACGAAGAGGCCGAGGAGGCTGACCTGACGGACGATGTGAGCCCGCTTATCCCCAGTGCATACAGAGACCACCCGAGCTGACGTGAGACCATGCTCAAAAAGGAAGTTGAGATCGAGGAGGAAGAGGTGGGTGACGTGGCTGGTCGTCCTTCGGCAGCTTTGAGCAGAGATACTAACAGGCTGCTGCTTCACAGGTGGAGCCCGAGGAGAAGGAAGAGAAGAAGAGCGGTGGACTCCTCAGCAAGATTACTGGCAAGTAGCAACACTGATAGTTTGTCGTCGTGTAGAGATGTACCGCATTGCAACGAAGCGCATTTTGCTATGAGCCCGGTGGTCCCTCTGCCTCTTTATCAAACAATGATCTTCAAGGTACGAACGATGTGGAAAATTACAGAAGGGGAAAAAGAAGAAAGACTACTCAGAGCCTTCCAGTGGCTACCTCGTTCCTGTAGCGAAGAGGGTCAGCGGAGCGTATCTGAAGTATGAGAATGGCGTGATCACTCACTTCATCCGGAGAATCTCAAGGTAGGGGAAATACATGACCAGCTGTGGCCCTGTCAGCGTCCGTCTCTTCTCGCTCGCGAGCGGCTCTCTTGTCTCACCTTGTTGCTGCCGTAGCAATCCGCCCTCGCCTTAGGAGCGACGCGCTTCGCGAGCTCGGTGGCCACCTCGAGCGTCTTTTTCGCCCCGCCCTGCTCGCCCTGCGCAGGCGCGATGATGTCGATGATGCGCTCCGCGAGGGCCTCTTTGGCGCCGAAGCGGTGCCCCTCGAGGACGACCTTGCGCATAAGCACGTTGCTCGTCATCTTCGACGACAGTGCCGCATACAGGCCGGGCGGGATCTGAGCGCCAAAGTCGATTTCGTTCATCGAGAGGTAGCCCTTTGCGCCATTAAAGACGCGGTAGTCGTGCGCCATCGCCAGCCCAAAGCCCGCCGCACTGTCTCTCACGCTCAGCCAGGGATTACGTTTGGCAGGGGCAGAGAAAGTAAGTGAACTCACAACGCATGCCCGCCAATGGACGCGACCGTGGGGATAGGGAACGAGAGGAGCTTCTCGTAGACCTTGTTGAGGTGCGTGTCGAAGAAGTTGGGGTCTGAAATAGCATTTTCAAAGTCGAGCCTGCCGTCCTCGTCGTCAGTCAAAGAGTCACACCGCCAGCAGGGCACGGAAGCTTAAACGGAAGGGGAAAAGCCTACGCACCCGTTCGAGTAGAACTTGGCACCCTCGACGATCTGGCCCGTCGTAACGAGGGCCGCACCGCCCTTTTTCTCCTCGTCGGACAGCGTCCGGTCCCACTCTTGCTCGACATGCTCCAGCGCGGCAAGGATCGCATCGAGGAACTTGTGCGTGAGCCGGTTGTCGGGCGTCTCGCCGCCAGTGAAGGTGACGGTATAGATGATGGGCGACGAGGAGGATCGCTCCAGTGTCAGGAGGGCCTTGCCATCCTTGGGAAAGTTGGTCGTTGTCATCACTGCAGAAGATAGGGACCTCTGGCGAACGTCGAAGGCAGCAGGAGTGGGTGATCAGAGACCCGAGGTACTCAGCCCGTGCAGATGCTTGCTGCATTCATTCATACGCAGGATCTCGGCTTTCGGCTTACGGGACGCGTCCTGGGCCGGCGCCCTTACCCCCCTTTCCCTGACACAATCACGACGTCTTCAAGCGCGGGTGTTGTCCTTGGATATCTCCTATTTTGCAATAGCTAGCTTTGGTTGTGGGGAATAATACAGCAAAGGCAAGAGAGAGATTGAAAAATGAATAAAAGAACAGAATCCAAAGTCCAGTTTACCGTCTGGGCATCGACAAGCGTGTCGGTGTGCTCGGCGATGCCAGAACGGAGCCGTTTTCCCTGCGCTTCCTCCTCCGGAGAGACTCGGCCGAGGATGGCTCCTCTCGAATCGCGGCGATGAGGGGCGCCGTGACTCTGAGCAAGGCGACGCTGTTTCCAAATGAGAAAGCCAGCTTGCTCTTTCTCTTAGACGACGGCGTAGGCCTGTTCTCGACGCAAAGTACCGACGATGCTCTGATTCTTGTAAATGAGAGCCGCTGTGCCTCGCCGATGAGATTTTCCTCAATGTCCAAGGGTATCCTCCTCGTAAATTGATCCGTCCACCCTCCTAACACCGGTCCTGGTCCTCCCACTTGATGCTGATGCAGAAGCAGACGCGCCAAATCCATCTGCCATACCTCCCACCGGGCGCTGGACGGGTCTTCGTACGCATTCGACAACGAGTCGGTCCTCCTGCACACACCCAGCAATTTTGCCGCCCCGTCCTGCATTCCGACAATGTCCGCGCCGCCCCTCGGACTGACTACGGAAGCTAGTCTGACGACCGCGCCGATCTCCGCAGGCACCTCGCCCACCTCGTCCTCCCCTACAGCCTCGTCGTGATCGTCATGTGAGTCCTGAGAGAAATTCGACGACGTCTGATCTGTGAAGCTGCGCCTGCGGCTGCTGTGAGACCCAACGCGCTGGTGCTTTTCGAACCCGTTCGTTTGTGCCACGGTAGGGTCCGGCGAGAGCGAGCCGCCATTTGACAAGCCATTTGACGTTGAGCCCAGCCTTCGCATCGGGGTGCGCAGATGTGTCGGCGAGGGCGGCGCCAATCCTTCCTGTTGTTGACCATTAACTCTTGCAATCTGGCTTGTGCCAAGTGCCAACACGGTCACCATTGAAGAGCTGCTAGCGACGACGACATCGACCAGCTTGGAGAATTCCTCCCCTCTCGAGAAAGCCAACCGACGACTCGGGACAGTCTTCAACCTCGTCACCGGTCCGTCGTTCAGCTCGATCCTCGCCACTTCCTCTCCGCTCACAACGTCCCAAGCTACAATGGTACCCTTTGTGGTGCCCGCGATGATTGTCTTGTCCATCGCAGAGCCGCCTCGTGTCACCGAAGTAGAAACGCTTGCCCTCGAAAAGGAGAGCGAGGACAGGGCAGCACATCGAAAGAAGACACCGGGCTCTTCCTGCACACCCAGAAGCACATCGAAGCGCTCGTCGACGACTCGGCCTACGACCATGCGTCGGTCGGAAGAGCAGAGGGCGATGCAGTCACCGGCGTCCACTGCGGTCCACGCTACTCCCTCGGTCTGTGCAGCATTCCGCACCGCGACTGGCCGCTTTGTAACGCTGCGCGCATACAGGCTGCCGTCCCGGTGAACAGAAACGACTCTCGCTTCGTTGTTTCCAACATCGTTGGGCGGAAGGATCTTTAGATATTGGACCCGACTCGGACTGGTCGTTGCCGAGGACGGACCCTGATACGGACGCAATGTGGCCAGATGGAGAAGCGCGACATCGCCCGAGGCAAAGCCAACCACCACGAGGTCCCACTCTGATGAGGCATCAAGGGCTGTGATAGCAGAGGCAGGAAATTGGCGGACGGTCGTCCGCCCACCGACACCGGCGGTGGCTCGTTTCGTCGGGGCCGATGCCATGGAGGAAGACGGTCGCCAAACACTCAGCGAGGAGTCTGTCGCAGCGCTCACGACGTAACCTCCCGTCGTAATGACCAGTTCCACATCCGTCGCATGTGCCTTTGGACCGATGGACAAGCTCAAGTTCAGGTCGTCTTGCTCATCGTCATCGTCGCCGTTGTCCGCCCGATCGGAATCGTCGTCATCATCACTCGCTCTCATCTCATCTTCACCAGCGTCCGACTTGTTTCGCTGCGCGTCGAGAAGCTCAGTGTCCTTGAGCAGGTACAGTAACACCACCCATAGGATGGCCGTAGTGCCGGCGATTGGCAGGACGACGAGCTTGATGAACCAGATAATGGCCCTCACCCTGGGACGAAAGAGCGCCCAGCTGGCAAAGGGGACCACGTTGGGCCTCGTGCCAGACGACCTAAGCGACACAACCGTCCACGGCTCGACGAGAACCCGGATAGTTGGCGCATCGGCGGGGTTCAGCGCCTGCCAAAAGGACGCAGAGGGTGAGTCGTGCCACCAGGGAGCCCTCGACACCTCGGATGCGAGGTGAGAATAAGGGTCGAAGGCCGTCGCGGTGGTAAGAGATGAGGACGAGGTCGAAGACGATGGAGTCGACAAATTGTGCTGCTCTTTAAACGGGTACGAGTGGTGGGATGGATAGCCTGACCCGTGATAGAGATAGATGCCAAACATGAGGGCGAGGAGCAGCGACAGGCTCAAGGTTCTCGCCGTCCTCGCTCGCCACATGGTCCGGCAGCTCATTGCAATGATATTCTCGCCCGGAGTCTTCTTCTTCTTGACATCGCCTTCGTCCGAAGAGGCCAGGCCTGGAGATGAGGAAGTGACGGATGCGTTGTCGTCGTTCTCACCGCCATCTAGCCCGCCTTGCGAGAGAAGGTCGGCGAGCTGTGTCTCGCACATTCAGCATCGAGACCTCTTTCATTTATACAAAGATTGCTCTATATGCGACTCACCTCTAGCCGCTGCATGTCAATGCTGAGGACTGTGACGTAGAATGTCATCTGCATAAAGTAATCGACGATGAGGGAGAAGATGGCAAAGATGCAGAACTCTCGGACGGCGCGTACGTCGACGACCATGGCGATCGTGGCCATGAGCAGAACGTCGGAGAGCACCGTCACAGTGACGGTGACGCCGACCTTTGCGAGCCCGGCTGCGACCCGACTGGGCACGGTGAGCGAGACGGGTGTCGAGTAGACGGCTTGTGTCAGGGTGAACATGTTTTCCGATCCAATCACGACGACGACAAAGGGCAGAATCTCCCAGGGCACGAGTGTAAGGCGGATGCCGCTGAGCGCACACACGCTCACGGCCAGCGTCATGCTGATGATGAGCTCGATGATGCCGGTGAAGGCGAGACCGAAGCGTGAGTGAACCTTGCGCATCCTCATGAGGCTGCGCGAGATCCAGACGAGGACAGCGAGGTAGCCCATGGCTAGAAGGGCGCCCTGCCTCGCCGACGTCTTCTTCGAGAGGCCCGGAACAAATTGCAGCTGAAGCTCCTTTGCCGACTTGTGCTCGGACCGAACAATTGACACTTGCCCGCCGGTGACTGTCTGCAGCATCTTGATCCAGGCCCGATGACTCTCGGTCTCTTCTCGCTGCCTCTTTAATGGCTCCCGGCTGCTCGACTTGCTGCACGCCTCCTCGTCCGTCTCGAGAAAGAAGGTCAGAGCGAGGTGGTCCGCACGGGGCAGCTTGGTAAAGAGATGGCTCCTGCCTGCCAGCGTTGTCGTGAGGCTCAGAGGCACGCCCTGGTCGGTCAGATTGAGCTTGGAATTGAGGATGGTCGAAGTCGGGGCAAGGTCCGAGAGCAGTGCCTGGTCGTCATGCGACCAGAAGGAGAGCGGCGAGAGGCTGAGGCAGCCGCCCTCGTATTGCTGTTGCTCGTTTTCCCCTGCTTCTTCCCCTGGAAGCTGACCGGGTCGGACGCACGTGTGGTTCGTCGAGATGCTGGCCTCGATGGCCCGCTGCAGGTTGAGAGCCGAGTGGAGGATGGGGACATCGAGAGCACCATAGCGAGGACCCAGACCCAGCATGACGTCGTCGGTCGTCACAAAGACGTGTTCGACAGTGACTACGCGGCACTTTTGGCCCTCCTCCTCCTTTTTGGCGGCCTCGTCGCCGTCCCCCTCGCCGTCGTCGTGTGGCTGCGGAAAGAGGCCCAGGGGCGAGGGTGTCATTGCGCCGAGAAATGATCTGGCGTCGCGGGCGTCGACGGCGCGAAGGTCGGGTGCATCGTCCCAGATCATGCGCAGGTCTCGGAGACTGTTGTGGTGCTTGCGCCCGCTGCTGGCAAACGAGTCTAGGAGCGGGGTGCTGAGGCTGCGCCAGACGCTCCTTGCATCGCCTCGCGTCACGCCCGGCCCGCCTTTTGAGCTCCAGAGGTATATGCCGACGGCGGGATAGAAGAGCGACGTGATGATGAGGCAAGCGACGAGGAGCGTCTGGATCGGGTGCTTGGAGATGTAGCGGCCGTGCCTGCAGAAGCCGCGCTCGAGCGTCACGACGAGCTTCGGCGGCAGGTCGGTGATGTTGGTCAGGAGCGTGCGCCTCGCCTTTGCCTTTGTCTTTCTATTCTTCTTCATCGTCCTCTTGGCACCTATCGACTCGACACCGGCCCTCCGTCGCCGTCGGCCCACATCGCCTGGCCTGGCCATCCCCGTCGCAAGCACCGGCGCAAACCGTCGCTGTCTTGCTGCTGTTGTCGTTGGAGGCAAACCTGACGAAGTCGAGCCGCTGGCCATCATAGAGGGCGGCGTCGTCGTCGTCATGCCATCGCCATCTCCTCTGAGGCTGGTCCAAGGAGTAGGAACGAGGCACCGAGCTTATGGGGAAGAAGCAGCCAAGAGTTCAAGAAATTAAAAAAGTGATCCCAATATCCCGCCTGGCGACTACACTACAACTGCTCACCCACGGGCCTCTTACTTTATTCGTTAGGTCGGACCCTCCGGTCTCGGATCGAGGCTGCCGTTTTGGCTCAGCCGATATTTACTAGCGACTTTTTGGTTTCCAAGTAGGTGTTTGCCCGCGCATCTCGACGTCTATCTGTGTCATTAATGCGCGCACGCACGTAAGCAAGGCGACTTCTGCTTCTGCTTCTGCTGACACGGTACGGTACCGTGTGTGCGTGTTTGTGAGTGTGTGTGCCTTGCAAAACCGGCTGGCTTTCGGGCCCGCGTTGGAGTGTGCCTGTGCAGTTTTCCACGACGGAATATTGATGCTGCTGCTCTTTTCACAGCCACAACAGGTAGACGAGACATCGTGCCAGTCGTTCGACGTCATCATCAGCCCACAAGCGCTCATGGCGGTGCCTATCTCCGCAAGACATCATCGCCTCCCGGAGAACCACGGGAGCATGATCCATGTTGAGACTTTGAGCGTCACAAAGCAAGGCTACACAACCCGGCAGCTCGGCCGTGGGAATAAACAAGATCGACAGTCATTTTTTCATTTCATCTTCTCGCCTTTTCGATATCAAAAAAGAGAAGAGAAGGGAGCAGTCTCACCCTCTTCTATAATGTGTGTGTGTGTGAGAGAGAAAACAAGGGATCCAGGGCCTTTACTTCTTGACAAAGGCCTCGAGGGCGTCGAGGCTCATCGACTTGGGCCTCTCGATGGGCAGGCCCAGGGCTCGGTCCATGACGAGCTGGGGCAGGGCACCGATAGCCCTCGAGATGCCGAAGATGACCGTGTAGTAGCTCCACTCCTTGAGCCCGTACTCGTACAGGACACAGCCCGAGGCGGCATCGACGTTGGGGTAAGGGTTCTTGGTCTTTCCGTGCTCCTTGAGCACTTCGGGCGCCACCTTGCTCGTCTTCTGCACAAGCTGGACGATGCTCGAGTTCTTGAGCTCAGGCCTCGTGTCGCAGAAGCGCGACAGCGCGCTGAACCTGGGGTCGGGCATCCTCAGCACGGCGTGGCCGTAACCGGGGACGACTCGGCCCGACTTGAGCGTCGACCAGAGGAACTCCTTGATGTCCTCCTCGCTGGCGTTCTTGCCAACCTTCTCCTGCATGCCGAGCGCCCAGCCGAGCACCTCCTGGTTAGCGAGACTGCAGAAGCATTGTTAGCTCTCTGAGCGCATAGATCGAGACAAGAACAAAACCAACTCACCCGTGAAGAGGACCAGCGAGACCGAGGAGGGCAGCAGAGTACGACAGGTAGGGATCCGAAAGGGCACTGCCAACCAGGTCTGTTTACAAGATTGTCAGCCGTGATCACTCGGGAATACATTCTCTTTATTTCCGTGACTCACGGGCAGTGTGGGCCGAGACGTTGCCGCCCTCGTGGTCGCCGTGGATGGCAATGTAGAGGCGGAGGTAGTCGGTCATGCCCTCGTTGTCGCCGTAACCGATCATCTCCGAGTAGTTGCCGATGAGGTCCTTCTTGGGGTCGATCTTCTGGACGCCGTCACCACGGCCAAAGACGTTGTAGTAGATGCGCGCAGCAATGGCCGGCAGCTTGGCAATCAGGTCGATCGAGTCATCGAGCGTGGGCTTCCAGTACTCGGTCTTCTTGATGCCGTCCTTGTAGCCCTGAGCGAACTTGCTGTCGTGGTTGAGGGCACCGACGGCACCGGCGAACTGCGTCATGGGGTCTGCAAGAGAACGAAAGCGTTTTAGCTTGTCAGATTCAAAAACAAGGGCAAAGAAGAAGGATACCCACGAAGCGTCTTGGGGAACGAGTCGATGATCTTCTCGACGTACGAAGGCAGCTTGCCCTTGGCAGCCAGCTCCTCGGAGAGGCCCTTGACCTCCTCCTTGGAGGGCACGTTTCCGGTGAGCAGCAGCCAGAGCATCGACTCGGGGACTGTATGCGTTCAGAATAGTCAGTGACAACAAGCCTAGCGAGACGGATGGATCAGAAATTTATAACGCACGCATCTCCTTGCCCTGCAGGCCGAGGTCGCCGGCACCAGGGAGCACCTTCTCACAGTCGGGGATCGACTTTCCGTGGAAGGTAATGCCGGTGTTGGCGTCGAGGACGGAGCCCTCCCAGAGCATGACCTTGAGCCCACGCATACCACCGATGAGGTTCTCGACCTTGATGTCGCCCAGGCTCTTGTCGCCGTGCTCGGAGCGGAACTTCTTGAGCTGCTCCTGCTTCTGCGGCACGACCTCTGCGACGGCGTCCTTGAGCGACTTTGTCGAGGCGTATCGCACGGCCTGGCTGGCAGCCAGCTGCTGGCGCGCAGGCATCGCAGCGCGCATCGCCGCGCGGTTGATGGTGAGAGAGATCATCTTACAATCAAAGGAGGTAGGAAGGGGTTAAGGATCGACGAGATGGAAGATGTTGGTGAAAGAGAGATAGAAAACAGTTCCGCCGATAGACCGGTTCTCGGCTCGCTCTTCCTCGATCCCTCTCTTTTTGTTGTGCGCCATTTTCCTCTTTTTTTTTTTTCCACCCCTTCTTCGCGCGCTCTCAACTAGCCGGCTCGCTGGATCTGTGCGCGATTCTTGGGATCCGGCCTCTTCCGCCCACCAAAAATTATACATGCAAAAACTCCACGCGACGGTTTCACGCCGGACCTGTCCCCTCTCCACCCTCGGCTTTGACGATGCCGTATCAGATATTTCCTCGTCACCCGAATAATGGCCATTGACTAATGTCACAAATGTGCAGTGTTGTTACAGGGTCCCCACGACCGTTCACGACGAACACAACCTCCTCTTTATGGCCTGCAGCGCTCGGGTCACCTCCTCAACGATGGTCAGCATGGGCGCATCATGAACTTCTTTCCGGATTGAAAAGATGTACGCATGGCCTGGTTGCAGGTGTCAGTGTTCCTTCCCTTTTCACAAAAAGTGCCAGCTCCTTTCTTCCCCACCCTCTCACCTTGAGTCAGTCCATCGCCCGACTGGAATGTCTTGCCCTCTAGCGCCGTCCGAAAAGCAGCGTTGAATCTCGTCCGACAGCGGTTGCGGTAGACTGCGCTCTTGTGCACGTTCTTCTTGGACACGAGCAGCAGTGTCGGCACCACGGTCCGGCTGAGTTTTTCTCTTCGCTTCTGGAGCCGAACTTCTGGCGTGTCCTGCTCCCCATCGTAGTACGTCTCTCCCTCGTCACCCTCGTCGCCATCTTCGCCATCTCCTTCGCGCCACGTCTTGCCAACCTTGAGCCGCTCCCAGGCGTGCTTCTTTTTAAGCAGCCCCCCCTCGGCCGCCTCCTGCGGCAGTGATGGAGCGCGGGCGTACAGGTGAGCGACGTTGCCCTTGATCGGCCTCACAAAGAGGGAAAGAGCGACGTCGAGTGTGACGCCGTCGCGCCAGACTGGCCTATTCGGTTGGTCCTCTCACGCGGGATCGCCCGGGGCACCAGTGATCCCAGCAGCCGTGGCGGCGGCCTGGCACGCTTCAGACGGGCCACATGGAAGCTCACATTCTTCTGAACCATCTCCTTCTCTCCGTCTGCCCCACTCCGCACAGGGAGAGAGTGCAGCGCAAGCAGAAGATGGTGGCAGTAGTGATGCACGTGACGCGCTCCCCCCGCCGGCGTTGTGCCTGAAGTGGCCCAATTTTTATTTTTTATTTTTCTTCGCTCTCTTTCGGCGGACCCATGGGATTAAGTCCGATCCAGTAGAAACAAGGGCATTTTTTGACAAGGGCAGGAAAGATCCGTTTCCTCTGCTGATTCTCGACACTGCAAGAAAGGCAAGGCGTGGGCCGGACAATTCTGACGGCCCCCACCCCGCTCTTTCCCCTCGACAACCCACACTCCGCGACCTCCATCCTGTGGTAGGGCTGCGTGAGCCAGTGAGTGAGTGAGTCAGTCAGAGGGAGACGATGTCGCAAAGGTCCAGCGCGCGGGCACCAGCGCCGGCAGCGAAGGCCAAGCCGGCGCCCTACCCCTTCTGGCTTGGCGGTGTGGCCGCCTCGATTGCGGCGCTGGGCACACACCCGCTCGATGTCGCAAAGACACGAATGCAGACGGCGCGAGAGCGGCCAGGCCTCGCGGCGTCCTTTATCAATGCCGCCAAGACCGACGGCATCGTGGGTCTCTATACGGGTCTGAGCGCGAGCATCTTCCGCCAGATGACCTACTCTGTCGTGAGGTGAGTGGTGACTCTTCCTCGGAAAGTGCGAAAAGGGAAAAGGGGACTGACAATTGAGCACATTGTCAGGTTCGGAGCATATGATGCCATCAAGGCGCGCACCAAGCCCACGGTGACGTACGACAAGACAACGGGAAAGCCCAGCGAGAGGATACCGGGCTGGAAGCTGGCGGGCATCGCCAGTGTCGCCGGTGTCGCGGGTGGGATAGCTGGCAACCCCGCCGACATCATCCTCGTGCGCATGACGTCGGACATCAACAAGGAGCCCGCCCAGCGCTATCGCTACCGGAACGCGCTCCAGGGCCTGTATCGCATGGTCACAGAGGAGGGCGTCGCTGCGCTCTTTCGCGGCGTGGCGCCCAACTGCGTGCGCGCACTGCTCATGAACACGTCGCAGATTGCAACCTACGACCTTGCAAAGGACGGCCTCCTCAAGACGGGCTTCTTCAAGGAGGGCACCTGGCTTCACTTTAGCGCCAGCTTCATTGCAGGCACCGTCGCGACGACTGTATGCTCGCCCGCGGAGTGAGTTCTCGTCTCTTCCAGTCTGCCCCGCTGCTCTGTATGCGCTTGCTCACAGCTTTTGTGCTTCTGCCACAGCGTCGTCAAAGCACGGGTCATGAGCGCGAGCTCCAATGGCAGCGGCGGGGCCAGCATGCTCACGAAGCTAAACCGCGCCATCCAAAAGGAGGGCGTCGGGTTCCTCTTCCGCGGATGGACGCCCGCATGGGTCCGTCTGTCTCCCAATGTGCGTACCCCCTTCCCTCTCTCTACTCCTTGGCCTCTCTTTGCCGGCTGCTCACAACCACCGTTTCTTAACCAGACGATCCTCATCTTTGTAACGCTCGAGAAGCTGCGTGTCCTCGTCGACGTCTCGCGCGAGAAGCGCGGAGTGCCCTCTGCAAGAACAGCTTCCTCCTCATGATCCTTGCTCTCCGATCCGATAGACACACTGATACAGAGTTCTCCTCGCCACTAGACGGCGCCAGTCTCCCAATGTACATTTGTTTCGTTTCCCGTTCAATGCCACAGCAGAATCTATCTCATCGCAGCGTGTTTCGGATATGGGTGCGGAGTGCAGCAAAGGGCGACGCTGTGAAGGCCTTGTCGGACAGGATAGCCTTTTGCCGTGCCTCTTCCTCGGAGCTGCCGTCCTTGTCAGCAATGTGCTGTGCTGTGCTCTGTGCTCAAGGCCCTCTCCCACTGGCCAGCAACTCACAGAACGTTGCGTCTCTTCTTGGCGCTCACTTTGCCATGCCTGCCCACGGTCTCGTACGCGCCCTGGTCAGGTCCGTGCACATCGCGTGCTCCCTGCTGGCCGACCTCTGCTGCCTCTTCATCGTCGCCCTCCTCCTCCAAAGCCATCAACTCCTCCTCGACGCCTTCGAGCGCCTCGCCAATCTCGCGCACGCCACCGCGCCGGCCCATCTCGTCGTCTCGCCCCACATCGTCCCTCGCTCTCCGCTTCCTGCGCCTCAATGCGCTCTTGCTGACCGTGTCTCCCTGTCCGAAGCCCACATCTGGCCTGCTTCTGCTGCTGCTGCTACCACCACTGCTGCTTGAGCCGGGCGCGACTTTGGAGAGGAGCTCGGCACGCTTGGCGGCGCGCTTGGCCGCTTTGGACACCTGTGCCTGCTGCTTTGCCTCGCGCGACTCGACGACGTCCTTGACCGACGGCCTGTCCCGCCGCCGAGCCGGCGTCGGTCTGCCAGGGAGCGATGCGGTGCGTGCCTGTCCGATACCAAGCCTTTGTCAGCTTGCCATGCTTTCAGTCAAAGGAGAGCCTCCTGGCCATGCGCTCACCATCTCCTCTCCTCTATAAAGGAAAGAAATGATGCCTGTCTCGCTCGCGCGCACTAAACTTTCGAACCAAAGGGAAAAAAAAGTTTCTGGCCGTGGAGGGAGGGACGACACGTGCTTATGAGCCTAAACTCAGAGTGGCGGCTGCGAGGGCAGCAGCGCACGCAGCTGGATTATTGGCAGCAGCCACCACGATCCAGCCCGGGGGACAACGGCTCATGGGGGACCATGCAAGCTATCGGATCCACATTAGCTTACATTCAACAACAACAACAAATAGAGACGGGCACGAGCAACAGAGCAAGGCTGCTGCCGCCGACTTTTTCCTGATCTCGCTTCGGGACTTGCCGAGGGCCGCCGCCGCGAGCAGCACCACTGCTGCTGCTGCTGCTGGTTACCAACACGCACCGGACCCCCGCCTCTCCCAACTGACCATTGCTGCGCTCGACATGCCGTCGCCCAGCACTGCAGCAGCCGATGCCAAGCAGAGCAGAGCGATGCATTCAACAGACGCAAAGCACAAGGCGACGACGCCCGTGGCCCGCTTCGAGAAGCAGAGCTCCTTCGCCGTCGACACGGTCGATGTGTCTTTTGGCATCGTGCACATGTTCCGCGACGATGATGTCGCCCAGCAGGCGTCGTCTGCGTCCGCGTCCGCGTCGTTGAAGCAACAACAAAGCTCGACGCTGAGCCGCATCAAGACCAAGACGGCGCTCGAGGACGACAGCGGCACCATCCTCGCCCTGCTCGGCGTGCCGTCGATCATGGGGCCGGCCGAGGTGCTGCGCTTCGTCAACCGCGCCGAGTCGGCCATCAGTCAGGTCAGAATGGTCCGCGAGGAGCGCGCGGGAAAGTGCATGGTGCTGCTCAAGTTCCGCGACGCCGCCAATGCGGAGGAGTTTCACAAGATGTACGCCGACCGGCCCTTTGACGTGTCGGGCTCCGACGGCCAGGAAGACGGCGGCGGCGAGGGGCACCAGACGCTGTGCCGAGTCGTGTATGTCACGGCGGTGACCATGAGCACGTCGGCGAGCCTGCCGTACGCCTACCCGCTCCTGGCCAACAGCGACCCGTGGCCCCTGCCGCCTGGCTCGGCTTCTTCCGCTGCAGGCGGGCATGGCGGCAGCAGTGGCGTCGAGATGCCCACGTGCCCCGTGTGCCTCGAGAGGATGGACGCGAGCGTGACGGGCCTCATGACGGTGACGTGCCAGCACACGTTCCACTGCTCGTGCCTGGGCCGGTGGACCGACTCACGCTGCCCCGTGTGTCGCTACACGCAGTCGAGAGGCCACTCTGCGTTTGCGCACCGCCACGAGGACGAGGGATGCTCCATCTGCCACACCCAGGCCGATCTCTGGGTCTGTCTCATCTGTGCCACCGCTGGGTGCGGGCGGTACAAGGCCGGCCACGCGCACGCGCACTACAAGGAGACGGGCCACCTCTTTGCGCTGGACGTCGAGACGGAGCGTGTGTGGGACTACGGCCGAGACGGTTATGTGCATCGGCTTATCCAGAACAAGGCCTCGTCGTCGTCGTCGTCTTCCTCGAAGCGCCACTCGGACGGGCCGACGCCGAGGGGTACGCAGCAGGAGCAAGAGCAGCAGGAGCCAGAAGGAAGCTCGACAAAGACGCGGAAAAAGGCCGCGGAGGAGGAAGAGGACGAAAAGATGGAGGCGCTGGGCCTCGAGTTCAGCCAGCTCGTGTCGAGCCAGCTGGAGTCGCAGCGGGGCTTCTACGAGGACCAGCTGCGGAGCATGGAGACGAAGCTGATTGAGCTCGAGATCCACGCGGCGCAGTCGAGCGACGACCTCCGTGCGCGCAGGCTCGGCGAGGAGGCCGCCAGGAGGGAGGCGGCCGAGGCCAAGAGCCGCGCCGAGCATCTGGCGCGTGCGGCTGAAAAGAACGCCGAGCGGGCCAAGGACCTCGACGTGGAGCTCAAGGCCGAGCGGCAGATGAGCAAGGGCCTCGTCGAGCGGCTGAGGCGCGTCGAGGAGCAGCAGGCCAAGGAGGACTGGGCGGCGCTCAAGCGCGACAACGAGGAGCTGCGGGAGCAGGTGCGCGACCTCATGTTCTTTCTCGATGCCAAGACAAAGGTCGAGCAGGAGGGCGGCGAGGAGATGCGCGGCGGCGACGTCGTCGTGGGCAAGTCGTCGGAGAAGAAGAAGAAAAAGAACAAGCGACGAAAGGGAAAGGCAACGGCCACGGTGGGTGGGACGTCGAGCCAGGCTGAGCACGACAAGGAAGGGAGCGAAGGCGAGGAAGAGGAGGAGGAAGAAGAAGGTGGAGACGACGATGATCAAAACAGAGAACCCCCAACTGTACAATAACAAATTGCAATTGTAGATATCTAGGATGACGATGCAACGACAGAGTCAAGAAAGGTCCAGAGGGCCTTTTCGCGTTTGAAGTCGTGGTGCACGACAGTGACGAGCCACCGCTCGTCGCCGATGCGCCGGAGAAGCTCGCGCGTGGGCGAGCCCTTGGCAAAGAGGAGCTCCCACTCTGCCCAGATGGCAAAGGCCTCGTCCTGTGGAAAGAAAAGGGTAGACTGTAGGTCAGCATAGTGTCACCAGACTGAGAAGGGAAGAAAAGACGCACCCGCCAGGCCTTGAAGCTCTCCTCCTCGATGATTGTGCTCTGCACGATTTCCTGGCCAGGAAAGACGGCCCATGTGACGGCATTGACGTCGCCCTCGCGCATATTGGTGACAAAGTCGCCCCTGCGATTCCCTGCAAGAAACGTGATCCACCCTTCCTCGCGCCCAGCGCTTGCAGCGATGCGCTGCTGGAGCGCCGCGAGGTGCTGCCCCGTGGCAAAGAATTCGACAAAGGCCTTTTGGAAGACGTGGCCCGCCTTGGGCCCGAAGCCGTAGGTGGGGTCCGACGAGTCGACGCCGTCGACGGCGGGTTGCGAGCCGACGGTCCACCAAGTCCTCTGCGCCGAGTTGAGCGAGAGGAGCTCAGACCGGATCGATGCCGTCTCGTCCATGATGGGGCAGTCGCACCAGGGAATCGACGTCCGTCGACCGCACAGGTAGTCGCAAAAGATCGTCGACACGTCCGCCTCGGCGAGGGGAAAGCCCCAGAGCCGGAGGGCCTCTTGTGGCGCCACTTTGAGACTCACGCCATAGCCGTCGAGCTCGCCGTACGCTGGACTCCTTGAGTCACCGTATCGTCCGTTTGGAAATTCGTCCCAGGGCTGCTGGTCGGGGAGCAATCCTCCTGGGCCCTTTTGCACGGCAGTCTTTGGGGAGACCCAGCCGAGCGATTCGAGTAGCCCGCGTACGCTCTTTTCCAGGTTCAGCGTACAGATGTGGAAGCCGCGAATGTCCGTCTCGTCGCACAGCCGACGAATAATGTTGGTCGCCTGTCGCACACCAAATTCTTTGACTGCCGCATCGTCGTGCTGAGAAGAGAGGAATAATGAGAACGTGTGAGAAAGAGGAGCCACAGGGGGGAGAAGGAAAGAGAGAAACGCACCCGAATGGGCTCCAGAGCATCCCAGACAGCCTGGGGGACTTTTGTCTTACACAATGTCGTCATCCTCCGGAATGACTGGTAGTTTTGTATCGGCATGATGCCAGGGAGGATTGGCAGAGTGATGCCGCGGGCCCGGCAGGCAGCGTACCAGTGCACGAATGCGTCGACATCGTAGAAAAGCTGCGTGACGATAAAGTTGGCACCTGCTCGCTGCTTCTCGAGAAGATAGTCGATCTCTGCTGACGAAGACGAAGACGAGGAGGAGGCTGCATCGGGGTGCATCTCGGGGTAGCCTGCCGTTGCGCGCATGCATAGTCAGCCCACTGCCGCTTCACCAAGCTTGCGCACCTGAAGGAGCTCACCTGCCACGCCGATGCAGAACTTGTCTCCGTGCCTCTCTCGGATGTAGCGGACAAGGTCGGTAGCATGTTGGAAGCGATCATCGGCGGCGACCCAGTACTCCTGCCCCCTCGGCGGGTCACCCCGCAGCGCGAGAACGTTCGTGATACCCAGCTCAAGTGCTCTCTGGGTTGACAAGACACGTCAGCAACTTTGACTGAAATTGAGCAAGAAGAGAAAGCAAAAATATGCGCACATCCAGTGTCTCGTCCAGGCTGGCCCGCTCGACGTTTGTGCAGGTGAGATGGAGACACGCATTCGTCGCCAGTCTCTCGTCGCTCTGCTTGCGCTGAAACGCCGCAACAAAGTCGGCGTCAGGATCCAAGATGCCGTTCTCGACCCTCGCTGCGAGCTCAAGGCTGGTCCTCTGCGTCGTGCCACCCGCTCCCCAGGTGATCTGGACCCACTCTGGCCGGAGATCGAGGTTCATGCGCGCGATGCGTACATAGAGATTCGCCAGGCCCTGGCTCGTCTTTGGTGGAAAGTACTCGAGCGAATAGAAAGGCCGGTTGGCCGCGACGGCCTTTTCGATGCGCGCAGAGATGTGCATCTCCGCGTGCGACGTGCCGATGTGAGCCGAAGACGACTGCGACGACAGCAACAACCAAAAGACAACGTTGGGAGTGACTGACTTTTCCCCTGCGAAGAAAAGAGTTAATTGTCCATTTCAGCCTGCGCCTTGTCTAGTCTCGGAAATCGGGCTCCTACGATTTCACAGAAAAACAAAGCTGGATCACACTGCCCCGTCGGAGCTATGGGACCGAGGGGGTTCAGAGCGACCGTGCGCAGAGCGGCATAGGAAAGGCCAACGACGCAAGAGCAGAGAGACGGCAGAGGAGAGGAAGAGGCGATGCCGCCGTTTGGGCCGCGGACGAGGCCAGGCACGAGCCCAAGGCCGATCCCGGGCCATGGCATCGGGGCAGGCCCTGGCGACGCAGTGGAGGATGACGACGGCGACTCGCACACGAGCGTGACGAGCCTCCGCTCCCGATTTGAATCGCTCTCTCGCGGTTCCTCATCGGCACCCACTTCGTCGCAACACTCACCCTCGCTCTCGTCATCCCTTTCCGCCGACAGTCTCTTCCCGAGGCAGGCGGGCAGATCGCCACCGCCGCCCATTCCAACGAGGCCCTCGTCGTCGGCGCTGGAGCCGCCTGCTCTGCCTCCCAAGCTCCCTGCTAGGAACGCCTCATCATCTTCGCTGTCGATGCCTACCACGCCACACTTTAGTCTCTCTCCGAGCAGCGACCCCTTACGAGAGGCCTTAGCGAGCAGCTCATCCTCGCCATCTATGTCACCACCCTACGGTAGCCCACTGCCTCCCCCTCCGTCATTGACGCTCCCACCACCGCCGGTCCGTAAGGGTGGAGTCGCTTCCGCTTCGAGATCACTGCCTAAGCACCCGACATCGACGTTGGGCGTGCTCGGCGATCGGTTGCTCCGGTCGACTGTCTCGCAAGGCAAGGCCCTGTCGCTGTCGGTGCCCCATCATCGGAATCGAGGGAAAAGCGGCGGCGGCAGCAGCGGTGGTGGCAGTGGTGGTGGCTCCTCAACGCCATATGGCGAGAGCAGTTCGTCGGATGAAGAACTGACCGAAGAGGATTCGCCGAGGGTGTCTTCATCTGCGCCAAGATCGATGGCCGAGGACTTGCCAGATGCATCAAAGGCGAATCGGAGACCGCCAGCCTTTACACCCCCACTCCTAGCCCAGTGGAAGCCACACTCATCGTACCACGCCGTCGTTGCCGTGTGTGGATCCACCGTCGTTCTTGCGCATGGCGAAAAGCTGCGCATATACCGGCTTGGCAGGGGAGAGGAGCAGGTGCGCACCTTGGAGCACAGCCATGAGATCAAGGTCTCAGCCATGGCTTTCCGACCCGCCGGTGCCGGTGGGGACCGCAACGCAGCGCAGGAGGGCAGATACCTGTGGTGTGGCACCAAGGAGGGCAGCCTCATCGAGTTTGATGTGGCCGAGTCTGCCATCACGCAGACGAGAACGACGGCGCACTCTGCGGCCGTCTGTCTCCTCAGGAGGGTTGGCGATCGCATGATCTCGGTCGACGAGGGAGGGAAGATCTGCATCTGGATTGGGTCGCCCACCATCCAGCTGGGCAATCCGCCCGTGACACAGCGAATTGCCATGGACCGCCACTCGTGTCCTGTCGTGATTGGCGATCAGCTCTGGGTGGCTACGCTGTCGGAACCTGGCCAAGGTGGTGCCAATACGCCGAGAGCACCACGGGTCAGAATATACCAGCCCTTCTATGACGACCGGCCCTTCAATGCCGTTTCAAGGCCCGTCGCGATCCCGCAGGAGCTCGTGAGCTACATCGGACCGGTGACGTGCGGCTCCGTGATTCCTTCGAGGCCCGATGTCGTCTATCTGGGCCATTCGACCGGTCATGTATCTTGCTGGAACAAGACAAAGTACAGCTGCTTTGCGATTCAGCGCATGCCTGCACCCGTCACATCCCTCTGCGGTGTCGGCGACCATCTCTGGTCGGGCGATCGCGAGGGCAAGATCTCAGTCTACGACACCGACTCCTCACCCTGGCGAGCGCTCAAGGTGTGGAACGCGCACGGGGACTCGAGCGTGGCGAGCATCAGCATCGATCCCGTCGCCATTGGTGCAAAGGGCTGCCTACAAGTCTCGAGTGTCGGATTGGACGGCCGCATTCACCTCTGGGATGGGCTGCTGTCGCTGGACTGGATCCAGGAGGGGCTCGAAGAGCGACAGGCTGATTTCAGCGCATACAGAGACCTCAATGTGCTCCTCCTCACCTACAACATCGATGCCCGGACGCCAGACGAGTTTGACCAGGCCAGCGGAGGCAATAATGGCATCGCAGCTCGTCTGACGAGAGCGAACCCGCGGCCAGACATTGTAGCCTTTGGCTTTCAGGAGCTCATTGATCTCGAGAGCAAGAAGCTAGCGGTGGGTCAGAGGTGGTGATCGACGGGATGAGTTGCCTACAGCACTGACACAATCCCGATCAGGCAAAGAGCTTCCTGCTGGGAGGCGGTAAGAAGGGAAAAGGCGTCGAGCTGGGCGAGCGTATCAGCCACCAGTGTGAGCTCCTGTCCCTTCGCAGCTCCTTCAAGCTTTATTCACTGTACTGATCATCCTGGTGTGCATCGTTTCCACAGACCGGGCATGGCAAGACAAGCTTGTGGGCATCGTCGCAGACGTATACGGAGCCGATGAATACATCGTTCTGTTGTCGGACAATTTGGTCGGCCTATTCAGTCTTGTCCTCGTGCGCAAGTCGGAGGTTGCAAATGTGCGAGACGGTGCCGTTGCGAGCCTCAAGACAGGCATGGGCGGGCGCATGGGCAACAAGGGTGCCGTCGTCTCGTCTCTCACTGTCGACGATACATCGTGAGTCTCCTTGATCTCGGAGCTAGCTTGAGCCACACTGACAGCGCCTGATGCTGGCAGCTTCGCATTTGTCAACTGCCACCTCGCCGCAGGCCAAAAGCACGTCAGACAACGGAACGCGGACCTCGTCGGCATTCTTGATGGCGTCTACTTTGAGAAGCGCACCGCCTCGACCCTCGCTTCGGCGAGAAACATGAGCGACTCGTACGTCGGTGGTGGAGACGGCGCCATGATCCATGATCACCAGGTCTGCTTCCTTTCGGGGGACCTCAATTGTATGTGGTCTCACTCTTATCCTTTTGTATTTATAGAGGCATCTAGCTGACTCTCAGGATCTTTCCAGACCGCATTGATGCGTCGAGAGAAGCCTGCCTTGGGTATCTGGCCGCAGGCAATCTCGAAGCGCTCCGGCAAAAAGACCAGCTCCTGCGAGAGAGGCGAGCAAACGTGGCCCACCGGCTGCGACACTTTGTCGAGGGCGATATTGACTTGTGAGTGGTCCCCTTCCTCTCTCTTCGGCAGGCATCGGGGTTAGGGCTGACGGGAAGAGAGGTGGACAGTATCCCAACGTACAAGTTCAAGCCGGGGACGAATGAGTGGGACCCGAGCGAGAAGCAGAGGGTGCCGGCGTGGTGCGATCGCGTGCTATGGTACTGTCGGACCAAGGGTGCGGTGAGACAGGCCAAGTACGAGAGGCTGGACGAGAGGGCGAGCGATCATCGGCCGGTGTGAGTCTTGGTGCAGTCCAAAATACTCAGACGAAAGATGCTGACAGTACATGGAACTTGTACAGATCGGCCGCATTCACGGTTCGAGTCAGAAAGACAGACGGCTCACGGCGAGCCGTTGTAAAGAGTGTATTGGAGGAGCAGTGGGACGCCGAGAAAAGGAGAAGGCTCGACGTGGCTGCGGCTTACTATCGATCGTTTGCTTCATCGTGAATTCTTCTCCGAGGGCTCACCCCTCGTTCTTTTCGGATTCTTGGATACGCAGCATTGAACGACGACGATGTATAGATGAGAGATATGAAACAGATATAGATGATGAATGCGAGTAGCTCGTGAGGAGAATGTGCCAAAAGTAAAGATGGAAAAAGCTAGAAATCGTGCTGTTTGGCAAAGGAGGAGAAATCGACCGAACGCCAATTCTCGTCCTGCGTCGCCTCCTCTGGCCGTCCTTGGGCCTGGCCGTGGGCGAGGTACGAGGCGAGGTCCGATGAGGCAGGCAGCGTCATTGTCGTGTTGAATGTCGTCCCTGAACCAGGGGCACGCTGGGGGAGCGACTTGATCGGTTTCGAACCGTGGCTCGAAGCTGACTCCGTCATGCTGTTGTGATGAATGTCAGAGAAGTGTAGACTTACAAAAAAAGGACATCAAGAACTCACTCTTGGTCATCGTCCTCCTCCTCTTCCATGAATTCAGCAAAGACGTCCTCCCTCGCCCTCTTCAGATCCAGCTCGCCATCTATCGTCTCGCCCGCAGAGTCAGGGAAAGATGCAAAGTTCCGCATCGGAGCACTTTTTGTCCGACCCCACTTCTCCTTTGTTCCCAGCACGCCCTGGAACACCTCACGCTCCGTCTGGAAGCGCTGTGCCTGCGACTGCGACTGGACCTCGACCTGCTGCAGTGGAAAAAAGGGCCGCGCATACCCTCTGTTGACATCTGTTCTCGCACAAACCCACTCGCATCTGTGAGCTGCAATCGTAGGAGCAAAAGCGAGAGGCATCGGAGAACTCACTGAAGCGTGTGCGCATGCCGATGGATTCCAGCTGAGATTGGAGCTCAGGCGAGACCGCCGACGCTTCCCTGTAGGAGCCGCTCGAGGTCGTTCGCGCAAAGGTCCCACCGGGAGTCGACGAGGAAGGCTCTGGCGACAGGTTCGGCCGCTTGCTCGGGAGGGGCTCAATATCTTGCATTGTGCTGTTCTTGTCGTCAATGAAACCTCTGGCGAGGACGTTTGGGGAAAGAAAGGGAGGGAGTGCGGGCCGCAGGGCAACGTCAAAAGGAGCGCCTTTTTTGTTGGACTTTTTTGAAGGCCCATTTATTTTGGACGCGCCTTGAGTAGTACCTGACGCGCGCGTCGTGTAGCGAAACGTGGCTTTTCGGATCGGTGCGAGTGGGCATTCACAGAAACATCACCCATTCACTCTTCCTGAGAAAGAAGACGGGACCGCTACATTAGGAAGGTCAGCTATGGCCGAAACGGCCCTCTCACCGCCGCCACAGGCGGTTGCCTCGGCGACGACGGCGATTGCCAGGGACAGCAAGGTCTCGCCGGTGGGGTCTCCTCTGGGCGAGCTCCCCTCTGCGCCCTCGCCGCCTTCTTTGGACCTCAGCCCGCTGCAGGCTCTCGCCTTGCGCGCCCTGCTTTCGGCCCTCGACCAGATTGCCGAGCCGAAGACGCTTCTCCTCGATGCAGAGCTCGCTGGCCCATTAGGTCTCGTCTGCGATGTGGGAAGTCTCCGTGCGCACGGTGTTGAGCGCATGTTCTGGCTCGAGGACAACCCAGGCCAAGGATCGCAAAAGGTAGTCGAGAGGGACGTCAATGCACCTACGAGAGCCGTCGTGTACGTCTGCAGGCCCCAGTTGGGCCTCATGAGGGTCATTGCGGGTGAGTTGTCCTGACACACTGCAGCCTAGCCACCAAAACGGACCAAATTAGCCCGTGCCTGCTTCAGTATTGCTTTTCCACGGCGGCACGGGTCAGTCAGCGTCCGGAGATTCATCCCGTCTGGGCTTCTCCTCTCTTTTCTCTCTTGCTGCGAATTTTGTTAAGGGCAGCGAGTGCAATGGAAAGCTGACGAGACATCCATTGCTTGCAGGTCATATTCTCCACGATCGCAAGAATGCCGCGTCGTCGGCGTCCCTCTCCCACACCTACCACGCCCTCTTTTCGCCCCGTCGGACAGAGCTGTCGCTGCACCTCTTTTCGACCATTGCGACGCCTTCCCTCCTCTCCGACCTGAACCTCTACGATCTTGGACTGGAGCTGGTACCGCTCGAGTACGACGTTTTGTCGCTCGAGGAAGAGTCGAGCTGGGCCGACGTCTGGGCCAAGGGAGACCACGGCGTGGTGCACCGAGCCGCCATGGCCCTCATGACGATGCAGCACGTCTGGGGCGCATTCCCCAAGATTGTGGGCAAAGGCGACATGGCCAAGCGCCTGTCTGATTTGCTCGTTAGGCAGAGGCGAGAGTACCTTGCTTCCGACCCAACCAACCCGGCCCTGTCCAACCCTTCCAAGGCCATTGATGGTGTCATTATTCTCGATCGCGCCGTCGATCTGGCCACACCGCTCTGTACCCAGCTGACCTACGAGGGTCTCGTCGATGAGATCGTCGGCATCAAATCTGCTCACGTGGAGGTCGATCCATCGTTGGTGAGCAGCGAACCCAGCAGCCAGGGTGCTGGTGCGGCTGCGGGGAGCATGACAGCTTCGGGCAGCGGCACGCCGTTAAGGGAGGCGTCTGCACAGCAGAAGCGAAAGACGAAAAAGGCACGGCTAGACACTTCAACGGACCCCCTTTTTGGTTCGATCCGTGACTCGAACTTTGCCATTGTCGGCGAGCGGCTTCACGAGGCTGCCAAGCGGCTCAACAAGGACTACGAGAAGCGACATGCGGCAAAGACGGTGGCGGAGATGCGGGCCTTTGTTCAGCGCCTGGGTGGCCTCCAGCAGGCTCACGCGAGCCTGCGTCTCCATACAGGCCTGACGGAGCGCATCATGGATGCCACGACGAAGGAGGTCTTCAACGCCAGCCTCGAGCTGCAGCAGAACATCATTGCTGGACTGGACCTCGCGGCGCAGCTGAACAGCATCGAAGACCTCATCACGGCCTCGGCCCCTTTTCTCGTCGTCATGCGCCTGCTATGCCTCCTCAGTGTTGTCTCTGGCGGGCTGAAGCCAAAGAATCTCGAGTACCTCAAGCGAGAAATCCTCCAGACGTACGGATATCAGCACCTCCCCCTGTTGCTCACGCTCAGCGATGTCGGCCTTCTCACTCGTGCCACACCGAGCTCCACCCGGTCGAGCATCGGATTCAGCGCGGCGAGGCAGCCCCTGCGCTTGGTCGACGACGAGGTAGACGAGCGCAATCCGAGCGACATTTCTTACGTCTACAGTGGCTATGCGCCGCTGAGTGTCCGACTCGTCCAACTTGCCGCGTCGAGGGAGTCGCTGGCTGGTCCGTCGACCCGACGAAGACCAGCTGCGTCAAAGGGCGCACCGATCCAGGGCTGGAGGGGCTACGAGGACGTTGTCAACTGCCTTCCCGGGTCGACCTTCGAGGAGGACCAGCTTCCGTCATCTGCAGCAGCAGCAGCAGCAACATCAACGACAACAAAGGCCATCGTCCCGCCCACGACTCTGGTCTTTTTCCTGGGAGGGGTAACCTACGCCGAGATTTCGGCGCTGCGCCTGTTGAACTCGCTCTCGACGGAGAGGAGATTCGTCGTGGCTACCACAAGCATCATAAGCGGCGATCGCATGATTCAGAGTCTCGAGGCATGAACTGCCACTCTCAGGACTTCATTTGTATTTTTAGAAGAGCGCATAGTCTCTATACCATCTGCTCGAAACAACTGACCCTCCTTGCTCGCTACGCCAAGCTCGCAATGCACCGACGTGGATCACAGAAGTCGCTTTTCATAGAGGGCTGAATTTCAACGTGTCTTAGCCTGAAAATAGGCTATTTGCGCGCCCCTCAATCGCACCATCCTCCTCTCTTTCTCTTCTCGTTTTGCAACTTCCGGCGATCACGATGCGAGGCCACCGGAGCAACTTTTCGCTGGCCACGTCCGTCGACCTGGACGTCGAAGGTGGCGGCAGACTGGACGAGGACTACGATGGAGGCTGGCCCTCGTCGTCGCAGCTGGCCTGGTCGGCCAAGGGACCCGCGGCGTCGGTTCCCAGCATGGGCATCCTTCGTTCGGCTCGCTGCCACCTTGCCTGGGCCCGCTGCGGCTTCAGCGACGCCAATCGATGGAAGGAAGCTGCGCGTGTGGCCATGGGTGCTCCCGATGTTCGCAACTCCATTCTCAAGGGTCTCATCTTGACCTCGACGATCGCTGCGCTCATCTTCTTCTTCGAGCTCGCCTTTTTCCCCAGCCAGCTCTTCTTCTCGACACACGACCCAGATGCCAGCTCGATTGGCAGCGTCTTCTGGCTCTACCCACTAGTGGCTGGGAGCTACTTTCTGGCCTCGAGCTGGACCGTCGACGTCGCCCAGGCCACCTACCAGCTCAAGCACGGCCGCTTCCTCAGCGTCGCCGACTTCCAGGCGCCCAATTCGCCGGGCTTTTCGACCACGTCGAGGGTGGTGGCCGAGAAGTCGTACCTCGTCATTCTCGTGGTGAACTACACCATCATCAGTCTGATCCTGCAGCAGGTCCCCATTGTCGGCAAATGGCTCTCCTTCTTCTTCATGGTGAGACCGAGCTTCTTACTCCTTCAAGGTTGCTCAGCAACTGACGCAACGAGCAATAGTCTTTCATCGACGCATACTACTGCTTTGAGCAGGCGTGGATCGCACGAGGCTGGGCCGTGGAGCGGCGCATGCGGTATGCCGAATCGCGCTGGGCCTACTTTGTCGCTTTTGGCCTTCCATCGACGGCCGTCTCCTTCTTCCACCCCTCGGGTCTCCTCAACCTCATGCTCTTCATGCTCTGTTTCCCCATTGTGAGTGTCTGCTTGTATTCAGCTCTGATGTCATGCTGAACGCTGACTGTCCGGTGCGACCCAGTGCTCTGTGCTGGCCATGCTCGCGAACCCGCAACCGCGCGTCGCACCCACCTCGTCGGTGTCGGACGTCACGAGCCCCAAGCTGGCCACCTCGCCCTCTTCCTTCTCCAACGGGTCCTCCGCGACCGGCTCGGTGGCAGGAGGCGCAGGCACGCTCTCTGCCTTTATGCCCGCTCGTCTGCCCATCTTCTGGCCCACTGTCAAGGTCTACCGCATCATCCTGAGCCTGTTCCCTGCATCGTCTGCGCCTTCTTCGGGTGGAGCAGGGCCCGCCCGGTCACTGCATCAACAGCAGCAGCAGCAACCGCAGCACTTTGCCGCACCGCGCTTTGCCCCGACGCAGTACGGCGTGGGCGCAGGGTCCGGCGTCGATGTTGGCATCCCGATGGGCGGCGGCGGCGGCGGCGCAGGAGGGCCGTCGTCGATGGGAGGACCAGGGTCCACGGGGACGAGGAGGACAAATGCAGCTGCGCAATTTGTCGATGGAGCGTGGAGCGGTGGCGCGCCGGGCTCCTCACCCAGGCTGGGAGGCGGTCCACCGAAACTCAATGGCGCCACGCCACCGCCATCTGCCTCTGGCGTCTACCCATCTGCGACTTATCAGAGTCAGCCGGTTCCGCCGCCACCAAAAGTCGCACCGAGGTCTGCGGCTGCTGGCTCGGGCGCAAAGAAGAGGGATTAGAACATTACGTTACTATTTTTTTGTTGATTGTGTCAAGGGTTGGTGGTCATTCAACTACGAGGTATCAGGCGCATGAATGTCAATAATGGTCCCATTAGCAAGCCATGGAAGAGACAGAAGGGGTAACTAAAAAGAGAAAGAGCAAGTCTACAGCTTCGACCCGTCGCCCCTGATGGGCTCGTCGCCCGACCGCGTCGCAGCATCCCGGAGCAGGGGCTTGACGTGCCTCGTCCACGTCTCGGCGACGTTCTTGCCCACGTTGTCGCTTCCGTAGCTGTACCGCCCCACGTTTGCGTGGTCGGGGAGCGCCTTGGTGGCTGGGTGGTTGAGCGGGTTGGACTCTGCCTCGGCCATGAGGGCCTCGTAGACGCGGCCGTCCTTGCGGCCCAGGGCGCTGCACAGCTCCCAGTCGGTCCAGCCAAAGGCGTCGGTGAGGCCAATGACCTGGGGCAGGAGCTCCTCGACGAGGCTGCGGATGGCCGACTCGAGGTGCAGGACAGCCTCGGGCGAGAGGATGGCGCTGTTTGACGCGCGGTAGTCGGCCAGCGCGCGGCCCTTGGCGGCGGGCAGCGCCAGCGGCGTGACGTCGCGCGCGATGCAGATGAGCGCGTGGAGGGCGACGAGCTTGCGCATCCACTGCGACTCAGTCGGGCCGAAGCGCTCGGCGTCATCCTCGATGCCCTCGGTGAACCAGGCATTGACGACGACCTCGGCGTGGGAGCGCGCCACCTCGACGCAGTCCCAGCTGCAGTCGACGAAGCGCCGGCCAGACGAGACCTCGGCAGCCAGGTCGGCCACGCGCCGGGCGGCACGGAGGCCGAGCGCGCGCGTGTACACGTCGGGCTTGAGCCAGTCGGCAGGCGAGGCCGGTGCAGTGAACTTGGCAGTGCCGGCCTTGGCGATTGTCTCGAGGAACCACGTCGTCGTCGACACCTTGAAGTTGGGGTCCTTCTTCAGCTCGCCGACGTTCTTGAGCATAGCACGGCCGACCTGCTGGGCAAGGACAAAGTTGTCGCCCTCGTATGTGACCGTGGGGGCATTGTCGGGGAAGATGGAGGTGAAGCCAGCGTAGACGGAGAAGCCGTGTCCACCCAGGGCCTGTCGCGACTCTTCGATGCCGTCGAGAGCCTGCTTTGTGCAGTAGGCCTTGAGCGAGCTCGAGGCAACGTGGACGTCGGCGAGGAGCTCCGTGTTGCCCTGGTCGAGCTGTGCGGCCATGTCCTCGTACAGCGTCCGCATGCGACGACCCGCGACAATGTATGCGTACGATTTCGCGAGCAGCGGCACCAGGCGCCGGTTCAGCGAGGGGTACGACAGCACGCTCCGCTCCACATCGGCCACATCCTTGCTGTCCGGGTCGCGGAACTGGCGGCGGACGAGCGAGTAGCGCATGGCAATCGTCGTGGCGCGCGAGAGCATCCAGCCGGTCCGGTCGATCATCTGGCTGCGGATGAAGATCATGCCGCCGTAGCTGAGCTTGTCCGACGGCGGCCGCACGTACTCGCCGCCCTTTTTGATCTGCGCGTGCTTGGAGAGCATGTTGAACCGGGGCAGCTCGACGTGGTTGAAGCGGACCCAGCCGTTGTCGAGGCCACCAAAGGCGTCGTACGTCTTGGGGCCAATGTCGCCGGCGACAATGTTGGGCAGCAGCTCGCCCGTCTCGAGAGAGCGAAGCGGGGTGAAAAAGAGGTGGGGGCCGTAGCGCTTTCCGTTGATGATCAGCTGGGCCTGGACGATACCGTGGGTGGCCGTAGTGCCCGAGCCGCCGGCCCACCACTTTGTGCTCGAGAGTGTGGGGCTGTGGAGGTCAAAGGTGTCGTTGGCGGCGTTGTACGTCGCCGTCGTCTCGAGGGCCTGGACGTTAGTGCCGTGGCCGAGCTCGGTCTGGAGGTAGCAGCCGAGGATCTGGTGCGTCATGGCGCGCTGGCCCCACCGGTCGACCTGCTCCATGCTGCCCTGGCCCATGATAACGGGCACAAAGGCGACCCAGTGGATCGTGACGGGCGACTGCAGGTCCAGGCTGATGGCCGCCTCGATGATCTGGTGCGTGTCCCACTCGTGCTTCTCGCCAATGTCGAGCAGCCGGCGGATGGCCATGTGGCTCATCGCCTGCTTCTGCTCACGGTTCATGTGGAACATGCGCTTCTTCCAGTCGCCAAACACCTCGTCCTGGTCCAGAACATCGATGACGTGCTTCCGCGTCGCGTTGTCCACCCTCCCGTCGCGGAGAACCTCTTCGATCTTGGCGGGGTCAAACGCGGTGCGGGCGCGCGCCTCGGCCATGTCCTTTTCTGTTCGCGCGGCGTGGTCGCCAATGGGCACCGGCAGCGTCACGCGCGGCACGAGGCCGCCTGCCTTGGCCGGGCCAAGGGCCTGCCACTGCGACGCCGAGCTCGAGCCCGCGCCGGACTTTTTTGAGGGAAAGGGGTAGGAGGAAGACATCGTGGAGGAGGAGTCCTTTGTGGTAAGAAAGGGAGAGAGTGTGTGTGTATGTCGCCCACTTTATAGCAGTAACGAGAGAAGCTCACAACGAGCGAGGGCGGCAAGCGCGGGGTTGGTGCAAATGATGGGGTAATCGCCTCTGCTTCCTCGCTCGCCCACGATGATCAATCAGACAAGGAGTTTTTTCTCTTCGCAAAACAAGGTGTGCACACACCCCTTGTCCCTGCCCCGGATTGCGAGGTTATTTACCGCGATTTCCCCCCTTCCGGCTCATCTTGAAAGGCCGGTGGAGCCACCGGGGGGTTTGAATATTAATTTTAGATTTAATCCACGTGGTGCCGTCAGATTTCCTCGGCCGAAGACCAACCAATCTCATGCACTTTGAGCTTGAACCCAGGACCTGCGAGGAAGGCTCGAATCGACGCCGAATTGTCTGGCTGGCTGGCTGGCTGCAACAACCTGCCTCATTCTGCTACGCCAACGAAGGGAGGGGTGGACGATGAAGCCGTCGCTGCTTCTCGTGTCTGCTCTGGCTGCTGCCCTGTCGGGGGGCTCGAGCGTTGGGGCGGCACCTTCGACAAACAAGCCAACAGCAACGCGCGAGGGCCTCTTACAGCTCACAACTGCCAATTGGACTACCGAGATCGCTCATGGCGCCTGGCTCATTGAGTTTTTCTCGCCTTACTGCGGGCACTGCAAGGAATTTTTCCCTGTCTGGGACGAGCTTGTGACCAACAAGGAATACCAGAGGTCGTCATATCCGGACGCACCATTCACGCTCGCCCAGGTCGACTGCATCTCGCAGAACGACCTGTGCGTCCAGGAACAGGTGCCTCATTTCCCTCGCTTGACATTGTGAGTCCATGGTCCTTTCCTTTATGCAGTAATGGTGCTCTGACACATGCCACAGATACCGAGATGGCAAGCAGGTCCATGCCGAGTACCAGGGCGTCCGAGAGTACACCGCTCTGTCGGCGTATGTCGATAAGGAGGCCGAAGAATATCGAGTGGCTAGAGGAGTCAGCAACGAGCCTCACCCTATAGTAGAGGCGCCAAAAGTCGATGCAGCGAAGGGTGACGATGCAAAGGCCAAGGGAGACGAGGGCAACAAGGACAAGCAAGTAGACCCTGCAGCAGCTGCAGCACCCGCTGCGCCTCCCGCCGTAGACCAAAAGCCAAAAGACGAACAACCACCACCGCCGCCGCCGCCTCCGGAGCCGCTGCCACAAGGTCCGAATCCTCTTGGCAAGGTCATCAGCTATGGTTCGCCCGATGGACCGATCAAAGACCCGGCCTCGCTCGAGCACATGCTCAGCAAAGATGGCGGCGACGGGGCCTGTTTTGTCAAGTGTGAGTGTGATCAAGCGCTCTTCTTAGCTTTGCGCTGAACGTTCGCGTCCCTAGTCTTTGCGCCGTGGTGCCCTCACTGCAAAGCTATGGCCAATGCCTTCCGAGAGGTGGCAGAAGCGCTCAAGGGCCGCGTCAATGCCATCGAGGTCGATTGCGAACGCAACAAGGCAGTCTGCGCAAAGTACGGCATTCAGAGCTTCCCTACGCTGCGAATGTGAGTATTATCGGTCGAATCTGATGCGGCGGTAGCAGTAGGCTCACGAAAGAGCTTGGAACAGGTACAACGAAGGCGAGGCGACAGAGTACCAAGGGGGTCGTGGTTTTTCGGCAATGAGGACGTGGGCACTCAAGGCCGGCAGCGCCTCTGGCGTCCGACAGATCTCTGCCCAGGAGCTGGGAGGCATTGGCAACAACGACGATGTTCTCTTCCTCTACCTGCACCAGGCAGGCACGCCCGAAAGAGAGATCGACGCCGTCACAAAGGCGTCGCGGATTCTGCTGACGACGCCGGTCCACGTCTATCGCTCGTCGGACGAGGAGCTGATCACACGATACAAGTCGCGGCTCTCTAGGGGCTCCGCTTCGGGCTCCCAGGCCTCTGCGGGCTCGCTCTCTGGCCTGCTGGCATTCAAGGATCACGATTTGAACCGGCCAACGGCCGTCTATTTTCCCTCTGCGCTTTCGCCGCAGCTCACAGCGCCCAGCGCCGCGGCCGATGTGGCTGAGTGGCTCGACAAGGAGCGGTACGCCACAGTGTCCGAAGTGACGGGCAACAGCTTCAACGACATTATCAACAGTGAGTTTCCCTCTTTCGCACTCTACCTGCCGTTGCTTACGCCGATTTCTTTTCTCAGACAAGCAAGGCGCACCCGTCGTGCTTGCTGCGCTGTCGGATGTGCACCACAGCGGCAGCGTCCTGAGCACCGGCACGGGTGCCTCGCTGCGCGACGAGGAGCTCGAAGCGATGCGCGAGCTGGCCAAGGGCTGGCGAGAGCGCGGCGGAGGCGGGGCCGAAGGGACGGCAGCGGAGGCGACGCGGCAGCGCCAGGAGCGCGTCCTGTTTGCGTGGATCGATGCTGACCGGTGGGCGAGCGCGATTGCCAAGTACTATCATGTCAAGCCAAAGCACCTGCCCAAGCTCCTCCTCGCCGACGGAGCCCGGCTGGAGTACTACGACCTGCCTTCGCGCTTTGTCAGCCCGTTCCAGAAGCAAAAACAGCAGCAGCAGAGACCAGGAGGCAAGGCGGGGACGGCAGCGGCGAAAAAGTCGTGGATTGACAAGGCGGAAATCTACGAGGCCCTCGACCTCATCTGGCAGGGCAAGGGCGCCAAGCCAAAGAGCAGTCGCACCACCCTCGACCGCGGCATCCAGGGCGCCAACGGTGCGTTTGAGTCCCTGTTCCATCACTCGTTCCTCTCCTTTGTCTTTCTCGTCGGCCTCGTCGCTGCCGTGGTTGCGTATCTGCGCTCTCGCGCCGACCAGCGGGGCATCCACTCGGCCCGCCTGCCGATCGGCAAGGTCGATTGAAGAAGAAGAAAACAAAAAGTTCCGCACACACACCACACACTGTATTACGAATGATGATGATGATTGTCTATAGCACACACACACACACCTCTACACACACAGCTAGATGAACTTCTTCATGGCTGCGCGCAAGTCTGCCTGCAGGTCTTCAAAGGACTCGAGGCCGATGCTGAGGCGGATCAGCGCCGGGTCCTCGGTGGGGTCCGATGCCCGGCGGTACTCAAGCAGGGACTCGACGCCGCCGAGGGACGTGGCCGACTGTGCATGTCGCGCGCGCACGGTCAGCTGAGAGATGGACGGGAAGCGAGACAGGCGCAGTATTTACTCACGGCAAAGTACTTTGTCTCGTGCGGCAGCTTGTATGCGATCGCTGGCTTGCTCAGCTGCAGGGTCACGTCAGGTCAGAGTTTTTTCCGAGACGAGAGGGGGAAGCGAAGAACGCACCCGGAATGCAAAGCAGGCGGGCCAGCCGTGGCGGAGCTGTTCGCTTGGATCAAAGTCGGGCCCGCCCTCGACCTCGCGAGGCGTCGCGCTGGGGTCCTTGTCGCGCCGCGGCTGGAGACTGGCGTGCCAGACGCGCTCGACGATGCGGCTCTCGAGCAGGGCGCGGTCCTCGTCTGCCGTGCTCAGCTCGGTAGGGGGCGTCGTCGAGACGGCGAGGCTGCGGAGCCAGGCGGCGAGCTTGGTGGCCGTGGCGCTCTGGCGCTGCCAACGCACCTCGAGGGTGCGCAGAGAGCGGAGCAGGAGCCAGCTCTCGAGGTTGCCCGGCGTGGCGCCGACGTAGGTGCGGTCGTGCCAGAGAGAGACCCAGGCGGCCTTTTCGCGCACGGCGAGCACGCCCACGAGGAGGTCCGAGTGGCCGCCAAAGTACTTTGTGCCGCTGTGCATGGCCATGTCGGCGCCGTGGTCGAGGGCGCGCTGGAGGGGCGCAAACGTCGAGTCGACGACGAGGTGCGCGCCGGCGCCGGCGGCGTGGGCCCGCTGCGCATAGTGGGCAATGTCGCGCGCCTCGCCCGTCGGGTTGAGCGGCGTCTCGAGCCAGACGAGTAGCCCACCCGATGCGCTGCGGCCTGTGTCTGTGCCTGTGCCAGTTGTCAAGGACGACGGCTGGAGATCCGCAGGGTACTCGTCGTCGATGTCGATGAGCCGCGTGTTGGGGTGGGTGCGGAGGAAGACGTCGATGGAGGAGTGCACGCCGTGGTAGCCCTTGCGGATGGCAATGACAGCGGGCGCATAGTGGAGCACGGCGGCGTACGCAGCGGCGAGGCCGCTGGCGTATGTGAGGGCGTGGCCGGCCATGATGCCCGAGAGGACCTTTTCGGCCCGTGCGCGCGTCTCGGACGTGTAGCGCGAGTAGATGTGCGCCACGGGGTCCTCCCAGTCCAGGCCCTCCTCGCCGAGCTCGCGGAGTCGCTGGCCGGCCTCCGAGTCCGGGTGCGGCGTGCGGTACGTCGTGCTCAGCTGCAGGTCCGGCGCGACGGGGACGCTGCCCCGGCCGTGGTCCCGGGGCTGAGAGAGAACAAGTCAGCCTACACCAGCTCTTTCTTTGCGCCATTGCCAATAGAGAAGACTGCACTCACATCGTCCGCATGCAGCGCAATCGTCGAGAAGCTCGCCTCGGGCAGGTCCAAAGAAGCAGGCGCCATCCTGTCTTCTGAGTGCAGCTTGAAAAGGCAAAGAAGTCGCCGAAAGAGATAGAAGGAGGAAGAGTCACGAAACAAACAAGCTTTTTTATCATCTTTCTTTCTATTTCTTGGGTGCTTTCTTCCTTTTCCCGGCCTTTTTGTCGGACAAATTGTGCAGGCGTTCAGGTGCAGCCGCACGGACCCATCGAGCCCGCAAGCAAACTGACACTTCGGCGGCCGTGTCCAACGGCTCTGCGGCTGACCTCTGATGTCACAATGAGCAGAGAGCTGACCTCTGGTGTCACAATGAGCACCGCCAGGCACACTCAGTGACGCTACATGATATTCCCTCAGCAATGCAATCTGCAACTGATACACACAGACACCCTTCGTCTAGATGAGAAAGTGAGCTCGGGCCTCACTGCCGCGCCCGCTTGGCGCTCCGCTTTCCACCACCACCACCTCCCCTGACCGAGTTGATCTCGTCGTCGTCGGCCACGATACCGCTGGCCGTGCCGCCACCGCCGCCTGCCGCAGCGGCGCGCTCGCGCTCCTCCTCGCTGTGACTCTCGTCCATGGCCTCCTTCTTGAGCGCCCACAGCCGGAGGGCCTCCCAGACCTGGGCCCGGCGCCGCTTGACGGCGGCGAGCCGGTGGCGGACCTCGTCGAGGCGCTCGGCATACTCGGCACTGTCGGCGCCCAGCTCGTGGAGGCACTCGAGCGCGGCGCGGATGACCTCGCGCTGCTGGCCGACCGTCAGCACCGCCTGCGGCTGCTCTGGCCCGCCGCCCTGCTGCGCCTGCTGCTGCTGCTCGGCGGCCTCGAGGCCAGACGACGACGAGGCGCCGTCGAGCGGTGGCCCATCGGCAGGAAAGGGAATGGCGAGGCCGCCCTTTGTGACAAAGAGATCGTCGAGCTTGGAAAAGGCCGGGTTAATTTCATCGGCCGTCAGGTTGGTGCCCATGGCGCCAATGGCGTCGGCATCGACGTGGTATTTCCCCGCCGTGAATGCGCCGGGTCCTTTTCGCTTGAGCCTCCTCTCGCGTGTGCGCTCGCCAGTGACGCCCTGGCTTTTCCCATTTGGCAGCGTCGTGCCGTTGCCGTTGGAAGTGGCTGTCGCATCCTGGTGATGAGAAGAAGAGGAGGAAGACGCCTGTCCGTTCTCCTCCTCTTCCTCATCACTGTCGGCCACCCACGGATCGACACGCTCCATGGCCCCAAATGCCTTGCCCAGGGCGCGGCTGAGCTGACCCTCGCTCTCGCGGAGATCGAGGGCCGTCTTGCTGAGCGCGCTGATGTGCGGGTTGCGAAACGTGTGTCGGAGCGTGTGCGACTCGAGCAGGGCCCTTGCCGTCTGGATGGGCCGCAGCAGCGCGGGGGCGAGCACCGTCGAGGACAGGTTCTCCTCGGGCCCGTCCGAGGTGCTCGATAGCAGCCGGCGCATCGCCTGCGCCGCGTCTGGCCGGCCGTGGGCACCCTTGCCCGACGTCAGCCCCGGCTCGGGATCGCCGCGGTTGAGCAGGACCTGAATGCCGGCGCGCTGGGCAGCAGCGATGCGCACGCGGATGCGATCGTTGATCTCCTTCTCGTTGCGTGCCTCGGTGTAGCCGCCCATCTTGGCGCGCCGGATCCAGCGGGCGCCTGGGCGGAGCTTGCTGCCCCGGTTGCCCGTCTTGTGCTCGTTCTGCTCCCACTGCTCCTCCAGCGCTGCACCGCGGCCCTCGTCCGAGTCCGACGAGAGCTCCTCGTCGTCCATGTCAGCGACCCGTCTGCGTCTCTTGTTGTTGTTGTTGTTAACAACAGCAGAAGAAGGCCAGGCCGACGATGAGGCCGTCGTATTGAGGTAGGGCACCCGGCCCGTGGCAGAAAAGGGGTGGGGAGGGGCGGCCGAGGAGCTCGACGACGACGCATCCTCGTCCGAGTCCGAGTAGTACGACGGGTGGTCGTTGGAGGGAAGCGAGAGCCAGGTGAGCCGGCGTCGCTCCTCCTCCTTTTGCCGCCAGAGCTGCTCCATCTGCCTTGCATGCGCCTCGGCCTCGGCCTGCGTCTGCGCCGTCGTCGCTGTCGTCCGTGCCGTCGAGGTGGATGGCTGCTGGGATGGCCCCGGCGTCTGCGGCTGCACCGGCAGCTGTGGTGATGTCTGTGGCTGTGGTTGAGTGTGTGCTTGTGGTTGTGCCGGCTGCGGTGGTGGCGGCGGCTGCGCCTGCGAAGAGAGTGTCTGAGCGGTTGCAGAGGACGTAGGCGCTGCTGCTATTGCTGACGCTGCCGACGCTGTCGACGCTGTCGACGCCGGCACTGGTGCCTGCTGGTCCGGCTGCGACGGAGACACGGGCTGCTGCGAGGAAGACGACTCCTCTGCAGGCGCCGACTCGACAGCCGTCGCAGTGGATGGATTCGACACGAGAAGTGTCGACGCAGCAGTAGGCAGGGCTGTCGAAGTGACAGGTGCCTGGGTGGATGGTGCAGAAGGCTCGACATCCTTGGCGTCCGAGGCGCTAGTGGGCTCTGTGGATGGGCCGGCCGGGGCAGCCGGTGCGGCTGCTGTCTCAGTTGGCTCTTCAGCTGTCGACGTTGCTGGGACAGCCGTTGCGTCAGTCATGGTCGTGTCCTGCTGGCCTGCCTCCTGCGCTCCCTGCTCTGTATGCTCGGCTGCTGGCGCCATCGAGGAGTCAGGCGCCTCAGGCTCAGGCTTGGGCTTGGACTCAGACTCGTCCGCTGCTTCTGCCTCTGCCACGGGCAATGGCCCGCTCGGGGAAGGATCGGTGTCGCTTGGCTTGGCAGTGGCAGCGTCTGGCTCTTCCGGCTCGGCTGGCGCAGCAGTGGGAGCGGAGGTGGGAGCAGGAATTGGGGCAGGTGCAGGAGCAGAGACAGGAGCAGAAGCAGACGCCAGTGCTGCATCGAGCTGCTCTGTGGTTGAAGCAGGAGGAGGCGCCGGTTGGTCGTCGACAGGCTCCTGTTTCGGAGCTGTCGTCTCTGTCGCCGCCGGGGCCTCTGTCTCTGAAGGCTGTTGCAAGGTCTGATCGGGCTGTTGGTCTTTTGCCTGCGGTGGGGGCTTCTCGTCCTGCATCTCTTGTTCGCTTGGCTCGCCGGGCTGCTCCTGAGGCTGTGCGCCTGCTGTCGCGTCCTCGCCAGCCGGCGCCGCTGCTACTGGGGCAGTGACAGGCTGGTGCGGCTGCTCGCTCATCTCGGGCAGCGCAGGCGCCGCACTCCCCTCTGCTGCAGCAGGCTCAGCAGGTTCGGACATGCTGCTGGGCTGGGTCGGGTCAAAAACAGCGTGTCAGCCTTTCTTGGATGGAGGTGGCTTAGCCATTCAACGCTGGTGTGGGATCAGGACAAAAAAGGTAGAAATGATCGGCATCCATGGGAGTGACCGAGGCCGCTCCCAGGGCAAATCCGTGTAGCGGTTCTGAATATTTCTTTGGCGTCTCATCATCGAAAGAGGCTGACATCTGGCGCACACTCACCTGCTTGTTTTTGTCGTCGCGGCGGGGGTGTGTTGCTGTAGACTGGCGTGGTAGTCCCTGGTCGCTTGCGTCGAGCGGCGAGAAATACAGTTGCATGGAGGCAGGCGCCGCGAGAGCTTCACACACACAAGGGGAAAAGCGCACGTGAGCCGCATCCGAATTTTGGTTTCAACGCGGGGGGACATGGGACCAGAGAAGAACAAAGGGTGTGTCTATCGTGTATCTCCAAGGACAGCAGCGATAGCGACGACGATATGGCGGCAGCGGCGGGAGCGTCGTCGAGTGCAAGCGCAAGCCGGCCTGCTGCCAAGGCGCTTAAGCTCAACAGCAACAACCTGGGCGCATTCAAGATCTCGAAGCTGTTCGGGGCGCCGCTCATCGATGCCGGCAGGAGCGTGACCAGCGTGGGCTTCGACGACCGCGGCGACTACCTCGTCTCGGCCTCGGACGACGACAAGATCCACATCTGGGACTGCAACAAGGGGAGGTGAGTTGCTGGGTTTGCAACGCTGCGTGAAATGGGTCCATGGCTGAGGATCTGGCACCAAGGCACGTCAAGACGCTCTACTCGAAAAAGTACGGCGTCCACCTGGCCCGATTCACGCACAAGAGCACGGCCGTCATCTACGCCAGCAATAAAGAGGATGGTGAGTATTGCAGCCTAGAGTCTCTGCTCTGAGTCGCCCATATTCATGTTTCTGTCTGCTCAAAGACACCATCCGGCACCACTCGCTCATCGACAACACCTACCTGCAGTACTACCGCGGCCACAAGTCAAGAGTGACGTCGCTGCAGATGTCGCCCATCGACGATACCTTCCTTTCGGCCGCCAAGAACGAGGCCGTACGGTTCTGGGACCTTCGCACTCCACAATGCCAGGTGTGTTTGTCTCACTCTTCTGACGTCGCACGGGCCGTGCTGACTTTGTCCTCTCCTCAGGCCATGCTGCCGGTGCAGGGCCACCCCGTCATCGCGTACGATGCCTCGGGCCGTGTCTTTGCTATTGCCCTCAACGAACGGCCGTCTGTGTCTCTGTACGACGTGCGCAATTTTACCGCGGTGAGTGAGAGCGCCCCTGGGTACATTGCAGAACGCACACTCATTGGGGCCGGCGACAGAGACCATTCCTGGTGATTCCCATCAGCGACGACGACTTTTTGAGCCAGTTCAGCATGCCTCCACGCATGCCTGTCATCGCCTCTCTTGCATTCAATCCCAATGGCCTGCTCCTCGTTGGCACCGCTGGAGACGTGCACTACGTCCTCGAGTCGTTCAATGGCCACATCCTCTACCGACTCCGCGGCCACGAGGGCCTGGAGCGCGTTCAGAACGAGGATCTCAGCATGGTGTCCGAGTCGGGCGCAAGTGGGCAAGAGTGCGGCTGGACGCCCGACGGAAATTACGTCTTCTCCGGTGAGTTGTGTTCGAGGCCCCGAGGAAGCGAGTGGAAGGCAGAATGACGCTGACGCTTTGTATGCAGGGTCACAAAGCGGCACGATTCGCTTCTGGCACATTCCCCACCACCAGGAGCAGCCAGCCGATGCGCCAAGGCCAATGGTGCAAAACGTGTCGCCGTCCGTGAGCCGCGAGGGACATCAAGGAGCGTCGCGCGCGGTTGCATTCAATCCCAGGAGTGCCAGTGGGTTTATTCACGCTTGCTAGAGGGACAGTCTATGTAATGCTGACATCGACGCTGCAGTGATGGTCAGCGGCGGGTCAAAGGTGGCCCTCTGGCTGCCCGACGACAACGACGTCGACTCAGACTAAAGACGCTGTGTAGTGTATTCTCCCTCCTTCACTGTACCATTAATACCATGCACCTGATTCGCCGGACCAATCGCCGCGGTGGCCGATTCGAAAATTTAAAGGCAGGCGGGGCGAGGAACGCCACTGTTGTTGTTGTCAAAAATTCACGTGGAGGTAGCGCCTCTTATCTCACAAGAAGTTCGTTCTCGGCCTTCTTCCTCTCCAGGAACTTTTCTTCTTCTCCCTTTTACTCTCACTTTGGAAGAAAGGGACCATACGTACACATACAACCATGTCGCTGGACGCATTCATTAGCCAGATCGAGAAGAACAAGGCGGCGCTCGTCGCGCGGCTCGCCGAGGCCGTGGCGATCCCGTCGGTGTCGGGCGATGCAAAGTACCGCAAGCACGTCTTTGAGATGGCCGACTGGATGAAGGCCCAGCTCGAGAAGCTCGGCGCCACGGCCTCGTTCCAGCCGCTCGGCAAGCAGATGCTCAACGGCGAGGAAATCGACCTGCCGCCCGTCATCTTTGCCGACCTGCGTGCCAAGACGGACGCGGACAAGAAGAAGACGATTCTCGTCTACGGCCACTTCGACGTCCAGCCCGCGCTCAAGTCCGACGGCTGGGACACCGAGCCCTTTGAGCTTGTCCACGATGAGAAGACGGGCCGGCTCTACGGCCGCGGGAGCACCGACGACAAGGGCCCCATCCTCGGCTGGCTCAACGTCATTGAGGCGCACCAGCAGATCGGCCTCGACCTGCCTGTCAACCTCAAGTTCTGCTTCGAGGGCATGGAGGAGTCCGGCAGCGTGGGTCTCGACGAGTGCATCTACAAGAATAAGGACGGCTTCTTCCAGGGCGTTGACGCGTGCTGCATCAGCGACAAGTGGGTACATGCATACACTGCGCTTACGTTGCAAGCGAGCGAGCTAGAGATGTGAGGAGCTGACGTGACACACAACACAGCTACTGGCTCGGCACAAAGAAGCCCTGCATCACCCACGGCCTCCGCGGCGTCACCTACTTCAAGCTGCACATCTCGGGCCCCGGCGCAGACCTGCACTCGGGCCTGTTTGGCGGTGTCGTCCACGAGCCAATGACGGACCTATTCCAGATCATGAGCCGGCTCGTGACGCCCCAGGGCGAGATTCTTGTCCCGGGCATCAAGGAGCTCGTCGCGCCACTGACGGACGAGGAGAGGAAGCGGTACGAGGTCATGGAGTTCACCATCAAGGACATGGACGACGCCACGGGCAGCTCCACGACAATCAGCGACGAGAAGGAGAGCGTCCTCATGGCCCGCATGCGCTACCCCTCGCTCTCCCTCCACGGCATCGAGGGCGCCTTTTCGGCCCCCGGCACAAAGACGGTCATCCCCGCCAAGGTCGTAGGCAAGTTCTCGATCCGCCTCGTGCCCAACATGACGCCCAAGGCCGTCAGCGACCTCGTTGTCGACTACGTCAACAAGGAGTGGGCCAAGAGTGAGTTATCTGAATCGTCCTTCTTCTCATCTGGCCCAGCTGACCCCATCGCTTTCTTTCCCGCCTTCCCACCGCTACAGTCGGCAGCAAGAACAAGATGGTCATCGAGGGTGACCCAGACGGAGGCAAGCCGTGGTACGCGGACCCCAACCACTGGAACTACGCGGCGGCAACCAAGGCGACGGAGAAGATCTACGGCGTGAAGCCCGACCTGACGCGCGAGGGCGGGTCCATCCCCGTCGCGCTGACCTTCTCCGAGGTCACGGGCAAGAACCTGCTCCTGCTCCCCCTGGGCCGTGCCGATGACGGCGCCCACTCCGCCCCAGAGAAGCTTGACCTGGACAACTACCTGCGTGGCACTCAATTGCTGGGCGTCTATCTTCACGAGGTGGCCGCCTCCAAGGCTTAGAAAGGGAGTCCCTTTGACTATCACATTGTTCGCCGCTTTGGCGTAGTGTAGTAGAAATGGCCCGAGCTCTCAACTCACATCTGCATTGTGCTGCCAGTTTTCAACGTCCTACAAATCTAAATTACTTTCAATCCGCGTCATGCACGGCCTGATCGGACCTCTGACGCCTCTGTGCTTATTTTGCTTGCTTTATGTCGGCTCCACTCCTGGCCCTTTCTCACACGCAGCAAGCGCCGAACTTCGCTGTCCTCTCTCAGGGCGGTGCAACCAAGGGTCCCGGAGTACGTCTTCCTATCTTTTTTGTTCCTCTTCACTCGACCAGCATCTCGCATTCTGCTTCTCCAACCTCCAACCAGCCCTTCTCGCAAAGTAAAGAGAGAAGTGTGAAATGCAGTCTCAAACAGACCAGCGCACGGCCGTAGCCGGTGAGTGAACAGAAGCTTGGAAGAGACACGCCGCCTTCCGCTGAGCTGACAAGGGTGCCTGCCACTTGCAGAGCTGGCCCAGAAGCTCTTGAGCCGCGATGCCGTCGAGTTCAATTCGGCCATCAACCAGACCTTTGCCGCCCGTGCCCAGTACACTGGCCACGGGCTCAAGATCTCGGGCGCATCGAACCTCAAGCATGCCGCCTGGCTCTTTAACTTTGTCGACAGCGGACAGGCTGCCGTGATTGAGGACGTCAAGTGGCACGAGCACAGCTCGACGGCAGAAGTGACGTCCTACCGCTTCCTCTGCCCGCGCGTCTTCCCCCTCTTCTCGCTCGCGTTCAAGGTCAAGACCCAGCTGCGCTTCCATGCCGAGGGAACAGCGACACCCACGCCCGGACAGGTGCATGGCCCGGTGGCACGAGCGCCGCGCAAGACAGACGAGGTCCACTATGTCACCTCGTTCCATGACGACTGGGTCGCCGAGCAGCTTATCCACCGCTTTGGTTTCATCAAGTTCTTCTTCGACTACCTCTTCACCCCCGTCGTCACCTGGCTCGTCCTCTTCTTCTCCAACATCGCCTTTGACGTGCACGCGCGCGTCGCCTCGTCACACAGGCACTACGTCGAGCCCTCGGTGCGCAAGCTGGCCACCGAGCACCTGCCCTCGGACGTGACGCGCAACCTCGACAGCGGCTTCCGGCGCGGCCGCAAGCTCGCAAAGGGCTCCGGCGCCCGCCTCTTTGATCTCGTCGACACCCTCGCCTACTTTCCCCTCACCGCTGTTGAGTCCCTCGCCCAGTTTGGCTTCCACGCTGCCGGTCACGTCTCGCCGGTTCCGCTGCCCACGCCCTTTGTCTACTATGGCCATGTCGAGCACGCATTCAGGCCCATGAAGATCAACTCGGCCTCGCAGCGCGTCGAGCAGATGAACCGCTCCCTGCACCCCAAGCAGAAGCAGGAGACGAAGCAGCCAGAAAAAGCTGAGCCCAAGGTCAACGGCGGCGGCGCAGAAGACGACAACGGTGTGAAGCCCGCCCAGATCCAGGTCGGTTCCAACATCAAGACTGCTGGCGGCGGCGGTGGCGTCGGCGGTGACGACGAGGGCGTCCCGCAGGCCAAGACGGTCGACATTGCGTCGCGCATCAACAACGAGGCAGAGGAGAAGCCGGCGCCTGCCGAGGAGAAGCCAAAGGACTCGCTCTACGACCAGCTCCGCAAGGACGGCATCGTCGGGCCGGGCGCGCCGCCGATGCAGCGAAACGAGAGCGAGGAGTCGACGAGCGACGACGCCGCCCAGGCAGGCACCAATGGCTCGCAGCCAAAGTCGGGCTCGGCCAAGAAGAGCAGCAGCGGCAAGAAGAAGAGCAAGAAGAACAAGGGCGCAAAGGCCGACGACCATGCGCCCCCTCCCAGTTTCAAGCAGGGCTTGGAAGACGCCCAGGGCGCAAAGTAGACGATGCTGGCCAAGGGCGGATAGGTTTTGAACGTATTGTGTGACGGAGAGCAAAAGGAAATGGTTTATAGGCAAAATAGCGAATGACCAGTCGGTCTTTCTTTGGGCTTCACGAGGGTTCTCATTCGATTAGGAGATGCTTCTGTTCTACACTGTATCTATCACGAATTCTTGATTTCGCATCTTCATCGCCATTGACGACATCTATCTATCATGACTTTATTTCGCAGCCTCATTATTGTCGTTGTCGCTTGGCAGCCCCAGTGATGCAAACGCAGAAATTGAAGAACTCGCTAGTAGGAAAGACGCGCAGGTACATAATCCAACCGCGAGATTGGTTACTTAAATTTTGGCCCTTATAGTCTAGTGGTCATGATTTTCCTCTTGTATTTAGGAGCATGTTTTTGTAGAACATGGTCTCTTCTAGCAAGCTTAAGGAAGGGTCCGTCGTTCGAATCGGCGTGAGGGCACTTTTTTGTCCTTCGTCTCTGCATCTTTCTACGGCACATTCAGAGCATCAGCAAAGGCTTTCCAGACGTGAGCCAGTGTCATAAACTTGCTCTCGTCGATGTGCTGTTGCTCAGGCTGAGAGTCGATTGTAGGAATAGAAGTCGCCCTCGGCCGACGTGGAGCAGTTGCAACAAACACCAACTCTGATTTTTGGCTTTTCGGACCGGGATTTATTTTTTCTCTTCCAATTCTTCTTGTTGAGCATCAGGGAGCGACGCAGCGACGGCGGTCGATGATAGGGCCGTCGACGTCGAGGGGGTTGTTAGCAGGTTCCGCGGCGTGCCGGCAGTATGAGTATCTGGCGTCCAGGTGTTTTATGTGTCGCGCAAGGGAGACGGCGACAATAGCGCCGCTCTTCGAGGTGCGACGATGGAGCTCGACGATGACCGACGAGCGGGCGCCGTCGTCTTCCAAGTTGCGCCTGGGGAGCGAAGAGGCGGGTATCAGCGCAGTACCAAAAGTCACACTGTCGAAGGGAAAGGAGAAGGCAGTTGATACAGGGAGAGGTCACAAGGACGGGTCACTTGACCAGGAACTTCTGAGACGTTGGGGCAAGCGATACCCTCTTCTCAATGGACCACAGCTCAATATGATGGTATCGCTCGAAAATGCCGCCCGGGCGCGATCGTCAGGCCACCAACGCACGCCGGCGCAGCTGGCCGATCTTCACTTTGACCTCGTCCACGAAGGCAGGGACGGAGGCGAGCGCGGCAAGGAGGTCGAGCCAAGCGTGGGCTCCTTCACGTATGTGCTCAAGTACGCGCACGAGCGAAGCGACGACAAGACGCTTAGGCAGATGGGGCAGGAGGCCATTGCGTGGCAGCAAAGGCACCAGCAGCGTGCTCAGCGGGTCGCCGAAGGGCCGGGCACGACGCCAGTAAGGCAGAAGGGAGATGACCTCAAAGCCCTCGTTCGCAACTTGCGCCTCTCGCTTGCCGTTCGGACGCACCAATTCCACATCAGGGGAGGGACGCTGGAGAGAATGGGTGGAATTAAAGTGCCATCGGCGCAGCCGAGGCTGCTGGCGGACGACGAGCACTTCGTTCACTCCCGGCTGCTTCGGGCAAGGATCAATCCTCTGCGGCTGCATGGACGCACTACGGAGGTTGAAGATGAGGAGGGTTTGGAGGACCCTGCGCAGTCAAGGGTGGGATCGTTGATCCGATCTTCGCGTCCTCGCACGCATCACTCAAGGCGTCTGCAGCGCTTCTTTCGGCTCGCGCAGGGGACGACATTACACGACGCTATGCACAGCACCGAGTCTAGAGGCCCCTCTGTCCCCACCAAATCCGTACCGGTCTCGAAGCACCAGCGAAGGCTGCTAGATATCAACAAGCGTCGCCAAAGGCAGCAGCAAGAACAGGCGGTTTCTGAACACAACCGAGCAAGAGAAGGGTCTAACAATGCTACGGCCGAGCTCATCTACGAAGCATTCAAGCACGATGGCTCCGACTCGCGCTCAGAAGCCATCATCGAGGATCTCAAGCGGTGGGAGGATGAGGTTAGCCGCAGGAGAGCCATCCGGCGCCGAGTTCTGTTCGATCTCGACATGCTGCGTCAGTACAGGGGGACGACCACATCCAACCTGAAGGGTCTTGAGCAGTCAGCGGCCCCTTCAGACCAATCGAGAGAGGACGTCGTGCCCGCGTGGCTCCTTCTCTCTGCCCTCAAGGTCTGCGCCGATCGCGGGCAGGTGGCGGAGGCGGACCGTCTCGTCGAGAATTACCTTCGCTCTCTTTACGACGCGCGACGACGGAGCTCTGCCCAGACTCAAGAGGACGAGAAAGCAGCATGGGCCTCGCTCGTGCCGCGCAACGCCAAGACACACGCCGTGCAAGAGGCGAATCGCCCACCAAACGGACCTGTGCTGCTCAATTCGATCCTCCGAGCCGCCCTTTCGAGTGCCCATTTGGAGGCGTTTGAGGCGATGCTTGACATCATCGAAAGGTGGTGCGTTGGCAGCGAAGGGCTGCTTGCGGAGCTCTGTCCGAAAAGGCCAGCGTCAGCGCAGCGAGCAGGGCACCCGAGGTGTCTGACGCCGGACGAGACGTCCGTCCTCCTGCTCATTGAGGCAGTGCGGACGAGGCGTAAGCGCGCCGAAATTGGGCACGATGTCGTCGAGACCTTTGTCAAGCGGTGGGGTCCGCCTACGGGCGGTCTCAGGATCTCGACACGAGCGACAAGAGGTCTTATCGGATACGCTCTGAGTGCGAACAGGGACGCTGACATAAGGTCGCAATGCATAAGGAAGCTGCTGGAGTCCCACTTGCAGTGGGTCAAGACGAGCGACGAAAAGGAGTATCCATTGCCTCTAGGCGAAGTCAGTCACTGGCGAGGGGCCGAAGTGTACCGCTGGAAGAATCTCATGAACAGGCTCGTCAAGCTCAAGCTGCTGAATAAAGGCGAGGCCGTCCACCTCTCCTACGGCCGCACACCCAATACGTGGAAGTCCGCTCTGGCGACACCTCAGACCTGACGACACCACATTGAAAGAATTTGATCAAAAATCTGTTGTATTGTAATGTCCATGTTGTGCTAGAGAGGTGTCACAGGGCGTCACGCCCGGGACCATGTCTAGCACTGAAATGCATCCTGATCTAATCGATACATTAGGTATCTAACAGCCTCTTCGTATTTGTTGCTGTCGGTGTCGGGTCCTCGCCACTTGTCCCGAGGCGGTCCGTTGTTGGGACAGCTTCCTCGTCCAGCTCCTTCTCAACTGGCTTTGGCGAGCCGACGCTCTTTGCCAGCGGCGTCTGCGTCTCTTCGCTCTGCCCTCTCGCAGCGGCAGGCGCAGTTTGCGGCAGAGTCGCTGGCGGATCAGCATGTGCCTCCTGCAGACCAGCGCTTGTGACACTCGTCAGCACTGGGTGCGGTTCGATCGTCGCAGGGACTTCCGCGCCGTTCCCAGCGCTCTTTGGAGGCTGATCGCTCAAAGAGAAAGCGTTTCCAGCGGGTAGTGTGTTGCCGCGGCCAATGGCATCGGATCTCTTGAGGTCCGTATTCCCCGAGAGGACAAGGGGTACATCTGCGCTTGACGAGATCGGTCCTGTGGGAACCGCAGCAACTGCGGCTGTTGAAACCGGAAGCGGAGCTGCGAGGGGCTGGGAATGATGGGCGGCATCTTTCGTTGTCAGGCCCGAGGTAGTGGCGCTGATAGGGTATTTTTCAGACTCGACCGCGATCTGGTTGGGCTTCTCGAGGCCCTCAGATGCCTCTCTGGTGTCTTCTACTTTGCGCACATCGCTATGGTCGGCCTCCTCTACGCCATTGGTAACACCCTCGAAGTCAAGCGGTGGCATCGATGGACGAATGTTGGGCAGGACGGGTGCGCCTGCATGGCTGAGATCGAAGATGTCGGCCGCGTAGAGGATCAAGTCCTCCGTAACGCGATCCTCCTCCATAGCCGCCGCGATGCTCGTCGTCTCGTGATCAGCCTGCGAGAGGAGCAGCGGGCCAAAGACGATCGAGAGATTGTTGGCATTCATCTTATTCTTTTCCGAGTGCGCCGCTACCTTTGCCAAGTGGCCCACGATGAGCTTGAGCGTCTCCTGGTTGATCTGGGGCAACCTTCGGATCCTGCCCTTCAGATTAGCAAAGCCCGTCTGAATTTGTTCGTCGCGCTCCTGCGTGTGTCGGATGCGCTCCTCCCACGGGATAGGCATGACGGGCTCGGGCAGCTGGCGGAGGTACAATTTGAGCACGCCAGCAACCGTAGCAGGCTCGTCGGCCTCGGACCGGAACTGGAATCGCTCTTCGTCCTTTTCCAGAGCGTGTGCCAAGTTCTGTATCGCTGTGTGCTTGGCGGAGATGCGGTAGATGCCTTGGTGATCGAGAGCACGCTCCTCGATGAACTGGATGCACTTGCGCACAATCAGCGGCGGTTGCACCTTCGTGGGCCCGCCCAGGGTGGGTGCGGATTGCTGAGCCCTCGTGAAGGCATAGTCGATGAGCGAGACGCCGAAGATGAGGTCCTTGCATTCGCCGTACTGATAGTTGACATAGGCAACCCGGCTGTCGTGGGTCTCGCTGAGCGAAGGCAGCCGCTTCTCGACCATGACGAGCTCGTCGTCGAGATGGACAAGCGAGGTCTGGAGCACCTCTTCGGCATGTGTACGCAGGCTGCTGTGGGAGCTGGCCATGACGAGGCCTGATCGCTCAGCCTGCATCCAGACGGCCTGGCACGTCAAATGAAGCTCGCGACGGCACTCAACGACGCTCGCCAGCGCAGCGCGCAACGTCTTGTTCCTGCGCAGCCGCAGCGTCTCGAGGTCGAAAATCATCTTTCGGTATGCCTTGTCGGCTCTGCTGTCCTGTCAGGATCTTTTCAATGCAGACTTGGTTGAAATGCAACTCACTCTTCTGCTTCCCGCTTGGCCTTGACGCTCTTGAGGGCGAGGTTCTGGTTCGATCGCATGCTTCCGGAGCTGTTGCCCAGCACTACGCCTCCCAGTCCAATGCCACCCTCGCCGCCGGTGTGCACACCCAGAGCACCGCCCTCCACAGCGCCAGATGGGGGCGATCTATCGTGAGAAACATTGCTGGTCGCGCCGCTCCCTCCCATCCGGCTCAAGAGCGCGTTAATCTTCTTTGGCGCCTCCTTTCTCGCTGCCTCCCAGTTCTCCCTCGATCGAAGCGCGTCCAGAAAGTGGCCAGGACCCTTGCTCTTCTCGCCATCTTTTGTCGGCGAACTGGCAAACAGCCCAGCATCGCCGCCTATCCTTGGCGACGGGTTCGTCCTTGGGCTCGTTGGCTCTTCGTCCGACCGGAGGCTGGACCGCGACGAGTTGCGATTGTGGGGCTTGCTCCTGTGTGTCGACTTGGACCTGCGCGGAGCAGACGAAGCACCGATGGAAGAGGCATCAAGCGAGGTGCGAGCCGTGTCGGATCGGCTTCCCGTGTCATCGTCGTCGTCTCCTAGAGGGGACGAAGGCTCGCCGGCCCTGCTAGACCCCGTCCCGGATGCATCCCTGGCCATTGCCATCGACGGGGGACTGAGCAGGGTGCGCTGGTCCTCAATGGCCTGCTGCTGCAACCGAAGCTGCTCCACCTCGTCGCAGCGCTTCTCGTAGGCCTTCTTTGCCCGTGGCAGTGTCGTGTTACGCATCTCGTCGTAGCGTCCAATGCTCGTCTTGAGGTCCTCCTTGACCCTCTTCCTTATCCTCTCCTGCGAGTCACGAAAGACTGTCAGCGGGGCAATGACACCCTGGCGCAGCGTCTCGATGTAGTGCTGGCGTGTGTCGAGCTCTGTTTCATAATTGAGAGGCGGAGAGAAAATTAGCAAAGGCGGCCCTCAGCAGCGACAGGAGAAGGAAAGGCCACCCGACCCACCTCGCAAGTCGTTTGCTCGCAGCTCTTTCCAAGCCTGCCTGGCCCCCGGCCATTCTGCACCACCTGGCTCGAGGTTGAGGACAACAGAAAGGCGACTGTCAAGCTTCAGGTCCACGTCCCTCTGCTTATCTGCGAGCGTCTTGAGCCCTTTAACATAATCCTCCTCGAGCTTGACCCTGGCCTCAAAGATGTTGAGGTAGGAGTCTGCCTCTGCGAGAGTCGTCTTGAACGTCTCATGGAACGCACTCGATACGTCATTTGCCGAGGCAGACGACGAGGCAGAGGCGAGCCTGTAGGGAACTGTCTCCGTCGTTGCCGCCGCCGCGTCGTTGGGTTGCGGGTGGCCGCCCGCACCGCTGGCAGTCGCGGCGCTGGCACCCTGGCGATGCTGCGAGAGCGTGCCCCCGATGGAACTGATGACGTCCATCGCTATCAGCTATCGAGGAGGCTGGTGCGCGTCGCAACCGAAATTAGCTGAGTGGTATATGCACGTAAAGAGTACTACTGGTGTCGCTGGTGATGGTGATTCTATCCTGCAGCCTGCGCGTCGCTTCGGCACAGCCTATCGCAGCCCTTCCCCCTTGGCGGCAGGTTCGTGCGACAGGGAACCCAAAAAAATTAAATTGTCCAACAGGGCGCGCGCACGTCAGCCCCCTCGGACCAAGCTGTGGCTTGTCAATTTTCGGCTTGATCTCCACCTCGGACCCACTGTGCAGTGTCGGCATCCTCTTCAGCTTATCTTGATGACGTAGATGGAGAATATGTTACAAGGCTTCAAGGTGCAATCTGACCTTCCATGCATCTTGGTCTGGACCGTCTAGATTCATGCGTACATAAGGTAGCATGTCAAAGGAGACGACCGTAAAGTCCGACCGGAAATCGTCTTCCACAGTCGCAGCAACCTCTTCTCCACCATTGAGTTGCATTCGGACCTGCAAATCATGGCGTGGCTCGCACAGGATCGCAAATGCACATCGCCCTGCTCTGCACAGACTTGCGACGAAAGAAGAGGGGCCTTGTTGTCTCACATCGACGACGCAGGCCAGGCCTGCATGCTTCCCCATAAGACCAAGACAACCACACGTGATGCGAATGTCCGCTCTTCGGCTGCTCTTGAGTGAGCAGCTGAGAACAGGCACCACATCGATCATCTCCCACGAAGCCGGTGGAAGCGAAAAGCAGCAGCTGCTGAGCGGTCTCGAGGCAATTTGGGGATTTGGGCGTTCCTTCTCAAGTTCGGTGGCAGAGATCACCTCGATGCATTTTCTTGCTCGAGAATGGAGCATGTATGCATGCTGATGCCCGTCCAGCTCGTCTAGCGCCTCAGCGACATCGGCCAGTGTGAGAGATCCGTACGCCCACCGAAGCGAACTTCGAACATTCCACGCTGAAATGATGGCCGTTGGTCTACCGCTACTGTCTTGCCATCGCGCCGCCATAACCAACGGTGGGCCTTCGACGCAGTCGGGAAAGACCGAGCTTGAGAGAGTGACACTTTGAATTGCATCCTTCACGCCGATGCCGACCTGCACCGTCTTGATGACCGGGCCAGCCTTCGAAGGCCCAAGAGCTAAGAGTGCATCTAGTGTCTTGCGGCTGCTGTTACATCGCGCGTCAGAGATCCACAGCTTGGCGCTGGAAAAGACGGCGCGAAAGGCCGCATGGTACGCCGCCCAATCCAGCTCACCCGTCATCTTGCTCGTGAACATGTCTGCGTCTGGTACGATGGTCGGGTGCGTCGAAGTGAGGAGCGAGTTGAGTGCATTGTGGTAGAGGTGCCATGTATGCGCCTCCTCGACTTGTGGAAAAGTGTCGTCGGAGTTTCGCAAGTGGAGTCGGTTCGGAGACTGGTACGACAAGGGACCACAAACGAGTCGCGAGCCAAAGGCCATGCAATGGATCACACTTTCTGGACCAAAGACGTCTGATGCTGCTCGATTCAGGGAAGTCCATGCAAGGTCAAAGTAGCCCTTCTCGTCAACGACCCAATCGAGCTCCGACTGCGCATCGACTTTGACGAAGTTGACACCTGCTGACCGGTACGCTGTAAAGCAGTCGCGCCAGAAGTTGTCCAGACGATCGGCATGCGGTAGCTGAATCTCGCGGCTGGCCCTCGGACCGGAGGCAAGGGCATCACTGATTTTGCACCGACGAAGCGGACCGTAGCGTCGGGCAAAGAAGCCGTCGGTATCTGGATCGAGACCGTCCCAGTAGCCAGACAAGGTCATCCATACACCGATATGTTGCATGTGGCGATATCTTCTTCTAAGTCGATCGATGTATCGAGCTAGCCTTGGGCATAGCAAAGAATCTTTGACATATTCGCTCATCTCTTCATCATCGAGAAGGTGAGGGCCCAGATCGAAGCTGACAAGGGTCCGACTTGCATCAACCGGAGTGTAGGTGTTCGTCGGATTTATGTGCTGCCAACCGTCGTCTATCAGAAGTGTGGCTATTCCTCCTTCTAGCGGTCCTTCGAATGCATCAAGCGTGTGCATGAGCGTAGAGAGCTTTGCCGGGGTGCCATTCCCGAGCGCCTCCCATGTGCAGAAGCCCAGACCGGAACGGAGCGATAACGGGCCGTCGGAATCGGCAGCCACCTCGGCTAGACCACCGAGAAAATCTTGAGCAGCCTTATGGCAGCTTCGGAGCAGACCACCGAGCTGCCTCTCGTATCCGCGGCCCACCAAGACCGCACCTGGCCCTTCGCCATCCACGTCGACATCGACTGTCTGCGTGTTGAAAGTGGACCTTGCAAGCTTGACGGTGGCTCCTTCACCACAAATTGGCAGGAGCACCATGACACGGCCGCCCTCGAAGCTCAGCACAATGAGGCTGGCCGGGTGAAGGCATGAGAGCGCTTCGATCGTGCCAAAGGATCGCGAGGTGTGCCATGTCGATCTGCCGATACAAGCGTAATTGTCAGCATTTGCAGCCCCACTCAATAAGATTTGGTTACCACTCACTTCGTCCGTTCGATCACGATGCCTCTACAAGGCATGAGGACCTCGCAGAGAGCAGCACGCCGCCGGCCGGAATGACCAATGCGAATTGTAGTGACACCATCTAGACCACGCCCATTCTCGCTGTACGCATCGCAGAACCTCAAGATCTCTTTTAATCCTTCAGCTTTCACCAGACGGATAAGAGCATCCTGGCCTGGAGCTCCGAGCCATTCCACCTGACCGTCCGGCAGCTTGAAGCGCCACGTATAGCGAACCTCCAGCGGGGCGCCTCGCTGGACCGCCCGGTCGAACACGCGAGGAGGCAGGACCATGGGGAGCAATACCCACTTCTGCGTGTCTCGAGACGGCCAGCACGCGACATCGTACGCCTTCCAGCATCGCTTGTCGATCTCGTCCTCGTGCGTCGGCGCGTCGGTCCAGCACTGCAGCGTGCCCGAAGCCCCCGTCAGCGCTTGCGTCTGCACGACTTGCAACCAGATCGTCACGTCTTCCTGCCGTGCACGAGCTGGGTCCAGCGTCAGCGTCTCCACCGATCCCAAAGCTGGCCACACCCAGACCCCGTGGGAGAGCTGCGTCATTGCGTCGCCATCTTCACCTCGTTGTTTGTAGGAAGAAGGAGAAAGTTGCGCACGGACGTTGAGAAGGAATCGCGTGCAATCCGTTTCTCTCAAAGCAGCATGTATGTACACACCAAACCAGGCAAATGAATAGACTAATCGTCTCAGTAGTGTAACGGTTAACATTGTCGCTTCACATTCATATCTCGTAAGAGGTAGTTTGTGAACCAGCACGTCTCAAAACGCGACCGCTCCCAGTTCGATTCTGGGCTGAGACATTACTTTTTGCCATTTTTTCGACCGTGCAGCTGTCCATAGGGCCCTTCTGTAGACGGCAGGGCACTCAAACATGCACCGGCAGTTCAGCGATACGAAGGTCCGAAACCTATTTATTCCATCGATGAGGAAAAGGAGCTACAATGATCTAGAAAGGGAAACAAAAAGACACGACAGTTCCTCTTTTCCTCCGTTTTTACTTTGTGGCGACGCTCTTCCAGTGGGCAAGCTTTGAGTGACAGCCTTCGACGGGGGGCCTTAGGCCTGGTAGGTCGAGGCCGAAACGTTGCCGCCACGGCCAGTCCAGTTGACGTGGATGTCCGAGTTGGGCTTGAGGAAGTCGTTCTCCTTTCCGGGCAGGACACGGAAGGTGTGGGCGCCAAAGAGATCTCGCTGGGCCTGGAGCAGATTGGCGGGCAGGCGCTCGGTGCGGTAGCCGTCAAAGAACGACAGGGCCGTCGAGAAGGCCGGGGTGGGGATACCCCAGAGCATGGCCTGGGCCACGACACGCCTCCAGCCCTCCTGGGCGTCGTGGATGGCCTTGTTGAAGAAGTCGTCGAACAGGAGGTTCTCCAGCGTGGGGTTCTTGCGGAACGCGTTGGTAATGTCCTTGAGGAAGACGGAGCGGATGATGCAGCCACCGCGCCACATGAGGGCAATCGACGGGTTGTTGAGCGTCCAGTTGTACTCCTTGGCGGCCTCGCGCATGAGCATGAAGCCCTGGGCGTACGAGACAATCTTGGACGCATACAGAGCCTGCTCCAGGTCGGCAATGAACTGCTCCTTGTTGCCCTCAAAGGGCTTGATCTGGGGACCCTGGAGAATCTTGCTGGCGCGGGTACGCTCCTCCTTGAGCGACGAGAGGCATCGGGCAAAGACGGCCTCGCCAATGAGCGTGACTGGCTGGCCCAGGTCGAGGGCGTTGATTGCAGTCCACTTGCCGGTACCCTTCTGGCCGGCCGAGTCGAGGATCTTGTCGAGCATGGGCTCGCCGTCCTTGTCGTTGTAGCGGAGGATGGTGGCAGTAATCTCGATGAGGAACGAGTCGAGGACACCCTTGTTCCACTTCTCGAAGATGTCGGCGATCTCAGTGACGTTGAGGCCAAGGCCGCGTCGGAGAATGTCGTAGGCCTCGCAGATCAGCTGCATGTCACCGTACTCGATGCCGTTGTGCACCATCTTGACGTAGTGGCCGGCACCGGTCTGGCCGACCCAGTCACAGCAGGGCTCGCCGTCAGACTGGGCAGCCGTCTTCTGGAAGATCTCCTTGAGCGAGGGCCAGGCGGCGTCGGAGCCACCGGGCATGATCGAAGGGCCGTGGCGGGCGCCCTCTTCACCACCCGAGACACCGGCACCGACGAAGAGGAGTCCCTTCTCCTCGAGAGCCTTAGTGCGGCGGATCGAGTCGGGGTAGTGCGAGTTGCCGCCGTCGATGATGATGTCGCCCTTCTCAAGGTGAGGAACGAGCTGGTCGATGAAGGCATCGACGGCAGCGCCGGCCTTGACAAGAATGATCATCTTGCGGGGCCGCTTGAGCTTGGCGACGAACTCCTCGACCGAGTGGGCGCCGACGACGTTGGTTCCTGCAGGCAAGGGAGAGGGATTTAGCCTTTCTTATCACGATTAGAGGATGAGGATGGAGACGGATTGCTCACCCTTGGCCTCGTTGTTGAGGAAGTCGTCGACCTTGCTCGTCGTTCGGTTGTAGGCGCAGACGGTGAAGCCCTTGTCTATTGCAGAGAGCGAGTGTGAGCTGCTGCATCGGCGCTAATCTATGATTTTGACCCTCACCGTTCATGTTGAGGATCAGGTTCTGTCAGGGTTTGATCAAGTTCGCACGGAGGTCAATTAGCCACGGAAACCAATCTTAGAAGACCAAGTAACCACTCACCTGACCCATGACGGCCAGGCCGATGAGGCCGATGTCAGCGCTGAGATTGGGGAAGGGGCAAACAGAGAGATTAGTGATTAAATGACGAAGGTCGCCATGGCTGCAAATTTACTCACACAGCCTGCGTCATCTTGAAGGGATCGAGGAGGTGAGATTGGAGTTGACGAAGTCTGCTTGTCAAGGAAGTAAATGTGGACGACAGCTTGGACCTTGTGGCTGAAACGTCGGGGACGGGTGTGGTAATGATGATGGGGGGGAGAAGAAGCGAAGAAAATCCAACCGAGAGAAAGGCGCGCGGCGATATGCCTGGCTGGACTCAGGCGCCGCTCCACCTCAACCGATCGAGGCGAGGGTGCGCTCTCGTGGCTTACGGATTAGGCACGTGTCTCCCCATCGTTTCTCTCGCCCTTTTAGAGTTGTGTTGCCCATCGAGACAGCCGGTGGACAACGAGTCAGGCGACCGACAGAGCAGCCATGACGAGGGCGACGAGATTCTTCACCGCCGTGGGCGCCTTTTCGCTCATCTGGGTCCTCCTTCTCCTCGACATTCTCCCCCTGCCCCTTGTTCCGCACGAGGTCAAGCATCAGATTCTCCCAGCGGTGAGTGCCGTCGTCGGCCTGGCTCGTGCGTCGCCTCGCTGACTCTCTCGTCGCGCAGCTGCCCTGGTGGGTTCTTGTCTCGACTGGCTCATACCTCCTCTTCGAGATGGGTTGGGGCATCTTTAATTTCAACGACGTGCCCAAGGCCTATGACGATCTCCTCATCGTGAGTGATGCTGTGCCCGTAGCTCTGCTTTAAATTTCTACTGACTCGCTCACCCCGTCATTGTGGACAGGACATCAAAAACGCAAAGGACTTCCTCGCAGCGAAGGGCGTCAATGTAGACTAGACATCGCATTTCTCAGATAGTATCTCGTTTCCTGGCAAAGAGCTGATCAGGTCGAGTGAGAGAGGTGCCAGCGTCGCATTCCTCGCTTTGGCAAGGGTGACGTGTAGATGGGCTTGTGGTACAGGTACTGGTGTCTTCGTCACTCGCAGTAACATCGATGTTGGTAAGTTCGGGGTACGGTGATCCGCTCTTGGTCGATTCTCGTATACTGCAGGGCTGGGGGTCTATGTCACAGAAGATGTGTATGGTCTCGGTGCTCTGTATTTGTTCACCAACGTTCCACAACGGTACGCCTAGAAGTCGACAATGGCACGTCCTCTTTGCGAATCGGAATCAGCGCTCCAAAGGAAGCTTCATCCTCTATCAGCTAGCACTCTTTCTTTCGGAAAGGAATATAGGGCCGCGGACACTCACAGCTCGAAACAAGCTGTGGGATGAGCGCGACGGCTACCATTTTCTGCACGCTCGGTAGAATCTCATCCCAAAGCGCCTTCGCCGCTCCATCGATTTCACTGCCCACTTCAATGTCTCTTTCTCCTTCGGACTTTCGAAGCCTAAAGTGCGTCTGGTACTGGAGCACCTTGTCAAGGAGCTCCCTCGTGACCGGGCTCCCGCCGTGAATTGATCTGTGCTCTTCGCATTTGACAATGACTTTATGGGTCCCGAATAGCTCTATGATCGAGTGACGCGCCATTTCCTTATTGACCTTGTACCCGAAGTCAATCAGGTAGGTTGGAAAGGGGCCCACAGTGGCGTTCGTTGTGTGGGCAACGCGAAACTTGACGGCGCCGTCGTCCACAAGTATTGGCAGCGCATTACCGGCGTTGTCGCGCAAGCTCTTTATGAAGACGGTCCTTGCAAACAGTCTTAACGAGGCGCATACATACCCCAATTGAGGTCACACTTACTTGACAGCAGGAATGAAGACCCGTACAATCGCCCCGAGTACCATTTTGAGGCTTGATGGGACGCCCTGCATGCCGTCTTTGACGCTTAACATCTGCACGAGGGAATGCAGGTGATTCATCGGCACACGGCCAATCTCTGCGACGGAGAGACCCATGAGCCCGATGGCGACGTAGCCAAATATACTGTCTGGCGAGACGGCATAGGCAAGAGTAACGACTCGTATTCCGATCCTGATGTGACCGTCCATGAAAGGCGCGCTGAGAAGCTGCGATATTTTCTGCCTCCGGTTGTCAGACCATGTTGTCGTCGTCGAAAAAGCCTCACGCGCTAGAACTCACTTTATGCTGCTGCGATTCTTCCTTCCTTGCCAGCCTCGCATGTTCCACCAACCACGCAAGACGCACTATCCTGGTAAGGTCAGTGGCCTCTCCCTCCTCCTTGAAGCTCTGCACGCAGTCTTCGAGCTGCTTGACGGTGTCGTCGCTGCAAGTGTCTACTGCTTTTTTCTTTACTGCTTCGAGGACGCATTCCTGCAGTGCACGACGCACCATAGTCGCCACGTCCCCTGGGGCGATGTTGGCAAAGTTGATGAGGCGCTGTGCAGCCCAACTAGCGAAGAGAGAGGCTCAGCGTCGAGACAGAAAGGGGAAGAATGGAGTGCAACTATCGAGCGCATACATTGCAGATTCGTTGGGCACCGGCTGAGCCAGCGACACTTCGTTCTCACGGGCGATAGAGCTGTTCAGACGACGCTGCAGCGTGCTGCGATGGGCCGCTTGCTTCTTGAGAATAACCTTGGCAGCCTCCACGATGCGACTTCCCTTGCTTGTCTCCATCGCTTCCAGTATCTTATCTGGCACATTCTCAGCAGAGAGAGTCGAGCGCAGCTGTCTTTGTACGCCTGAAAATTGAGATAACTTGTCGAGATGGACCAGTAGGGCGTCTAAGACATCCCTTATGAGAAATTTCTCGGTAGAAGGGTTAGGCATTGTGTGTATGTGTAGAGAAGACGAGAGAGAGAGAAAGCAGGTTTCTCCAATTGAACCTGTGCAGATGTGTTCGTAGGGTTCAGATCTCCCCTCCTAGTAGGAGGCGGTGAAGTGAGGCCAAGGGCAATTCATCACGATTCTCTTTTGTGGCTCCGACCTCACCGGCCACAGGCACAGGAGCCGACCAGCTTTCCACGGTAATTACCGTCACCGACGGTCCAATTCTTTTATTCGTTTCGAGCCCAGACCTAGGCAATAATGCAATTCCCGTTTCAGACTCCAAATACTTGAAGCTGAGGCCATCCTTCTCGGGTCGGGCAGGTCAACAAGTTTCCAACAGAGCTTTGCGTGCTGCCAACACGGTCCGTCGTCCGTCGGCGCTGTCGTGGACGGGCGAGCGTCGTCTTTTTCACGTGTCCGAAATACGGACGGGCGCGACCCAAAAAATTCCCACCGACCGACGCCCACCTCAAACACTAAAATCAAACAAATAAATAGATCAACACCCAACACCCACCCATCCAATCATCCATCGTCGTGGCGCGCTACCTTTACTATACCAACCCACACGACTGGGGAAGTTTCTCGAAAAGGAATGGCTGAATCGCCTGCGCTGTCGATGGGCCATGCCCGGGCGCTGAGGCGGCTCTCGCTTGCGCCCTCGCGGCTGTCCAACATGGCGGCGCCCGCTGTGTCGTCATCGTCATCGTCGTCGCCCACCAAGTTCATGGGCAAGAAGAAGATGGGCGCGACAATGGAGGGCGACGAGAGCGCGACACTGCTGATGGACATGAGCCTGGGCGATCTGGAGTTGGCAAAGAAGCACAGCTCAAGTAGTCCCGTCAAGAAAGCCAGGCCTTCAAAGAGGAGGAAAGCCGAGAGGGTGTCTGACGAGGCGTTTGGTGGGATGGACGTCGAGGAGCTCGAGAGGCTGGCGAAGGAAGCCTTGGAGCAGGAGGCGCGGTTCGAGAAGCGAAGACGCAGGGCAAGCAAGGAGGAAGCGACTGAGCTGGGTGCGCCAGCGGAGGCCTCGTCGTCATCCCCGTCGACAAGACAGGCGAAGGGGAGGAAGAGCCCACGCAAGACGCTCCTTGTCGATCCCCGCGATGGAGGAGAGGAGCAGGAGCAGTACGCCGCGACAACGACAGCGATGACGGAAAGGGAGACAAAGGCGAAGAGAAAGAGTGTGGCATGGGCGCAGGCTGAACGTGAACAAACGCCGCCGTCGGCAGCAGTGCCGATGCACAGCAGCCCAGGCAAACCGAGGTCCATCTTGGTCCCATCGCCGTCCAAGCACCAGCATCCGACCTTTGCCGCTGAGGTAGAAACGAGAGAACAGAGGCGGTATCGGCTCGGACTGGGACCGCAGGCCTGGCGCAGCAGCGAACCCCCAGGCCCGACCAAGAGCCAGGAGCCGGCATGCGGGACAGAAGGGGCCACACCGAGTGATGAGGCAGCACGAGACGAAGTTCAGGCAAATGTCAAGGCCAGGAGTCCAGCAGCCAGAAAGGAGGCGGAAGTAAAGCAGCTCAGTGCTTCACCGCAGCGACCGACAAGGCCAAAGAAAGACGATTCAAAAGCGACGCTTGCAAGCAATCATTCCCCAGGGGCCAAGAAGACGCCACGTACAGTCGCTCCCGAGGACGAAGCTCCAACGACACGAGCGCGAGCAGAAGTGACTGTAGCGCACGGACCAAGTCGCCGCGTTGCCCGCGCCGCAGAGGAGGCCGTGGAGCCGAAAGGAACAGCTACCTCTGCAGCACCAAAGCCGCTGACGAGACGACAACAGGCAGTCCAGGAGGCATCCCAGGCTGCCGCGGCTACAACGAGATCAGCGAGGGCCAAGGCAAAGCCACTCGCCACCGTCACCACGGCGGTGCCCGAGGGATTCCGCCTGTCCTCGACGGGACAGCTCGTCGCCATCTCGAAGCCAAAGGAGTTTTCATTTGCCAAGCCGTCTAGCAGAGCAACGCAGGAGACAAGGCAGGGTGGGACAGCAGGTCCAAAGGCCAACCCGGTGCCCGAGTGGCTAAAGAAGCGCAGAGAGGCACTCAAGAAGGAAGAGGCGGCCAGACTGGAGGCTGAGCTAGAGCGCGTGCGCATCGAGGAGCTGCACCGTGGTCAGGCGCCACAGCCATCACAGTCCCGTCTGCGAGGGCAGCTAGAAGCCAAGGAGAATGTACACGGACCTGCAACCACCGTTGCACCCGGCGCCTTTGTCTCGTCTGTCGAAGCCAGGCTCGCCGAGCGGGCTGCATGGGAGGAGCGACGGCGTGAAAAGGAAGAGGCGCTCGAAAAGCAGAGGGAAGCCGCCCGGCTCGAGCGGCAGAAGCGCGACGACGAGGAGTACCGGGAGGCAAGGAAGAGGAGCGTGCCAAAGGCCAACCCTGTACCCGCCTGGCTGCACCAGAGGAGGTGAATAACCCTACTTTGTCCCCCAGCGTCTCTCCGTTACCCCTTCGCTTCCGTCTGTCTATAGCGCTATCACATGCATACGTACTACCTCATCACTCTGCTAATATAGATTACTGCGCAGCATGGATTCTGCGCAGTCTCTTCATTTTTAGAAGCGATGCATTTTAGACTGATCGCATCGCGTCAGGAACAGAAGCTGAGATGGATCGATCGGGCGAGGGTCCGAAAGTAAAAGAAAAGAAGCCTGGGGTGACTCGTTGTAAACGCCGAGCTGAGGAAATTCCTACTATAAAAGCGGGTGGAGGATCGAAACTGGATCCACCTCGCTCTCAGAAAGAGGAGGGCGACGAGAGACGACGACGAGATGACGAAGAGCCTCGATGCGATGGCCACGACGACGGCGACGTACGAAGAGCATGACCGACGGACGCTGTCGTTCGAAGGGCTGATTGCGCACCTCTCGCGCGGGCCCAACATGCCCACGTCGATGCACCTCCGCTCGATGCTCCTTGCGCCCTTTACGTCGAGCTGGTATGCGCAGCAGGCCGACGAGCTGGATGCAGCGAGGCGCGCCAAGCACGGCGACGAGCTCGACCAGTGGCGCTGGGACGTCGTTGAGGCATACCGGCAGCAAGTGCAGGTTGCCGTCGTGGGGCGTCGCGTGCCCAGCGATGTGCTCCGCGCAGCTGACGGCAAGGAGCAGCGAGAGAAAGAAGAGGAACAGGAACAAGAAGCAGAGGAGGAGCCGTACGCCGTCATCATGATCGGATACATGGGACCGGGCGGCGCGACGCATGCCGACATCCTCAGAGTAAACCCAGAGAGATGGGGCCGACCAATGCTCTCGCTCTGGCTCAGCAGCCAGACGCAGGACAGCGACGGCACCGCACCCCTGTCGCCCGCGACCAAGGCACTTCTCGACCATCTTCTGCTCGAGTACATCCCACGCGCGATGCAGAGGCTCATAGGCAGCACGACAACAGCGGCGGCTCCCAACTTCTTGGTCGGGCTCGGCGCAGTGCACACGCCCGCGGTACGGTACTGGCGCGAAAAGGGCGCAGTCGAATACATTCACGACTACATTCACTTTCTCCGACAGGACCAGCGGCAATTGCTGCCCCTTCCGGTCGAGGATCAAGATAAAGACTGGCACGAGGCGACGATCCAGAGCGACTCCGATGTCCGGCTCGTGAGTGTGTCCCCCCATCATCCAGCTTCGATCCTTGGGCAGGCTAGCTAACTCAGAAGAGTGTTGATCTTGACGGAACAGGTTCAGGGCATCAACAAGATTTCTTATCCGACGTGGTACATTGATGCACGCAGGGACCGCTCCATTATCCTGCGCGATGCCTTCACCCCGGGCGGCGAAGAAAGGCAAGAGACAGACGCAGAGTACGCGCGCGAGAGGGCCAGAGGCGCTGCTGCTGGCTGGGCCTTTGTGCACGAGGACATGACATTGGGCAGCCTGCACGTCGCGCCGGCCTACCGCCGCTTCCTGCGATCATCGCAGCCGTCGCAAGGCGATCCGACAAAGGAAGCAAAGAAGAAGAGCGTGGGCCATGTGTGCGTCGATCGCATAGAGCCCATGGTGCTCGAAGCCCAACGCACCTCGTTTGAGCGCGCCGGCTTATCGCCCCAGCTTCCCACCGAGTATTTCCTGGCGACCGAGGCCGAGGACAACGAGGCAGCGCTTCGTTTCTTCAAAAAGGTCGGCTTTGTCCCCTTTATGCACACCTCGTGGGGCACGATCAATGTGTCCCCTACCACCTCATGATTTGGCAATGGAAAGAAAAGAGAGAGAGTGATTGAATCCTTCTTGGGTGTGTAAGCTACTTTTACAAGTTTTCGAGAGGCCTTAAGAGAGAGGTGACTAGATCATCTTGGACGCCCTCAGGCTGCCTGAGACGAGGTTGTGGGCGCTGGTCCTGGCATCGATGAAGAGGCTGTGCGACTCTTCCAGGTCGGCCAACGACACCTGCGAGCGGCCAGACACGCGCGCCAGGATGCTCGCTGGCGTCAGAAGCTGGAGTGCATATCTGGAAGGAAGAATAGGCAAGGCAATAGCAAAGTCAGCGTTGGATTAGTTGAAAAAAGACGGACGAGCTGCAAGAAGAACATACCTCAACGAGCTCTGCATGCCGTCGTCGGTCAGTTTCTCGAGGGCGTCTTCGGCAATGACGAGGCTCTCCGTCTTGGTGCGCAGCCGTAGCACCTCGCGAATCTCGTCACGGTCATAGGGCGCTGTCCGCACGATCATGCACCGGTCCAACAGGTCGAGAGGAATGCCGTGCGGCGCGACGATGCCTTGGCTGCCTGAGCCGGCACCACCGTCGTACTCGGTGCCCCGGACGACGCAGTTGCCCCGGTTGGTGGCCAGGATGACGTGCGGGCTGATGGTCGACTCGAGGGCGCGGTTGAGGTAGGTGAAGCACTCGATGTCGAGCATGTGCACCTCGTCGATGAACAGCACGCCGGGCACGAGCTCAGCCAGGCCCTGCTCAATGTACCGATCCACAACGCGGTTGATCTCGCCGCGCAGCTTGTCCGTCACCTCGGTCCGCCTGCCCTTGACGAGCTGGCCGACGACGCTCATGATGTCCTGCCCTCCCTGCGGCTTGGCATTGGCCATGTCGAGATCGTGGAGCGTCACGTCCTGCACCACCTCCTTGCGCTTGTGCACCTCGCCCTTGGGCAGCGGCACATACTCTTCAGCCTCGAGGTCAAATTCGGTCGCATAGGCGTCTGACCGGCCGACTCTCTTGACGGCCCCAGTGTTGGCCTCGATGTAGACGACGTCGCCGATGCTGACGCGCTCCTTCATGATGCTCTCGTACACGCTCGGGTCCAGTCGGAGCTGCTTGGTGCCCTTGACCGTCTTGAGCGCGATGACGACGTGCGAGATTGTCTTGCCGTATCCCGACAGCGGGTTCTCCGTCTCGGTCGGCGTCAGCTCCGTGATCTCGCCCTCGTACACCTCCTTGATCTCGCGCACCCGCAGGCCTGTGTGCAGTGACGCAGCATCCAGTGTGTGAGTGAGTCGACGTCCAGTGAAAGGGAGACATGGAGATGAGGAGCTCCGAAAACTCACCGATTGCGCGACGGAAGTTCTCCATCAGCACCTCGGTCTTCTTCACCTCGGAGCTGTACACCTCAGAGCCGACCATGGGGCAGAAGGGCACCTTCTGGCCGAGCTCGTGCGCGATACCCAACGCCAGCGCCGTCTTACCCGTCCCCGGACCACCAGCCAGCAGCAGAGCCCTTCCCGCAAACTTCTTGAGGCGGATGAGATCGAGAACGAGCCCGCAGGCCTCCCTGGCCTGCCGCTGCCCAATGAAGCCCTGGGCCGTGCCGGTGAGTGCGGTGCCGTCTTCGCCGAGGCCGAGGCCCTTGATGTGCGAGTGCGTCGCCACGCGCGACTCCCGCGACCCAGACGGGCCCGATGATGCACCCTGTGTGACCTTCATCCTCTCGTCGATCGCGCTTGTCTCCTTGTGAAGCGGTTGCAGCTAAAAGGAGGCCGTTGAATCGTCGACGGAAGAATGTCGAGAGAGTTGTCGACGAGTGCGTCGCGTGCACGTGCTATTTTATCGAAAAGGAGTGACAGATTTCCCTGTCTCCAATGACGGACCGCTTCCTCGGAGGCGCCTCGGAGGTGGAGCAGAGTGCCACTGGGTGTTGGTGCTCGGAATGGCGCGAAGTCTTCCTGCGAAGTTTACCCCCGCGTCCAACGGAACTTGTCCATCACGCACGGGACCCGAATACGGCGGGAGGCGCCGTCACGCAAGCCTGATCCGAACAGCTGCCGAGCCACTCCTGGCAAAGAAGATAAAAGGAAGGCCGTTGGGCGTCATCCTGTCCGTGAGCTCGCCAAATTAAGCATCGTCATGTCCTCCGACCAAGTCGACATCGCCTCGCAGGGCGTCATAGAAGCCCGCACCGTGTACGTCGAGCCTGTTGCCTCCAATGGCAAGGCTGGCAACGTATCGGCGTACCTCGGCATTCCCTTTGCGCAGCCGCCCATGGGCGAGCTCCGATGGCGGAAGCCGCAGGGACCGGCGCCCTCTTGGCGGCCTGCGGTGCGCAAGAGCGCCTGGCACCGCGACCCGTCGCAGGACCTCAAGCTCAAGCGGGCGATCTGGAAGGACCGCAGCGATGATGGCCTCAAAGGCGATCTCAGCAGTGAGGACTGCCTCTATCTCGACGTCTGGGTGCCCAAGGACAAAAAGGGCCCGCTGCCCGTCATGGTGGGTCTGTGCCTGGCTTTTCCTCAGCAAAGCAAGGGCTCACACTCTAGCGCATGCATCTTCTTCTTCAACAACAGGCCTGGGTCTACGGCGGCGCCTTTGTCCAGGGCTCAGCGTCGCAGCCCCTCTTTGACGGTGCACGCCTCGCAAACGAGACGGGGACCATCGTCGTCCATCTCTCCTACCGGCTGGGCCTCCTTGGCTGGGGCGCCTCGCGCAGCCTCGCGGCGCAGCACCCCGACGAGGGCACGGGCAACTACGGCATGTGGGACGTCATTGCCGGTCTCGAGTGGATCCGGGACAACATTGCTGTGTTTGGAGGCAACAAGGACAATGTATGCGCCTTCGGCGAGTCGGCCGGCAGCATCCTTCTTCGTGGGTTTCACTTGGACCCAGGACTTGCATCGCGACTCTTGAAGAAAGGTCTGACCCTGACATACGAACAGACTACCTCATCCTCTCGACACGCATGCCAAAGAACCTCTTTTCGCGCGCCATTCTTCAGAGCGGCACTGCGCTGACGGTGCTGCCGCGGACGCTGGCCTCGCAGCAGGCAACCTTTGACGCCGTCGCCGTCAAGCTGGGCGCCTCACCGTCCTCGTCCGACGCCGACAAGCTGGCCGTGATGCGCAAAGCCTCTCCCGACGACCTCATCGGGGCTGCTTCCTCCCTACCCTCGCGCCGGCCACGGACAGAATACAGCGTCAACGAGGCCAAGGGCCGGCCGCGCGACCGGCGGCAGGCCGACGCCAAGACGATGGAGCTGGAGCCCATGTCGCTCTTTGGGCCCACCTGGGACGGCGTCCTGGTGCAGCCGAGCTTCCTCGAGGAGCTCCGCGCCGGGGGTCTCCCTGCTGCGGGGCTCAACAACGCACAGGAAGGCATCATCCTCGGCTACTGCGTCGACGAGGGCACCATGTTCAACTTCATGGTCCAGACGCCCAGCGCGCTCCACGACCACGTCGCCGGCTACCACCCGGCGCTGCTGGCCGACGTGCGGCGCCTCTATGCGACGGAGCAGGTGCAGGCCAATGGCCGCGCATTCGACACGTGCGCCGCCTACACGGGCGACGCCCTCTTCCAAGCGCCCGTGCGTGCGCTGATGGCGTCGCTGGCGTCGTCGCAGGGCGGCAGCGGCGGTGTGCCGGCGTACGGCTACTGCTTTGCGCACGTCCCCTCGGCGCGCCTGAGCAGGGGGCAGAACAACGCCGTGGGAAAAGAGGTCTACAAGAGCCTCGGCGTGCTGCACACGGCCGAGATTCCCTATGTGTTTGGCAACGACGGGAGCCAGGCCTACATTTTTGCGCGCGACGCATACGGTGCGCCGGGCGACTTCCGGCCCGAAGCCGATCCCGACGACTACGAGGAAGAAGACGAAGGTGACGCGGGATTCACAGAGGCTGAGCGGGTGCTCAGCGCGGATCTCATGAGGCGGTGGGGCGACTTTGCGAGCGGCAGGCAGCAGCCGTGGCGGCGTCTCGAGGCCGTGGACAAGCTCGAGGACCTGGCGATCCTGCAGATCGGCAGCGTCGCCCAGCGCGGTGCGGGCTCAGCAGTGGCCAAGGACGCGCTTGCGTCCGACGCCGACGCGGAGACACGGGAGATCCCCGTCGTGGAGACGACGCTGGGCCAGACGCTGGACTGGACAGAGGCGCTCTACGACCACGCGGCCACGGGCGAGAAGCAGGCCTTCTGGTCCGGCAATGGCTTTGCCAATGTCCTGCTCCACTACTACGGCGATGCCAATCAGCCCTTTGAGCCATGAGATGAGATGAGCAGGTGTACAGAATAAGAAGCACGTCTGTATCTATTTGGCATGATTTCAACGATCTAGCATGACTCTTGGATTGAATATGTACATCACTTGGCAAGACTGGCCTCGAGGCGGTCGCACTGCTCCAGCACGGCCCGCTTCGACGTCCCACCCGTCGCATCCCTCCGTTCGACGCTCTCGTCAAAGGACCAGACCTTGAGCACGTCGTCCTCAAAGGCCGGGTGCAGCGACTGGAGGTCCTTGACCGTGAGGTCCGACAGGCTGCACTTGCGCTCCTCGGACAGCCGCACGGCCGAGCCGCTGACGTGGTGCGTCTCCCGGAAGGGAATGCCCTTTCGCACGAGGTACTCGGCCAGGTCCGTCGCGAGCATGTCGGGCGTCAATGCGCTGCGCATCCTCTCTGGGAAGGTCTGTGGACGCATTTCACGCCGGTCGCAAGGCTCGATTTGTAAGCTCAACAACCTGGATGCGATTTACACTACCAAAGAAGAAGAAGCAGACTCACACTCATTGTGCTGATGACGCCCGTGGCAATCTGGAGGCTGCGTCGCACCGTGTCGACTGCGTCAAAGAGGGGCTCCTTGTCCTCCTGCAGGTCCTTGTTGTACGTCGAGGGGATGCCCTTGAGTGTCATCATGAAGCCCGACATCTGTTGAAAGACAAGAGTTGAGCTGGTCTGATATCGAGAAGCAAAGGGTGAGAACCCACCTGGCCAAAGACACGGCCCGACTTGCCGCGCAGCAGCTCCAGGCTGTCTGGGTTCTTCTTCTGGGGCATAATCGACGAGCCGGTGCTGTATGCGTCGCTGAGCTGGACAAAGCCAAACTCGGCCGACGAGTAGATGATGAGGTCCTCGGCCATCTTGGAGATGTGGATCATGGTCAAGCTGGCCCACATGAGCGTCTCGACGACAAAGTCGCGGTCGCTGACCGAGTGCATGCTGTTGGTGCCCACGGTGGCGAAGCCCAAGTCGCGCGCGATGGCGGCACGGTCCAGGCCTGCAAACGGGTTGCCTGCCAGAGGTCCGCTGCCGAGGGGCAGGACGGAGATGCGCGGGCGCAGGTCGCGGATCCGCGCATAGTCGGACGCCAGGGCCGAGGCGTGGGACAGGAGCAGGTGGCTCCAGCGGATCGGCTGGGCGCGCTGCAGGTGCGTGTAGCCGGGCATCAGCGCGTCGACCTCGGCCCGTGCGCGTGCAACGAGGACGTGGAGCAGCTCGCCGAGGAGCGTCTGCAGCGCCTCGGCCTCGTCGAGGAGCCAGAGGCGCATGTCGGTCGCCACCTGGTCGTTTCGGCTCCGGCCCGTGTGGAGCTTGCCTGCGACGGGGCCGATGAGCTCCTTGAGCCGGCGCTCGTTGGCCGTGTGGATGTCTTCGTCGTCGGCCTCGGCCTGGAACTTGCCCGCCTTCCACTCTGCGCCGACCTGGTCGAGCCCCTTGATGATGGTGTCGCGCTCGTCGGGCGTGAGGATGTTGCAGCCGACGAGGGCACGCGCATATGCCTGGGAGCCGCGGATGTCCTGGGCCCACATGCGCTGGTCGTAGGACAGCGACTCGTTGAAGGCATGCATGATGGGGTCCGTGGTGCCCGTGAAGCGGCCGCCCCAGAGCTTGCGCTTGGTGAAGTCGGCTCCCTGTTCGTCTGACATGGTGTTGTTACTGCTTGCTTTGACAGGTTGTTGCTTGCACCTTTCTTCTCGACTCGACTCAGATAAGGCTTCGCTTTGCGTTTTCCCCCCGAAAAATTGGCAGTCCCACGAGGGGTCAGGGCACGGGAATCGGGACACTCTCTGCGTGTGCGCGTGTAGGCTTCGATTTATTTTTCCTTGGCTCTGCGTTTCGGCAGCCACAAAGTAGGCCAAGCAGTGCAGCAGCAGCAGCAGCAGCAGCAGCTCCGACGACTAGTGCCCTCGCCACTGTGCTGCCCCTTTTGCTCGCCCATGTCTCGTCGCGACCAGATTTTCCAGACGTTTGCTGCCGTCCAGGACTCGGTCTACCAGCTCATCGACGAACGCACGTCTTCGTTTGGCCACGCACCCGGGCCCTCGGCGCCGAGCAGCAGCAGCAGCGCCGGCACAGGCGCGAACGTGCGCCGATCGGACACGACTGCGACGACTGCGCCCCCCCTCTACCACCGCCAGCCGCGCCAGGGCGCCGACGAGGACGAGGTGCCCGACGAGGTGCGCAACGCCGCGCCCGGACACGCACAGGAGGCCCTCGACCAGATGCCGCGGACGCGCATGGCCAAGGGCGATGCCCGGGAGGCGCGCCGCGCCGCGGCAGCGCTGCGCGAGGAGCAGCTGCGCTCGGGCGCCCTCAAGACGCGGCACAGCTTTGCGAGCCAGAACGGCCGCGTGCTCCTCGACGTCTCGACGCCGCCCCAGAAGACGCTCACCTTCATGGGCGGCTCCCAGCAGCGCGGCACGGGCGCCATCAAGGGCAAAGTCACGGTGCATGCGCAGGAGGGCGACCGTGTCTCGGCCATCCGTCTCAAGGTGAGTGGCGTGTCTACTCAGTCTACAAGAGCGGAATGCTGACTAGTCCCCACAGATCAAGGCGGTAGCCAAGGTGCAGGTGCCCCGGGCAGGCACCGCGCAGGCGCCATTCCCACTCAGCCAGGCACACCCCAACATAGAGCCATGTGTGGAAAAGGAGGTGCTCCTGCTCCAGCTCGAGTCCAAGCTCTGGACGGCGACCAAGAACAAGGATGCTCCGTCGACGTTTCCCGCCGTCGAGGACCCCACCGTGCTCACAAAGGGCTCCCACGACTTTGCCTTTTCCATCGACCTGCCCGCGCAGACGTCCAAGGGCGAGGCCCTGCCGCCCAGCTTTGTCCTCCAGCCCGTCATTACGGCCAACCAAGCTGCCCAGTCGCAGCAGCAGCGGCGTCAGCAGCAGCAGCAGCAGCAGCAACAACAACGCCGGTCAGGAGGGAGCGGCCTCGACGACATGCGCGGTAAGGTCGCCGCCCTCACCTCGGCGCTGCCCCTGCCCGGCGCCACGACGGAGTGGGCGAGCGTCAAGTGGTACGCCAAGCTGACCGTCGAGCGGCCGGGCATGTTTCGCGCCAACGACCGCGTCTTTGCGCCTTTTGTCTACCTCCCTCCCCCACCGGCGGGCAAGGACGTGGAGCCGCTGCTGCATCGGAGGCTCCGTCTGGCCGCCGAGATTGACGCGACGCTCCGCGCCTCGTTTGCCGCCAGAAACGCACGGGCTGATGCCGCCTCTGGCCTGCAGATGATGCTCGACAAGCTCGCCGAGCCACTGGGCCAGTGGGAGCCCGTGCGACTGGTGGACCCGATGCTGCAGGGCGGCAAGGGCAAGCAGAGAAAGGCAGCCGCCGCCGCCGCCGCCGCCGCCGCGTCTCCAGCCAAGGGCAACGACGCAGGCCCGGGCTTCTTCTCCAAGCTCCTCTTTGGGGCCCAGGTCACGCAGACGGCGCCCAACGCACCCTCGAGCGAGTCGTGGACCTTACTACTGCCAAGAAAACCCAAGCTGTTTGCCCTCCGGTCGGGGATCCCCTACCTGCTCATCCGCGACGTCGAGTGGAAGGGCCATCAGCTCGACGAGGCGGCCCTGTCGCGCGTGCCCACCGTGGCCCTGTACCAGCGCACGCGCACCTACGCCCGCGCCAAGGGCCCCGTCTCGGGCCACCTCGTCCGCAACATGTCCCTCGGTCGACAGTCGGCCGACGCCGATCCGATCCAGAGCGTCGACTTCACGCCCAAGAACACGACGGCAAAGTCGGGCATCGTCAACCGCCGCAAGGACTCGTACCTGGGCATCGTCGACCTGCCGCCCACCTGCTCGCCCTGCTTCGACACCTCCATCCTCACGCTCGAGTACTTTGTCGGCGTCCAGCTCGTCCGGAATGGGCCCTTGGTGCATTCAGAGCCCGTCGTCCTCTCCTGCCCGCCGCCGATGCCCCCGCCCGCACCGCAGCCGCCTTCTGGCCAGCGAAGGCGGGCTGCTGCTGCTGCTGTTGGCAGCAGCAGCAGCAACAGACCGCAAGCATCGAGAACGCCGACGACGTCGAAACCGGCGAAGCCTTCTCCCTCGCGCGTGCCTTCGTCTGCAGCTGCAGCAGCTGCTGCTGCTAATCCGGCTTCTCCTGCCCGCACATCGACTGGTCAGCCTGCTCGGAGACCGCCGCCGCCAGCACAAGCCCAGGCGGGGCCCTCGTCGAGGCCGGCAACGCAGCCCGCCCGGACAAGCACGCAGCACAACCACGGCTATCCCGACGAGAAGCGCCGTCTGGCGTCCTCGCCAGCATCGTCACCATCGCCGAGCCCTGCGCCGCCGTCGGTCGCGGCACAAGCGGCAGCAGCAGCAGCACAGACATCAGCAGCTCCGCCGCCCCTGCCGTCGCGAGCACAAGCGCCGCTACCACCGCTCCCGCCTGCCGCCGCACCAACGACGGCACCGCACTCGACGCAGTCCTCCGTCAACGGCCACGGCACGCCCATCGGTGGCGGGCCAGACCACGAACTCGACGACGACGACGACGACGAGGACGAGGCGGCATCGTCGACGGGCCATACGTCGCACGACGCACACGCCTGGCGCTTTGCAGAGGACGACCTCGTCACCGACCTGCCGCCGAGCTACTTTGAGGCGACGGGCGTGCAGGACCGCGACGACTGAGATTGATCCGTGCGGCCCACGTTGTCCTGTACTACTACTATGGCCACACTGCTGAAGTCCTTTGAGAATAGTGAGATCACAGAGATCAGAATTGCAATGAGGATTTCTTCTCGAAGAGCAGAGGATTGATCACGGAAAGGAGTGTCTGTATGCGGCGAATGAGGGGCTACAATGGATGAGAGAGCAATGAAAAAGAAGAGGTAAAAAAATAGGTGACCAGAGAAGGGCAGACAAGAGCGAGCGAGCGAGCGAGGCAGACAAAGGCCGCAGCAGCATCCTGCGCCCCTTTTAGCGACAAGAGAGAGAGAGAGAGAGAGATAGCAACCACGACGGGGAGCAAGCTTGCAAAGGTAGCTGCATGACGATGACGCAAAGAGGAAAGGAAAGGGGAAGAGGGCACGGCGACTACCGCCTGCTTCCTCTGCTCCGGCCTCCGTCGCTGGTGAAGCCGCCCTCGTCGGCAGTGACGGCGCCGTCGACGCTGCTGGTGAAGCCACCTTCGTTGCCCGAGGTGAGGCCCTCGTCGTCCGAGGTGCCCGTCGTCGTGTCTCTGGCGCTGCCGGCCCGGAGCCGCGCGGGGGCATCGCCCTTTGCGCTGCTGACACACACGAGCGGCAGGGCGCCCTCCTTGCCGTCGAGCGTCCGGCCCAGGGCCCAGCCGTCGTCGTAGAGACGGAGGACGGTGAGCCGCTGCTCGGGCTCGAGCGTGAGCTCGTCGTTGAGCGAGGCATTGTACGGGTAGATGGCGACGACTTCCTCGCCGGGGAAAATGTCCTGGCCCGTGTACTGGTCCTTGACGACGGCCACGGTGGTGCCTCGGCCATCGGTGCCCGAGCCCGTGGTGCCCGACGAGAGGCCGCTCTGGGGCCTGTCGTGCGAGGCTGATGCAGCACCAGCAGCAGCGGCACCTGCACCTGCACCCGCACCCGCACCCGCCAGCGCAGCTCCGCCAACGAGGGGCGCGCCGCCGTCCATGCTTCGCGGCGACTTGTTGTCCGCGGGACTGCCGCCCAGGGAGCGGGCCGTGTCGGCATCGCTGTGGTTCCATCCGCCCGAGTTCTTCTCGCGCGAGGCTGCACCGGCTGCGCCTGCGCCCGCGGCACCGTAGACGAGGCCGCGCGAGGCCTCGTGGTCCTGCTTGTTGCGGCGCCTGCGTCCAAAGAGGAGCCAGGCGAGGAATGCACCGAGGAGCGCTGCACCAGCAATGCAGCCGACGATGATGCCGGCCAGCTGGCCGCCGCTGAGGTTGGTGCCGCCACCGCCGTTCTGGTTGTCCTGGCCTGCGCGCGACGAGCCGCCGCTGCCCGTGGCCTGTCCGGTACTCGACGACGAGGTGGCCGTCTGGAAGCCCGTAGCGACACTCGTGGTGGCCACCACGGCAGCAGCGCCAGGGTGGCCGTACGAGGCGCATTGGCTCAGATCTGTCTGGCGATCATAGCAGCAGGCAGGCACGGTGCGGTTGCCCGACGGGTCGCAAACCTCGCAGAGCTGGGTGCTGACACCCGGGCCATAGCCACAGTTGCCCTCGTTGGAGGCACCCGAGACGCACGTCGCATTGTTCGTCGACACGAGGCTGGTCCAGTTGGTGCATGTAACGTAGTCCTTGAGCAGCGTCGCGGCGCGCGTCTGGTTGTGGTCGTAGGTGAGACTGTCGGTGGGCGTGCAGATCTGCGGGTTGGCCACAATCGTGTTCTCCGAGTCACTGTACTCGATGCACGTGTCCTGGCACACCATGATTGGGTCGGCGCGGTTCTGGATGTTGCACTGGGCAGAGTAGCTGATCTGGCTGAACTGGCCGCAGAGGATGGTGCGCTCCCACTGCAGCGTCGTGTTGTCCGAGCCGGTGCGGTTGCACTGCAGCTGGCGGTTGAGCTTCGTGGCAATGAATCGCGTCGGGTCGGTAAAGTACTGGGCAAACTGGTCGTCAAACGACTGGACATCCGACACCTGGCTGAACCAGGGCCATGCCGACGAGAGGTTCGACGGGTTCACGTATGCATCCTGGAACGACGGGCACTGGGTGCTGCCCTTGAGCGAGACGCACTGGTCGCTCGTCTGCTGGGCAGCGACGCCCACTGCAGCTGCCATCACAGATGCCGCCACCGAGGCGACGAAAAGCGATGTCCTCATAGCCAAGCGAGACTGATGGGATGTAAGAGAAGGGCGGGAGATAGCGAGCGTGTTGGCAAATCGCAGTCGCGCACGCCCGTGTCGATGGGTATAGACGGACGATGTGTGACGCAAGGCGAGACAGCGATCGGGCAGGTGACGAGGGGAGAGGGGAGGAAGAGGGAGGAGGGAGAGCGCGAGAGGGAGGGAGAGTGAGAGAGAACGACGATGATGAAAAAGGCAAAAAGGTGGGCAAAAAGCGAGATGTCTGAGACAAGTCGTCACTTCTCTCTCTAACACTAGCTAGAGAACTGTACACTACTACTCTTCTGATACACGATTACAACAATTTCTACTTTAAATTAATTGGAAACGCGCCAGGTCCCGTCCCGTCTGCTTTGAATCCGCCCGCTGAACTTTCCCAAAGGGCCGCAAGCAAGCACAAGCAGGCCGGGGCCAGAAAGAAAGAGCTCGATTGCACGCACGCTTGCTCTCTGCGATAAGTGCGCGCCCGCCCAGATCGGGCATGCTCCACCCAAAATAAAGAGCACAGGAGACCAAGCACAGGTTCCCTCCCATTATTACATTCATCTTGCTACTTACTACTACTATGGAAGAGAAGCTGAGGCGAGGCTGGCTGGCAGGAAGCCCAGCGTGGACCTCGCCTCGTCGGCGAATAACAGCCATTTTCCATCTCAGATATCCACCGTGGGAGGGCGATAGAGAGCGGCGTGTCCAAAGCGAGGGGTCGGAACCTCTACATTTAAAGCAAGGGAGGCTAAGGAAGGAAGGGAGGGGGGAGCATTATTTTTGGGCTCTCCCTTCTTCAGGCACCGCGCCTGCCGCCTCTTATTTTCTCGACTTTATTTTTGTGGCAGGACAGTGAGCGAATTTCCGTCGGTTTAAAGTCAGCGCCCTTGCTTTGCTCCAGACCGGCGTGCCCAAGTGTTAAGTTCGTGATGCGTTCGGAGTGTAGGCAGAAAAAGTGGCTGGCCTTTTCGTCATCGTGAGCGTCATCGCGAGCGGGTACTGCTCGTCATCACCTTGATATCACGCTAGAAATGCAGCAAGTCCCGGCCTCGTTGCCACACCGTAGAGCATCAGTGACGCAGCCGTAATTGCAGAAGCGGGCTCGCCCATGCGCCCCTTCTGGGCGAGTACCACCGTCTGGGCGTCAAGATGGGCGGGAGCGCGCCAGAGGCCCGCGCGCGCGCTGCGGGCGGCACTTCCCACGGGCCGGCCCACCTGGCGTCCTTGTCTCTCTCCCTCTCTCTCTCTCTGCAGAGCACTTTGCTACAGCGATGATGGCCTGCCCGGTCTCTCAAGGGCGGCCACATCAAACACTGTCGTTTTTCTTTCAGACGCTGCTAATGGCTATATGCCGCTTCACTTTCGTCTTGGTCTCGTTGCACGCTTTGTGAATGCCACCGGACGATATTGACATCTTTGCCAGACCTCGACATCCTTGCCAAATCTCGACACCCTTGTCAGTCCTGACCGGTTTCCCATCGCAACGCCAGTGGTTTTCCATGCTAGCCCTGGCTCCGTGAGATGTTTGTACCACCCAAGGCACAGAGGACACAGGACTAAGCGCGGCGCAAGCCAGCAATCTGAGAACAGACACACGGTCCTGCCTGCATGCATGCATGCGCTGGGCCCAAGCCATTCTATCGACAATTGCAGATTGCAAGAGCAGGGAGATTATCCTTCAGCTGATACAGTAGTGGTGGTGGTAGTAGTAAAGGGTTATCATCGCTTCCCACGGCCCGAAGAAGAAGACGCGGCCGGGGCAGAGGGTGCCGCGGTGATGTCGACACCATGGAGGCCGGCAAGGGCGCGCTGGGCCGCCAGCTTGCGCTCGACGAGCTCCTTGTGCTCCTCGAGCTGGGCGCGGATGTGGTCGACGGCTGTGTTGCTTGGTGTCAGCTTTGGAATGGCAGTCACTGACGACAGAATGCAAAACTCACACTTCATGAGGACGACGGCCTCGCTGCGTGGGCCTGCGCGGCCATCGACCTTTGTCGCCGCGCTCTCGTCTGCGCGTTTCCGCTTCTTGCCGCCCTGGCCGCCGTCGTCGTCGTCATCATCGCCGTCATCGCCCATGCCAATGTCACCGTCGCCATCACCATCACCATCGCCATCACCATTGCCATTGCCATCGTCGTCATCGTCATCGTCGCGCGCGCCCTCCTTGAGGCTCGGCACGAGGTCGCACAGCATCTCGTAGCCCTTGCGGATGTTGGCGCGGCGCTTCTGCTCCGACGCAATGTGGTTTGCCTTCTTTTCTGCATCGGTCAGCAGTACATGCGCCGGCCGCGGCTTCTTGTCCTTGTCGTCGGCACCATCTTCGGGGGTGCCCTCGTCCTTTTGCCGGTCGGCGGCGCTGCTGCTGCCGCTCTTGGCCTTGCGCTCACCGCGGCGGATATTGGCACTGAGACCGCGCTCCTTGCGCCGCAGCTGCTCCTGGCGCAGGACGGCGAGGTGGGGTTGCACGCGCGCAAAGCCGTCGGAGAAGAAGGCGTCGTCGAGGGGCGGGGAAAGCGCGAGCCGTCCGCGAGCGAGCTCGACGTCGATGGTGCGCGGCGGGGGCCTCGGCGCAGGCTCAAAGGTATACGGTGCGTCCGAGTCAAAGGCTGCCTCTGCTGCGCCTGCTGTCCTCGTCTTTTTTGTGTTGCTGCTGCCTGCGCCATTCCCAGCGGCCGCAGTCGAGGGCGACGCCTGGCCGTTCAACGGGCCGCCACTGCCGTCACCTGGCTGGCCTCGTGCCTTGCGGCGCGGGCTCTTTGCGCGCTTCTGCCTACCGTCGGCCTGCTCCTGCTCCTGCGCGTGCGCCTGTCCCTCCTCGCCATCCACATCCATGCCCGCGCTCGGCCTGTGCAACGAGGAAGAAGACGGCCCCAAGTAGCCGCCGCCGCCGCTGCCGGGGGGCGAGGCTGCTGCTGCTGCCGCCGGAAAGTGGTGGCTGCTGGGAAAGTGGGTGGCGAGCAGAGCCAGGTTCGGCGCCGAGTTGGACTGCTGCGGGTAGTGCTGGTACATGTCGCCCGAAGAGGACGACGATGACATGGACTGCTGGTGGTGGGGATGATGGTGCTGCTGATGCGGATGGTGGTGATGTTGTTGATGTTGATGTTGATGCTGCTGCTGTTGCTGCTGTTGTGACCAGTGGCCATCCATGGCATGGCCCATCGAGGAGGGTGCACCCGACGAGTTTGGATCGTAGCCGAGCTGGAGCAGGGATGCACCCGTGGGACCAGCAAAGAGGTGGTCGTTGCTGTCGCCACTGTTGCCACCGCCACCTCCGCCGTCGCCACCGCCAGAGTAGCCCTGAGACTGCTGGTGCTGCAGGTAGCGCTCCCGCTCGGCCTGGAGCGCCTCGAGCTGCTGCAGCTGCCAGGACCGGTCGCGGCCATAGGCGCCCTTTGTTGCCGCAGGCATGCTGTTCATGGACATGGACGAGGAGGATGGCTGCTGTTGCTGCTGCTGCGGGTTGAGCCGCTGCAGTGGCCCACTGCCGCTATTTGGCCGCCTCGTCGCGGCCGACGACGTGGATGGCGACGAGGAAGAGGACGGCGACGACGACGAGGTGGGTGCCGCGCCGATGCCGCCGAGATTGGCAGGCAGGACGTTGGGCACCTTGAAGCCGGGCGCGCCAATGGTAAAAGGATCGAAGCTGTCGGCGCTGCTGAGCGAGTCGTGCATGAAGCGCGCCTCGTCGGCATTGAAGAGCGACGACGACGACGACGACGACGACGAGACCGCGCCATGCATGCTGTCCTGCGTGGCAGCCTCGATGGGTGCCGACGGCGATGGCGCCGTCGCCATGGCCTGTTCCCTCGTCTTTATTCAGTCTCTGTCTCTTTGCTGCTACTTCGGCCGATGCTCTTCTTGCTGCTGCTGCTGCTGCATCCCCACTGTTCCAAGCACGCTTTTCGTGTCCAGGCTGCCTGCTGTCCTCGTGTGCTGCCTGACTGTCTGCCCGTCTGCCCAAGTCAAGATGCGACGACGAGTGCGCAAGTGGATGATCAGCCTAGCACCACCACTTCCGCCGCCTTGAGCGAAAATCGAGTGGATGGCAAGCAGTCGTCGTTGCTGCTCACTTGGCACGCGCGCGTTCCACATCCACTCATTCATTCACAGACCCAGGGCCATTAAGTCTGCGCAAAACTAGCCTTCTCGCGGGTGCAGGCGGGCGGGGTCGCGGAGCTTTTATTTTTCCTGCTCTCTCTATTCCTCTTTTCCCTCTTTTGGACTCTTTTGGAAAGAGAAGAAAATAAAACAAAAAAGAGTGGCTGTCACGCAGATGCAGAAACACAAGAAGCTCAGTGGGAGTGGTGCGTGTTCATTGCGGTACAAATACAGCTTGAGTGAGGCAGCTAGAGAGGGGCAGATTGACAGGCTTGACTGAGAGAAAGAGAAAGAGAAAATCACTGTCCGAGGCCGCGCGAGGAGAGGAGCTCGCGCACGTCGTTGAGGCGCGAGACATCGCCCATGGCCACGACGGTGCTGCGCGAGTCCTTGGGCCTGAGCACGCGCGTGGCGACGCGGTGCAGCGCAGCGAGGTCGACTTTATCAATGTGGTCGCACATCTCCTCGACGGTGACCTTGTGGCCGTGCACCTGCACCTGGCGGCCCAGGTCCTCGACCTCGACGAGGCGCGACTCGAGGGCCATGACGAGGCTGCTCTTGAGCTGGTTCTTGGCCCGCGCCAGTTCCTCGTGTGTGACGCCGCCGCGGACAAAGGGCCCCGTGCACAGCTCGAGCTCGCGGGCGAGCATCTTGGCCACCTGGGGCGCAAAGTCGTGCTGCACCGACGCGGCAATCCCAAACAGGCCCGAGTCGGCGTAGCAGTGGTGGAAGGCAGCGCAGTAGTCGACGGCGTGGAACTGGTTGAGGACGTTGGAGTAGAGGCGCGAGTACATGCCCTTGCCCGGCCCGCCTGCGCTGAAGCTGCCGCCGCCGCCGAGGAGGATCTGGAGCGTGGCCAGGGCGTAGATGTCGGGGTCGGTGATGGCGAGGCCCTCAAAGGCGACGTAGACGTGCGTGAAATCAAGCTCGGGCCGGCTCTGGTAGAGTTGGCCGCCGGTGTAGCGGGCGCGCTGCAGCTCGGGGGGCACGTCGATGGCATTCTTGCTCGCGTGCTGGGCAGCCAGTGCGGCCGACGTCGAGTAGTCAAAGGAAGGGCCGGAGCTGCTGAGCGACGTCGTCGAAGAGGCGGGCGACGAGGCAAACATCGACGGGCTGGCACTGCGAGAGCTGGCAGTCGAAGATCGTGGCGACGAGGCCGAGGACGAGGAAGGAGACGACGACGAGGGAGACTGCCCGATGAGCTGTGCCGCGGGCTGCTGCGCCTCCAGACCGCCAAAGTAGCGGTTAGAGAGCTCCATGAGCAGGTCGTGCTGCATGCCAGCGCCGGCGACGACGATGCGGGGCGGCGTGTAGAAGCGGCGCATATAGTCGCGCAGGTTGTCGCTCTTCATCACCTCGAGGCTCTCGACGGGGCACAGGAGCGGATTGCCGAGGGTGTTGTTGGCATAGGCGACGCTGTGGAGCAGCTCGGGGATGATCATCTCGGGCTTGTTCCAGATCTCGTCAATCTCCCAGGCGGCGGCGGCACGCTGCGCATCGAGCTCCTCGTCGGACAGGACGGGGTTGATGGTCGTGTCGGCGAGGATGCGCAGCACCTTGTCCAGGTCCTGGTTGAAGAACGACGACTGGTACATGATCGTCTCGCGCGACGAGGAGCACATGATGTTGCCGCCAAGGGCCTCGATGTCCTTTGACATTTCGTCGGCGGTGCGGTTGCTCGTCGCCTTGAAGGCCATGCGGTCCATCAGGTGGCTGACGCCGCTCTCGCCGGCGACCCAGGGCCGCTCGAAGCGGGAGCCGGCATCGATGTAGACGCCGACGGCCGAGAAGTGGCCCGGGGTGGCTTCGGTGGCGACGCGGACGCCGTTGTCGAGCTTGCCGTAGCTGATGAGCGACGACGTCGGTGTGGCGCCCGGTGCAATCGACGAGGAGAGCCTTGCAGTAGCTGCTCTTTGTCCCAGCAAGGAGGTCCCGGTCCTGCCGACGAGCGCACTGATGCTGCTGCCGCTGCTGCGTGCCGAAGCCCTCACTGTGGCCAGTGATCGCGGGAGCATGTTGTCTGGTGAATGTCGTCGGACAAAGGGAGTGAAGGTCAGGAGTGATGAGAGGGCTGATCGACCGTTTTGACTTTGTTTTAGCTTTTGCCACGTGCGCGACAGGCCAGGTCAGGCCTCGCTCCGCCGCGCCACGCCACGCCGCGCACGCCCTTGCCCAGAAAAAAAAAAAAAAGAAAAAAAAGGAAAAAGTTTAGAAAAAAGCTTGTCCCCTCCGAGAGAGAGAGAGAGAAAGAAAGAGAGAAGAAAATTCAAGAGAGAGAACAAGGGAAACGACGCGAGTGTGACTCTCTCTCTCTCTACACCTCTCTGCGCGCGGTGACGACGTGAAAGCAAAGCATGTGCGGAATCCTGGCGCTGCTGTTGGCGCAGCAGAACGCGGCTGCTGCGCCCGAGATCAACGAGGCCCTGTCGCTGCTCCAGCACCGCGGCCAGGACGCGGCGGGGATCGTGACGTGCGGCGCGCGCGGCCGCTTCTACCAGTGCAAGGCCAACGGCATGGTCCGCGACGTCTTTGATGCCCCCGCCCTGGCCCGGCTCCAGGGCAGCATGGGTGTCGGCCACGTGCGCTACCCCACCGCGGGCTCGTCGGCGCACGCCGAGGCGCAGCCCTTCTACGTCAACTCGCCCTACGGCATCGTGTTTGCCCACAACGGCAACCTCATCAACACCCACGAGCTCCGCGCCTTTCTCGACGCCGATGCCCACCGGCACATCAACACCGACAGCGACTCGGAGCTGCTGCTCAACATCTTTGCCAACAACCTGCAAAAGACGGGCAAGTTTCGCATCAACGAGGAGGACATCTTTACCGCCATCAAGGACCTCATGACCCAGGCCCACGGCGGCTATACATGCGTCGCCATGCTCGCTGGCTTTGGCATCATTGCCTTTCGCGACCCCAACGGTATCCGTCCCCTGGGCATGTGCTCGCGCCGCAGTGCCGATGCCGTTGCTGATCCCACCTCGACTTCGACTTCATCGTCGGCTGCCCACCACGGCAAGGACTGGTGCTTCACCTCCGAGTCGGTCGTGTCCGACGCCCTCGGCTTCGAAGACTTCCAGGACGTCCGTCCCGGCGAGGCTGTCATCATCACGCGCCAGGCCGTGTCGCGCCGCGTGCTGACGCCCCAGGCCACGGCCACAAACCCCTACCTGTTCTCACCCGACATCTTCGAGTACGTGTACTTTGCACGGCCCGACTCGGTCCTCGACGGCGTCAGCGTCTACCGCAGCCGCATGGCCATGGGCGACAAGCTGGCCGAGGAGGTGCGCCGCCAGCTCGAGGCGCGCGGCGAGACCGTCGATGTCGTCATTCCCGTGCCCGACACGAGTCGCGTGGCTGCGCTCCAGGTCGCCCAGCGGCTCAACATCCCCTACCGTGAGGGCTTTGTCAAGAACCGGTACGTGGGCCGGACATTCATCATGCCCGGCCAGTCGCTGCGGCGGAAAAACGTGCGGCGGAAGCTCAACGCCATGGCGCTCGAGTTTGCGGGCAAGAGCGTGCTGCTCGTCGACGACTCCATCGTGCGCGGCACCACGTCGCGCGAGATCATCCAGATGGCGCGCGACGCCGGCGCACGCCGCGTCATCATGGCCAGCTGCGCACCCCCGATCCGGTTCAGTAACGTGTACGGCATCGACATGCCCTCGCGCCACGAGCTCGTCGCCCACGGCCGCACCGAGGAGCAGGTCGCCCAGCACATCCAGGCCGACGTCGTCATCTACCAGAAGCTGCAGGACCTCATCGACTCTGTCCGCCAGTTCAACCCGGCCATTCCTTCCTTTGACTGCTCCGTCTTTGACGGCAAGTACGTCACTGGCGGCGTTGATATTCAGTACCTCGAGCACCTCGAGGGCCTGCGGAGCGAGAATGCCAAGATCAAGGCAAACGCAGGCAAGATCGGCGGCGGCGGCGGTGCTGCCACTGCTGCTGCCCTCGTCGCCGATGGGCCGCGCGACGGCGCCGACGACGCCAAGATGGCCGCACCGCCCGCCGCCGCGGTCCAGCGCATCGACCTGCACCACCAGAACGAGGACGGGGGCGAGAGTGGGGGGACTGCCATCAACGGCCTCGGCAACCCGCGGCATGCCTACCCGCACAACGGCCACGACGCCGACGGGGAGCATTCATCGTCGCAGCAGCAGCAGCAGCAGCAGCAGCAGCCAGAAACATTCATGAGCTGCAACGGGCCGATGAATGGCGCAGACGACCTCGGCCTCTTCAACGGCTGGTCTCGCTGATCGTCTTGCTCTGTCCCTGTATTTTTCTCTCTCTTCTGAAATATATCTTTGAACTCTCTCTCTCTGCCCATCGCTCTCAGAAATGGCCAGCTCTGAACCATCTCCATCTTGCGAAGTCTCTCTCTTTTAAAGTCTCTCTCCGTTCTGTAGTCTCTCTCTCTTTTGAAATAGCTTTCTCTCTTCTGAAATACATGAGATGCAGGGCTAGGCAGACACTCAGTCCTCGTCTTCAAATGGATTCGCGACGTATTCGAGGTCGTCGTCGTCATCGTCGTCGTCCCCCTCGTCGTGGTCGCCGTCGGGCGACTTCTTGCCAGCCAGTGCTGCCGCACCCGCTGCTGCCCCCGCTGCCCCTGCACCTGCGCCTGCACCTGCCGCGGCGGCCGTGCTCGCGCGCGGGCTCGTCAGGCCCCGGCCGGCGCTGCCCTCCATGAGGCTGACGGCGTTGCGCTGCGCCGGCTGGGCCTTTGCCGCCGAGTTGTCGGCAATCTGAATCGGCTCAAACGTCTTCTTCGCCGCGCCCGTCCGGCCGGCGTCGTCCCACGAGAGGCTGCCGCCGTTGTCGTCTTCACCATCATACCCGTTCGCAGACTTGTCTGTATGCGGCCCGGTGCGTGATGCGGTTGCAGGCGACGAGTTCTTGCGCAGCACGTTCTTGTACCGGTCTGCCACGCTGGGCTGCTGCTGCTGCTGCTGCCGCGGGCCGTCGCCACTGGTAGCGCGCCGCCGAGGCCCGCCGTCGTCCTCGCGGCCGCGTGCCAGGATCTTGGCCAGCTCGTTGTCGCCGACGGGGCTCGCATCGCGGTCAAAGCCTCGGCTGCTGCCCATCGTCGGCGACACGGCCGCGCCCGCCGCTGACGACGAGTCCGACGAGAACTGGCGACCGGGCTGCTGCTGCTGCTGCTGCTGCTGCTGCTGGGCGCGCGTCTGGGCCCACGCCTGCTCGCCGCGCTGGCGCAGGGCAGTAAACGTCGAGGCGGCCCGGCTGAGGCTGCTCTCGGCCAGCTTGTTGAGGTCCTCCTGCCACGCCTTTGCCTCGCGCGGCCCCGGCCAGCCGCTGACGAGGCTCTCGCCCTCGTGGTAGCGCCGCTCGGCGCTGTTGGCGCTCTGCAGCGGCGGCCTCGTCGTTGATGCATTCGCTGCATTTGCGCCACCAACAGAGGAGCCAGGCGCCTTGCGCACGCGCGGCTGGTACGTCAGGTTGCTCGAGTCGTACCCCGGCGACGACGACTGGGGCGACGACGAGGCGCCGGCGCCAGTGCCAGAAAAAAGGCCAGCAAAGCCGCCCTGCGAGCCCTGGCCGACGTTGCCAAAGAAGGAGCGCTGCTGCTGCTGACTCTGATGCTGCTGCTGCTGCTGCTGCTCGGCCATGGCGAGGGACCGGGCGAGCTGCTCGTCCGACTGCGTCTGCCCGTCCGTCGGTGCGGGCGGCGGTGCGACGTAGTTCGGGTCCGACATGGACAGGAGCGTGTTGATTGCTTTATGCAAAAGTCAGCAGGGCGGACAAGAGCTGAACATACGCCGCGTCTCTTCTCTCACCGCGCTCCTGGTGGCCGCCCTCTGCAGCGAGGACAGCGGCGATGGTCTCGGCGTCAAAGTCGGGGAACATGGCCTTGATGCTCTGCGCCTCGGGCGAGAGCGTCGCCGTCGTCTCCTCCTCCTCTTCCTGCCCCACGGCGGCCGGCCGAGTGGTACTCGGGATGGAGCTTGGTACGGGCGCGGGCCTTGGAGCGGGTGGAGGAGAGCCGCTGGGCGAGGTGGGCGACAGCGTCTCGGGCGAGTCCGTCGCTGGCTTCGTCTTCTTGATGCTGCCCTGCTCCTCTTTCTTCTCCTCGTCCTTCTTGGCCTCGACGCTGGCCTGGCCTGTGCCGTCGCCGAGCGCGTCCGACAGCGCCGTCAGGTCCAGCTTCGACTCTGGCTCAGACATGGTCTTGTTGCTTCTTCTTCTGCTGCTGCTGCTGCTTCTTCGTCGTCGCCAAGCGCAGTGAGAGCACCGCCCTGCCCAGAACTGGCGCAAGGTCCGTGCTGAGGCTTGCTTGACACGTGGTTTCTGTACCTTTGCACATGACGGAAATGACCGATTGCATCGCACTGTCGTGAAAGGTGGAGCGAGCTATTTCCCCGGACTGGTAGCCGGCGCAAGTTGCAAGAAGACAAGGCACCGGTGGGGTCTGGGCTGGACTGGGTCAGGGCAGGACGAGGCGAGCACTACCACCACCACCACCACCACTATCAAAGCAGACATGCCGCACCCAGTCATCATCGGCGTCGCTGACGTCAAGAACAAGGACCGGACGCTGCGGCGCGACGGGTCCGACGAGCCCGCGGCGCTGATCCTGCAAGCGATCGAGGCTGCCGTTGCCGACACGGGCAGCGGCAAGGTGCGGGCCCAGGACATTGACAGCATCTCTGTCGTGCGACCCTGGTCGTGGCCATACCCGGACCTGCCGGCGCTCCTTGCGTCTCGGCTGGGCGCCAAACCGAGCTTCACGACGACGAGCCCGCACGGGGGCAACCAGCCGGCCAAGCTGCTCGACGAGGCCTGCCGGGCCATTGCCCAGGGCCGCTCCAAGCTGGCCCTCATCACCGGCGGCGAGGCGCTCGACTCGCTCAGCGAGTACATCAAGGCCCAGGAGGTGCCGCCGCCGGGGTGGACCGAGGTCGACGACTTTGCCGCCTTTGCTGCCGACGCGCTCAAGCCGCCGTCGGGCGAGACCCTCGAGGGCATCCATGGACTCGGTGCGCCGATCCAGGTGTATGCGCTCTACGAGAATGCGCTGCGGGCGCGCGAGGGCGTCTCGTACGCCGACAACCACCGCGAGTCGGCCGAGATGTATGCCGACTTCTCGCGCGTCTCGGCGGACAACCCCAACTCGTGGCACCACGGCCAGGCGAGCAGCGCGGCCGAGATTGGCACGGCAACAAGGAAGAACCGGATGATCAACACGCCGTACACGATGCTCATGTGCGCCTTCAACAAGGTCAACATCGCCGCCTCGGTCCTCGTCACCTCCGACGAGCACGCGGCTGCGCTCGGCATCGACGCCAGCCGCTACATCTACGTCCGCGGCGGCGCAGGCACAGCCGAGACGGACGAGTTCTACCGGCGCGGCAGCTTTGCCGCCTCGCCCGCCATTGGCCAGAGCATCGACGCGGCGCTGGCTGCCTCGGCGCTGACGCGCGACCAGATCGACGTCTTTGACTTCTACTCGTGCTTTCCCGTCGTGCCCAAGCTCGCCTGCCGCCACCTGGGCCTGCCCACCGTGGCGTCGCCGCGTCCGATTACTGTGCTCGGTGGCCTGACGTCCTTTGGCGGCGCAGGCAACAACTACTCGATGCACGCCATCACCGAGCTCACGCGCCGCCTCCGTCGCACGCGGCAGGGCCAGGGCCGCGAGAACAACGCGCTGGTCCTCGCAAACGGCGGCATCCTCTCCTACCAGCACGTCGTCTGTCTCTCCACTGCGCCCGCTTCTTCCTCCCCGTCCTACCCCGCTGCGCCGCCGCTGGGTGAGTACACGGACGACATTGAGGAGTGCGCCGCGACGGCCGAGGGCAAGGCTACGATTGAGACGTACACCGTCGACTTTGGCCGCAAGGGCGACGCCAAGCGCGGCCACGTCGTCGGCCGTCTCGCCGCCAACGGCCGGCGCTTCATTGCCAATGCCGCCGACGAGCACACGCTCCGCACGCTCACCGCCACCGACCGCGAGGTCGTGGGCCTCCAGGGCCGCGTGTGGACGAGCACCGAGGACGAGGGCCGGAACCTGTTCAGCCTCGCGGCCGAGCAGCGGCTGTAGCAGTAATCCACTAGGATGTGAACTGCGACCACGCAGCGTCTGTAGCTTTGAATGCATGCATTAATCTGGGATATGAACTGTGGCCAAGTAGAAGAGCTGAGGTGGGCAATGAGAGATGACATGTGAGGAAGGATGGAGCAAAGGTCGAGGGAGCGAGGGAGCGACGAATGAGAGGTGGCTGAGCAGCCACGCGGCACTACAGCACGGCGCGCGCCATGGCCCACAGCTCGAGCTTCTTGAGGCTGCCCTTGAGGTTCTTGCCTGCGCGGTAGCAGTTTGCGGCGAGCCAGGCCTCCATGTCGCCGCGCAGCACGCCGAGGTGCCGCTCCGTCTCGAGGTCGCGGTCGGCGTCGGTGTTTGCGCCCTTGTCGTTGGGCGAGGAGGAGGACGAGTTGAGGCAGAGGTCAAATAGCCGCGTCCAGAGGTCCACCTGCCAGTAGCGGCGGAGGGTGCCGCGGATCCGGAAGCGGCGGCCCGTGGCAGTGCCGGCGTCAGCATCAGCGTCGGAGGCAGGCATCTCCGCCTCGAGGTAGCGGCCAAAGAGGAGGCAGTAGGCGACGCTGGCGAGGCCCCAGTGGTCAATGTCGAAGCGGTACTCGCGGCCGTGCCTCACGGCGTCGCAGTCGGCCTCGGTGGGGGCCCAGTTGGCGGTGAAGCGGGCGTGGGGCGCAAAGAGGCGCGTGTCAATGGCCCGGCCAAAGTCGATGAGGGTGAGGCCCTTGGTCGACCAGGCGTCGCTGCCGTCGGCCTGGTAGTGGTTGGTCCACACCTCGGTGGCGCCTGGCTCGTCGAGGCGCAGCAGGCAGTTGTCGATCTTGATGTCGCCGTGGATGAGGCCGACGGCGTGCATGGCCTCGACGAGGCGGAGGAGCTCAATGGTAAAGAACATGGCCAGCACCTCGTCTAGCCCCGCAGCCCCCGTCGCCATCTCAGTCGCGCCAAAGCCGCCGCCGCCGCCGTTGGGCCGCTTCGTGGGCGACGAGGACAGCGCGCTGGATACAGCCATGGCGGGCGCAGAGACAGGCGCGGCCACGGCAGCGACACCTGCCCGCGTGGCATGGTTGACGACGTCGAGCAGGGTGCCCTTTTCGCCGTACTCGAGAATAAGCAGACTCTCGTCGGCAAACTTGTAGAAGCGCCTGGCCGAGACAATCGACTGGAGGAGCTGCACGCCCCGCGCACTGCCCTGCATCCGCGCGCGCAGCTGGCCGAGGATGTAGAACTCCCAGCGATTGGGAGGCGCCTCGACCTTGATGGCGACGAGTTTCTTGCGCTCTCTTTCCTCGTCGTCGTCGTCGTCGTCGTCATCGTCGTTATCACTGTCGTCGCCTTGCACGCCACCCGAAATCTGGCTCGAGTCGCCCACGATGCCGCCCAGGACACGCTTGGGCGCAGGCACGCAGTCGTCGGCGTCGTAGGCCAGGTACACGGCGCCAAAGCCGCCCTCGCCGAGCTTGGCCTTGACGTCGAAGCAGTGGCCGTCGATGTCGAGGCGCCACGGCGACTGGGGTGCCGGGCTGCTGCTGCGGCTGCCGCCCTTGGCCGACTTGCGCCGCTGCTGCTGCTGCTGCTGCACCACCCACCGCCGCTCGAGGTCCGCCAGGCGCTGCGACACATGCTGGGAGCGGTCATAGTAGTCGCTCGACGACTCGACGGGAAGCTCGAGGCGCGCGAGCACGGCGTCGATCTGGCCCATGTGGTCGATGATGTCGCCGTCATTGCCGCTGCCACGGCCGCCACTGCCGCCGCTGGCTGTCTCTGCTGCCGCTGCTTCTGCTGACTCTGCTGCTGCCACTGCGACAGGCGCACTTTCCACGACAACGAGGCTCCTGTCGAGGGCCTCGTGCGTCTCTGCCCTGTCGTTGCCTGCCTCTTCATCGCCATCGTCATCGTCATCGTCGATGGGCCGGCACTCGATGGTGAAGCCCTTGGGCAGCCGGCGGTCCTCGTCGCCGTCGATCTCGCCCCAGTTGCTGCCCTCCCACCGCGACGGGTCCTCGTCGCCAAAGTCGCGGGGCGCATCCTCGGCCGACGAGACAAAGGACGCCTCGGCTGCTGCTGCTGCTGCTGCTGCTGCTGCGGCTGCCACGGCGACTGCGCTGCTGCTGGTCACGCTGGCCACGCTGGCCACGCTGGCCACAAAGCCCTGGTCGGCTTCGGCCGTCGCAGCCGTCGTCGTCGCACCTGCGGCCGTGTCGGTGGGTGCCGTGTCGACATCAGCGTCGACATCCACAAGGGTGGCGCGGCGCGACGAGGAGTACGTCGTCGAGGCCGAGGGCGTGGGCGGGGCAGTGAGGCGCGTCATCTCGGTCATCTCGGCGATGCACGACAGCGAGGGCGCCTTGCCGACGTAGCGCCGCTCGTTGGGGTACAGCGGCGGCTCCTCTTCCTCGTCGTCGTAGTACTCTTCCGGCTGGAACTCCTGCTGCTCTTCGTCCTCGTCCTCGTCCTCGTTCGCTTGCTGCCCCTGCCCCTTGTGCCCCTGCTGCTGCTGCTGCTGTTCTTCCTGCTGGAACTCGTCGTGCTGCCGCTGCCGCTGCGGCCCGTCCTCCTCCCCGTCCTCGTCCATATAGACGTGCGACTCGATGCGCTTGGCTTGGGCAGCCCTCTGCGCCGTGTCGGGGCTCGCCCTGGGCGCAGCAGGAGTAGCCATCGCCAGCGGGGTGCTTTCGGCCAGTGGGCGCGCATCGGCCGCCTTGGCCCCCAGCGGCCGTCGCACGGGCGTCGGCTGCGCCTGCGCGTCGTCGTCGTCGTCGGCAGGCCGCTGCAGCGAGCTGGGCTGCGGCGGGGCGGGCGTGAGCATGTTTTCGTCGACGGCCTCCTCCTCGTCGGACGAGTCGCCGCTGTCATCGTCGTCTTCATCACTGTCGTCGTCGTCCACGTTGCCCGGGTTGAACATGGCGGCGACGTCGTCCTGGGCTGCGCGCGTAAAGGCCGTCACCGTCGGCTCGCGCTTGACCCGCTTCTTGGCCGGCGAGGCAGTCACGTCCTCTTCTTCCTCCTCTTCCTCTTCTTCCTCCTCTTCCTCGTCCTCCTCGTCCTCCTCTTCCCCGTCAATCTGCATCGACTCCTGCGCAGACTGGTGCGGTGCGCTGTGCATCTCGGGCCACCACCGCCGCTCGAGTGCATCGAGGTGGGCCCAGGGGTCATCGTCGTGCGAGGAGGCTGACTTCTCTTCGCCGAGCCGCTGCTGGGCCATGACTTCGTCAATGCACCGCTCGGCCTGGCCAGGCGGGTAGAGGAGCTCGAGGTTGAATGCGTGTCGCTCGGGCTTCTTCTCCCTGTCCGACGCCTTTTCGGCTTTCTCGCGCTCCCGCCGGCTCGACTTCTTGCTCCCGTCTTTGTCCTTGCTCTTACTGCTGCTGCTGCCGCTGCCTGACCTGGCCTCTGCAGGCTTGCTCTTCGGCCGATGCCTGTCGCCCTCGCTGGCTGCCTCGACGGGCGCGCGAGCGGGCTCAGCGGCGCGCTGCTGCTCCTGCTGGCTGTAGTGCATCAGCGGGTTGCGCCGCAGCAGGTCCGTCTCGCTCCGCTGCGACTTGGACGGCGTCTGGCGCTGCTTGGCCGGCGTCGCTGCAGCTGCTCCCTCGTCTTCGTCGTCCGAGTCGCGGTATACAGCCATCGCTGCTGCTGCTGCTGCTGCTGCTGCCGTCTTTTTCTTGGCAGACGCCGGCGTCGCAGCCTGGGGCAGCACAGCGCCCTTCCACGGCCGCGGCTGCTCGGCGGCGCCGCCTGCCCGCTCCCGTGTCCGGCTCGCTGCCGTGCCGACGCTGTCCCACGCGGCCCTTTTGCCCGGCACGCCGCCAAAGACGTCCTGCTGCTGCTTGTCGTCCCCGTCCACGTACACGGCCGGCCGCTGGCCATTGCTGCTCGACGACACAGCGAGGGCGCTGCCGCTGCTACTGGCCTGCCCCAGCCCACGGAGCGTGTTGGCGCTCATGCTCGTGCCGGACTGCGTCTTGGTGCCCAGCGTGGACCGCGAGGCGTCGTGCATGGCCTGCGCCAGTGCTCTTTTGTATGCTGATGACGATGATGACGACGATGAAGAAGAAGCAGAAGACGAGGCAGAAGACGAGGCAGAGATGACCCGCGCCTGGAACTCGTCGTAGCGCTTCTTGAGCCGGCTGAGCGGCGTGGCCTGGCGGTGGATGCCGAGCTGAAAGGCCTCGTCGGCGCGCTGCAGCGCATGCGCCTCCTCGTGCATGCGCGCAAGCTCCTCGTACAGCGTGGCGAGGCCCGTGCCAATGTCGTTGGCCACGAGAAAGTGGCAGACATCGGCGGGGCAGTCGACGTTGCGCGCATACAGGACCCAGAGGTTAAGGTAGCGGCTGTCCTGCGCGTATCGTGGCTCGCCCTTGAAGCGCCGGGTGGCGCGCTCGAGCAGGGGCACGAGGCCTGACTCGGCCGTCTGGCCCGACGGGTACGAGTCGACGCACCACTTGACGTAGCGCGCAAACGGCTCGAGGGGGTCGTCGAGCTCCTCGAGGCGCGCCTCGGCCACTTCCTCCTCCCACGCAGCCCGTCGCTGCATGCGCTCGCTGCTGCTGGCGCCCATGACGCTGCTCAGCTTGTGCGCCGACCGGCCGCGCGCCAGCGGCAGCACGTTTTCCTTTTCCGCCTCAATCGAGCCAAAGTCGATGATGGGCGTCCGCGACGTCTGCTCGCCGGGCGTGCGCAGCGGTGTCTTGAGCAGCATGTTTCCGTTTCCGTTTCCGTTTCCGTTTGTGTTGCCATTGATGCTGCTGCTGCTGGCCCGCGGTGGGCCCATCGGCGTGGCCGGCTCCATGGTCTGTCCCTCTTGTCGCCCGCAGTCACCCGACTCGAGGCTAGTAGTACACTTTTGAGATTAAGGGGGAGCAAACAACGCCCTCGCTCTCCAGGGTGCGCGTTGCCCTTTTTTCGAGGCGCGCGCCCCGTCACGTGCATTTCTCCACTGGAAAAATTCCACTCCCAAGGGCGCTTGACTGAACGAATGAATGAATCTTCCTGTTTTGGTTTTGGCTTAGGCTTTGGCTTTGGCTCGGTGCAAGAAAGGACACGCCGGGCTGCTGCGAGCGAGCCATGGGAGAAGAGGAGACGAGAGGAGCGGGATCGCTAGCTCAGTCTGAGAAAGGGGAGGAAAGAAAAGTAGGACAATCTGCTGCAACAGGGGCCGAGGAGGGAGTCAGGGAAGCAGAGGAGGGCGCCAAGGAAGCAGGACAAGCGACGGCAGCAGAGGGCGAGCACGGCAAGAGACCGCTCGAGATGAGGGCACTGCCGCTGTCGGGCCTCATCGGCATTGTCAAGCCGCCATGCATGACATCGATGGTCGTCCTCGACACGCTCAAGCCGCTGCTCGCCTCGTCGCGCCTCTTCCAGCTGCCGCCTCCGCCGCCCGACGAGGGCTCCGTCTCGCGCAAGCGCAAGCGCCGCGACGCCCACATGCGCGCAAAGGGCATGGACCTCGACGTGCGCTGTCCCAAAGTCGGCCAGGGCGGCACCCTGGACCCGCTCGCCGAGGGCGTCCTCGTCGTGGGCATCGGTGCAGCCACCAAGAAGCTCAGCCAGTTCCTCGAGTGCACCAAGGTGAGTTTTCCCGAGCCTTGAAAAAAGGTGACTCAAAGAGACCGTTGCTGACTGCTGAAGCAAACAACGAACGCAGGACTACCGCGCCATCGGGCTGCTGGGCACTACGACGGCGTCGTACGACTCCGACGAGCCCGTGCTCGCACGCCGGCCGCACGCGCACGTCACCAAGCACACCATCGAGGAGGCCCTGGAACGTTTCCGGGGTGCACAGAAGCAGCTGCCGCCGCTGTACAGCGCGATCCGCATCGACGGCAAGCGCCTCTTTGACTATGCGCGCGAGGGAAAGGACCCGCCGCGCAAGGTGGAGCCGCGCGACGTGACCATCTCCAGCCTCACCCTCACCCGTTTCATGGACGCCGGCACGCACGAGTACAGAGAGCCGGCACAGGAGTGCTCGGCCGAGGAAAAGGCGCTGGCCGAGCGTGCCCGGCGCATGGCTGGCCTCGACGAGGGCGTCACGGGGGCGACAAGACAGGGAGGAGAAGAGGCCGGCAAGGGCGAGTCAGAGGCAGGCAGCGCACCGGCGGCCTTTGAGATCGACATGAGCGTCTCGTCGGGCACCTATGTCAGGTCCGTGGTGCACGACGTCGGCCAGGCATGCGGCTCGGCCGCCCACGTCGTCAAGCTCGTCCGCACCCGCCAGGGCGCCTGGGTGACGCCTGGGCACGTGACCGGCGACGACTGCCGCGTCGCACTCGACTTTGCCCTCTTTGACCAGGCCGCCAAGCGGCTGGCGGCGGCAAAGCAGCAACAGCGGCGGCAGCAGGGCGGCGAGGAGCCACTAGAAGACGGCGACGAGGGGGAGCCCCTCGACGAGCAGGGCCTGGCAGCATGGGAGCGCGCGCTCGTGGACAGGTGCGTGGAGGAGTATTAGGCATTCAATTCACAGTACGCTGACCTTTCTTTTTGCTACCATTCAGGATGGAGGCTGTCTAAAGGAAAAGGCCCGCTGCTGCCCCAGGGGCGAGCAGAGCATGCCCTTGAAGCTGTGCGAGACGCCTGGCACAATGTCAAAGGTGACGTTGGAGAATGCGGCCACGTGCTGCTGGTATCGCCTGCTCCTCTCGAGCCGGTTGCGACCTGGCGGTCGATTCATCCCATCGTTCAGCTGTCAGCCGTGTACTACTATTCTCTAATGCAACGATGGTCAATCTCACCCTGAGCCATGGCCTCTGGCCGATCATCGCCCACGCCGTCGTCAAGCGCGCCATTGAGCACGTGTATCGTTCCCCGGCTCTCGAAGAACTCCACTATGCCTTCAAATGGCAGCTCGGCCACGATGTAGTTTCCCATGATGCCGTCGTCCATCTTTTTGAAGCCATACTTGTACGGTGCGCCCTGGTCAAAGTAGAGGAATGTGCTCGGATTCATGACGACAAAGGTGATTGGCTTGTTGCGTGGCATCCACGAGATGATGGACCAGCGATGGACCATCTGTGCGCCCAGGCTGTGTCCCACTATCAGAGAGGGCGTTCGGGTGGTTCAGTGTGGTCACTCCAGACCTTTCGTTGACACCCATCTAGACCCACCGACGACGAGGCGCTCAACGCTGACCCAGGCCTGGTAGCGCTCAACGAGCCGGTCAAGGGCGTCAAAGGACGAGGCAAGGCCCTTGCCCACTCCACCCGCGGGGCCCCCGTGGCCCCAGCCATTACTCTTGAATACGAGCAGTCGTGCCTGCTCCTGGCTTGCCAGCAGGTCCTTGTCTAGCCCATTGTACTGGCCGAGCCCATCCTAGATCAGTCAAAGTGAAGCCAAGCTCACCGTGCAGGTGCAACCTCTCTCTCTCACAAACTGAGGTGCGACGACCAATACGCTCTCGTCGGAGCCCCGAGCGGCCTCTGCTGCCTCGTATGCCTCCTGGGCATTCCTCTCTGTCTCCGTAAACGCAAGATTTTAGCTGACCGGCACAGCCGTCAGAAGAGAAGGACAACGCACCGCGGCCATGGATCGCAAAGAGGACCGTCTTGATGCCGGCATGCGCCTCGTCGGGACCAGCCTTGGCTATGATGTCGATCTCGACGGGTGCCTCGATCTGGTACACCTTGAATGCGAAGCGGCGCTTCGGCGGCGCTGCAGCGACCGTCCGCGAGCGTGTCAGCGGCATCGGTCGGACAAGAAGAGAGCTCGCGTAGTGGAGGGGAGGCGCAAGAGACGAGGCAAGGTGTTTTCCCGATGGTCTGTCTGGAGTCCGTGCGCGCAAATTAGGGCTCGCGAGCTCGTCTCAAAATTTAGGCTATCGCAACAGCATTTACGGTGCGGCCAACTCTGGACGATGCCTGAGAGGGGGAAATGCACTGCATTTAATCAAAGGAGAGGGGTGAAGTCTACAGAGCAACTCGAACTAGCTTGTCGGTGCATCGAGACAGACAGATCTTAAATCTAAGAGGGAAAGGAGAGGGTTCCGGGGGAGGTAAAAGGGGAGAAATATTCAAAGGAGAAATGTACTGGTTCTTCAGAACTTCTTGAAGTTGCCATCTCCGTTGCCCTTGTTGCCCTTGTTGGCGCTGCCGTTGCCGTTGCCGTCTCCGTTGCCCTTGTTACCCTTGTTGGCACTGCCGTTGCCGTCGGCGCTGCCGTTGGCATCACCGTCACCAAGGCCGTTCTGGTTGCCGAGGCCGTTGCCGCTGGAAAGAAAAAAGGAAGAAAAGTCAGCTGTCAGCAGCAGAGATTTACCCGCGCCCAGCTCACTTGTTGCCCTTGTTGCCGGAACCGTTGCCGTTGCCGATACCGTTGTTGCTGTTGCCGTTAAGGATGCCGTTGTCGCTGTTTGCAATTGTTAGTATGGTTCGAGGCGACCCTGAAAAAGAGACACTCACTTGCCGTTGTCCTTGTTGTCTTTGCTGCAACGAAAGGTTCAGCATCGGCGGGGCTCAGGTGGATACTCAGACACTCACTTGCCCGAGCCGACAACGATGGGGGCGCCAACGGGAGGGTGAGCGCCCGTGGGGGTAGCCTGGCCGGAGACACCAGTCTGGGGAGCGGGGGCCGAGAGGGCGACACCGGCGAAGAGGGCGACAGCCACGAAGAGGGGAGCGATCTTGACCATTTTGGCTAGAGGCGAGGCTAGTGTGAGGAGAGGAGAGAGAGTGTTTACTTGGGAGCTTGGTTGAGGGAATGATGCTGTACAAAGAGGCGCTTCGAGTCGCTTTTTATAGCTTAGACACTTGTCTTTACGAGCATCGTCGATGAGGCATGGAGACAGTGAAGATGGTCAGATGACGACATTCAAGCGTCCGTTGGTCTGGATAGACGAAATGTTGCAGTGAGGCAACGTGAAAGGACTGATGGAGGTTGCCGAAGAGCTCACATTGTCAATCAAAGAGGTAGTAGCGTGGGAAGCCGAGAGAAAGGGATCCCCAAGAACGTGCTGGTGGCTTTGTCTTGTGCGAGGCGACCTTGACGGTCAGCGGGGAACAATGAACAAGCTGGTATTTGAGAGGGCGCCGGGTATTGTGCAAAGGCGTGATTTAATCGATGGTATCACTTTAGTTCTTCCCCAGATTCACAATCAAGCGGACGATTTCTTGCGCCAGATGATCAGATTCTGAGGATCTGCAGAGGTAGCAAGACTGAGGAAGGTGGCCGTGCTTGCGATGATGCTGTCGGTGACTATTTTGATGCCGGTATATTAGCTTAATTAGTGGCTTTGCGTTCTGATCTGTCTCAGTGATTTATTTGTCTTGACCCCGCAATACTCTCTCCGCCTCGTGTTGAAGATGGCTCAGCGATGCCGGAGCGATCATCTCGTGGACTGCTTGTCTTTCTTCTTGTGAAGTCTGCCAGCTCTTCCTGCTTGGGCACCGCGGCAAGCACAGAGCGAGCCTAGTGCAATGGAACTCCTCTGACGCGCGCTTGAGAGACCGCGACGCAGTTGCAGTATTGATGCGACATCTTGAGTCGATGGCTGAATAACGTCGCTTAGAATGAATGCCTCTGTCATTGTGTCCACAGCGCAGCATAAGTGGGAGGTGACCGTCCTCATTTCCGCGGAAAGACAACCTTGCTCCACCGAAAGAAGAGGAGGTAATCCACCAGGCTAAAGGATGCTTATTGGAGTGACGGAAAGTAAGTGACGGAATGAGACCGCTTCTACCGTCACTGCGGCCTCTGTCTGCTTGTTTGCTAAATCGGACGTCTCATCTTTGTGTCACTCTTCGGCTCCAATGAGTTTCTTCCTATCCATTCGTCTCAGCGTCCGATGGTTTCTGTTTCACCAACTCGGAGCCCGGCAACCGGATGAAGAGCAGTGTGCTCGGGTGGCTTTACGCACCAGGTCAGAACAAACGAACGTGTCTCCGAAACCGGCGGGGTTTGAGACTAATTTGTTTCCTCGACTCGGCCCCGTCACTTTTTTTTTTTCTTTTCTTCTTTTTTCCACTAGCCTGGAATTGTTTGTTTGCAGCGGTGTCTGAGTGCGCGGAACCCTCAATTATTCGTCGTGAAAGAGAACCCTTGTCATCAATCAAACTCGAGTTCGATGCATGACATTTGCATGACGGATCAAGCCACCTCTTCAAATCAGACCGTCACTGGCAAGCAGGTGCTTGAGAGAGAGGCAACGTGTAGTCGTAGGGATAGATTGCCAATGTCAGGGCGGACTCTGAACGAGCAGCTCATCAACTTAACAAGGTTCAATCATTGAAGGGTCGTTTCTGCGGCGTCAAAATTCGATTGATGAATGTATGCGAGATGAGAAGGTATAGTGAGGCACTGATATGTGCGTGAGCGCCGTACAGAGTAAGGATTAATCGTCCGCGAGAGCTGCACCGTGAAGAGCACGAATCGTGCCTGAGCAATCGAACTATGAAGAGTGATATCTGTGCATGAGAGTTCGGACGGCGCATGAGAGTTTGGACAGCATGAAGCGAAACTATTGCGCGGTTGCATGCTACCGTCAAGAGGATAGAAACTCGCACCGTGGAAAGCAAGAGGAAGAATGGCTAATAGTATTGGTAATGCACTAGATTAACGAGAGTATGAACAAGGTAAACGTACGGTTGAATGACTGCTATGCTGGGCTATAATGGATGATACACAGAAAGTAGGAGAGCAGAAGGAATGGAAGTTGGGTAGCCTCTAGGCGCGAGGCGTGGAGGCTTGAGATGCTGAGAGATGGTGGTTGAAGATGGGGAATCGGCCAGCCGAAACAGACCTGGCATGCGAGGCCCTCTTGACGTGACTGCCAAAGTAGCTGTCGCGCTCGACGATGTCGGGCGTCGAGGGTTTGGCAGGCGAATGGATGGGCGAGTGGAAGCGCGATGCAGGCCTTGAGCCGTCAGGAGTGAGAGCCATCTGCGTCAGCGGGCTGACGTAGGGCCGGAAAGCACCCAGGACGGGCGTCATGCTGCCGCTGGCAGAGGGCGACGTGGGCGGGCTGAGGTATGCGTCCTGCTGAGGCGCCTCCTGCTCGAGCTTGGGCGACGACGAGGCCAGGGCGCGCTCAAAGTCGGACCGCGCCAGCTCGGCTGGCTGCAGATCCGGGTCCGAGGGCAGGAGAAAGTAGCGGAGCGAGGTGACGATCTTGCGGCCCAGCAGGCCACTGGAGACGAGCTCCTCCGATGCGTTGCTCTGGCCAGCCGCTGACGAGGAGAGGCTGGCCGAGGACGACTTTCGCGAAAGGGAGACGAGGGACTTGCGCTTGCGCAGCTTGGCAGCCAGAGGCACCTCGACCTCGACGAGGTGTGAGGCCGATGTTTCCCAGGCGCACGAGGCCGTCAGTGGCGCGTGGTGATTCTTTGACTTTGCGTTGCTGGCTTCAGTCAGGCGCTCGATGAGCTCCTTTGTCCTCTTTGTCGCCGCGAGCCGTATCGCGTTGGGGTCCCGGCTCTGCGTGAGGCTCGACGTGGGCAGAGGCGGGAAGTCGACTCTGCGGACGCGGACCTGGACAAAGGCAGCATAGAGGCCTGTTCCCTGGCCCTTGCAGGGCTGGCACGGCGAGCGGAGGGTGCCCGAGCAGGCCTGGCAGTCGAGCTTGCCCTTGCCGAGGCAGCGCCTGCACTTGGATCCCTTTTGTTTGCCGGAGCCGTTGCACCACCAGCACTCATCGGCCGGCGTTCCCTTGCACGTCGCACATGCGGCTGTTTTTGTGCCGCGGCAAGCAGGGCACTGACCACCGCAGCGGCTGTCGGCGAGCTCAAAGACGCGCTTGGCCTTTGTCTTTTGCAGGTTGTCCAGGTCCTGGTGAACAATGTCGAGGGCCCAGACATCGGGCAGCGCGGGCAGGGTGGCGACGCCAAAGTTGTTCTCGTCGTCGCCCACCCGCTTCCAGTTGATGCTGCGCGACTCCATGACGACCATCGACTTGATGAGCGAGTGCATCTTCTTCCCACGGTAGCGCAGTACCAGCGCCCGCTTGCGCGCCTCCCGCTCCTCGGCCGTCGTTTCCTCCTTCTTCGTCGGCGGCAGCGGCGATCCATCCTCGCCAAACATGCGTGCGGGTGCTTCCGTGAGCTGTGGGAAGTGGCGCGCCAGCACGTTGCGGCCATCGTCCTGCTGCCTCTCGGGCAGCATCGTCTTTGTAAAGTAGACGTCATCGAGATCCAGCATTCGTGGCTCCTCCTCGATGGTGTCCGAAGGTGGGCCCGACCGCTGCATCTCCCAGAGCGACGAGGCGGACGAGGACGATGCGAATGCGGTTCCCAGAACGGAAGCCGAGAAGGATCCACGAGGTGGGCTCGCTGAAGCTGAGTCGGGAACGGAAGCCGAGAAGGATCCATGGGGAGGGCTTGCGGAAGCCGAGTCCGTCTCGCGGGCCTCTGGTTGGGTGCCGATGTGCTCTGTGTCCGTGTAGAGGTCGGCCAGGGCACGGTAGAGCTGCTGAAGCTTCAGTGCGCGGTCTTCGCCGCCGCCCTTGACCGACTCCGAGGCGATGCTGCCCGTGAATGAGGGTGTCCGCAAGGGCGTCTCACCATGCCCGCCGTCCGACGAAGGCTCCTGGCTTTGGGTCATGAGCGGTGCGGCGCCGAGATGGCCCGCCAAGAGGCGGTCAAAGTTCTCGATGGACGTCATGGCTCCCCCGTCTTCAAAGTCGCTAATGCTAGAAAAAGTAGATGCTCGAATGGCGTGAAAGTGTGAAGAAGCACCCGAATGAACGAAAGGAGGAGGGAGTGAGGGAAGAAGATGTCCGAGTTACTCGGGTTGGTGTAAGATTGATGACCAGGTCACACTGCGCGGATATATAGCACGGACTAGCACATATTGACCATTGTCGTGCGAGAATCGATCGGTAAAAGGCAAACGGTCTATGAATCATGTGCCACAAAGCCAAGCCAGGCCCAGTACGTTGCACCACTGAGACATGCTCCGTCAGCCAACGACCCGATCTATCGTCGGTTTGCCTCACTGCCACAATTCCGCTCTGCCTTGCAAAGAGCAGCAGCGGGACCTCAGAAGCTGACGATAATCTTCCACAAACCCGAACCATTACTGCCAGGCAGAGTAACCCTTATGAAAATTCGCTGTCTGAGTTGACGAAAAATTAACAATTTAGGCATATATAATCATGGACGTTCGATTGGAACGAAGGGGGCACGGAGAATTCATGGAGCAATTTACGCATCCGGCTGCAGGTGTGAAAACGGGGCTAGGCAATTTAGTGGCTACCTAGCGCGCGAGAAACATTCTGGCCCATGTCTCGGAGAAGCTCTGTCAGCGACCGATCGGACTTGCACATGATACCGAAAGGGAATTGCTTTTCGGTCAAGTGGAGTAACCACACATAGGTTGATAATTCTAGCGGAGCCAAACCAGGGCGAGTGTTGCAAAGTGCGATATCGATTTTGGGTTCTGTTCTGAAAGAGCAAGAACAACGAGCGGACCGTGAAGTGGATCTGCACTTCCCAACCTCTTGCACGGTGGTTGAAAGACAACGACGACGACGGCAAGATGAGCGACATTCCCATGCAAAACGTTGTACGGCCGCGCAGACCAACAGGGCCGGGCTTCCTAAGCTCCGATGAGATCTGGAATGGCCCGGCCACGCCCGTCTTTGAGACGGAGGGCTTTGCGCCTCATGAGACAACGGGCGAGGACCACCAGCAGCAGCTCGGGGGGCTCCAACAGCAACTGTTGCAGCAGCAGCAGCAGCAGCAGCAGCAGCAGCGCGAAGAGCTGATCCGACAAGAAGAGGCGCGAGTCCAGGAGGCGCGAAAGGACAAAGAGGCAAAGCGCAAGTCGCTGCAGCGCGATGTCAACGACAAGCGCAAGAGCCTCGTCTCGCAGATGAGCGCCCACGAACGGAGAGAGTCGGTAGCGTACCAGGTCCACGACGAGCGGCGCTACCGGCTGCTGCAGGGCAAAGAGGTGTACGCCGTCACGCCGCTGGCCTTCACTGAGGATGTGTCCAACGACGAAGGAAGGACCCGCGGTCGCAGGGTGCCGCATCTCGAAGGCCTCCGCGGCATTCTTGCTGTGCAAACGCTCCTCTGGATCTTCTTCCGCGTCTTCTGCCCTGGGGTCGTCGATGCGACCATCGAAGGAGCTCCACGCTGGACGATGATCGTCCGCAAGGTCCTTAGTCCCTTGCTCTTTGACGGCTCTCTCCAAGCGGCCGCCTACATGCTCCTCGTGGGCCGCGTCGCGCTGCTTACCTACCTCGAGAGGCGCGAGGCCATCGATCTTGCCGGCCCGTGCTTCCGTCGCCCCTTCCGTCTCCTAATCCCCACGGCCATCGCCCTGGCTATCACATCGGGCCTCGTTGCCGGCAAGGGATTTGCCTACTCCCAGTACATGGCCGACCACCTCAACAACCCGGCAGCGAGTCCGCCCCCTATCTGGGGAAGCACAGTCGAGTACTTTAATTCGCTTGCCTCGCTCTTCTTCTCTCCTGCGCCTTATACCAACTCGCGCGCAGTCACGTTCCTCCAGCCTGCCGGCATCTCGTGGTACATTGTCATCGCCTTTCAGCAGCTTTATGTCCTCATTATTTTTGCGTGGACACTCCCTTACACGGTCTTGCGCTACAAGATCATCGGCCTCACCGCACTCATCCTCCTCTCTGCCTGGGTCGGTCGCTGGTCGTGGTACACCGTCACCGGTTTGGCCATGGCCGAGTTCTCCGTCGTGTACCGCCAGACGCTGCACCCCAAGCCGCGCGTCACCGTCGGCTCGAGGCGGATCCCCCTCTACCTGTTCCCGCTGGCCATGTTCCTCGTCGGCGTCATGTTCAAGTATCTCTGGGCTGGCCTGCCCCAGTACGCCGACCGCGAGCTGGTGGCCCACGCCAACGTCAACACGGCCAAGCTGGACTGGGATGCACTGCAGGAGCACAAGGCCGTGCCCCGCTACGACGACTATCTCGTCTGCGTCGGCCTGCTGGGCCTCGTTGAGCTTTCGCACTCGGCGCGCCGCGTCCTCTCCTGGAGGCCGCTCACCTACCTGGGCCGCCTCGGCTTCTCCATCGCCCTCACCTCGGGCCTCATCATGGTCAGCCTCGGCAGCGTCGTCTACTACTGCCTCGTCGAGTCGCTCGGCTTCCAGGCCCAGTCGTCGAGCACGACGGCCGTGCTGTTCTTCATCTTTGTGCCCCTCTGCCTTGTCTGCGCAGACATCTACTCGCGCCTCGTCGACGATGTCTCGCTCTGGGCCTCGCGCTTCCTCTTTCACTTTTTCCGAACTTAGGCTAATCTCAGTCAAGCTTGCAAATAGTACAACTCTATAGATTTCTCGTCTCATCTCAATTACATCACTACCACTGCTACTTGTTCCTTCTCGCCGTGGGGTTCCACTTCTGGAAGCGGGTGAACTGCCTGAAATGGCAGAAGATGGCCATGAGGCTAACGTACGAGTAGTAAAAGGGCGTGAGCAGACTGAAGGCGATGATGCCGAGCGGGCGGGTAAAGTGAGAGTGGTTGCGCATGGTGATGCTGGCCGTGACAAAGAGGCAGATGAGGTTGATGCCGAGGGCCCACATGGCGAGGGCGAAGCCACCAAAGTTCTTGAAGAAGACGTCGATGCCGCGCGTGGGCAGCGTGGTGAGGATGCCCGAGATGAGGATGAAGAGCAGCTGGGTGTTTACGTAGAAGTAGACTTCACGGTAGATGAGCAGCTGGAGCAAACCCAGGCGCGAGCGCCAGCCATTGCCGTCGCTGTAGGCGCCCCGCTTGAAGGCTGGGGTAAAGTGTCGGAGGGCTACCTGGGTCCAGCCCTGTGCCCAGCGGAGGCGCTGCTTGGTGAATGCCGGGAGCGTCTCGGGAGCGAGCTCGTACGAGAGCACGCGGAGATCGTACTCGATTCGGGCGCCCGAAATGATGGCACGCATCGACGAGTCGATGTCTTCAGTCAGCATGTGCTCTGAATAAGAGAGTCAGCTGGCAAGTCGAGGGTGACAGAGATAGAGAAAAGGCAGACATCAGTACTCACTCTGCATGCCAAGCGTTCGCAGCAGACTGGCATTCCAGTGACCATTTGAACCGCCAAAGAAGCCGTAGCCCTGGACCTCGGCCCGGCCCGAGTGCATGACGCCGTAGATCATGTCAAACTCTGCGGCGATAAGCCGGGTGATCCACGTCTGGTCGTAGTTGTAGATGCAGCACCGTCCCTGGATAATGTCCTGATGGAAAAGAAGTAACAATGAGCGAGCAGGCAGACACAACAGAAGCAGTATGGTAGACTTACCACCTCGCCCGTCATGAAACGCTTGGCCACCCAGCGAAGTGCCTGGGGTTCCGCAAAGTGGTCGGTGTCGTACAGTGTAACTATTTCGCCCTTGCAGTTGGGCAGGGTGAGGAAGTAGTTGATATTGTCGGCCTTGGAGGTCGAGTTGGGCACCGAAATGACCCGCACGTTTGAGTGGTGGTTTTCGAGCTCGCGGAGCTCCGTCTCGACGGGCTCGATGGGCCGCGGGGTGTTGTAGGCGACGTTGACGGTGAGCTTGTCGTGTGGGTAGTCGATCTTGGTCAGGGCATAGCGGACCTGGCGCATGATGATCTCCTGTTCGTTTGGCAAGTAGGCGACGAGGACAACGTCGATGTGGGGCCAGGCAATGTCCTCCTTTTCCCAACCCTCCTTTTCGGCCTTGCGCATCTCCCGGCGCGCCTTGATGCTCGGACGGATCGACTGCATGGCCTCGGTCGAGACGGAGAGCGAAGTGAGCGTCTGCAGGCCGGCAAAGATGTACCAGATGACCTCGTGGACGATTGGGGGAAAGAGAATGTAGAGAAAGATGGAGCCGCAGATGTACGACGAGAGCATGATGATGGGTGTCCACTCCCAGACGAAGGCCGAGAGACGGCCCAGGGGCCCTGCTCGAGGCGACATGTTGCTTTGCCTGTCTTCTACTGGTGGTGGTGTTGACCAAGCTTGATCGATTGACGGACGGTGGAGTAAGGAGTAAGCAGCTAGGCCACAGACCGTACCTACTACTAGCTACTAGTGGCCAGGCCTGTCTCAAACCAGGCCACCTTGGCGTGCTCGGTGGCTCGTGCGCCCGCAGCGAAAATTGATTCGAATCGGAGTATTACTGATAAAATCATCCGTGGTTCGAATGAGAAAGTTTCAATTCTAGCCTCGATAACAATTAGTCCAGACTAATTTTTCCGCATGTGTCTGAGAAGTTCCCAAATTGCGGATTTGCATGCGTCGGCGGCCTGCAGGCGGTTGCGCAGATCGCATGCAGGCTTGTCCAATTCCGTACGTCGCTGCGCTCTGATCTAGACTACTAGCTGGCTTATTAGTTTGTGCACGGTGGAGGCCGCTCACGTCAGGCAGCCAACTATTTGTCTCGCAGTAGTGTAGTTGTGGTACGATAGTACTGTGTAGTGTAGCAGGAGCAGCGGTCGGCAAATCATAGATGAGCCGTGTGGGAGGGAGGCAAGAGTGAGCACATTCACTCCTTCCTCTCTCACTCACCACCATACGCGAGGAGAGTGTGAGAAGAATGGTCTTCCTACCACTCTTGGCTGTGCTCGCAGCAGCAGCGGCGACGGTGCGAGGCGCGTGCGAGTGTGGCTATCTGGACCCCTCGACGGGCGCACTGTGGACCGACGCGACGATCAGCTACTTTAACGAAACAGGCCTGACCGACGTCGTCACGCAGCCGGCCAAGTCGCCCCGGATCTACGGCGAGCAGTCGGCGGGCGACACGGGCACCGGGCAGCAGCCGTGGTCCCTTGTGGGCAACCACATCAACGAGTACGAGGAATCGTTTGGCGCCACCTGGAGACGCGCCGTCTCGTACAACAACACCTTTCTCAACGGCACTAATGGCCTGGCCATGCAGATCAGCCCTGCCGACATCAAGAACCGCATCGTCAATGGCTCCCAGATCGTCTCTCGCAGGCGAGACATCCAGTACGGCACCTTTCGCGCCAAAATTATTCCGGCGCCCAACGTGGGCGCAGGCGGTGCCTTTACGTTCGGCGCTTCCTACAACGAGAGGTGGGTCTGATGTTTTCAAGCAGCTCTCACTCTGCAGACCACGACTGACGGGAGAGCCTTTGCAGTGAGACGGTCGATCTGAGCATCTTTCTCTCCAACGACGTCCACAACGGCACACTCCGATGGAGTTACTCGGCCTCGGACCACAACGCAGCCCCGGTCAAGACGAACCTGTCGTACATCGAGGGTGCCACCGAGCAGCGCTTCGACTGGCTGAGCAGCAAGGTGATCCAGTTCCGCAACGACGGCACCAATGCCTCTTCGAACTTTTACGCCTACGAGAAAAAGACCAACGCGACCAACATCCCCACCTCGGCCGCGCCCGTCAGCTTCCAGGTCTATTCCAACGGCGAGCCGAGCGGGTCGCAGGGTCCCCCGCTCTACGGGCCCTTGATCACGACGCTCGTCTATGCCAGGCTGTTTTTCAACTCGACGATGGACACGCGCCACGAGCAATTTGCGCAGCAGTGCGCCCAGTCGCCCGTCGCCGTCTGCAGTACCGACGACCTGACGCTGCGTAACAGCACCGCCTTTGACCTGGCCGCCACGATGGAGTTCAAGCCAGCCAAGATGCACTTCCGGCCACCGCTGTACGCGATCATCTGCTTCTCGGCCTTTGTCGGCATCTTCCTTGCCGTCATGCTACACGGCATCATCATTCGCAGCGCCAACCGTGCCTCGGCCGACGGCGGTCACGGCCATACGCCCCCTGCTCCTGCACCTACCGCGCCAGCTGAAAAGGATGAGTGGGACGAGGGTCAGGAGCGGGAGCAGAACCCGGAAAAGATCAGGCTTGGCGACCCATTTGTCAGGACGGAGCTCACCAGCACCGTCGGCCACGGCTGGGACGAGGACGAGACGTTGGACGATGGTGACTCGGACTACGACTCGGACAACTACGAGGACGTCGACGTGCTCACGGGCAACTTTGAGCGGCGCAAGACACTCACAGAAGTCCTCGAGCAGCTCCCCACCTTTTCGCCCTCGCTGCCGTCCTCGTCGTCGGGCACTTTTGGCGCCCACTTCAAGGAGGGCATCGCCTCGCCCGTCGAGATGCTCGACCGCATGAAGGCCCATCGCGCCACGGCATACATGCGCAGCCTGCCCAGCGGCGAGTCGCTCACCTCGGGCCTGTATGCCTCGAGCAGCAACGGCCACGGCAGCATGGTCTTTAGCCACCACGGCCACGGCGGCGGCCTGGCCACCAGTTCCAGCACCGGCCACGGACTCAACAGTGGCGCACAGCCGACGGGCCGGCGCCAGATCATCCGCTGGAAGGACCGCCAGGACGACGGGGGTGACATGCAGCTGGCCAGGCCTGCGGGCCAGGACCAGGAGGCAAGGCGGCCGAGCGTGATGGGCGTGCGCCAGACGCTGTTGCAAGTCACCCTGTCCAAGCTCAAGCAGCTCATCTTCATCGACAGCGAGGGCGGCATGCGGACGTCGACGGGCGAGCGCCGAATCGACTACCTCGACGGCATGAGGGGCTTTGCCTGTCTCTTTGTCTCTCTCGGCCACTTTACCTTGATCTTCTACTACGCCGTCGCCGATCCCACCGGTCCCTCGCACTACCCTGAGATGACGCACTGGCTCCGCATGACCGTGGGCCCCATCGTCGTCAACGCCGGCCTGGTGCTGGGCATCTTCTTCACCCTGCCCGCCCGGACCATGTGCATGCGCTACCTGCTCAAGGGCGGCGTCCAGTCGCTGGCCGACAGCACCGTGCGTCGAATTCCGCGTCTGGCGCTGCCCGTGCTCGGTGCCTGCATCGCAAACTACTTTCTCATCGACGTCGACGCCTACAAGTGGGTGCCCCGGCTGTCGTCGCGGACGTGGAGCGTGTGGGACTACTGGCAGAATTACGACAACGTCATGGTCTTTGTCAATGCCTTTGTCACCCTCTGGTGGGCTGCCCCGCCCGAGTCACCGGCCCTCGTCACTGGCTACGCCACGGGCGTGCTCTGGACCATCCCCGTCATTGTCCAAGGCATGTGGACGTGCATGCTGGCGGTGCTCATTGCCCACGAGCTCAAGCGGCCCTGGAAGCGCTTCCTCTACTACTTTTTCTGCGTCACCCTGTCGTGGTACGCAAACACCTGGGACCTCTTTTTCATGTCTGGCCTCATTGTCGCGGACCTGGATGCGAACCTGCACTACCGCGACTTTGCCAAAAAGGGCTTCAAGCTCCTCCCCGGCGTCCACATCGAAGTCGGCCTGCTCGCCTGGCTCTTTTTCGCCGCCTGCGCGCTCCAGCAGTGGTTCATCTACATTCCCGCCTCGCCGGGCGCGCTCTTTGACCTGTGGGAGTACGGCATCCACCCCGACTGGATCAACGCCAAACCCCACGACTGGAACGGCCAGGTCGTCTTCGCCTACACGAACCCGCGCGTCGGCAGCTGGTTCTGGGTCATGTCCGTCTTGATCCTCGCCGACCTGAGCCCGCTCGTCCAGACGTTCTTCCGCCTCCGCATCTGGTCCTTCCTCGGCAAGCACTCGATGGCCTACTTTTTGTGCCACGGCATCATCTTCTGGACCTGGGGCGCCTGGCTCTGCCTCGCGCTCCTCGAGCGCAACGTGCCCTACTGGGCCACGATTCTCGTCGTCTTTGTGACGAGCTACACGCTCCTTACCGCCCTCTGCATCTGCTTCACCTACACCTTTGAGTGGTGGAGCATCCTCTTCTCCAAGGCCGTCTGGCGTGCCTCGAGCGGCGGTCTCGGCCGCAAGGTGTGATTGCCTATTTCAGTGTACATTCGATCCGATATCATAGAGAGCAGATCTTTCATTCAATCCCATCCAGCATTTACAATTTGAGTCGAGTCGAGCAGAGTGTGTTACATACATGTGGCTAGCAGGAAGATGTGGTTATCGTTACATGGAAGGCAGACGAGCGAGACAGTGTGGCTAGCGGAACATGGGCGCTTCGGGCAGGTCGAGAAAGGCCTGGAGCCAGTCCCAGTCGCTGGCCGTGACGACGACGTCCCCGCTGCTGGGTGGTGGGTGTGGTGGTGGTGGTCCGGCTGCTCCTGCCAGCGTCGCCAATGCGGTTGTCGAGGCAGGAAAGAGCGAGGTGGAAGGCTGCGACGACTGCGACGACGACGAGGAGGCCGCGGGGGGAGAAAAGAGGCCCAGGAGGCTCTCGAGGTAGTCGGCGCACAGCGTCGTCGCGCCCTCGATGGCCCTGGTGTCGGAGAGGGCACGTGCAGCGGCGGCGACGAGGTCGAGCACCTCGTCCCGGCGCGACGCAGCCTCGTGGGGCGCCACGTCGATGAAGACGACGAGGTGGGGCACTACGAGGGGCAGCAGCACCAGGTAGACGGCCAGCAGGGCGGCGTGGGCCGAGAGGACCATAATTGGATCGGGCATGTGGACGATCACCTGGCGGTCCATGCTGGCCACCTCGGCGAGGAGCCGGGTGGCCGCCTCGAGCGAGACGGCGTAGCTCCTCCGCTTGGCCTCCTCGACGGCGGCCGACGACGACAGCGACGACGACGCGCCCCCACCACGGCTGGCCTTGAGGAGCGTACGGAGGGCATTGGAGGTGACGTGCATGCAGAAGCTGCTCCGGAACATCTCGTGGCCGGCGCGCCGGACCTGTTGACCGTAGCTGCGGGAGCCGTCAGCAGCACTAGGCTCGCGCTGCTGGGCCAGGCTGCTCCAGCGCTGCTGCCACGCGTCGACTTCTTGAAGAAAAGCGGCGAGGAGCGAGGCAATGGCACTGGCCGACCCTGCCGCGGCCTCGATCAGGTCCTTGTACCGGCACTGGAGCGCGGTGCTCTCGACATCGGAGCCGAGGAACCAGTCGGAGGGCATGGCGTCGGGCGCGAGGCACCACTCGACGCAGCGCTTCACCAGGCCGTGGCCCAGGTCGACAAACGTGGGGCTGGCGACGTAGTGGAGCAGAAAGGAGTGGTGCTGGACGATGTAGAAGAGAAAGAGGCGCTGGTGGTCGCGCGGTGCGCTGCTGCTGCTCAGCTGCGAGGCCGAGATGGACATGATGCGGGCCGCGTGGGCCGTGTAGACGTCGCTGAAGCCGTCGTCGACGTCCTTCCAGGTCGCAAGCAGGTAGAGGGCCAACGCCGTGTCGAGGCCCACGTCGGCGTGGGCAAAGCACGCGGCGGCGAGGCTGCGCGCGTGCAGGCCCAGCTCTGTGCGCCGGCTGTGCTCGCAGAAGCGCGCGGCGAGAAAGACGATGGTCGAGTAGAGGAGCGCAGACGACCGCTTGACTGCGTCGTGGTCCTGTCTCGCACCGTCGAGCACCGACACCCAGGGCTCCATCCAGTCGAGGTAGTAGGCAAACAGCCGCCGGCCCTCGTCGACGCCAATGATGCCGGCCTCGCACGCGTCGACGTCGGCGAGAAGGGTGACGCGCTGCGGCGTGCGGGGCCTTTGCTGCTGCTGCTGCAGCTGCTGCTTGTTATCGATCCTGGCCAAGAGCCCGCGCAGCGTGGGTGGACCCGGCCCCACCCTGCTCTTGATCGTCGACCCGTCGAGATTTTCACCCGCGCTGACAAACGTGTACGTCGACCCGCGCTGTGCCGTGCTCCTCGCCAGCGCATTCCACGCGTGCATCGAGTCCGACGCCGGCCTCGCACTGGCATTGTTGCTCGCCCTGGACACCACTGCTGCTTCCCCTGCGCCTGCGCCTGCGCCTGCATTCATGCCTGACCTTCCTGGACTCGCTTGTCTCGCGTGTGCGTGTGCCACATCTGCTCGCTCGGCCCGCCCGGCGGAGGGTCCTCGCTGGGAAAGGACCTTGCTCCTGGCCTTGGGCCCGCGCTTGCGCGCCTGCTCAAACTGGCACTCAAAGCCGTGGCGCTGGCATCGCTGGCAGGGCGCAGCACACGACGACGACGGCGCACAGCGGACCTTGCTCAGTCTGCATTCGAGGCAGGCTCCTCCACGCATGTCATTGCCACTTGCGACCGTGAGATGCGGAAGTACTCTATTCTTTTTCGAGATTGCGATCTTCTGACTTTTTTTTCTCTCTGCTTCCCTTCCCGAACTCGCATCCACGTGGAGGAGGAAAGGAAGCCCGTCGCACATTGATTGGCCCGCTCCCAGCCCATCCAGCTGTTTCTTCCTCGCTGCACAAAACAGCCTCCCCGCGGTGGGCTCCCACGATGGACCCGACGGCGGCCACGGACCAAGACGCAGAAGACGACCGTCTATTCGGCAGCACAGACAGCGAGTTCGACGACGAGGAAGACGACGACAGCGACCGACAGATACCCGCGACGCCTCCGTCGCCCTGCCCAGCAGCAGCAGCAGCAGCAGCCGCGGCACGGACAAGTGGTCTCCTCCTCCCGACCGGCAGTGGAAAGCCAGCGCCCTTGGTGGTGTCCAAGAAGCCAGAGCGCTACGGAGCGACAGACGGCCGCATTTGCCCGCGTGATCCACCCGACGGCGCCGTCGTCGGGCTGGTGAAGGGCCCTACACGAAATGTGCGCATCGAGCCGGCTTCCTCTTGCATGCCCGAGCCTCTGCTCCCGTCTTCTGACCGCGTCTCCTTTACAGATTGTCTCGACGTGACTCCAGCAGTGACACCGCCTGCTCGCACCGAGAACCAGCAGCAGTCAGTGCCCCTGCTGCCCCTGCCGTGGTGGGCCTCGTTTCAGCCGCGTTCGAGCGCGCTTGCTCCCGTGCGCTTCGTCCCGGGCGTCATGGTGGCCGCTGCCTACGACGTGGAAGCAGTGCATACGACGACGAGGTCAGGGCGCGCTGCGCTCTCTCCCTCGCTCGAGCTGCACGCGCTGGCGCTGCGGGCCAAGCGGCAGCAACAAGAGGCCGCACAGCGCCCTGATACTGACCAGGCCGAATTGGTCGTGGTCGAGCCGCTGACGATGCCACCGCCCAATGCTGCCTCCGCTTCACCAGCGGAGCACCAGGCGAGCACATCCTCGAGCAAGGGCAAGGGCAAGAGCAAGAGGAAGCAGGCTCCCCCGCTCGAGAAGCCAGTGGACCCCGAAGCAGAGCCAGCGGCTGCGCCTCCCACCAAGAAGAGGGGCGGACGCAAGCCAGGGGCGCGCGACAAGCCCAAAGACTCGTCACTGCTCCAGCCTCAGCCCCAGCCCCAGCCCCAGTCCAAACCCAAGGCCAAACCCAAGGCCAAGGCCAAGGCCAAGGCTCGGCTGCCGAAGCAGGGCAAAGGGCGTTCCCGTCGCACAGCGCCCGCGTCCGAGCCCTCGCCGACTCCGGACCTCTTCTCGGATGCGCTCCCGCAGTGGGTCACTGATATGGTGGGCGGCCCCTCGTGGGCAGTGGAGTCCACTTCACCCTCGTTGAGCAGCCCAGAACCACGCAGTGGGGATGGCATCTCCACTGGGCAAGGTGAGCCCGAGGAGGCGGCTGCTGCTCAGTCACAGACGGACCCTGGCACGGACACGGCGCGACGTTCTGCGGCCACCGAGGAGTCAATCTCAGAGGAAGGCGTGCAAGCCGATCGCGATGAGGAGGCCGCTGCTGCTGCTGCTGCCGCTTTAGAAGCAAAGAGAAGAAGCAGAGAGGCGAACCTGGCGCCGCGTCCCCGCCACCTCCGCCACCGTCGTTGGCTGCCGTCGAGCGCCGAAGACTCGACATCGCCTAGCCACACAGAGGAGAAGCAGAAACAGAAGCAGAAGCAGAAACAGAGGCCGAAAGGGAAGGAGCGGCAGTTGAGCGAGACACAGGATACCACTGGGACGACGAGCCGGGGCCACACATCGCTCAAGGCAGCCGTCGGGGCTCGGCTCGCGGGCGTGCGCAAGACGCAGCTCGACCTCGCGCGCCGCTACTACGAGGCAAAGGTCGATGCCCAGCTGCTTGCCTCGGCACGGACAGAGATTGAGGCGCGCATCGCCGAGCTGCAGGAGCGCATACAGAGCAGGGTCCGGGCTGGGAACGCCGCTTGAGAGAGAAACAATAAACCTGTATCTATACACCTCATGATTGTACATCTTCCAACATGTGTTTTTCCTTCCTCTCTAGACATGACTTCTCTCTCTCCTGAGACGGGACACTGGCCACAGACTCAGAGTGAGACTCAGACAAAATTGACGCGGAGCGAGAGCTGGAAGGGCAGCCGCTCGTCGGTGACGTCGATCTCGTCGCCGTCCTGGAGCAGGTCGCTGAGCGCCTTTTCGAGGTTCGGCCGCGAGGCCTCCTCGAGCTGCTTGGGCGACTGGAAGTAGAGAGTGCGGCCGCTGGACGACAGCGAGGGCCTCTGCAGCTGCCTGTCGTGCCATTGCCAGTGCCAAGAGGGCGAGTCGGTGAGTCAGCATAAAAATCAGAGCAAGGAAAGACAGGACCACACGCACAGGTCGGGCATCTCGGCGAGCATCTCGATGACGCGGGCCAGCGTCGTGTCGGGCGCAACATCGAGCTGGCGCACATCGCCGCCGCAGACGGGGCAGTCGGGCCGCTTCTTGTGCTCAAACGTGTACGTGTACACGCCCTCGTTGCCCGTGTACATCATGTAGTTGTCCAGGTAGAAGGCGGCCGTCGTGGCGAACTTGAATGCCTCCTGCGTGCAAGCGGCTGGGCCACCGTAGCAACCATTCAGCGACAGTCATATGGTAGATCAAAGAAGAAGCAGAGGAAACCCACCAGCAATGACGGCATTCGTGCTCGCAATGGCGGGGATGATGTTCTTGACGACGCCCTGGGTCAGGCTCCACGTGACACCCAGGATGCCGTGCTGGTCGGCGCGCTTGCTGGCCACGGCGAGGAGCCAGGCAATGTGCTCGGGGTCGTCGGTGTCGAGCTTCTTGTCGTCGCCGTGCACGCGCGGCCACTCGAGCACGCTGGCCCACTCGATGCAGTGCTCGGGCAGCCGCGGCGTGTTGGCAATGGTGCAGATGGGAAACACCGTCTGCTTGCCGAGCATGTCCAGGCTGCACTCGTAGCACGACGAGACCGTGGGCAGGATGACGCGGGCCTGGCCCTTGAACCCCTCGGTGCCGCCGTCGATGAGGGGCTTGAGCGACTCGGGGTTGTCCTCGTCGACGAGGCCGACGAGGGTGGCGCTGATCCAGCGGCGCGCCGCGACCGAGTCCAAGCCGCAGATGACGAGGTTGAACGACATGTAAAAGTCATCGTCCTTGTCCTGGATCTTGCAATGGTGCGCCGTGACGGCGACGGCAGGGCAGCGGCGCATGACAAAGTCGGCAGCGACCTGGGCCTTGCTGCGCCCGACGTCGCTGTGGCGGAAGAGGAACTGGCGGTTGAGGTTGGACACGTCGATGGTGTCCATGTCGATGATGTGGATGTCGCGGAAGCCGCTCAGGGCCAGGTTGGTGAGGATCTCGCAGCCGAGGCCGCCGGCGCCAATGACGAGGACCTTGCACTGGGTGGTGAGGAAGCCCTTTGCGCTGGTGCAACATACATGCGTCAGTCTTTTCTGTTCTTCCAAGCAGAACGTCAGCCCACTCACGTCTCGCCGCCCTGAAAGCTCTCATCGGTGTAGGGCCCCGCCCGGCTGAGGATCTTGTCGACGTGCGCATTGACGGCCATCGTCGGTGGGCGGCAGTGGCAGCGCAGGAGCAGCGTAGAAGAAGCAGCAGCAGCAGTGGAGACCCGTGCGCGTGCATCGCACAGTAAGAGACAGTGACAGAATAATGTGACAGACTGGCCGTCTCGTCTCCCCCTCCACACAAGCAAGAAGATTGCCCAATCGCCTCCTCGACGCCACAAGAGTTCTGCAACCATGGCGCCACTCCGACTCGACACGGTGCTCAAGCTCAACGACGGCCGCACGATCCCGCAGCTGGGTCTGGGGGTGTACCAGAGCCGCGGGCGGGCGTGCGTGGCCGGGTGCGCCGAGGCGCTGCGGCTCGGCTACCGGCACATCGACACGGCGCAGCTGTACGCCAACGAGGCCGAGGTGGGCCAGGCGGTGCGCGACGAGGCCCACGCCAAGCGCGACGAGGCCCACGCCAAGCGCGACGACGTCTTTGTCACGACCAAGGTGAGCCTCTGCACTTTTTTTGAGTCGCTTTTTAGAGAAGGCTAACGCAACCAGCAGATCTGGGACAGCAACCATGGCTATGACGCGGCGCTGCGCTCCCTCGACAAGAGCCTGGCCGCCTCGGGCCTCGCCTACTTTGACCTCGTCCTGATCCACTCGCCCAACCCGGGCGCAGCGAAGCGGCTCGAGACGTACCGTGCCCTCGTCGACGCACGCAAGCGCGGCCTGACACGGTCCATCGGCGTCAGCAACTACGGTCCTCACCACCTCGCCGAACTCGACACCCACTTCCCCCACGACCCGCCAGCAGTGAACCAGATTGAGGCGTCGCCCTTTTTCCAACGGGCCGACATCGTGGCTGCATGCCGCAAGCGGAGCATCGTCGTGCAGGCCTACAGCCCGCTGGGAAAAGGCGCCTTCACCTCGCTGCCCGCGCTCCAGCGCATCGCCGACCGGCACGCCAAGACGCCCGCCCACGTGCTCATCCGCTGGTCGCTCCAGCGCGGCTTCGTCTGCCTGCCCAAGTCTTCCAACGCAGACCGCATCGCCGCCAACGCCGATGTCTTCAGTTTTGAGCTCTCCGACGCCGACATGGCCGAGCTTGACGCGATGGAGACGGGCTCGGGCATCACGTGGAACCCGACGCTGGTCGAGTAGCCGTCCCTGCCAGCTGCGAGGAAGGGCAGTCTTGGATCGGGTGGCAGAGTGATGTCATTCACGGTGGTAGTGATCTAGCAGCAGGGTGTCGGAATGATGTATTTGAAAGAATCTAGTGGCAGTGTGATGGAGTGGTCTAGTTGGAGTGATCTAGTCATTGTGATCTAGTTGGAGTGTGAAGTATTGGAACTAGCAGCCGTGAAGGGGGTTTAGCAGTCACACGCGGTGGCGCGCATTCTCGCGGTCAAAGCAGCCGCGGCACCGGACGCGGCCCTCGGTGTCGACCTTGGCGGCGCTGTCGAGGCGCTTTCCGCAGATGGTGCCGTCGCGCCGTCCCTGGCCCGCTGCGAGGGTGGACGGCGCGGTGCAGACGAGGCACTTGGGGTGCCACGACGAGCCCCGGGGCCCCGGGACGGCCTCGAGGGAGGTGAGGCTGCGTGCACAGCCGCCGCACGTGGGCATCGCGCCGAGCCGGGCCAGGGGCGACTTTGGTGTATTGCTGCCATTGCTGCTCATGGCCAGGCTTGCCTTGATTACGTTACCCGTCAGCGGCGAGGGCCGGGTGCTGAGGAGCGTGGAGCGCGTGGGTGGCGCAGCGCCGGCCGTCGACTGGAATCGGCGGTTGGAGGACGGTGCGGCAGACGGCGCGGCAGACGACGAGGCAGACGACGAGACAGACGACGAGACAGACGAGGACGAGGATGAAAAAGGGACAGCCGACGAAGAGCACGACGACGAGGCCGACGACACGGACCGGTCGCTGCTGCTGCTGCCCAGGTACGACGAGGGCAGGAGGGGCGCGGGCGAGGTGTCGCGCGAGTGTGCGACGGTGGGCCGCTGCAGCGTCACGTGGTCGTGCGCGGGCCTGGCCGTGGCTGTTCTGGCGGTGGCAGTCCCCTCCAAGGCAGTCCTGTCCGAGGCCATCGTTGCCTCGTCGCCATGGCGGCGGGCGTCGTCGAGCAGCCGAGGCCTCGCGGCGACGATGGGCCGGGGCGCGCAGCCGTGGTGGGCATAGCGCTGCTCGCCGAGGCTGGCGAAGCTGGCGGTGCCCGGGATGGGCCGCTGGCAGACGGCGCAGCAGAAGCAGGCGGGGTGGAAGAAGAGTGTGCCGCCGCTGAGGGCGAGCATGGTTGAGCATTGCGATGTGCCGGCGTCTGTATGCGTCGTTGTTGTCTGGCCCTCTTGTTCGTCAAAGGGCCCCTTGCCGCAGCGATGGCAGCGGTGTTCCTGCTCCTTGTTCTTGTCGTTGTTCAGCAGCTGCTGGGAAGCGGTGCGGCTGTCACGGACGATGGATCTGCCGCGCGAGTCGCTCCTTGTGAGCCCAGTGTCGGCGCTGCTAATGCTGCTGCTGCTGCTGCTCGACGAGGGGACGAATCGGCCGAGATCAAAGGAGGAGCCCGAGAACTGTGCGGTGAGTGGCCGGGGCTTGGATGGCGACGCTGGTCGTTCGTGACTTTTGCTGCCGCTGCCGCTGCTGCTCCCACGCCGCTCCATCGGTGGTCGTGCGGCCGTGATAGCCGCCCCAGCCGCCGTCGCAGGAGCAGGCCCGCGGAACTTGGCCGTCATCTCGGCGATGGTCGCTGAGCGAGCAGCGGCGTCGCGCGCAGCCGGCGTCGTCTTCGTATTCGTCTTCGTGTTCGTGCTCGTCTTCGACTGGGCGCGACGGGGCCCGTCGTCGAAGCAGGACATGCACGTGGGCAGGCCATCGAGGATGCCCTCGACGATGTCGTTGGCTGCCGCCGTCGCGGCCACCTGGCCGCAGTGGGCGCATGTGGCCCAGCACTTGCCGTGCCAGAGGTTGCCCTCGCTCGTCTTGACAAAGGTGCCCTGCTCCTTGGTCGAGCCGAGCACGACGCCGTCGCAGCCAGGGCACCGTCCCAGGGCGAAGCGCTTCTCGTAGCACGGCCGGCAGAAGGCCTCGCCGGGTGCTGCTGCTGCCTCTGCTCTTGCTCCCGGTCCTGTTCCTGATCCATTTCCCACTCCTGGTCCTGACGTTCCTCCAGCCCGCCTCGGCGCAAGGTACAGCGTGGCGTCGCGGGGGAACGAGGCGTGGCAGCCGGCGCAGCGCCATTGCTGCTCGCGCGCCTCCTGCGGCTCGAGCAGCGTGCCATACACCTTGGCCAGCGTGCCGTCGTGTGACTGCACGATGGGGCCCGACGCCGCACTGGCGACATTGCTGCTGTTTGATGTCTTGAGGTCCCGCGCAATGGACTGGGGCACGACGCCGAAGCCGAGCCGGCCCTTTTTGCTGGGCGAGAGCGACGGGGACGAGAGCGATGGCGACGACGGTGAGTATGAACTTGCTTCGAGGCCCGCCACGTATCGGCGCGCCCACCGGTCGGCCTTTTCCTTTGGCGCGGCTGCTGTTGTTGTTGCAGTGGCAGTGGCAGTCGTCATTGCTGCCATGGCCAGTCAGATGGGATGGTGTGTTCTTGCCTGGCCTTGCCCTGCCGTCCACTGGTTGTGCTAGGTAGATTTCTCGACCAACGCACGACACACACAGGCGCGCGCCCCTTTCTTTTCTATTTTTCGCGCTCGGGCCACCGCGTCGGGAGTCGGGCGAGGCAGTTTTATTTTTCGTCGAGAAGAGCAGGCTGCAAAGACGAGACCGCAAGTGCAGGCAGGACGCAAGAACAGGGCAGCAAGGACAAGGCAGGCCACTCGATGGAAGAGGGACGAGAGGCGGTGCGGGCACTCGCGCGGCCTATTGCAAGTGTGCAGCAGCTCGATGCGCTTCTCGGGCGCATCGCCAGGCTCGGTGAAGACTGCGGCGACGACGATGACAACAGCGAGGCGAGACGCGCCTGGCTCGTCGAGGCCCAGCAGACGCTCGTCACCACCGTCGCCGTCGACTGGGCCGATGCGCTGCCGGCCGGGTCCGCACGGCGCGAGCAGCTGCTCCTGACGTCGTGCTTCCTCGACGGCAGCGGGGCCAAGGCGTGTGCGACCATGGCCAGCGTCTCGCGGCTGCTCATGCCGGCGGCGACGAAGGCACGGCTGCATCCGCAGAGCAGGGCGCTCCTCGAGGCCATCATCACGCGCCTCGTCGCTGCAGAGGTCGAAGCCTGGTCGATCAGCGCCGTCGTCGACTACGTAAAGCGAATTAGTCACAGCAAGGGCAAGGGACAGCAGGGCGCAGCGCGGGCAGAGCTCGTCTGGAAGGAGTTTGCCGGCCAGGCCTGCGCACTCGCCGAGCGCTGGAGCAACGTTGCCCAGGGCGGGCCCGAGCAGGACATCCTGTCGCGAAGGTGCGTCTTTTTTTCGACGGCTTCAGAGTATAAAAGTGAAGCTGACTTATCGGAGAGGCAGGGCGTGGACGGCGACGCTGGCCCGGCAGCTCGACGCGGCAGTCGTGCGAGGTGCGCAGGGCAGTCGTGGTGTAGCTCGCTTGGCCGTGCTGCTGACCAAGATGGTCCGCGTGGGCTATGTCGACGAGGATGGCTTCCGGGGCACCCTTCTGGCGCGCATGGCCGATAACGAACGTGTGGGCACGCCGGGCGAGGCAGCATCCATGGCTGCCTGGGCTGCGCTCCTGTCGCGTCTGGCTGACGACGACACAGCGACACTGCTCGAGCAGCTCGTCGCCAAGCTCGACAGCTTGTACTCTGCCGCCCTCGTTTCAAGCAAAAACGAGCAGGTGCGCGCGGGCCTCGAGGGCGCCCGCTTCCTGTCGTCCGAGGCGGCCGCATACACGCGCCTCGCCAGCCGCATCCTCGGCCACCTGCTTGTCGGCCGAGATGGCGACGGCGATGGCGACGATGACGACCAAGATTTCGACTCCGACTCCGATGAAGCTGGGGTTGAAGAGGCTCGCCAGAAGAGATGGACCGAGCTGGCACTCGCGCGGCAGCACATGCGCTCACCCCTCTGCGCCTGCGCGCTCGTCCAGTCGCTCCAGGCCCACGCCGGTGCTCAGCCCGCGACGGTGCAGGCCGTCGTGGATGCCTGGTCGGCCGAGCGGCGCATCAAGGCCGCGCCCTGGGACGGCGAGGCGTACCTCTCGACGCTCGTCATCGCTCTGCTGGCCTCGTCCTCCTCCTCGTCCTCCTCGCCGTCCTCCCCTGCCATCGCCCAGCTGTCGACAAACGCACGCTTTATCCGCGGCGTCTCGGCGCACCTCGAGCACCCCGCACCGCGGGTCAGGCGCATGGGCATGCTCGTCGCCGAGCTCGTCAGCGCGCAAGGCCCCAGCAGCGGCCGCAAGCCCCTCTCCTTTGGCTCGTCCATGTGGGACGGCAGGGGCGAGGGCAGGGAGGAGGCCAGGGTGCTCCGCGCCCTCTACCACTCCTGGCCCCACCGATCAGCACGCACGGAGGGCGACGACGGCACGATAAAAGAGCTGGCCCTTTCTCTCTTCAAGCCCGCCGTCGCGCATACATCGGCTGAAGACACAGCCGTCGTCGTCCCTTTGCCCAAGAAGCAAAGACGGCCCAAGACGCGCCAGCTGCCCGCTCGTGTCGCTCCTCGGCGGCGGGGCAGCCTGGAGCAGCAGGACGACGGGGGAGACGAGCAGCTGCTGCTGCCCTCGCTGTCCAATGTCGCTGGCCGGCAGCGAAAGGTGTTCATCGAGACACTCGACAAGTCCTCTGACGAAGAGGGCGCCTCCTCTTCCTCTTCCTCTGCTTCATCATCTTCGTCACTCTCTGCCGGCTCATTGGCCGGCGCAGGTGAGCGAGAGAAGGAGGTGCAGGATTCCGAGGGCTTCGGCATGGGCGTGCCGGAAAAGAAGCGGCGAAAGAGGCCCGTCTACATCCACGAGCTGGCGCCCCTGCTGCGCGAAAAGGACCGCGAGGCCAACAAGATTGCGCTGCGCTACGCCGATGTCCTTGTCCGCCGCAAGGCCGGCTGGGGGGCCGAGGTCGGTGAGTGTACGTCTATGTTAGATGGTGTGGTTTATGGCTAAGCAGCAGAGGAGAATCACAGACGAGCAGGCCATCGATCTGGCATATGCGCTCATGGCGCTCCAGGACAACTTCAGCCTCAAGGCCTTTGACGAGCGGCGGACCCGGGCGCTCGTCTCGCTCCTCGTCGCCTCGCCGCGCAACGTGGCGCCCTGCCTCGTCGAGCAGTACTTCAACAGCCAGTACTCGATTGCGCAGCGCATCGCCATGCTCAATGCGCTCGCCTTTGCCTCGCGCGAGCTCGCGGGGCTCGACGCACGCGACAGCCAAGCGCGGGACAGCGACGCACGCATGCTCGCCGAGGGCCTCGCCCAGACGGCCATTGCCCAGGCGAGGGAGCGCGGACACGAGGCGGTGCGGGGCCCGGCGTCGCACGTCGAGGCTCAGCTCTCACTCCAGCCAAAGACGGCCGGCCCTGCCTCTGCCTCGCTCATCCAGCCATTTCAAGCCTCTCAGGCATCATCACAGAACGGCCAGGCCGCCAGCTACACGAGCGTGGGCCCGTCGCTCTTCATCTTTCCGCTCCTCACGCGCTTCCAGCTGCACCTCAGCGATGCCCTCGCGCGCGCCTCGCGCCAGACGGCCCGCCACCACGCCCGGCCCTCGTCGCTGGACAGCAACCTCTACTCGCATATGCTCGTCTGCCCCTTTCTCGACACTCTCGCCGTGCTCGTCGACCCGTCGGCGCTGAGCTACGTGGCCCAGCCCGACGCGCCGTGCGCCGTGCTCGAATTCTGCCTCTTTGTCGACCGCTGGCTCCGCCGCTCGTCGCCGTCGTCGTCGTCCTCCTTTTCTCCCTCCTCATCAGAAACGATAGAGGCGCAGGACCGCTCGATGCGCGCGTCCAATGCGTCGCTCTGCCTCGTCGCCATCCAGGGCCTGTCTGACAGCCCGAGCGAGGCAGCCCGGCAGCAGCTCCTGCACACGCACTCCCGCCTCTTGGCCGACGTGGGCCACTATGCGTCTGCGTCGTTTGAGGCCGCCGAGCAGGCAGGCGACGCGCGCGAGGCGAGGTGCTGCGCCGCCATCCTGCTCCGCCTCCACGAGCTGCGCAGTGCATCGTGAGTGGCAGTCTGCCCAATTCCACCATTTTTATCACAGCAGGAGGTGGACGGCCATAGCACCATAGAGGTAGACACTGCGCTCCGTTGAAAAGAGACGAATGATTGTACTGTACAACAAAGAATGAGATTCTCTATCTGTCTGTCCTTAAGGAGAGTGGTAATGCCCAAAGGAGGCACTGGCTATCGATGCTAAAAGCGGTCTCTGGCTGCCGATGCCCTCGCTGCTCCCCTGCCCCGGGCGCCACCCCTGCCCCTGCCTCTTGCTGCTGCGCCCCTGCCTCCGCTGCCGCCTCCTCGTGCATTCTCACGCACGCTGGCCGAGGAGCCGCCAGACATTGTCGGCATCGCCCTGACCCCGCCTCCGCCCGACGGCGGCGGAACCGACCGGAACGAGGGCGTCTTTGCGGTCGGCCTCGCGGGCTCCTTCTTGACTGGCCCGGTGGCTGCGACGGCGGCAGCTGCGATGAGCCCATCGCCGCTCGTCGAGGGCGAGGAACAAAAGGCAAATTGCTGCAGATCGAGCTCCTGCAGCAGGGATCTCGGTGCCACCTGTGCTGGCTTCTTGTTCTCGTCGTGCGTCTGTTGCTCCTGCTTCGGCTGCTCCCTCGGCGTCTGCTTCGGCGGCTGTCTCGGCGGCGGATGTGGTGTTGTTATCCCCGACATGGACTTGGCGCTGCGCCCATACGTGCTCGCCTGCCTGCCCGTGTACTTTTTGCAAATGTCGAGAAAGCCGCGGCCAAACGTCTCCCACTTGGCCGTGTCGACGCCCTCGATCTGGACAAACTTCTCCAGGGCTTTGTGTGTTGCAAAATAGACTGTCAGCGTCTCTCTTTCTCAGATAGCTAGGGGTCCGGTCTCCACTCACACACGGGCAGCAGCAGCGACATCTCCTGGAGGGCCTCGTCGGTGTAGACCTCGCTGGGCGCCATGCGCTTGTCGCGGCTGACCTGGAGCCGGTGCGCCTTGAGCTCGCTGTAGCACTGCTCAAACAGGTCTCCCGTCTGCTGCGGTGCCGTGGCCGCGCTGTTGCTGTTCTCGATGTCGTCATCGTCCAGATCGACAACCTCGGGAAAGTCGTTGATGTCAAAGTCGGAGCCGAGGTCGACGGCGTGTCCCCCGGCCCGGCGTGCGCTGCCCAGAGGCGCAGCTGCCGAAGTGGATGCGACGAGGGGCTCGGCATCCATGTCAAAGTTGGCCACGTCCAGCTCGTCGTGCGCGTACTCAAAGTCGTCCTCCGACAGCTCTAGCGGCCGTGGCCGTGGCTGGTAGCCGGACCTCTTTCTTGCTGCTGCTGTCGTCGTCCTCGCCGTGGAAGAAGCGGCCGCTTCCGACGCAGTCAGCTTCTTCATCGGCATCAGGATCTGCTTCTGGCCCGCAATGATGGCCTCGGCCTCGCGGCGGTTGTACGTCATGTAGGCATTGGTGAAGCCCATGCCGTTCTGCTCGGAGCGCTCGCCGAGGGCGCCCTCGACGACGAGGCGCTGGAAGAGGCGCTCGACGTCGCCGCGCGCCAGGTGCTTGGCCCTGGCAAACTGCGCCAGCTCGTCGTGGCCCTTTGCCTTGATGGCCGTCTTTGTCGAGCCGCGGAGCACGTCGACGCAGTGGAGCATCGTGACCGAGTCGCCGGCGCGCACGATGGCGTCGACGAGGCCGAGGGCCTGGGTGGCCATGGCAGACACGTCCGTGTGGGCCATGGCGGCGGCGTCGTGGGGCGCCTGCTGCATCCGGCAGCAGTTGTCGCACGTGTGGTGGCAGCTCTCGGCGGCAAAGACCTCGCCAAAGTACTGGAGGATCTGGGCGCGGCGGCAGTCGAGCGTGTTCATGGCATACATGACGACCTGGCGTAAGTTGTCGTGCTGCTGCTCCTTTTGGTGCCGCGTGCCCTCGCCCTCGTCGATCATGAGCCGGATCCCGTTGGAGTCCTTGTAGTTGAAAAAGAGGACGCAGTCGGAGCTGCGGCCATCGCGACCGGCACGGCCCGTCTCCTGGTAGTAGCCCTCGAGCGAGGTGGGCATGGTGTGGTGGATGACGAAGCGGACGTCGCCCTTGTCGATGCCCATGCCAAAGGCAATCGTGGCCACGATGATCTTGAACTCGTTCTCCTGCCAGCCCTCCTGAACACGAATGCGGTCGCGCTTGCTCATGCCCGCGTGGTAGTGCTGGGCGCGGATGCCGTGGGCACGGCCGAGGTCCGAGGCGACGTCCTCGCAGGCGCGCCGGCTGAGGCAGTAGATGATGCCGCACTCGTTGCGGTGCTGGCCATTGATGAAGCGGGCAATGTCCTCGAGCACGATGGCCTTTGTCTTCTTCTCGCGCACGTGGTAGTGCAGGTTGGGCCGGTTGAACGACTGCTGGTACTCTTTCAGGCGGGCCTTGTTGATGTTGAGGTGGGAGATGACGTCGTGGCGGACGCGGCTCGTGGCCGTCGCCGTCATGGCCATGAGGGGCACATCGGGGTAGTCGCGCTTCAGCTGGCCCATCTCCTTGTAGTCGGGCCGGAAGTCGTGGCCCCACTGGCTGACGCAGTGGGCCTCGTCGACGACGAAGCGCGCGAGGCGGTTGCGCCGTGCGAGGTGGGTGAAGATGTCGGCGGCCACGCGCGACTTGTTGACAAATTCGGGCGTGAGGTAGACGAGGGCGGGCAGCGTGGCGGCGGCGTCGCGCGCAAAGATCTCGGCCAGCGCACGCTCGCGGTCCCGCGCAGGCATCTCGCCCGTGATGCGCAGGGCAGGGATGCCGAGCTTGAGGAGGTGGTTGACCTGGTCGTGGATGAGCGAGATGAGCGGCGAGATGACAATGGTCACGCCCCGGGTGCGGCCCGACTCGACAATGGCAGGCAGCTGGTAGCAGAGGCTCTTGCCGCCGCCCGTGGGCATGAGGCAGAAGACGTCGTAGCCGCCCAGGGTGGCGTTGATGGCCTCCTGCTGGTTGGGCCGGAAGTCGCTGAGCCGGAATGTGTTGTGGAGTGCCTTGCGCACATCGGCCGACCAGGGGTAGTCCTCGGGGTCTCTCTGTGGCCTCGCTTTCGGCGCTTCTGTCGCTCTCGTCTTTGTTCTCGTCTCTGCAATTCTAGTCTCGTCTAGTCTGGGCAGGATTTGGGGCCTGGACGAGGGACCGGGATCCGGGTGGGCCTCATCGACGACGGGAAGCGGCGGCGTCTGGACGCCCTCGAGGAGGCTGCCCTCGTCGAGCAGGTCGTCGGCCGAGCCGAAGTCGTACTCGTTGCCGCTGCTGTTGGGCGCTGGGGCCGGTAGTTGCTGCGCCTGACGTCGCTGGCTCGGCGCAGGTGGCCGATGTGAGGCAGAGGCAGACGGCCGCTGTGAGGTCGAGGCTGGCTGGCGTGGGGAGGACGAGGCCAAGGCAGGGGTCCGCGGCCGCTGCGAGACGGGGGTTGGACTCTGCTTTCTCTTGTCTAGGATCGCCTTGATTTCCGCGATGCGTTTCTGAAGAAAAGCACTAAAGAAAAGCCGAGGTCAGTTGCCGCTCTCTTGGAGGCGCAACACTGGACAGAACTGCCACCCACCGCTGGCTCTCGAGAAAGGCAGGGTCCTGGTTCGACTCGGCTCCCTGCGCAATGCTCAGCATCTCGCCCAGCACCTTGTTGAAGGCCTCGGTGTTGCTCAGCAAAATCGACCGCAGCGCCTCGTCCGAGTGCTATTACAAGAGAGAGAGAGTGTGTGTGTATGAGTATGTGCACGCATACATTGACGGCTCGCCGACCCACCTCGTCGAGGCCAGTGCTGCGCTTGGGCAGCTGCGTTGGACCCACATCTGCAGAGAAGGCGTTTAATAGCTTCAAAAGGACTGCAAGAGCTATACCTGCTCACCATCGTCCTCCTCGTCCTCGATGACGATTCGCTCGCGCTTCGTCGCTGCGCGCACGCCCTCGTCCGACGGCCGCTTCGTCCTCCTCGGTGTCTCGTGGGCCAGGACCCGGCCACTGCCGCCGCTGCTGCTGGACTCGCCCGAATGGAGAGGTGTTGCCTTATGAACGTCTTAGTATCGATTCGCTTCCTGGACACCCCCTCCCACACTCACCATGCTGCCGACTACAACCGCATCATCGTTGGGCTGCACAAAGTCTCGTCGCGATAATTCCATTTTGAGTTGAGCTTTTTCGCGGAAATGGCGTCGACGTGATGTGTCACGTGCCCGCGCGTGGGCCACCCTCCTTCTCGTCGCCGACAGGCCCTCTCTCTCTCTTCGGATTTTTACTTTTTTGGAATAATCGTTCACCACCGACTGACTCTCGGCCTCTGTCGCCGCCGTCCTCGTTGGCGCTACAGCCATGGGCCGCGGATTCAGCTTGAGCCACCAGAAGGTGGCCCTCGAGGTCGCCGTCTCTGGTCCGACGATTGCCTCGGGCTACACGGAGCTCACCATCACGCCCACGGTTGCCAACTTGAAGACGATCCACCTCAATTCGCGCCAGACAGGTGGGTGTTCCTCTTCTTCTGACGCGGATGAAAGGGGCTCGCTGCTGACCTGAGGATGCAACAGAGATCCACCGGGTCGTGTGCGCAGGGCGGGAGGCAGACTTCTCCATCGTCGACCATCTGTCCAGTGCGACGCTGTCGAACCCAAGGGACGTGCACTCGTACCCGGACCTCAAGCGCAAGCTGTTTGCCGCGACGAGCGACGGCAGCGGGGGCGAGCTCAGCATCCTGCTGCCGCCGGATGTGCACATCAGCCAGCAGGCGGGCAGCGACGACTTTGCGCCCATCGTCGTGCGCATCTACTACTCCATCCGCAGCCCTGCCCGCGAGGCCATCCAGGTCGTGCTGCCAACCGAAGAGGCGCCCCATCGGACCCGGCACATGTTCACCTCGCCCACCTGCGCCGACTTTGCGCGGTGCTGGGTGCCCTGCGTGGACAGCCTCTGGGAGCGCTGCACCTGGGAGCTCCAGTTTGTCATTGCCAAGCGCTGGGTCGACGAGGAGCAGGACAACGTCGTCGTCGGCTCGGGCGAGCTCGTCGAGCAGGTGGCCCACCCGCACAACTCGGCCAAAACCATCTTTTACTTTACCCAGCCCGTGGCCACGTCGGTGCAGCACATTGCCTTTGCTGCTGGCCCCTTTAGCCTGTACAAGGTGCCCCGCGTTGGCTCGGGCCCAGGCTCAGCAGCGGCGGCGGCGGCGATGACGATGACGATGGCAGCAGCCGCAGAAGAGCAGGAGCAGGAGCAGGTCACGACGGCCTTTTGCCTGCCGGGCCGCGAGGAGGAGCTGAGGAACAGCGTGGGGGTGCTGCCGCAGGCCATCGACTACTTCAGCAAGGACTTTGGCTCTTACCCTTTCGCCTCGTTCAACGTCGTCTTTGTCGACGACGGCCTCCAGGACACGCATATAGCCTCGACGCTGGCCCTCTTTTCCGCCGCGCTCCTCTACCCCAGCACCGTCATCGACCAGGCGTTTGAGACGCGGCAGCTGCTCAGCCACGCCGCTGCGTTCCAGTGGATCGGCATCAACATCGTCCAGCGCTCCTGGGCCGACACCTGGCTCGTCCACGGCCTCAGCCTCTACATCACCGGTCTCTTTATGCGGCGACTGCTGGGCAACAACGAGTACCGGTTCCGGCTCAAAAAGGACTGCGACCGGCTGTGTGCATGCGACGTGGGCATGCCCCCGCTCTACCAGCTCGGCACCTCGGAGCCGCCCGACGAGTCGATGCTGGCCTTTGTCAACCTCAAGGCGCCCCTCGTCCTCTACATCCTTGACCGCCGGCTGTGCAAGGCGGGTGCCTCGCTGGGATTGGGCCGTGTGATCCCCAAGGTGTTTCTGCAGGCCATCACGGGCGAGCTCGTCAACGGCGCGCTGAGCACGGGCAGCTTCCTGCGCACCTGCCGCAAGGTGAGCGGCATCGAGCTGCGCACGTTTGCCGACCAGTGGATCTTTGGCAGCGGCTGCCCGCGCTTCTACTGCTCGGCCTCGTTCAACAAGAAGAAGCTCCTCATCGAGTTCCACATCAGCCAGGAGTCGCCCTCGTTTCAGTTTGCCGCCAGCCGGCCTGCTGAGGCTGCGGGCTGCAACGCCGTGCAGACGTTCGAGGGCCAGATGACGGTGCGCATCCACGAGCCCGACGGGACGCCGTACGAGCACGTGTTTGACCTCAATGCGCCCTCGAAGCGCTTCGAGGTGCCGTTCAACACCAAGTACAAGCGCATCCGTCGCAACACGAAGCGCTTCAAGACCCGACAGGCCCTTGCTGCCGCTGCCGCCGAGGGCGACGAGGGCGCGGCCGAGGACATGACCATCATGGACCTCGGCTTTGGGCTCGGCATGTGGGAGGACGAGGAGCAGCGCGAGAAGTGGAAGGTGGCCGACTGGACGGCGCGCGACGAGGAGATCATGTCGTCGGCGCCGCTCGAGTGGATCCGGCTCGACGCCGACTTTGAGTGGATCGCCACCATCTACTTTGACCAGCCCGACTTCATGTGGGTCTCGCAGCTCCAGCGCGACCGTGACGTCGTCGCCCAGGTGGCTGCCGTCGAGGCGCTGGCCAAGATCCCCAGCGCGATTGCGTCGTCGATGCTCACCCGCACCGTGCTCGTCAGCAAGTACTTTTTCCGCGTCCGCATCGCCGCCATCGACGCCCTCGTCGGCTGTGCCCTCGCCCCGCTCGACTACCTCGGCCTCTTCCACCTGCTCATGCTCTTTCGCACGCGCTACTGCCACGAGCTGTCTCCGGGCGGTGCTAGCTCGAGCAACAACAGCAGCAACAATGCAGACGGCTCCAGCGGGAACAACACCATCGACATGGACTGCATCCCGCGCGCCAACAACTTTGCCGACTTCTCCGACTACTTTCTCAAGCGCGCCCTCATCCACGCCATCGCGCGCGTGCGCAACCAGCGCGGGCGCACGCTGCCCCAGGTCAAGCGCTTCCTCATCAACCTGCTCCGCTACAACGACAACTCGACAAACAAGTTTGGCGACGACGTCTACGTGGCCGGCCTCATCGAGTCCCTCGCCCAGGCCCTCGTGCCCCTCGACTCGGTCGCCCACGGTGGCTTTGTGCCCGCGGCCGAGGACCCGGATGCAGCCGACGACGAGGCGCTGCTCCTCGCTGCACGCCAGCAGGTCGACCGGTTCCAGGGCCTCGATCGGCTGGTGCCCTCGTACCACAACGTCGTCACGCTCAGCTGCCTCGACTTCCAGGGCAGCCTGATGCTGTCGAACATGCTCGCCGTCGACCTGCCCCTCTTTCTCGGCTACACGCGCCAGGGCAACTTCCACCCCGTCCGCGTCGCCGCCTTCGACTACCTCGTCCTCCTCCGCGGCCTCCAGCACAAGGTCCTCACCCGCTACATCTTTGCCGTCCTGCAGACCGACGAGAGCCGGGCCGTCAAGCGCCACGTCGCGCGCGCTGTATGCGAGGCCCTTGCCGTGTCCGTCGCCCTGGGCGAGTTTGGCGGTGGCGCTGGCGGTGGCGGTGCTTCGGCCGAGTCCCAGGTCGACGCCATGCTGCGCGCCATTCGCAAGGAGGTCGGCCGCTCGGCTGCTGTCCGCGAGGGCTTCATGGCCGCCCTGCTCTCACCGCGTGTCGACGCGCAGCAGCGGTGGGCCCTGCTCAAGCTCGGCGATTTGCTCTTTCGCCCTGCCGAAGAGACCGAGATTCCGTACCAGCCCAAGGTGTCGGTACGCGTGCGCATGCCCAGCCAGGCTGCCGTCGGGACTGCCACCACCACCACCGTCGAGGGAGCAGCACCAGCACCGACGAAGATCCGGCTGGTGCGCCCCTCTGTCGACGAGACGGCCGCTGCTCGCTCCGTCGCCTTTGTCGACGAGTCGGCCAATGGGGCAGTGGGCGAGCCAGCAGCAGCTACGTCCAAGACGGTAACGCCACCCAAGAAGAAGTCCAAGTCAGCCGCGGCAGCTGCTGCTGCTGCTGCCGCCGCCAAGCCCGGCCAGGCGTCGGGCATGTCGACGACGGACCTGACGGCGTGCCGAAACTGCCTGAAGCGGCTGCTGGCGAGCCGGCATGCGCACCTGTTCCGCAACCCCGTCGACCCCGTGCGCGACAAGGCGCCCGACTACTTTCGCGTCATCTCCAGCCCCATGGACCTGTCGTCGATGAGCAACAAGCTCGACGCGGGCCTCTACCGCGACCGGTTCGAGTTCAAGGCCGACTTTGAGCTGCTGGTCAGCAACGCAAAGACGTACACGCCCGACACCAAGGCCTACGTGCACCAGGCTGCCGTGCAGCTCGAGCGCGACTTTAATGCGCAGTGGACCCGCATCACAAAGACGCTCGAGCAGACGGCCGCGCGCCAGCAGGCCGGCGCTGCTCCTGCCGCGGCGGCTTCAGCGGCAGAGCAGGCGTCGCCCAAGGCACCGGCAAAGGCAGCGCCGACAGCCACGGCAGCAAGCCCAGTAGTGCCGGTCGCGACGCCCGCCACACCGGCAGCAAAGACGGCCGAGGACAAGGCCAGGCCGGCAGCAGCACCACCGTCGACGGGACTCGGCGGCATCAAGATCAAGCTCAAGCGCAAGGACAAGCCCCAGGACGAGAGTCCGGCGCCGCCCGCCAAGAAGCCTGCGCCGAGCCCTGCCTCACCGTCGCCCAAGCCACCGACGCCCAAGTCGGTGGCGAGCAAAGCTGCTGCGACGAGCAAGCTGGCAGCAGGCAAGCCGGCGACGGCGACGGCGGCCTCGCCCAAGGCCACGCCCGCGCCGCCATCGTCATCATCATCATCGACACCTGCGCCCGCTGCTGCCGCTGCCGCTGCCGCTGCCGCTGCCACGCCCATCCCCGACGACCAGGACCCCGTGGCAGCAGCCAGGGGCAGGCCCATCCACGCCAAGCGGTGCAAGGGCGTGCTGGCAGCGCTGCGCAAGCTGCCCCAGGCCGCCATCTTCCTCAAGCCCGTCGACCCGATCCTCGACGGCGCACCCACGTACTACGACGAGATCAAGGCGCCCATGGACCTGGCGACGATGGAGACGAAGCTCCAGGCGGGCAGCTACAAGACGATGGCCGACTTTGCCGCCGACGTGCTCCTCATCGTCGCCAATTGCCGCCAGTACAACCCGCCGACGACGATGCCGCGCGACATGGCCGACGCCTTTGGGGCTGCCTTTCGCCGCGAGTGGGCCGCCGCCCTCGTGCGCCGGCTCGACTACCACGAGCAGCGCGCGCTCCAGGGCCTCGTCGGCCGCCTCAAGTCCAACCAGTATGCGGGACTGTTCCTCGAAGCCGTCGACCCCGTCAAGCTGGGCATTCCCACCTACTTTGACGTCGTCCGGCCCGAGGATGCGCGCGACCTGAGCCTCATCGAGGCCAAGGTCAAGTCGTCGGCGTACGACAGCCTCGAGGCCTTTGACGCCGACGTGCGCCTCATGCTCGACAACTGCTACCGCTTCAATGCCGCCGACGAGGGCGTGACGGCCTGGGCAAAGAACTTTGAAAAGGCCTATGGGCGCGAGTGGAAGGACCTCAAGGCCAAGTTTGGCCTCGGGCCCGAGGGGGCGGCTGCGACTGCTGCGGGTGCGAGCAGCAAGAAGAAGAAGTAGAAGCGGAACTAGCCGTGATCATATGTACTCTAAGAACACCGCACGCTTTCTTTCAACGCACGTTTTATCTAGAACAACGCACGCTTGAGTTCTGACGCTTGAAGAAGACGCTTGAAGGAGACGCTGGAAAGAGACGCTGGAAGGAGACGCTGGAAGGAGACGCTGGAAGGAGACGCTGGAA